CCAGCGGCTAATGGTACACTCCGGTGGATAATTCTCACAATATGGTGCTTTTTACAGATAGAGTAAACCTTGGCATAATACCGTCGGCGGATTATCATTGTGGCTACTGAGGCTGAAGCCTCATGCCCCATTCTTGAGAGGGACCCAATTCCAGGGTGCAAAAAATACTCGTTTCTCCTTAAAATACTAATTTCCAAGAATTTAGTACTCATCTTCCACTAGTGTACTACAGTAGCTACATACACTGCAAACAACTCTTTTATTTTAAAGATTTTTTTCTCAGTTGGCCTGAACACTGTGCCTGTAATATGTATAAATGTATTATGTACTTTACATGTACAGTACATGAATTGTTAACAAAATCTATAGAAGAGGCCAAAAATAAAATTAGCTTCAGGACCTGAGTACAGTTAAGATGTCCTTGCATGATACCACTCTAGTGCAATAACTGAATACATATTAAATTGTCAGTACTATGTAAGTTAATAACCAAATGCTTCCTCTTCATCAATTTACCTTTAAAGAATGGGACATGTTAGTTTTGTAAGACAAGATTATTTAGCAATCTCATCTCAGACTATGTACTAGAAAATCTCAGTAATTAGTTTAATGGAGGACTTCTTAATCATTTCTCTTGAGTTATTAAGGACATTTATTGTATAATATTCAGAGCGGTGTTGAAGGAGTAATTAATTGTATGGACATCACTGTGCGTGCCTCATTACTCCCTCGCCATTGTCTTCATTTCGGTCCGTAATATAAAGGAAATATTTCTTCTTTTTCTGATCATAACTTAAATTTCTTATTCTTTTGGTCATATTTTTGTCCGGTTAAGATAATTTGATTTAAGTTAAGTTATTTGAATTGATTTGTTATTTTGACTTTGGCTAAGTGTCTTGTAATTAGTTTATGGAAAATTGGGTTAAGTTTGGTTATTTGGATTGAGTTGACATGATTGGGTTTGGTTGGGTTGGTTGGGTTGGTTGGGTTTGGTTGGGTTGGTTGGGTGGGTTGGTTGGTTTGGTTGGGTTGGTTGGGTGGGTTGGTTGGGTTGGTTGGGTTGGTTGGGTTTGGTGTTAGTTGAAGGTTCTACACTCGCTACAGCTTCACACCGGCAGGATATAATGCTTGCTCTGCACCTCCGTCTGAAACATTAACTGTACCACGATGTCCTGTTTCAAGGAGAACTTTAAAACATATTTATCAAAAGTATTACGTAAGATACTAAAGAAGGCCGAGAAAGCTATAAGATCAGTCACTTTGTTTGTCTTGTTCTACTGGCGCGAGGAATAGGCCGAGAAAGCTATAAGATCAGTCACTTTGTCTTGTTCTACTGGCGCGAGGAATAGACCGAGAAAGCTATAAGATCAGTCACTTTGTTTGTCTTGTTCTACTGGCGCGAGGAATAGGCCGAGAAAGCTATAAGATCAGTCACTTTGTTTGTCTTGTTCTACTGGCGCGAGGAATAGGCGTCGATACGTGTAGTCTTTGTATTACCTGTGCTGACTGTGTTAATAATGAAGGTAACACAGGGACACAGAAACACGAGAAGATTCAAGCATTTTCGGGATATTTACATCTTCAGGTAATACAGCATGAGCATTGCGCTTCCTGAAGTCGTGTGTAATGACAACGCTTGCTTATAGTTTTCAGTCTTAGAAGTGATGTTATTGACAAGTTAATAAAAGGCTTTCTTTTATATAATATATATTTTAACTCGAACTTTGTACTTCTTTCTCTAGTCACTGACATTAATATTGGGTAGATTTAATGCTAAAATGTTCTTAGTTTTTCTTGAGTGTTTCTAATTTTAGCAATTTTGGGACACAAGGGTAAGGGTTACAAACTCGGCCTCTCATTGTACAGTATTCGAGAATAGTATTGGCGGTACAACAGTTACCCGTTCACCTCTCGCATGTTCCCTGGGATCAATCACAGGCCTGGGGCAGATGTGAGAAGGGTGTTATTCAGTGTGACTCTAATTACTGTACTTATCTTTATCACCTTCGCTACTAATCGACTCGTCAGCAGCTTGGACAGTTGGGCGCGTCTCTGTTGTGTACTGTTGTCTCCATGTGACGAAGAAACTTTACATACAGTACATTGTGTTGGAACTGTTGACTTCTTCTTTAAGCCTTTACTCGAAATGTTGCCATAAACTAATTGATATTAATTTGCTTATGGTTAAACCTGCTCTCTTATATTTAAGATGTCGTTTACCATAATACTATAACACACACACACACACACACACACACACACACACACACACACACACACACACACACACACACACACACAACAGAGAGAGGAGGAGGAGGTCAGGTACACATCGGACAAGGTGAGAAAATCAGAGAGTCGTTTATTCACTCATAAATAAAGCCATATATTTATTAGTAAAGTCGGCCGTCTATTCACATTCCTTTTTGTTGTCCTATACATTTCATGTCGTCGCCTATAAAATGGTGTCTGATCCGTCGTCGCGTGTACAAGCTCTCCCTTAAATCGAACACATGGTATGTCTCTGAACTCTCAATCAAGTGGTTAATATGAGAGGATCTTTCATCAGACTATTGGGGGAGGGGGGCTGGTAAATATAATGAAGATCCGTCCATGCCTCTAGAGTTATTACCCCTCCACAATAGTGAAAGGTGACAGAGATATATGATTACGGTTATTGTATGTCTAAGTTAGCTATCATATTGACTTGTAATAATTTATCAAGTGTCATGTTTCGTAATACGGCCATTGTGTATTGATCTACTTATAAAAGTGACGCGGCTTATTTCTCTCACAATTTTAGTCCCTGTGTATCACAAGTTGTCACGTGTACAGCGACCGTAATTACTGTGGGTTTTATATGTATCTGAAAATAAAGCTAAGCAATACAAGTCTTAACTCCCCGTTACTACTGCCTTTCTTAGTACACGCTAACCCTTCACTACGGGGACGCCACTTTTAATATTTTATATGGCCAACGGAAACGATTTAGGGAAGACCGTATAGCACACAAGGGGTTAAAAAGGACGATCTGGAAGCTAAGGTCACGAGTCGTTAACGCTACAATAGTTTATACGCACCTACACCTTCATCTGTTACCGATCTGCTGTCTTGGATTTAGGCGTCAACCCAACTAAATTCACCCACTTCACTGAACCAATGGCTTTTCTACCTCCTTGCCCCCTGTTATCTGTTAAGAGCCAAGTACAATCACCTCTCCTTATTAACATTTTGATCTTGTTTTGTCTGGAACTACACGGTCTTAAACATTAGAGAAACGCTGTGTCCTGTTGTTCCATGCTGTATGTTAGTCAAGGCTCTACATTGCTCAACTGAGGGTAGCTGACGTGCGGGGTCAATACAGCCATCTGCCATATTAATGGGACCAAGATGTATTTTCTGCGTGGAACGACCTGATGAACCCAAGGTGAGGGACAGTACAGTTAATATGTAATAATTGGTTGACACCATGTTGTGTAATCGCCTTGTGACACATCTTCCAAATGACACAGCCAAATGACACCTGCTATACACGTCTCTGATTACTTTTCCTTTTCTTTTATCCTCTTCACCAAATGATCGGCTCCATAGCCGCCCGGGCGATCGGTCACGTCTCTGTCACGCACTGTTGGCAAGTACTGGGCATGCACCGGCCCCTGAATGTACCTGAACCCGCTCCAGTGTTGGTCAAGTCTTGTCTAGAAAGAGCTCACACTCGGTGCCGTCACAACACTTTCTGGTAGATTGTTCCAAGAGTTTACAATCCTCACTCCGAAAAAGTTTGCCTTCACAGTTTTCTGGACTTGCAGCTTCTTCAATCTTGAGCTGTGACCCCTTGAGGGGCGAGCGTCCGCCAGCTCCAAGTAAGAACACTCGACTGAGTAGTGCCCCTTGAGATGCCTATATACCTCAACTAGGTCCCCCCTTGCCCCTCTGTAGTATAAGCTAGGCAAGTTCAGGCGCTCCAATCTCTCAGGGTAGCTGAGGTGCCGAAGTGCAGGCACCAGTCTGGTGGCCCTCCTTTGAACATTTTCAATCAACTGACAGTCCCTAGCATATCTTGGGTACCAGACGGGGTGACAGTACTCCAGATGAGGAAGCACTTCACTCCTGAAGATCGTTACGAGGGACGGACCGTCTAGACATCTGAACGACCTTCTTATGAGACCCAATAATTTATTTGCCTGATTTACCTTCTTCTCGGTGGAGACTTTTCTGCAAGATATAAGCTGAAGCCCGGCTGAGGGTGAAAAGTTCCCTCCAACGAGAGGTTCTCTACACCAAATGATTCTGACAGTGTAGCGAATCCCAATGCGAAAATAGGTGTCCATGTAGGGAGCAGTTGCATTGTACACAGATGTGCACATGTGGAGAAAATATCAATGTACTTAAAACACTCTGGAAGACAATCATGTTCCAGTTTCAAATGATCAAAGTGATGCTTAATGAAATAATGAATTTATCTACCTTAAATTATCACATAGTGTATGGCTAAATCATAAATCTGTTTTATATGCTCATGAAATTTATAAATATATATTTTATTTCAGACGTCACTGTGTGTGATATATAACAATTTATCCAAAATATGGGTTTCTTTATGACAGTAACCATAGCTAACGAAAGGAAAATTTAGTTTTTGTACTACTACCCTCATACCGTACATGAAAAGTAAAATTCCTAACATATATTTTTAACTGGAAGTTCTGCTTAATGTAAAAAATGTATGTTGGTAAATTTTACCATTCAATGCACACGGGACTACACATGGCCTGACACTGAATAAACAAACATTGTGCAGCACGCGCGATGTTTGCTTAATTCATATAATGATATAAATTCTATTTCATACCTTCCAATTCTTGCTCAGGTAAATTAGCCATCTTGGAGGAGAGTTTCTGTAGTTTCCGTTTAAAAATGTCTGGTGAATAAGGTACAGTACTTTGTGTGATCTTTATCGGGAACACCAACTAACTGATCTGTGTTGGGTTTTATTTCAGATTCGAGCACACTGTGGAAGCGTGGTAGCAAGGTGAGGGTGTGGTACTGCGATGACGTGGACAAGGGGCTAACGACCGACCACAGGATGCGAATAGTCCTCTTCGGTGATGCTGATTGGGACGACCCCGGCAACTGTGACGGTGAGTAATGCTACACCCGGTCCTGCCGCTGACTGACATGGGCAACTGGAGGTTCAGTGAAGTCGAATTCAAAAGTTTGGAGCAGATTCGGGAGAGTAGGAATCCAGGTTCCATTACATAAATGCATGCAGCTACTCTAAAGGCGACGTCACATTTATTCATGTAGACACTCTTACAGTTTATTCACTCATACATGCAATGCGCCAATAATACATTCATTCATGCATGCAACCACTCTTACTGTCATACAGCCATACACTCATACAGCCAACCATCCATACATTCATACATACAACCACTCTGACAGTATACAACCATTCACTCCTACAATCTTGTTTCCCCACAGACACCAGCGATACCGCAGTTTGCTCTGATCTACCAACACTGTTGGATGCTCAGCAGGTCCACACCTTCACCTACAACGATGCCGATAAGTACGGGGTGTACTACGAGTGTAACTCAGGCCTCTCCTTCCTGTCGGGCAACCCTGGCCGCCTGACGCAGTGTGTGGCGGGATCCTGGACTACTATCGACGATATCTGTTTGGAAGGTGAGGTACCAGCTATCCCCCCCCCCTACCATTTTTTATTCCCCCACTGTTTGTATTGAAGTGGATATGTATGATTACCACGGTGTATGTCTGTTATTCTCACATTCATTTGTAAATCGTGTTAAGCAAAATGTATTCAGTGTGTAACCAGTGGAGTACATGTTTTGTATAAATGTGACTTTGTTTTTTGTTCAATTAGTTAAAAAAAATAGCGAAAGCGTAAGTCACAGGGATGTTAATCTTCACGATATGAACAAGAAGTTGAGTATCAGATACATTTGCCGTTAGATCAATCATATTTATGTCAGCCTAAAATCCTGCCTGGTTTTATGTTGAAAAAATACTAAAACAATATCGCTTTAGTGTTTTATTTTCACTCCCTTAGATTGTGATCTGCCTCGTGATTGTTGCGCAGTGGCCGAAAAATACGGCTTCAGCAACTCCGATGGCCAGGAGTATTTGGTGTCGCCATCTAACAACACAGATGATGATGATGATATCACGGTAAGTACTGTACATATACAACCTGACTAGTAGTTACTGTGGTAAGTACTGCAACCTGACTAGTAGTTACCATGGCAAGTACACACACAATCTCACTACGAACACCACGGAAAGTACTGTACACGCCACAACCTAACAAAACAAAATATATTCCCCAATTTATCTAACCAAACGTAGCCTAACAACACCTACTCTCACCTAACCTATAACTTACCCTATTCTAACTTACTCTTCACTTTAACCTGAGCACTCTTAACCATACCTAATAAATCTTACTCTACCTAACGTAACCTAACCTAACCTAACCTAACCTAACCTATCTCAAGTTATACCCGAATCTGATCCTGGCTTTCAAAATTCCTCAGTAACGAAAATTAACTTGATTTACCTGCGTCTAGAACATCAATCACATTAATCGGCACCTTTTTTTTGTCATTGTAGTATCATATATTTGGTGTTCTTGTATTCAGGTATTCATTAGGTACCTTCGACCTGGGATGATTGATGACAAGGTTCAGAGGTGAGTAAGTTGTTTTCCTCAAGATTTATGTACAGTATATTATGTTTTTTTTTTTTTTTTGAATCTTTTTAGCATTAATTCATTGTGTTACTTGGGTCCTGACAGTAGCGTGTATTCTTCTCGAAGCTTTTGAAACATCAGCGTGCCGGACGGAGAGACATAGTGTGTATATTCTAATTATGCTGTACAGTAATTTATGCGTTCGTACATTGTTTTGTTTTTTAAAGTCTCTCCCTTTTTTTCATGTCGCTCTCAATTCATTTGTTATATTTTGTTTTATTTATTTTTTTCGGAGACTATTTGTAAAAATTCCGTTTCGGTAAATGTGAAGAAAACATGGCTGACCAGGAAGTGATTAAAGCTTTAAGTACATTAATGCAAAGTTAGTCATAAGTCCGCCAATATATTCAATGAAATTATGTTGAGAAAATTTCCTAGCAAATTCCTGCTTACAAGATGGAGTAAAATACTGTGTTTTATGACCACCTTGACAGTAGCGGAAACTCTAGACAGTAACAACCTTGACAGTAGCAGCAACTCTAGACAGTAACAACCTTGACAGTAGCAGCAACTCAAGACAGCAGCCCATTATAACCAGTGTGTGAGAATGTCAAATGAGGATTGCGCGGGTGGCGTGATGATGACCCCATCCCCTGACGTGTGGTGATGACCCCACCCCCCTGACGTGTGATGATGACCCCACCCCCTGACGTGTGATGATGACCCCACCCCCTGACGTGTGATGATGACCCCACCCCCTGACGTGTGATGATGACCCCACCCCTGACGTGATGATGACCCCATCCCCTGACGTGATGATGACCCCCCTGACATGAGGATGACCCCATCCCCTGACGTGTGAGGATGACCCCTCCCCTCTGACGTGTGAGGATGACCCCTCCCCTCTGACGTGTGAGGATGACCCCTCCCCTCTGACGTGTGAGGATGACCACACCCCTCTGACGTCTGTGCCAGCCATTTTTTTTCTTCAGAATATGAGCTGCAATTTGAGCATTAATAAAGTACTATTAATTACCACACTTGGGTCGATGACTTGCTGAGTTGGTGTAGCATTACTTATTTAGACTTCTGTGGCTGTTGGTGAGCGAGTTCGCCCACCAGGATTTAGTCAGTCTGATATCCTGATTCTTAGCATTCAGCAGCTAGTGGGTTAACCCACCTCTTTGACAGGATGATAGTACCCAGGTTGTGGAGTCCACAACCTGGAGTGTGTTGGGGCTCAGTGTAATGGAGGGAGGTGGGAAATGGTCAGAGGAGAGGTTGATGTGCATAACCAGGGTCTTGGAATGGGTGATGGTGACATCGCTGCTGGTGGACCAATTTTGGAGACTGTTCAATATATTCTGGAGGGCGGTGTGGTCAGGATTTTATCTCCGGCCATCATTGATAAGCATGTGTGTGTGTGTGTGTGTGTGTGTAAGTGCGTCATACTCTTAAGAAACAGTGACTTACAGGCGGACGTTGAAAGTGTGTTCTCCAGTAAATAACAATAATCTGTTCTTGAATTACAGAGTTTTTTGTGTTTATTCCTGTAGTCTTCAGTCGTTCCTCACCCCACATGATTACTGCGTCGGATTTTCGCTTTATTTTTTTTCTTGTGGTGTTGGAACCTAGTGTGTGTGTGTGTGTGTGTGTGTGTGTGTGTGTGTGTGTGTGTGTGTGTGTGTGTGTGTGTGTGCGCGTGTGTCGCCACCTGCTGCCAACATGGATTAAAGTGTATAACGTACAACCAAACCTCAATCGCATATTCCCTCAGTGGAGAGAATCACGATATCGGTGAACTAACTATGAGCCATGGAACGGTTGACAGCCTGAAACAGTTGGCAGTTTTGATGATCTATTTTACATCCATTTTTATTTGTTTGAAGTGCATATTCTAGCGTATGGAATATTGAAAGACATGAGACTAGTTAGACAGTTTATTAATAAAATTTAAATCACATTTGGTAATTGTATTTTCTGCAGTAGTCTTGAGATACAGTGATCCAACACAAATATGTACTATTAATTTTCTTATTTTATATTATGGTGCTGACTGTCCTGTTTGGTAACAAATTGTTCCCCATAGTACCAGCAACTAAAGCTCTGTTGGCTGTATTATAACCATGTAATGGGGGGAGGAGGGGGTAATACTTTTTACTTTTATCGTCTTCACCACTGATCGGCTCGTTAGCCGCTTAGGCGATCGGTCACGTCTCTGTTACGCACTGTTGGCAAGTACTGGGCATGCACCGGCTCCTGAATGTACCTGAAAAAAATAGGGTGTCATTTCGCCTCAGGCCAGGAGCTATGTATCTGGCTGTGTACTCAGTAATTAAAGGTGATCACATCCCGTTCAGAGTGAGAGGAGTGATTTTTAGAGAGGGCATAGAAAGAATTTGAACAGTATGTGATTGATTATGACGAGGCCATTAAAGTTATGCTCACTTCTAACCCCCCATTACAATGGTAGCAGCGGTGGGATTTTAGACAAGGACCCTCTATGGGTATACGTTTTGATCCTGGAGATAAGGAGCTTGAAATATTCTTTTCAGGGAGATAAATGATTTTTTTAAATAGACAACTGACAATAACTAAACCACAAACATCAGATTCTATGAGGTTTGGGCATTAAAATTATCTAATTTCATTAGTACTTGGAAAATCATGGCTCTCCCTAAGGGCGATATTAGGATATGCCATTCTTACTAGCAGACTCAACATTCACTTATTTAACAATTTTCACAAACAGTAAATACAGTTGAAGCTTTCAACATCATTCACAAGGGATCCTTAGTGTTTCATCTGTAATCTGACATATGTAATTTGACTTAACATATACAACTACAGTTGCAATTTCAAATCTCGTGTCGTGCCATGAGAGACTAAGGAATATCTGAGTCTCGGGTGCAATCCAGGATTGAGAGAAAACGGAGGACTCAGGCGTCCTGAAGGGATAAGAAAACGGGTGCCTCTGGAGGACTCAATAAAAGAGCCTTAGCTACATGTTTTATGGGCTATTGAGCGTAATATGAATCGTTTGATTTTACGTCAACTAACATGTACGACCGTGGTCATTACAAACAGACTCCGTACTTAAGTTCAGAATCAGCTAATGTACCGTACGGGTGGCTCGGGTTGTGTATCCATGTCGATTGCTTTCAAAGCAACAAGTATTACTGTACGGCACTACCCTGAGTGTTGGGGTCTCTAGTCAACTGTAAAGACGTAAAACACAAAAAGTGCGAGTAGAGATCAAACAAAAGTCGTTGTCATCTCTTCACTGCGGCCTTAGCTAAAGAGACTTGAAGCAAGAGGTTTTAAACTAACTTGGAGTGCTGCTCTTATATCTGGGGTAGCTCTTCTTCTGTCCAACTGTTAGATAGGGTGGAATCAAAGGCATTTCGTCTTATTAACTCTCCTTCTTTAGTTGATAATCTCTCTTCCCTTTCTCTTCGCCGCAAATGTTGCTTCACTCTCTTTTACAGGTACTTTAACGGGTAATGTTCGGTGGGTTTGTAACACTCGTCTTGCCTGCGGTGCCCACCGTTTCTCAGTGGATATCGGTCACACTAGAATAACCCGTTATAGTACATCCTTTCCTTACACAGCCAAACTGTTGAATGCTCTGCCTTCTTCTGTGTTTCCATACTTATACAATGTCTCACGTAAAAAAGATGGTCTTCCGGCATCTTCGTGGTGTAGATTAATAGTCTTTTTCTCTTCTATTTTCAATTTCATTTTATCTTATTTTTTCGCCCCCTAGGCCCCGTTGCGGGTCGATGACCTGTGCCCCGCAAAAACAAAACAAAAAACACTGCGTGGCGGGGAATTTTACAGAGAGCGCGAGTTCCGGCACTAAATGAGTCTGCAAAATCGAATTTCAGTATAAAAAGTATGGACTCTCCCTGACGAAAGAGGAAAGTTAAACGGCATTTACCATATTTTTTACAAAAAACGAAATCACTATGGTGGAAGATGGACATTTTCAATATGTAATTTGACAAGGTTTATTTTAGCTACATCACTTAAGTATGTGAACTCTTTATTTGAGTGACCCACTATGAAAGATTTTCTCCTAGGCCTAACCCCACTCAAGCCAGTCTCCTCTTGCAACCAGATCTTGGTCATATTATTTATCATGGTAAATGATCCACATACAAGCGGATTTGCGGAAATACTACAAATAGTGGTGGTTATGCCGCTAAAGCCCGACTGTTCACTTGTTCGAAGATCTACTCTAACGTAACCTTCTGAACATACTGGCAGTAGCTCCCGTTGTAATACTTGGTCTCTCGCTAAGTGCATGACTGTCGTTCTTAGACAAATAAACTGGCGCGTGAATTTACTCGATTTACACATTTTGACAGTGACGATGTAAGGAGGAAAGTAAGGTTCTAATTACAATTACCAAATGGAGTGACATCATGGTGTTGTGTCATTATTAAATGATCAGTGAAGGCCAGGAGTGAGGAGCACTGTATTATGTTGACTATTCTTCTTAAAAGGAAAGAGAGGTGTACAGTAGATAAACACTACACATAGGCCTACATTTTTTCGGACACAATCAACCAAGAGTACCGTCCTCATATCTCAGGGTTGGCGGCCACAGTCCTCTCCACTAAACGTTCTCGGGCTGTTTTCACCAATCCTCCAAGGTATTGTATCTCTCTGGCGACCCAGTTTTTTATTTCATTCATCACCCCAGTCTCTGCCTTCCCTGGCCCCCTTATCCTCAACTTTGCACATTAATATTTCTGTTATTATCCCTTCATCCCTAATTATATGTTCTAAAGTTCATAAATGTATCTGTAATTACCTGTCGGGTTGTGAGCACATGATTTTTTATTCCCGGCGCCCAAATGAGGGTCGTGATATACGATGTCATATATTAGATAGAGTGTGGCTTCTGGCAGTGACTACCTTCACCCCAGCTGGTGGTTGTCTTAATATAATAGAGTCTAGACCCTAAAAGTCACCAGACGAACTTATGGGAGCCGATAATTATGATACATTCTTTAGAGGATGATATTCTGTAGCGTGTGATAGCCAATGTCAGCTTTGTCTGAATTATCTGTCATTCTGGTAGTCGTGGTTGTCGGTATCCCAGGAGTTAATCATGTACAGTGTAATATTTTATTATTTTCTTTTTTATTCATTGTCTGTAATGTATGAGGGTAAAAATTATTCCCGTCTCTGATTACTTTTCCGTTTCATTTATATTCTTCACCAAAAGATCGGCTCGTTAGCCGCCCGGGCGATCGGTCACGTCTCTGTCACGCACTGTTGGCAAGTACTGGGCATGCACCAGCTCCTGAATGTACCTGAACCCGCTCCAGTGTTGGTCAAGTCTTGTCTTGAAAGAGCTCACACTCGGTGCCGTCACAACACTCTCTGGCAGATTGTTCCAAGAGTTCACAACTCTCACTTCGAAAAAGTTTGCCCTCACAGTTTTCTGGACTTGCGGCTTCTTCAATCTTGAGCTGTGACCCCTTGAGGGGCGAGCGTCCGCCAGCTCCAAGTAAGGACACTCGACTGAGTAGTGCCCCCTGAGATTTTTATACACCTCAACTCGGTCACCCCTTGCCTGTCTGTAATATAAGCTGGGCAAGTTCAGGCGCTCCAATCTCTCAGGGTAGCTGAGGTGCCGAAGTGCAGGCACCAGTCTGATGGCCCTCCTTTGAACATTTTCAACCAACTAACCGTCCCTAGCATATCTCGGGGACCAGACGGGGTGACAGTACTCCAGATGGGGAAGCACTTCACTCTTGAAGATCGTTACGAGGGACGGACCATCTAGATATCTGTGTGTGACAGTTGATGACAGCTAATAGAATTCAGGCGAGCCAAAATAAGACGATTTCAAAATAAGATGCATATTTACCTTGAGAGCCTTTGATAAAAACCACACAGGAAAAGCACCTTAGCATTCGTCTTTATTCAAGACATCTTCAGAGGCAACTGAATTCACAGGGACTGAGAGAGAATACTGTACAGTATATACAATGGGAGACCTTACATAACCTAACCTTGTAATACCAACTGAGTCCAACCCATTATTGTTGTGTATGATTGGGGATAACTAGCCGAAATATAGTTATCCCATGTTGAGTAGTGAACCCATAATTATTGATATTACCAGTAATAACGTGTGTTATGTGGGTTGTGAGTACATAATTCATATGTACTACCAACTGAGTTTTAGTAAAAGTGCCATGTTGTTCTTTCCGAAATAACATGATGTTATAAATAATATGTTAATTTGGGATATTGTCAAGTGTGTCAAATAACCATCTGTATTGACAACGAAATAATATAATGATTGTTTAATGTTGTAGCCAAGGATTGAAGATCTATTTTGCTACTTATAAAGAAGACCTAAGGGTCCAGTCCTATCTGGGCGTGTAAAATAACCATTTTATTTGTCATAGAAATAATATACCGGTTGTTTAATGATGTAACAAGTAATTGAAGATCTATTTGTCAATTGTAAAGTCAACCCTAAGTGGTCCAGTCTTGTCTGAGTGTGTTTAATTAACATCGTGTTCACTCCTTATGTTAATAAGTATTTAATTAGTAAACTACGAGTATTACCGTTCATTTCCTGCTGATAATTAATTGCTCTGAAAATAACTATTGTAACTCACATGCCTAAGCTCGCTACCATGCTACCGAACAGCTCAATGAGGTATGTTATATTCTAATAAAAGTCTGGGTGGTGACAGGCTACCGTTGTAAGTATAATAAGTCTTTTTACAGTAAGAATGACATCGTTTCCCAGACTAATCCATGGTTTAGAATATAACTAAGCCATAAGAAGAATGAATTTGGAGGAACTAAAATAATATGATAATAGAAGATAGAAAATAAATACATAAATACAGTATATATACATAGAAAAGAAACAACACAGAAAATATAATAATATCAATAATAATATAAATAGAAAATAGAAAACAAAAATAGAGACCAAAATTTAATATAGAGAGAAAGATAAATAACAGAACTTGCACAGTTACACCCTTACAACCTAACCTAACCTAACCCCCAAAAAACCCAGCTGGGTGGGCTCGCTTTGCTCGCCAAGTTCCCCCATCCAAAACTTCTTGAAACTCCCTTTTGGTACTCCTGGATCCGTCCCTGCAATTATCCGGATAAGTTTAACTGGTAGCTACAGTGGCGTCTTACTGTTCATTTGTAGGTCAAGTGTGATTTAGGGGACACACCCGACTCCCCTGATGGAAGCTGGACGTTAGTACTCCAACATTATGCATCCTCGAATCTCCACCTCACCCTCCAGCAGTACATCGATGGCCACGGCAACCCCAGCGACACAGGGTCTTATTTCATCGGTAGGTGAAGTGACCACATCCTAGACCTAGGCTATGATTCTTTGGGTGCTTTTCTGGCGCCTTAACCAGAAGTCCTTGTGAGATTATTATCAATCATATGACTTCATCCTGCTCTCTGTGTCCTTGTGGGTTGTGGGATTCTCAGACTATTAGTTCTGTTCCCAGGTTCCCAAATAATCGTGTATTGAGTTTTCTCTCTCGCTCTCTCTTTACTCAACTCTGTACATTAGTGTCTTATGGACGATACGATTTTCATGTCATACTGAGCAGACTGACTCAGGCAAGTCGAGCAACTGAGCTATTAATTTAACTGTGTGCTGGTTTTTCCACAGGACTTAAGAACCTGGTGGCTTTCAACTGGGACGACAGCACCGAACGACCTCTCGTTATGAAGGTAAGTACTGTACCGTACCTCGTCACCTGATTAGTCAAGCTTGGCCTCAAGGTAACCACAGCGTAAACATTGGTTCGGATAGATCTCTCTGTAACCTCAGCACTAAGATATGTCCCCCCCCGCCCAGTCTTGGGAGCTCTTACTGGGCCCATTTCCATACCCTGATGACTGTGTTCAGTTGGGTCAGGGCAAGGTAGTTATCTACCTACCTTGGGTCAGGGTGCATTGGGAGACTGAAAACTCTCTCTCTCTCTCTCTCTCTCTCTCTCTCTCTCTCTCTCTCTCTCTCTCTCTCTCTCTCTCTCTCTCTCTCTCTCTCTCTCTCTCTCTCTCTCTCTCTCTCTCTCTCTCTCTCTCTCTCTCTCTCTCTCTCTCTCTCTCTCTCTCTCTCTCTCTCTCTCTCTCTCCTCTCTCTCTCTCTCTCTCTCTCTCTCTCTCTCTCTCTCTCTCTCTCTCTCTCTCTCTCTCTCTCTCTCTCTCTCTCTCTCTCTCTCTCTCTCTCTCTCTCTCTCTCTCTCTCTCTCTCTCTCTCTCTCTCTCTCTCTCTCTCTCTCTCTCTCTCTCTCTCTCTCTCTCTCTCTCTCTCTCTCTCTCTCTCTCTCTCTCTCTCTCTCTCTCTCTCTCTCTCTCTCTCTCTCTCTCCTCTCTCTCTCTCTCTCTCTCTCTCTCTCTCTCTCTCTCTCTCTCTCTCTCTCTCTCTCTCTCTCTCTCTCTCTCTCTCTCTCTCTCTCTCTCTCTCTCTCTCTCTCTCTCTCTCTCTCTCTCTCTCTCTCTCTCTCTCTCTCTCTCTCTCTCTCTCTCTCTCTCTCTCTCTCTCTCTCTCTCTCTCTCTCTCTCTCCTCTCTCTCTCTCTCTCTCTCTCTCTCTCTCTCTCTCTCTCTCTCTCTCTCTCTCTCTCTCTCTCTCTCTCTCTCTCTCTCTCTCTCTCTCTCTCTCTCTCTCTCTCTCTCTCTCTCTCTCTCTCTCTCTCTCTCTCTCTCTCTCTCTCTCTCTCTCTCTCTCTCTCTCTCTCTCTCTCTCTCTCTCTCTCTCTCTCTCTCTCTCTCTCTCTCTCTCTCTCTCTCTCTCTCTCTCTCTCTCTCTCTCTCTCTCTCTCTCTCTCTCTCTCTCTCTCTCTCTCTCTCTCTCTCTCTCTCTCTCTCTCTCTCTCTCTCTCTCTCTCTCTCTCTCTCTCTCTCTCTCTCTCTCTCTCTCTCTCTCTCTCTCTCTCTCTCTCTCTCTCTCTCTCTCTCTCTCTCTCTCTCTCTCTCTCTCTCTCTCTCTCTCTCTCTCCTCTCTCTCTCCTCTCTCTCTCTCTCTCTATATATATATACACACCTGTATATATAAAGCTAGACAAACCACTAGGATTAATATGCTGACAGTAAGCGGGTGTTATTGATTTACTTGGCTTATAAGTCATCATGCCCGGTTCAAGCCACCAGCCTTCCCTGACAATCGTAGCATGTGCGTAGAAGTAAGTTAGTTGGTTTCTGAACCGAGAATTCACATTGGCAAATTTTGAGACGAAAAAAAATCGATTTGGGGATTATGTTGTGTAAAAGTTTACCAGGTTCGTTTGTTACTGTCTGGCCTGGTTGTGTCCCTCAGTGTTGGCTCGTTTGTTACTGTCTCTCTAGTTTTATCACTTTTTAGTTTGTTACTGTCTCGCTAAATTGTCGCTTCCAGTTAACTGAATTTGTTCCTGTCTCGCTAATATGTCTCTCCCAGTTGGCCATTTTGTTCCTGTCTCGCTAAATTGTCGCTTCCAGTTAACTGATTTGTTCCTGTCTCGCTTAATTGTTTCTCTCAGTGAGGTGTTTGTGTTACCGCTTCCCTAGAGAGCTGCTCTTAGCGGGGCGTTCGTGGTATCGTCCGACCTTTTTACTTATGCATGTACAGTACAGTACTGTAGGTTCACTCCCCGCTGGGCCTCACCACCTCGTTAAATGTGCTAGTGTTCACCTGTAGAAATTATCGCCTGGCGCCCACTTGATTAATGTAGTAGCTATGTCAGTACTGTTGTATGGAGATAGTATGGTCATTAGAACACTGGCCATATTTTGTGGCCATTATGCTGAGTGGCCATATTTCGTGTGGCTTTACAGATTGATCATGGTGGCACGATGGCCATAAATTATGGTCTTGGTAATATTAAAGGGCCATGGCAGCAAATTGTGACCACGAAAGTACACTGTAGTCATAGCTATAGTGTCCATCAAGACGGAGTATGGCCATAAGACCACAGTATGTCCGTGCGAACACTCCAATGACCATGGTGGCACAGTGTGGTGTGGTGAGTACTTGTATGGCCATCATTTAATATGGCCTCGCCCCATGAACACACGTGAATTAATACTGCGTTAAGTACGGATCGCGTCAATGTTAGGCAATCCAGCTTATTTCATCTTATAATTAACCACCATAAAGCCAACCTAACATTATTTAGCCTAATATAACCAAACCTAACAAAACATAACACTTACCAAAAGTAACATAACCTTCCCTAACCTCTCTCCTACTAACCTAAGCTAGCCTTAAGATTAACCAACCACCCTAACGTTAGCCAGGCCTAGTCTAACCTGACTTAACCAAACCTAACCTATCCCAACCCGCAGGTATAGGGTGGTTAATTTTAAGGTGAATTAAGCTCGAGGGGGTAATCTTCACGTGATCCGTATGTAATGATGCAAGATCTACAATTTTACCAGAACTTTTCGAGATCTTTGAATAGCTGTGTGCAATCTGACTTTTTCTGACAAGTGTCAGTTTGAGCCACACTACTGCATGTAAGTAAGTGACATTCAGGCATATTTAAATTTCCCTGTGACGTCTGCAGGTTGGCAAGTGTTGATAAAAATTATCAAAAAGCGGTACTGTATATAGCCATCGGTTTAGTCTTTATTTGAAGTGTATATTGCTTTACAATATATCCTTCTCCCTCAAATGAGGCGTGACAGCCATGTTGAATAGTACAAATTAAATGAAAAGCCTTGCGATGACCTGTAAACACACAGCTCTGCATTCCCGTGTGTTTGCTGTCTAATCCCAGTCCTTTCAGTTGATTTTGGCCATTCATCATACCTGTCAAGGAGAAATATAAAATGTTCTCTCCTAGTCGTTCCATCGTGTCTGTTTGTGCTCTATAGTTGTGTTTGTTGACAAGAGTTCGTGTTGTTAAGGAAGCAGAGATCAGGAATATCTGTTGAGGAACCTGGTGAGCACAACAAGGCTTGACCAACACTGGAGCGGGTTCAGGTACATTCAGGAGCCGGTGCATGCCCAGTACTTGCCAACAGTGCGTGACAGAGACGTGACCAATCGCCCGGGCGGCTAACGAGCCGATCAGTGGTGAAGAGGACAAAAAAAAAAAAAAATATCATGGGCATTTTGAAGCCCTGTTGAAGTCATATGCACTTGATACTAGGAGATAGTTTTTTACTTTTTACTTTTATCCTCTTCACCGCTGATCGGCTCGTTAGCCTCTTGGGCGATTGGACACGTCTCTGTTACGCACTGTTGGCAAGTACTGGGCATGCACCGGCTCCTGAATGTACCTGAACCCGCTCCAGTGTTGGTCAAGTCTGGTCTTGAAAGAGCTCACACTCGGTGCCGTCACAACACTTTCTGGTAGATTGTTCCAAAAGTTCACAGCTCTCACTCCGAAAAGGTTTGCCCTCACAGTTTTCTGGACCTGCTGCTTCTTCAGTCTTGAGCTGTGACCCCTTGTGGGGCGAGCGTCTGCCAGCTCCAAGTAGTAGTATAAGCTAGGTAAGTTCAGGCGCTCCAGTCTCTCAGGGTAGTTGAGGTGCCGAAGTGCAGGCACCAGTCTGATGGCCCTCCTTTGAACATTTTCAACCAACTGACAGTCCCTAGCATATCTCGGGGACCAGACGGGGTGACAGTACTCCAGATGGAGAAGCACTTCACTCTTGAAGATCGTTGAGGGACGGACCGTCTAGATATCTGAACGACCTTCTTATAAGACCCAATAATTTATTTGCCTGATTTACCTTCTTCTCGCAATGGTCCGAGTACTTCAGCTCATTGTCAACATACACACCTAGGTCCTTCACACATTCAGTCTCAAATAGTGCAGTTTCTTCATCCCGTTGGGACATATGATACGCCTCCTTACCGTTGGTACGCCCCAGGTGCATCCTCTTACACTTCTTGTCATTGAATCTCAGCAGCCATTTCTTCGACCATTCTTGGAGCCCACAGAGGTCCTTCTGCAGCTCTGCACAGTCCGCATGGTTCTTGATTTCCCCAAATAACTTTGCGTCATCTGTAAACATATCTATGGAGGAGTGTACAGCGTCATGCATGTCATTTATGAAGCAAACACACAATAGCGGGCCTAATACACTGCCCTGTGGTACCCCACTTGTGACAGGTACACCTGATGATTTCGTGCCATTAATCACCACACAATGCTTGCGGTCTTGGAGAAAGTCTCCAATCCACGCTAGGATGTTTCCCCGAATCCCATACCCTTCCAGTTTAATTTTCAGCCTTTCATGGGGTACACTGTCGAAAGCCTTGCCAAATCTAGGTATATATTATCGATATTTACCACCCTTGGCAAATCTAGGTACGGTATATATTGTCGATATTACCACCCTGTTCCAAAATTTGGGTCGAAATATCCAGTGCTTTGAGTAACTGTGTTAAGCAGGAGCGCCCCGCCATAAAACCGTGTTGGCAATCCTTTACAATGTCATTTCGTTGTAGATGTTCCCTCATGGCATCTCTTATAATGCTCTCAAATACTTTACTTACTATGCTGGTTAGGCTCACCGGTCTATAGTTATTTGTGGAGTGACGATCGCCCTTCTTGAAGATTGGACTCACATAAGCCACTTTCCAATCACTGGGGACCTTTTGCTCATCCAGGCATTTACAGAACAGGATCTTCAAGGGCTCAGCAAGCTCGATGCACAACTCTCTTAGCACTCTGGGATGCACCATGTCAGGGTCAGGACTCTTATGAACGTTTAGCTTTGACAGTTTATTTCTTATAACCTCTTCTGTGAACACAATGTAGGTCAGTGCTGTGTCAAACCGTCTGTCCTGGTCAGAATCTGCGGAACTACCATCTTCAAGCCTCAGGTCCGATACTCCTACTCGTTTTTTTAATTTCGACTTTGCATAGCGGTAAAACGCCTTTGGGTTTGACTTGACCTCGCTGGCAACCAGCCTCTGGAACTCCTTTTCAGCCCTTCTACACTCTACCTTTGCTTGGTTCCTGGCTCTAGCATACATCTCCTTGTCCTGCTCATCGTTTGACCTAACCCACGCCTTGATTTTCTGTGTTTTCTTCTTAACTTTGTTGACCACCGTATGGTTGATGTGAAGGGGTCTCCTTGTATTCCTAGAGGCACTGTGTTTGATCGTGGGTATATATTTATCGATCAAAACCTCCCAGCTGGGTGGGCTGCTGTGCTAGCCATGTTACCCTTCCCCCCACCCACAACTTCCTGGATCCGCCCCAGTACCAGTTGTTTATCCTCAGTTTACTTGTTGTTTACCCTCAGTTCACCTGTTGTTTATCCTCAGTTCACTTGTTGTCTTTCCACAGCTCATGATGGAGGCGTCCTCTGCTAACCTGTACGCCTCCTACGGGGATGTGGTAATCACCAAGGACACCTTCACCTTGCAGAGGCTCGGCACCTACCATGGCAACGCAGGTGACTTACAACTTTATTTCCCCCCATAAGTTCTCTGCTGTATGGGAAAAAATAAAGAAAAAACGATAAAAGATCAGAACAAGATTAGGCACCTCAGCTTATTTCACGTGATGAATTAACATCTTAAAGCTAACCTGACTTAACATAATGAAACCTAACCTAAACCAGCCTAACCTAACTTAACTTAATTCAACCTAATCAAAAAAATCTAATATAACTTAACCTAAGCTAACCTAACTTAACCTAACCTAACCCTAACCTAATCTAATTAATAAAATCCTACATAACCTCAAACAACCTAACATTACCTGACCTCCCTCCCCCTCCCCCCAGGTAGTGTTAGTGTGTTTGATCATCAGTTGAAATAAGCTGGGCAGGGGGGGGGGGCTAATCTTCCAGTCATCTATAAGAAATGGTAATTGACAGTGGCGGACTGGGTCAAAAATTTCTACCGGGAAAACTTGTAAAAGGGCCCACTCAAAAGGGTCCAAAAGGGCCCACTTAATCTCAAAACGCAGTCAAAGGAACCATCACTTTGGGGCCCACCGGGAAATTTCCCGGTATCCCGGTGGGCCAGTCCGCCACTGGTAATTGATGTAATATACTGAATAAACCAGTCTGTTTTGTATTGTGTCCATCCAACAATAAGGTAATTATGGTCTAATAGGTAATGCCGTAAAGTTACTTCTTTTCCTTTAAAGTATTTCTCATCTGTTAACTGTTTCATGGGGTATTTCTCCTTATGGTGACTTCTTGTTTATTTTTAACGGTATTTCTTGTTTTCCTTAAAGGTAATTCTCATCTATTCGTTATAGTAACTTATCTGTTCTTAAGGATAATTTTTATCCATCTTCAAAGCTAATTTATAATTTTCGTTTTTCTTTAAGAATAATTCTCATCTATTGTTAAAATCAAGTTTCATATATTTTTGGGGGTAGCTTTAGGTATTTTTAAAAGTAATGCAGTACCCAGCTATCTTTAAGGTTAATTCTCACTTCTCCTTAAAGGGTAATTCTCATCCATCCTGTCTTTAAATATACATGTATCCTTAATTGTAATTCTCATTTATCCTTAAAAAATAATACTCATTAATCCATAAAGGTAATTCCCATCTGCCCTTAAAGATAATTCCTATCGTTGCTTGCAGGTGATAATCTGGCAGACAGCATTGGCAAGAAATTTTGTGAGGGTGTTGGACCAAACGACACTGACCCTTGTTGGTGGGGCGGCGAAGATACCGGGCGTAACGTAGGTCAAACAGACTTACAGTAGGGCATGAAGTAGATCATACAGTCATACAGTAGGGCATAAAGTAGGTCATACAGGCATAAAGTGGGTTATACAGGCATACACTAAGTCATGCAGTTGGTCATGAAATCATACAGTCATGCAATAGGGTATACATTCATACAGTAAGGCATGCCAAGCAATAATCTCTATACAAATGTTTGCTTACGATACTAAGTTAGTTAAGGAAATTAAGAGTGAAACAGACTGTGAAGAGCTGCAGAAAGATCTCTGTGAGCTTCAAGAATAGTCGAAGAAATGGCTGCTAAGATTCAATGTCATGAAGTGCAAGAGGATGCACCTGGGTCGCAACGGGACGAAAAAACAGCATTAATTGATACCAAATGTGAAAAGGCCCTAGGTGTGTATGTCAACAATGAACTTAAGATCTCGGGCCATTGTGAGAAGAAGGCGAATCAAATAACAAAACTAGTAGGTCTTATAAGAAGGTCTTTTAAATATCTGGATGGTCCATCCATCGTCACGATCTTCAAGAGTGAGTGCCTTCCCCGTCTGGAGTACTGTCACCCCGTTTGGTCCCTAAGACATGCTAGAGACTCAACTGATTGAAAATGTCCAAAGAAGGGCCACCAGACTGGTGCCTGATTTACAGAACCTCAGTTACCCAGAGAGATTAGAATGCCGAAAACTGCCTAGCTTATGTTACAGACGGGCGAGGGGCGACCGAATTGAAGTGATAAACATCTCAGGGGGCGCTGCTTGGTCGAATGTACATACCTGAAGCTGACGGATGCCCACCCCACAAGGGGTCACAGCTCAAGGTTGAAGAAGCCATAATTCCAGAAAACTGTGAGGGTAAACTTTTTTCGGAATGAGAATAGTGAACTCTTGGAACAACCTGCCAGAGAGTGTTCTGACGGCACCAAGAATGAGCTCTTTTAAGGCCAGACTTGACCATCATTAGAGCAGGTTCCAATATATTCCGGAGCCAGTACATGCCCAGTACTTGCCAACAGTGCATAACAGAGTCGTGACTGACCGCACAAGCGGCTAACAAGCCGATCAGTGGCAAAGGGAATAAAAGTAAAAGTAAAATACAGTTAGACAGTAGGTCATACAGTCATACAGTTAGACAGTGCGTCATACAGTCGTACAGTAGGTCATACATTCATACGGTAGATCATGGTTATACAGCCATACTGTAGATCACAGTTATGCAGGTCACACAATTACAAAATAGGTACATAGTATACAATCACAGGCCAGACGGTAGTCATACAGTACAGTGATTCATATACTGTAGTAGGTTATACAGTAGATCATACAAACAGTCAAACAATAGGTCATTCAGCAGGTAAAACAGTGAATTATACAATAGGCCAATCAGTAGACTATGCATAGATCATAGAAGGGACCATACAACCACGGTTAGGTCATACTGTAGGTCATACAGTAATACAGTAGGTCATAGTCATACTGTAGGTTATACTGCCATTTAGCAGTCATACAGAAGGCCATAACTGTGGGTTATATATTATGCATAAGTCAAATAGTGGGTCAGATAGTATGTATTACAATACAACATACAGTAGGTCATATGGTGTAGGTTATGCAGTAGGTCCCATGGTGTAGGTTATGCAGTAGGTCCCATGGTGTAGGTTATGCAGTAGGTCCCATGGTGTAGGTTATGCAGTAGGTCCCATTCATTTGTCCATTGCATTGATGCATGTGTAAGTATTTTCACACACACACACACACACACACACACACACACTGGACTCGATAATCTAATTCCTGTTGATTTTTTCTTGTACAGAGCTTCCTGACAAGCGCTACACCCATCTGGGGAACAACGAATCTCATCTCTGTGACTGTGTGGGTCCGTCCAAAGTATTGCGACGAAGGTAATTTAACCAAATGATATGTCCTTAATAATTCGTAGGTAGCCCCAAGACATGACTATGGAGTATATAAATCAAAGTTTCTACAATTAAATATTAGTTTACCCTTTAGAATATAACTGCATCTTTTAATGTGGGTACAGTAATGCAGAGGGAACAGCATAAGAAGCTCCTGCAGGGCTTGAAGCAGAGAAAGGAAGAGTCGAGGACGAAAGGGGACGAGTGTACACGGGTGATATCCAGGGGGAGGGTTGTGGAAGCAAGAGCACCGACACAGAGGCAGGGAGCAGTGGTACACCCTCCACCCGCCCTTCATCCCACCCAGGAGGAGGCGAGCGCCGTGTAAACAATGACATTTCTAACCACCCTGCAAAATACAGTGTACTTAGCAAATGCTGCAGCTTCTGTGAATAGAAGGAGGCCGTAGTTACTAGCCGAGAGCAGAGACGTTACCGAGAACAAACTCAGGCTTGAATGTTGTGTACACTAATACTGACACGTTCCTTGATAAGAGAGAGCAGTTTGAAGCACTAATGAAGGTACACCAACCCGATATTTTAGGAGTTGTAGAACTGTTGTACAAGAACAGGGGAATCGACCCAGAGGAATGTGAGTTGAGTATTGCTGGATATGACTTATTTACGAATCTCTCTCAAGAAACTTGCAAAATGCGTGTGGTTATTTTTACTAGGAAAGGCCTTGGTGCCAGCCAGGCGAGGGTACAGGGAGATGATGTTTTTGAAGAATCCAAGTGGTGTAAAATTAAATTAAAGGGAGGGGACTTACTTGTTGTCGAGTGTATCTACAGATCCCCAAATTGTAGCTTACTAAACCAAAGGAACTTAAGAGCCTTAATAGACAACGCAGCGATGCTCAACCCTAGCCACTTCCTTATCATGGGGGACTTTAACTATGGCGACATCGACTGGAGAAGCGAGTTAACCCCAAATAACTTGAATAACCCCGCTACTCTTTTTGTAAAAACTTTGAGATATAACTTTCTGTTCCAACATGTTAAAGACCCGACGCATTACAGAGAGGAGCAAACACCCAAGCCACTGGACCTCATCATAACAAACGAGGAAGATATGGTGGCCAAACTGGAACATCTAGCCCCAGTTGGCACCAGCCACCATGTAATGTTTCCTTCAGATTTAATTTTTATTCATTTCATAACAAAAATAGGCCAAGGTGCAAATATTACAAGGGAATTTACAATGGGAAGAGGGAGGAGATGAGGGGTATCCACTGGCCTTACTCATTAAGGCATAAGAACGCAGACACTACGCTGAATATCATAGTTAGTCAAGTGAACCATTTGATCGATAAATATATACCCAAGACAAACCCAGTGCCTCTAGGAGTACAAGGAGACCCCTACACATGAACCATGCGGCAGTCGACAAAGTTAAGAAAAAAAACATAAATCCATTTCGTGAAGGAGTCTAGGGTGCCAGTGAGCCACTCCCCTGGTACCACTGTTCCCTACAAGTGTCCTGAAGATATGATGATGGCGGGAAGCTCTACAGTCCCAATGGCAATAGAGGGGGGGTTGTGACGTATGTGGCCTCCACCACCAGTGGAGGTCTTCCCTCATGGGACAGAAAGTTCCCTTGTGAATATAAGTACAGGGTACTGTACTTCCTTATGCCCGCCCCACAAGGGGTCACAGCTCAAGATTGAAGAGGCCACAAGTTCAGAAAACTGCGAGTGCAAACTTTTTGGAGTGGGACTTGACCAACACTGGAACAGGTTCAGATACATTCAGGAGCCAGTGCCTTCCCAGAACTACCAGCAGTGCGTAACAGAGGTGTGACCGACCAACCAAGCGACTAACGAGTCAATCAGTGGCGAAGAGGATAAAAGTAAAAGTAAAAATCTGACCGGTTTACAACTTTCTTAAAATTATCCTTTGCCCATCTAAATTTTAAACTAAGCAGTTGGGGTGTTCTAACCTATCATAGTATGAGAGGTCCTTAAATATAAACAACAGTTTAGCGGCCCCCATTGAATGTTCTTAATCAACTGGCAGTCTTTAGTACATCTTGGGGACCAAACCGAATGATGGTACTCCAAGTGGGGGAGCACTATACTAGTGAAGGGCCTTGGCGTGTGTAAGATCTTTAGATAAGCCCTGCTAGCTTATTTGCAGGATTCACCTTCATCTTATAATGATTCAAGAACTTCAGTTCGTTGTGAACATAAACAGGTCGTCTTTTGCATTTGGTTTCAGTTGGTGATGCTTCCTCATCTCGTTGGGATATGTAATATGCCGTTTTATTATTTGTATGGAGTGTATTCCTACGCCATTTTGATTTGTCATAAACATCTTCCCCGTACACTTTCACCTGACAGACTCTTAAGATCCATCCTGGCATAAAATAACCACACGCCTCTTACATGTTGCCTCCAAGAGTTTCGTAAATGAGTCATAGCCATAAATATCCGGTTGTATCCTCTTGTTCTTTTATAACTACAACTACTATATCATGTTGATAGATCTTTAATAAAGTTTAAAGATATGGAAATGAGTCTGGCCCCTTTACATTCTCAGCAGCAGCTATCTCTTTTACTCTCTTCACCATATTACTGTATTTGGGATGTGATCAGATGTATTTGTATATACACTGACTGCTTTCGCCAGAGCAAACGGCTGTGGGGTTGTGGGTTGAGTCATTAATCCCCCGTGCCCATCTCTTGGATTTTCCGTGGTTGCAATTGCTCACACTGTTTTCTCCTTACGTGTAACCCACCAATGACTGTTCCTGTTGTTCCTGGAATCCCCTCTCTTCTGCTACAAGCTCAAGAGTTCTTGTGCTCTTCTCTCTGCATTACTGTGTGATTTGGACTAATGAAAATATTCCGAAATGTTGGATTCAAGCACTTTAATAAGTGTTTTGCTTGTCGAATAATATCCCATTTTTCTCATTATCTACTGTTTGCTTTATTTACATAATGGCCACCCAAACTATTGGTGGCCATGCTGAGGGAAGGAGGCCAGTGACCTGTGTAGGATCCCTCCATTGTTGTTGATAGTTTTGTTTAGGGCTACTTTGAAGCCCAAGACTGTTCTTGATTCCACAGCTTGGGCTGATAGATTGTTCCATAAGTCTATCACAATATGGTCCTGAAGGAGTGTGGCTGATTTTTATTTTCTGCTTCTTCCCTAACATACCCATTTCATTGGAGCCAACTTTCATATTCAGACCTACTGCATAAAGAGTCTGAAAGTTCATTTTCTTGTGCGTATTCCTATTTTGAGCTTTAACTGACTGACTGTTAGGAACTCCAAACATGATAATATTTTTCTTGTGTTCGTGGCAATCCTGGAGTTTTTCTCCAATATCAGTACTGGCCATAACCTACCTTCTTGACATTCTTTTGCAGAGCCCTTAACTGTTCATTACCTATTCTAGTTATGTATCTCTCTCAGCTGCCTTTGTGTTCATGCCGCAACCTGAACGTAGCTTCTTCTGAAAATTTTTTATCTTATCAAATGTTTACTCAGCATTATTAAGGAAGTATTTTCAAGTTCCTTTAGTTTGTTAACCACCAAAGATCTTGTTAGGTCTGTGTGCAGATCTTAAATGATATGCAATAACCTAATTGGTATCGGTCACAAAGTCAGAACAATACCAGCGACATAATTTACAATTAGATACATTTATATACACATTCTGTACTTGCCGTCTTTACAAAATACCTTCTCATATTAATTGCATGCCAGCAAACCGCTTGTTGTCGTCCTTGGAGGTCCTGCACTCAGGACTTCACTTCTAAATACTTTACCTTCTGCTATGTACTGTGTATGAACTTTGCATAATTTTACTTGCACGATACGTAGTATGAACAATTGTCAGAGGGCACTAATGACAAGCTCAATGATGAGGTCACTCATGCTGCTGCTGGGGGTCGTGCGAAGGGATGCTTAGGGGACGTTGAAATCGAAACTTGAAGTTGTTCTCTGTGTTATCCCTGAGTTGATAATGCCAACTTATGTAATCTTTATCTTTATTCTGAGGAAGAGTTTCTTTGCTAATGGGATGTAACTTTGGGCAGGGGGAGCTGAGAAGCTTTTTGTCCCTTGTGATTATATAATACTAATTTAAAGTACGAGTAAGCCGTTTCTGTTTTGTGAAGTTATAATTTTTACCGGGTAATTTATGCTTCCACCACTTATCAATTTACTTCATGTTCAGGCTGTTGGTCTGTTCATTGTTAGTTTGTCTCCACGTTCCCTGTTGCTCCCTTAAAAGTTCACTGTTTTCTTCTCTTTTTTTTTCCTCAGTTACTGGGATCACTATGTGCTGCCTTAGGATATTTTATCACCACACTTTCTGATCTTTATTCCTGGATAATGGTTCAGTCACGGTCACAATCAGTTTTAGTTCTTCTATGTATCGTACTTTGTGGCACCAATTTTTCTGCTGGAAGCCTCTGTATTAGCCCCTGTCAAACAGACAGTAATACTTATATAAATGTGGGCTAGATACATTATGTTTATATAATTACATCACCCATGGTAACTAGCCTATGAGCAGTAAGTAGTCATAAACAGTACGTGACAGTGTTTTTCCACTCTTCAATCCGCACCTTGACTGCGTGGATCAGCAATTAGTAGCCGGCTTCTGGTAGTCTGTATCCCGTCTCTCAGCCTCGCAAGACGTGTGTTCATGAAGCTCGGTACACATACGCTTCATCCCTTATTAATGCTCACAGCTCATAGCATTAATTACTGTGATTTTTTAGTTATTGTGCAATAGTTTATTGTCTTAAAAAATGGAGAAAAGACCACTTGGGTTTGAGAACTTAACCCATAAACATTTATGAATGTTACTTCTAGTGCACCTTTAATACTGACTCTACAGGCTCTTCAGGTGTGATTACAACAGGTAAATGGAAGGTAACACCCCAAATATTGGTTGTGCTTCATTCCTACAAAGTTGATTTTCTTTATATACAAATTTCAGTAAAGTACAGCACCACTGTAACTCATTTGCTACACTAGAGAGACCTTGATGACTTAATGATTTCACTGATCAGTTTCAATCATTCTGTAAACCCCTGACTGTCACACATTTTTTTTTACTGAGACCCAACCACCTTAGATGGGGTGTATCACATGATGGTGGTCGTCGGCCAAGTAACTTAAGTTTTGACATCCTACAGTTCCTATCAGAGCTTCAGTGCTGAAGTGTAAAATTAAGTCACTGAGAGTTATTTGAGGAATTAATAACACGAAAGGCTCAAGACTGAGCCACGTTAGAGATTTTAGAATCTCGATAGAAACAACTACTGAAATATAGTTTATGAATATCTTGTGAATAAAGTAGCTCGGGGTATCAGTGAAATATCACATGAAAAAATTATGTTTATTTTATATACCAAAGTGTGGGATGTCTTAGGTTATATTTGAGTACCGTACTTATATCAGTTTGACTCATTAATATATAGGCCAGTGAGTGTCAATTGTGATAATTCTGACTCTTATTACAGTCCATTGTCCGGATGACTATGTGATGGCTGTAGGCGGAACCGTCTGCTTTTACTTCTCCGATGTACCGGCCACTAATCATATGGATGCTCTGGCACGGTAAGAGTTTACTTCAAAGAACACACACACACACACACACACACACATTCTCTCTCTTTCCTCGCAAGTGTTTTTCCACCTGCTAAGTGTTTTCCACTGCCAAATGCTGTCACCTGTCGAACTTTCTGCCACATGTTATAATATATTCTATTGACTTTCATATTTTGTGCTCCTGCCTGTCATACCAGTACAACGTTCTTCCATTCCCACCTGCCATGCTATCTCCGCCCTGCCATACCTTTTCTCACCTGTCATATGTTCTCTCACTATGCAATCTCTCCCGGTCAGCTGTGAAGAGATGGACTCCTCGCTGGCCTTCATTAGTAACGTCGACGATTTGAAGGAGTCAGATAATCAGAAGTTCTACTTGACGGGCCACATCCTCAGGTGGGTAATATTGCTGGGTCACAGTAGTGGGTTATAGTGGTAGGTCATAGTGGTGGGTAACAGTGGTTGGTTATAGTGGTGGGTCACAGTATTGGGTCATAGTGGTGGGTTATAGCGGTGAGTCACAGGAGTGGGTTATAGTGGTGAGTCACAGTGGTTGGTTATAGTAATGGGTCAAATTGGTGGGTCACAGTGGTGGGTTATAGTAGCGAGTCATAGTGGTGGGTCACAATGGTGGGTTATATTGCTTAGTTATAGTAATGGGTCCAATTGGTGGGTTATAGTAGTGAGTCATAGTGGTGGGTCACAATGGTGGGTCATAGTAATGAGTCATAGTGGTGGGTCATAGTAATGGGTCATAGTGGTGGGTCACAATGGTGGGTCATAGTAATGAGTCATAGTGGTGGGTCATAATGATAGGTTACAGTGGTGGGTTATATTGGTTGGTCATAGTGGTGGGCAGAGCATGCAGTTCAGTACTGTACGATTGATTTATCATAATTCGTACCAAAGGAAAAAGACAGTACCGTAATTTCGTACCGTACCTTAGATATACCTTCGTACCGTACTAGTGCGATAGATTATCGTACCTGATTTCGTACGCCCCCCCCCGACAAAATGTAGCCCAATTTAAGGTGTAACAAAACAAGAATAATTATATTATTAACTTTTTTTTTATTCTTAACTTAATGATATTTAATATTCTAACATATTGATATAAAAGTACATATTTTACTTAATATTTTGTCCCTAGCCCACAAAGACTCTGGAGTGAGAATGTGTGTGTGTGTCAAAGCCTGGCAGGGGCATCCCCCCTGAGGCAAAGTAATTTTGTGGGTCTCTCTGGTTCACTGAGTGTGGATGCATGTATAAAGGCTATCCTGCATTCCTCCTTCCATTTGGGGCAGGTCCAGCCGGCAGAGGAGTGTGGGCCGCCGCAGGCAGCGCACTTTTTCTCGGCGTTGGGACAGGAGGTGTAGCGGTGCCCGGAGGTACCACACAGGGAGCATACATCCTCCTGCACCTTGCACTTGTTGACGGTGTGTCCGCAGTTGTAGCATTTGAAGCAACGCTTTGGTCGGCAGTAGGGCGTGACTTGGACAGTTTACCAGGCCATTGAGTGTGGCCGGATCTGACCTGACCTCACCTCACGGCTTCGCTTGACCTGACTAGACTAGACTAAAGGCTAGTGACAGTGGGGAAGGAGGTTCAGTAGAAGTTTAGAGAGGATGGAAGGGAATTTTAGCGGGAGAGAACAGATGCCGTGGCTTAACACAGCTTGCGTGGTGTGGGGTTGTAGGTTTGAGGTAGCAGCAACTTGCCTGGATGAGGCAGGGAGGGGGCGGGACCATGAGTCAGGTGAATGTCAGGTCAAACGTCAGGTGCGTGTCAGGTTGGGCAATGGTTTCTCAGTACTTGGTCGGCTTGATTGGGTGTGGTGTTTTCTTGGTGTTGTTTGCTTGTTTGATGGAAATATCTTGGTCTTCTTGTTAGCTTGAAGTTGACGATCTTCTTTTCCTCCTCTTTTTGCTCTCTCGGACCGTCCTGACCTCACGGCTTCACCTGACCTGAAGCCTGGAGCACACCTGCATTGCCCCAAGCTATTATCCTGGTCATGTGACCAGCCAACATTTCAAGAGAGTGGCTTGGTTCGAAATGGTATGATAAAAGTACACCAAATTATTCATACTTCTGTACCGTAACGAACTTTGAAAAAAATATCGAACCATAATATCGAACTGAACTTTTATCACCCACATAACCGTACCATACCGTACCACATGCTCTGGTGGTGGGTCATAATGGTAGATTACTGTGGTGGGTCACAGTGGTGGATCATAGTGGTGGGTTGCAGTGGTGGGTTATAGTGATAGGTTACAGTGGTGGGTCACAGTGGTGGGTTATAGTGGTAGGTTACAGTGGAGGGTCATAGTGGTGGGTTATAGTGGTAGGTCATAAGAACATAAGAAAATAAGGAGTGCAATAGGCCAGTTGGCCTGTGCATGGCAGCTCCTGTCTAGAGTTACAACCACTCTCTATCATCCATGAATCTATCTAGCCTCCTTTTAAAACTTTCCAGCATTCCAGCACTTAATACAAAGTTACTAAGCTTGTTCCACTCGTCTACCACCCTATTTGTGAACCAGTTCCTTCCTGTCTCTCTCCTAAACCTAAACTTATCCAACTTAAATCCGTTGCTTCGAGTCCTATCCTGCTCAGATATAAGAACTTTATCTATATCTCCTTCATTGATTCCTTTCACCCACTTAAATACTTCTATCATATCTCCCCCCACTCTTCGTCTTTCTGGGGAATGCAAGTTTAGTTTCTTTAATCTATCTTGATATGGAAGGTTTCTAAGTCCCTGAATAATTTTCGTCATTCTTCGCTGCTCCAACTCCAGTGAATTGATATCCATTCTATAATAAGAGCACCAGAACTGAACAGCATAATCGAGGTGCGGCCTGACTAGCGCAAGATATAGTTGCAATAGTGGTGGGTCATAATGGTAGGTTACAGTAGTGGGTCATAGTGATAGGTTACAGTGGTGGGTCATAGTGGTGCATCACAGTAGTGGGTCATGTGTTGGGTCTGTGTGGTGGGTTACAGAGTTGGGTCAATGTGGTGGATCATTTTTGGATGAGGGTGTTAAATCAGTGATGTGGCGGATCATTGGTGGATATGAGTAGTGGATCATCATAATGAGTCACTGGTGGATCACATTGAGGGATTAGTGGCGGTTCATAGCAGTGGATCACAATAGTGGTTCACAGCAAGTGTCCATTGTAGAGTGTCAGTATTGGGCCTTCGGTGGATTAGTGTAGATGTTGGATTAGTGGTGGATTACTGCGATGGCTTATTCTGGTTTTGTCTTATGGTGGAAATTATAGAAAATAAAGATTATATAATTTTTAACACGGTAACCAGTGTGATAAACAAAATTATTTTTATATATTTAGTGGTGCAGACTGTAATAAGTTAAACCAGTTCTGTTTATTACTTCATCAACAGAGATCAACAGTAAAAGGTTACATAGAAAGAACCACATACTTTAGCTCACATCCTCAACATACATAGTACACAAAGTCAATCTCCAACCTCCACATAACCTCTCAATGCCTCATAAGATTACACCGTGCACATTGAAATGTTGTGTTCGTTCATGTTGACTAGGATACAAAACAATTTTATTAAAGATTATTTTCTTTCCTCAGGAGGGACGGAGACGTTTACCCATCCATCATTGGATCTTTTAGCGACCATAACTTTGCCTGTAATGACGACAGATGTCCAGTAAGTCAACTGTTGCTTTACACACACATACACACACACACACACACACACACACACACACACACACACACACACACACACACACACACACACACATACACACACACACACACACACACACACACACACACACACTTACTTGCCCACCTGCCTTGTTACCACTTTATAGGGCCAACCCTAACATTTGTATTAATTGGGTTGTCTTTCTTCAACAAACAAATGAGTACTGCTTGTCAACATATATATTAACTGTTACCTCCATATAAGACATGAGTGATTCTTCCTCTTTTTCTGTGTTAGCTGTTACCTTCCACACAACACATAACTGATACTTGCTCACCAGTTAAGGATTACACACCAGTATTGACTCACAAATCTTTCACTTTACTTTATCCTCTTTCCCCGTGGTCAGCTCATTAGCCGTTTAGGCAGTCGGTAAGGTCTCTGCTATGTACTGTTGGTAAGTACTGGGCATGCACAGTATGGGCTCTTGAATGTATACCTGAACATTACTATATATGTGCCAGTGTCTGTCAGGTTTGGTCTTAAAATAACTCACAATTGTTGTTTTCAAGGTATGCTATCGAATGCCTTGGCAAAGTGAAGGCACAATATATTTTGTCAATTTTGCCACTATGCTCCAGGAAGTGTCCACATATGTCCACAAAGCTAGCACTTAAAGCAACTGTGTGAAGCAGGAGCACCCGGGTGTAAACCCGTGCTAGCATTCATTCCTTCATGATGTTATTCCGTTGCAGATGATGCATCATGGCACTGCGTACAGTAGGGTATAATACTCTCAAGCATGTTACACAATCTGTTGGTCAAATTCACCGGCCTGTAATTGTTCATGAAGCAGTGATCATCTTTTTTTGAGTATGGACTCACATATGCCAATTCCAGGCATTTGGGGATCTTTTGTTCATCCATACTTCTGCAGAATAAGATTTTATGCGATTCTGAAAGTTCATTATACAACTTTCTGAACACTTACGATGCACACTATTATGGTCAGGGCTCTTATTAACTTTGAGCTTAGATGATATCGTTCTAATAAATTCTTCTGAAAGCTCAAAATGTGCTAGTGCTGTAGTGAAATGTTTTTCTTCAAAAGCAGGTAGTTTGTTTGCAACCTCTTGTAAACACAAAAAAATACTTTAAATTATTTAATGCCTCCCCCTTGTCCTGGTCTGAGAACTCCTAGCTACCATCTTCAAGTCTCAAATCTGATACGCCTATACGTGTACTGTACTTAATGAAATTTTTGGGAAACGATAAAAACACTTGGAGTTTGACTAGGCCTCGATTGCAATATACAGTACCTCTGGAATTCCCTTTATGTCATTCTACCCTCTAATTTGACTTAGCTTCTGAACCTAGCATACATCTTTCTGTCCTGCTCATCATTGATAGCAGCCAAGTACAGTAGCAACCCATCTCTCGGAGCTTAGATATTTTCTTAACTTTGTCAAGGGCCACATGGTTCATAAACTTTCATACATGGACTCCTAATTGTCCTAACTAACAATCTTGGTGCTCGTCATGTATGAGGTAACAGTTAAATCTGAAGGTCAGTGTCACATCATTGATAGCTAGTGCCAGTGGGGGCTAAATTTTTCAACTTGACAACCATACCCTTGTCAGTTATGATGAGATGCAGTTATTTTGCTGGCTGTTCACTTCTGTAGTGAGTTAGATCTTTCATATGAAGGGAATTGTTTCTTAGTGCTTCAGAAAGAGTTGCAATGTTATTAAGATTATTCGGTGTACTCTCATTGCTCCAATCATTATAATTGTTGTACCCTATTACAAGGAGCTGCCCCGAGTTGAGCCACACACACACACATATATACAGTACGAGTATATATATATATATATATATATATATATATATATATATATATATATATATATATATATATATATATATATATATATATATATATATATATATATGTGTGTGTGTGTGTGTGTGTATGTATATATAGTAAAAGTAAGTGAGATGAAGTCCCTAGGGATAGTAGGTGTCCACCATATTCAAGTCAGTATGTAGCTACTCAACTCTTTTGCCTGATCAAAAATTTTCTTAATGACAAAATTATCCAACTTGCACATACCATTACTCAATCTTAGCTTATTTTAATCTCCCCCATACTGTACTCATAAAAATCGATATACAATACCAAAATTTTTTCCATCAAAGGACCTACGAAACAGAATTGCCTAGGGCCTACAAGGACCTTAATCCAGCCCTCAGAAAATGCTTGAATGAATAAAAAATAAAGAATAACAAATACTCACTAATTTTAACCATGTTACAGACGAAGAAACGAGAAATGTGTGTATTATTGCGTGATGGAGGTTTCTACAGTGAAGCATGGTGTAACTTGGACTCACGATACTTCGCCTGTCAGATGCCAGGTAAGTTGTGAGAGGTCAGGAGAGTTGTGGGAGGCCACGTAAGCTGTGAGAGGTCAGGGGAGTTGTGGGAGGCTGGGTAAGTTGTGAGAGGCTAGGGGAGTTGTGGGAGTCCTGGTAAATTTTGAGAGGCCAGGAGAGTTGCGGGAGGACAGGTAAGTTGTGAGAGGCCAGAGGAGTTATGGGAGGCCAGGTAAGTTATGAGAGGCTAGGAAAATTATGGAAGGCCGGGCCTGGTATTATTATTTGATCTTAATGCTACATTATGTTAAATATAAATTTAGGTTCAGATAATTCATGCAAAATTATGATAGCCAAAATTTCTGGAAATTTCACTTTTGGTGGAAAAGAAACATCAATGCCCATGATGTCTCTTTTCTACCCCCTGATTCAAGGGGCCATAAGATACTGTACTATACGAACCTCAAAACAGTTGCTCATCACTTGGAAGTAAAGAAAGTTGAATAGGAATTGAATTTTAATTTTGGTTTTTGCTATAACTTATAAATGTTGATATTATTTTGCCAAGTTTTACTGTGATGTGCAAATTTACGTTTTAAGCCTTATCGGAATGGGTCTTTACTTAATTATTATTATATTCATACTATTTAACTTTGTTTCATTATCATTATTATCAGGAAGTAGTTACAGTTTTTTTTTTTTTTTTTTTTTTTAAACAGAGGGGGACGACACCCCTTGTTTTACATATTACAGAGTTTGTTGGCTTACTAAGCTAACCTAGGATTTAGAATGAGGTTGCACAATGGTTATTTTAGTAGACAATGACTAGATTGATTTTACAATTACAAGTTTATTGTATTAACATCTTATACTGTATTACGTTATGGACTCATTTGATTGTGACTTGTTAAATGTGAATTTATATCATCTAAGTTTTAATCTAAGGTGGATCACTGTGGCGGACATAGATGGATCGCGGGTTGGATTGTTGTAGTGCGGGCAGACTCCGGGGCCACCAGGCGTGGGGTCTCCCTCCGTTGATGTCTTCCCCGCGTAGGTGGCCTGGGCTGTGAGGGTCGTCCAGGAGCTTGTCCCAAACCTTCTTCCCTAGGCGATGGAACCTGAAGTTGAGGGCCTCTTGTTTTATTTCTTAGGTGGATGGTTCCACTGTCTCCTGGTAGGGTGACGCTTGGCCACTGGCTGACCTGAAACACTTGTTTTGGAAGCTCTGTAGTTGTTGTAGTCTAGTCTTCCCGATTGTGACGAGTGGTATAGATGGGTACTCTAACACAGGCCTCACCAGCGCCTTGTACAGGTGAACTTGTATCTTCTCAGGCATCAATTTAAAACGTTTTAATTTGGCTGCGGTGACTTTGGCTTTATTTAGTCTGTCCTTCACGTAGGGAATGAAGGACAGACTAAATAAAGCCAAAGTCGCCGCAGCCAAATTAAAACGTTTTAAAGTTACAGGTACAGTATGTGGTCGAAGCCTTAGCACTGGTGTGCCAGGAATTAGAGCTATCAATGCTTTTCCTGTCATATTGGCATTTGCTTTAAACCTGCCTATGATGCCTTTTATTTTCATATTTGAGTTGTGTACACAGGAAGAGCCTTCTTTGCTCCTGTAATGCATTAATGGTACAACATTCAGGTCAAAACTGTTTCGGTTTAGGCAGCCTAGGGAAGGTTACCGGACTTTTTTGACCAACTGTACTCTTGACTTTTAAAAAGTTGTTAGAACTACATCCAGGATTGGACGATGAATGTTTCATGGTGGATTTTGAACAGTCTTATATCAATTGCTTCTTATCAACCTTTCCAATGCTTCTGTTTCATCGTGTGATTTGTGTCTGTTTCACCTTTCTCAGACTATTTATCATAAAATAGTTGAGAAGGTTTGAAAGATAAATATCATCAAGATATGAGATTACAGTAGCTTCAAGGTAAGATGCTATTCATCTCTTGCATTTCTTCAAATCGATGATGTAATTGATGGTTTCGAGGAGTTTGTCGATGATGATGATCTCCCTCAATAACTTGTGTCTTAATGTTCTATACTGGATATGAAAGAGGTCGAGCTAATCAAAGACCAAGAATTATTCAACACTTCCTACTGACACCTAGAATTTCCATAACAGAACAGAGCAAGATATGCCTCATACCAATGACAGTTTGGAAGGTTACCATAATGCATTTCAGAGCTCGGCGTCATACTACTGTACATACATCCCAATGTGGAACTTAATTTCAACTTTGAAAAAGAGGAATGTTTGCACAACTGAAGACAGGTCAGTTTTATCAGGGTGACAACAACAAGAATTATAAAGATGTGAATAATTGGCTGCAGGGCCATCTTAATAAATATTATTTAGATTAGGGGTTCTAAACCACAGGTTCACTGGTCCATACCGGGGCTCAAAAATTGTTGAGAGGAAAACTGAAATTTTGATAGCTTAGTAATAAAAACCCCGTGTGTGTGTGTATATATATATATATATATATATATATATATATATATATATATATATATATATATATATATATATATATATATATATATATATATATATATATATATATATATATATATATATATATATATATATATATATATATATATATATATATATATATATATATATATATATATACAGTGGAGTATGCTATAACGAATGGATACTACTACGAATATTCCTATAACGAACGGTTTTACCTATAAAATTGAGAATGCTTTAACGAACGAAACTCCTACAACGAACATTATTATTATTTTTTTTATTTTTACTAATTTATTGGTTTTTTTATTACAAGTATTAATGATATTCTTTATTTCAGGGGCTTAGATGCATATTTATGCACTTTTTTACAATTTTTACAATTTTATATTAAATTTTTCAGTGTAAAGTGGTTGTATTTGGGGGCCTGGAACGGATTAATCCTATAACGAACAAATGCTCTTGAACAAGATTCTAAAACAATTAGATTCGTTATAGCATACTTACTATATATATATATATATATATATATATATATATATATATATATATATATATATATATATATATATATATATATATATATATATATATATATATATATATATATATATATATATATATATATATATATATATATATATATATATATATATATATATATATATATATATATATATATATATATATATATATATATATATATATACCTGTATATATATATATATAACACTTGAAATGCAATATTGTTGTTGCAAAAAAGCTGCACTGTGCATTTAATTCTAACCCAAATCTGTTAATTATCCCCCCAACCACACCACATACACACTTACCGGTCTCCAAAAATATTGGAAGTACAGTACAGTAGACTGTACGCTCCGGTCCGCAGTGAAAAAAAGGTTGGGGACCCGTGATATGAATAGCAAAATTATATTGCATAGTTTTTAATATTTTTTGATAATTGTCAGTTTTAAAGTTGATACTTTTTAAAAATAAAATTTCACTTTTAACATTGATTATCATTTTTTAAAGTAAATATTACAGCACTTTTAATGTTTACTTTCTTTTAAGCAAATGTCATTTTAATTTTTTTTCTTTTTTACCATAATAGTAGATTATTCCAGGAAGTGATTTTACCAGGAGTGAAATGGATGGCGGAATGAATATTAATCAAAGTACCGTCCTCATATCTGAGGGTTGGGGACCACAGTTTCCCACTCTAACGTTTTTAAACTGTTATTACCTATCCCCCAAGGTTTTGTATTCCTCTTGGGACCCAGTTTTACATTTTATTCATTTAAGGAGGGCCAGTGGTAGAAGCGGTACCGCTCTTGCCTTGCAAGCAAGATGTCACGGGTTCGATTCCCGGGCCGGTGGAAGTTGTTTGAACATACTTCCTAGCCGCCATTAGTCCCTGTTCACCTAGCAGTAAAGTAGGTACCTGGTGTAAGTCGAAAGTTGCGAATTTGTATTCAGGGAGTTGTTGGAGCTTCCAATAACTTGATGACATAAAACCATTGACTCTTCAGGCTTCTACGCCCTTGATTCCTCAGGCTTCTATGCCCTTAACTCATGAGACATAAAGGCAAGCATGAACTTAGCATGCTTCCCTGTAAGGCGCTGTAAACGCTTCTGCGCTTCACCTTACACAAGGATGTAGGGGGGTGCTCAATAAATAAAAAAAAATAAAAAAAATATTCATTCGTCCCAAGTCTGTCTACCGCTGGCCCTCCTACTCTCAACTTTGTCCATTAATATTTCTGTTATTATCCCCTCATCCCTAATAATATGACCAAATTATCAAATTTTTCTTTTTCTGTGAGTTTCAAGTATTTATCTTGAAGTTCTTTAATTGTTTTCCTGTCAATATAACTTATTTTTCACATTCGCTTGTAACGCCACATTTAAAAAGCCTATAACCCTTTCTGGTGTCTGCTGAAGAGTCCACACTTCTGACTTATACATCAGTTCTGACTACTGTATTGCCTTTCAGCAGCATTTTTCTCAAATTTTAATTAATTTTCTCTTTTTATTAGGTCTTTTATATTATTAAATGCTATACCAGTGTAAAAATACTGGGAGTCAAGTTGCCAGGAGTGATTTTCCCAGAACCCAATTATTTTTTCTCAATGTATCACTTGTATGATATGACTCTTTGAAAGTGTTTAGTGATATTTTTCATGTGTTATCTACTGTTTTGAATTAAAAAGAAGAAAATAAACTAAATTCCCATTAAGATAACGCTATTTAGGCAGCTCAGAGTTAAGGTTAACTCATGGTAGATTCTTTGAGGTCTGACTTTGAATTGGTTAAATTTAGGGTAGGTTAAAGTTTGATCATGATTTGTTACAATCAGATTTGATTAAGATTGGTTAAAGTTAGGTTTAGGATGGTTTCTTTAAGTTAGGTTAAAGTGTGGTTTCGATAGGTTAAGGGTAGCTTGCTCGCAGAGAAAAAATGGACTTTAAAGCAAATAAGAGTACCAAAATGGCAGGCAAAGCAAACCCAGAGATTTCCAAGTGTTAATGACTGCTTTCATTCTTGTAGCCATCATTACTATAGCTTATTCTGGCTTTCCTATTTATTTTTTATCCTATGGCTAATGCATGTGTGTTGGTCAGTGATGTGCCCTCCTGACTACACGGCCCACAAGTCTCGTTGTTACAAGGTCATGGAGATGTCTAACTCCACCTTCCTGAATGCTCTGGACTCCTGTAACTTTGATGGTGCAGCTTTGGCCTACCCTCAGGACGAAAACATTTTTAACTTCATAACCCAGCTAGTCAAGGTGAAGTACTTGCAGGTGTCTTTTGTTCCGTAAACTCACGTGCAATTTTTTTAACAAAGTTAATACGGCAGTCCAGCTCCCATTTTAGAGCCGAAACTGCTATGTCGTAGTGTATGATGTGTTCAGGTCTCTTTCCAGGAGTCCCTGTACATTGTGGGCTGGCCTGTTCAGTCATACTTCAGATAAGCATCAATATTTTGTTCTCTTGTACAGTATTAAATTGTTGTTGATTATCCATATTTGATCATTATTTTTGAAATACAGTTCTCAAAAATTTTCAACAGTTCTCAATTATTCTTCAATCATTTTTGTTTTCTTGGTAATAGCTGTAATTTACAGCACTTGATAACCTTAAATAATCCATAAGCATGTTGAGATTACCATGTTGATATACAGTAGATATTTGTTAGTTATTTAATAACCAATATCTTTATTAATTTAAATTTCATTAAAACCTCTTATTCATCCATGAATAGTTTCAGGTTTAAAAAAAATGGTAATTTGCTAAATACCTGCAAATTATATGCAATTACTTATGACTACTAATAACAGTCTGTATGTGGTAGTTTGTCAAATAACAAGTAAACAGTCCTAAGATAATTAAGATTCATAATTGTTCATGTGGTAATGCTTTCTATTTTTAAAGTTTAACCCCTTGAAAATGATACCAGCTCCCCTAGTACAGTACACTGACTTAGTCCATTTAAAAAGGTGAACAATTCTTTATGTAAGATGACATTGTGTTCTGGATAAATTCATCTTACTCAAAGTATAAATAGTAATAATTATAATGATAATTCTGTATTAGTATTACAATATTATAATTATGTTATCATTATTATTATTACAATTAATTATTATTATTATTGTTGTTATTATTATTATTATTATTATTATTATTATTATTATTATTATTATTATTACAATTAATTATTATCATTATTGTTGTTGTTATTATTATTATTATTATTATTATTATTATTATTATTATTATTATTATTACAATTAATTATTATCATTATTGTTGTTGTTATTATTATTATTATTATTATTATTATTATTATTATTATTATTATTCTATATAACAGTTATTTGGATTCCTTTTACTCATCGACACAGATGCAAGTGAATTCATCCCTCGGTGGTACAGTCAACCTAGCCCTAGGCTACAACACTGTGTAAGTGAGACCTGGTAAAAATATGTTGTCTTACTCACCTTGAAGCTTCTGCCTTAACAAACCTTCCACAAATTCTCAAAATTCCCAAGTCTTATAAACCATCAATGTCTTACATACCATCACATACCATCAAAGTCTTATACACACCATCATAAACATTTAAGAAATTAGGCCGAGCTTATATATGAGGCATGCTGATTACATTGCTTGGAGTATTTGACTGGGTTTCAGTAATTTTTTGGTATAGTATATTTCTTTTCATGTCTAGGTTAAAGCACCAATTTGATAATACTATACAGTACATTTATCACCTGAAAGTTATTGTACCTGTTCTTATCCCTAATTGACTAGGTTAAGTGGTTTTAGATACATTTATGTTAATTTCTAGTTCTAGACACCAACTTCTTAACACTGGGAATTACTATTCCTATTCCTTATTCTTAAAAATGTATTTGTATTTATATATATTTTTAAGTTATAAATCACTAGAGGTGTTGTTAATAGTGACCTATGCCACAGGTGGGAAAACATGACGATAGATAACATGTACACATCCGTGACAACAGAGGTGAACACTCTGATGAACAGTGTGACGCGCACCCCAGGCTATGACTACACCTTCCTCAACTTGCAACTGGATAGTCTAAATTGGAATCTGATCCAGGCCAGTGATGCAGACACCACCTCCTATGCCATCTGTGAATTTAGGGGCCCCCTTGGTAAGTTCCCTGACACATGCTAGAAAGAGGTGTTTAGGCCTTACTCAGTAATCTCCGTAACTTTTGGGGTCCACTTGGTAACTCCCTGAGAGAGTTGTCTCTTAGTAGACAGTATTACAATACTGTATAAATGATTTCATGGCCCTGTGATATTTTAATTTTGACACTTGTTCACACACACACACACACACACACAGTCTGAATAATCCGCAGATGCTGCAGGTGTGGAGGACTACATCTAGTGTGGGAGGGGCAGCCGCAGTGCCATTAGTTAGATCTTGTCCACCTCAGCATTTAGTTGAGCTAACTCGAAGGTTTTAGCACCTTCTTGTCTGGTGCTTTTCTAAATGTTACAGTGCACAGTGATCGGCTACCATGTGCAGAAGACAATTTTACTTAAGACTATCTTTGTACCTTTTCGTTACCCGACAGCATTCCATTTGCCATCTTTTAGGTGACTGTAGAGTAGCTGCTTTTGTAGTCTGCTTTCATCCATGCAGGTAATGTGGCCGGTGTTTTTTTTTTTTTTTTTTACGGGGATTAGCCCACCCGGACACAGGTCACTGACCCACATCGGGGCCTGGGGGGCGAAAATGTAATAATAATAATAATAATAATAATAATAATAGTCATAATAATTCATAATAAATAAAATTTATGATAAAACAAACAAAAATAAAATAATAAAATAATGATGATAATAATACAGTAACTGTAATAATAATAATAATTTTAATAATAAAGAACTATAAATACAAAAATGAAAAAAGATCAAAAGTGAGAAATGATATATGTATGTTGTGTGTCAATGGTAAGAGAAACAATTGAGACCCTGCAATTGTGTGTAAATGAAGCAGAAAGTCAGATCAGCAACCTGGGACTTGGTCACAATTTTCGTGATGCCATATGGCAGCAGGGTCTACCATTACACAACACATTATGCTTCCAATATCTTCCCAGGCAGTAGTACCTCCCTGTTTGGTAGCTGCCTACTTCCTACTACCTACTAGCATAGTTGGTCTTGGGTAATGTCACCCTTGGTGCTCCTATAGTTGGTGTCGGCAAGAATACTGGCATTTGTCTTCGTGTCTTTCCAGCTAACTTGGAGGGTGGAACCTAGACTATGTTGGAGAAAATTTTCATGTGCCTTGAAATGTCTCTTGTATGTGGCCCATGTCTCGTTACCATACAACAAGTTGGGGAGGACCTCCACTTGATTTGCAGCCTTATACTCGTATATACTTTCATCTCCTTACAGCTGAAGACAAGGTTATGCAGTTCTGCAGTGAAGGTGTGGGCTGGGAGAGGATCTTTGTCTTACGTGGTACAGCGGTAACGCTCATAACTCTCACCAATATGTCAAGGGTTCGAGCCTCGGCCCGGACACACGTGAGAAGGGTGTTATTCAGTGTGACCCTACCAAACACCACAGGTTTACCTGTCCCCGGTTTCCTCCTGTGCTAACACTGGATAAACCACCAAAACGGCTAGCAAGCTGATCAGTGGCGAATATGATAAAAAATAAATAAATATAAAAATATGGTGCTCATGATATCCTGTAGGTCGTATTCGGTGTTAGTAATGAGGGGGAAGTCCTCTGCAAATTGAAGTTCAGTGATGGAAGTGGCCAACACCTTTGTCCTTACCTAAAGATGTCTTGTGTTGAAAATTCCCTTCATCAGGTATTGGAAGTCCATCCCACCAGCAAGATTGGCACGGGCAAGGAAAGCAGCCAAGAAAATGGAAAAGAGATTTGGATGTTAGGATGAGAAAGAACTCCTACTGCATGCCATTATGTAGGATGCTGCTCATGCCATCATGAAGTTGTCTCACTGTAGTGAGTCAAAAACCTTAGTAAGGTCATTGAAGGCCATGTCCAGGTCACAGCTCTGTTCTCTGTATTTCTTCTGTATGTAGTGGGCAGCAAGGACTATGTCAGTGGTATCGCAAGGAGGTTTAAAATCACATTGTGTCTCTGGGTGGAGATTTTCCTCCTCAGTCAGGATCTGTTTAGGAGGACTTGAGCAACAATCTTGCCATCTAAGGTCTTAGAGGATTTCCTCCTGCTCTCAAATATTCTCCTGGAGAGAGTGAAGATGTTTGATCAGTGGGGCGTCCTGCTTTTTATACCTCAGCTAGGATTCTATCAGGTCCTGTGGCTTTTTTTTTTCTTTTATCCTCTTCACCACTGATCGGCTTGTTAGCCGCTTGGGCGATCGGTCACGTCTCTGATTACTTTTCCTTTTCTTTTATCCTCTTCATCAAAAGATCGGCTCGTTTGCTGCATGGGCGATCGGTCATGTCTCTGATACACACTGTTGGCAAGTACTGAGCATGCACCTGCTCCTGAATGTACCTGAACCCGCTCCAGTGTTGGTCAAGTCTGGTCTTGAAAGAGCTCACACTCGGTGCCGTCACAACACTTTCTGGTAGATTGTTCCAAGCGTTCACAACTCTCACTCCGAAAAAGTTTGCCCTCACAGTTTTCTGGACTTGCGGCTTCTTCAATCTTGATCTGTGACCCCTTGTGGGACGAGCGTCTGCCATCTCCAAGTAAGGACACTTGACTGAGTAGTGCCCCCTGAGATGCTTATACACCTCAATTAGGTCACCCCTTGCCCGTCTCTAGTATAAGCTAGGCAAGTTCAGGCGCTCCACTCTCTCAGGGTAGCTGAGGTGCCGATGGGCAGGCACCAGTCTGGTGGCCCTCCTTTGAACATTTTCAAGCAACTGACAGTCCCGAGCATATCTCGGGGACCAGACGGGGTGACAGCACTTCACTCTTGAAGATCGTTACGGCCCAGGTGCATCCTCTTACACTTCATGACATTGAATCTCAGCAGCCATTTCTTCGACCATTCTTGGGGCTCACAGAGATCCTCCTGGAGCTCTTCACAGCCTGCTTGGTTCTTAATTTCCCGAAGTAACTTGGCGTCGTCGGCAAACATTTGTATGGAGGAGTGTACAACGTCAGGCATGTCATTTATGAAACAAACAAACAACAGCGGGCCCAATACACTGCCCTGTGGCACCCCACTTGTGACAGGTACGGACGATGATTTCGTGCCATTAATCACCATACACTGCTTGCGGTCATGTAGAAAGTCTTCTATCCACGCTAGGACATTTCCCCAAATTCCGTACACTTCCAGTTTGATTTTCAGCCTTTCGTGGGGTACCCTGTCGAAAGCCTTAGCAAAATCTAGGTAAATATTGTCGCCAGTTGTCAATGTACAGTAAGTTACATTGACAACTGGCAACTTTTGCTTACCTAAGGTGGCATAGTGGTGGGTTGAGGAGGGAGGCTACAGAAGCAGAGGCAAGAGTATGGGTGAGTCAGTGGTTGAGGGCAGGGGGGAGGAGGGGGGTGAGGTGAGGCATTGACCAGCCAGAGGGAGATTACTGACCCAGACGTTGTTATCAGTCACACAGAGGGAGTTTAAGTTTTTAGTTTATAAAATGTCTATGAATTGACTTGGGAGAATATAACTTACATTGCTGGAATTCTTTTTAGATATTGATTAAATTGGCTATAAATATACTATAGTTTGCACTAGACATAAAAATTGTAGTAATTATCTAGTACATTTGAGTACAGTACCATTTTGCCCTTAGGACAATTATATCTTTTACTTTTCTCACAATATGTATTTAGGATGGTGTGTGCATGTAAATGAGCAAAAATAAATGAAGATAGTTACTTATATCTACCCAAAAATACGAGTTGAAAAACATTTACTGAAATGTACTACACTATAAAACTAAAATATTTATCGCTTGTGCAAAATATATGATGTATATATTCAAATTATTTGCTGTCTTGCAAGGATTCCAGTAATGCAACTTATATTCTGCTAACTTTAGTTGTGCCATTTTATAAGAAAAACTTTAAGCCTAAAACCACCTTCACCCTGGCTGGTAGGATGTAGGAGGTGAGGCTCTTTGACAGACGGCAGCGGATTAGCTAATGCGTTAGCTATTCTCTGAATCTTAAAACGCTTTACAATAAATGCCTTTATTGTGTATTTATCAGTCATACAGAGGGAGTTTAAGTTTTTCGCTGATAAAATGTTAATGAATTGACTTGAGAGAATATAACTTACATTGCTGGAATTCTTGTAAGATAGTGATTAAATTGAATATAAATATGCTATAGTTTGCAGAAGACAAATTTTTAGTAATTATTTAGTACATTTGAGTACAGTACAGGTTTGCCAATTATTTCTTTTACTTTTCTCACAATATGTATTTAGGATGGTGTGTGCATTTAAATTAGTAAAAATATATGAAGAAAGTTACATATATCTACCCAAAAATATGAGTTGAAAAACGTGTACTTAAATGTACTATTGTACACTATAGGACTAATTTTTTTTATCTCTTGTGCAAAATATATGATGTATATATTCAAATTATTCGCTGTCTTGCAAGGATTTCAGCAATGCAAGTTATATTCTTCTGAGACACAACTGACGCCTCACACCTGCGTGGGTCAAGCTTTGGCCGCATCTGGTAATGTTCGGTGTCACTCTGGGTATGTCACATTTTTAATAAATTTGCTTCTGATTATTTGTGACAGTATATTCCCCTTATTATTTGTTTGTATTTGTTTTGTGTTTGTGTGTCTACACACACACGTACATATATACAGTACAGTACAGGTAAAAGAAATAATTTCGCGATTCACGGTCATTTTGAGAACCTAACCCCAGCGAATTTGGGGCCCCCTGTACTAAAAAAGAAAAACCTTGAAAGAGTGAAACTTAACATTATATTGCACATGCACCTGCATATAAACAAATACAGGTGAATGGAAGGAAAAACATAAATTATACATCATTAGTAACTGTGCTTCTCTATTGACAGGATGTTGGAATGATATCCCAACTCCTCTAAACATGTCGGTCACCTATTCACTGAATGCCAATAGGATAAACCAGAAAGTTACATACACGTAAGTAAGATCTACACTAGCATTACCTTCACCTAAGTAAGATCTACAATAGCATTACCTTCATTTAAGTAAGATCTACACCAGAGTTACCTTCACCTAAGTAAGATCTACACTAGAATTACCTTCACCTAAGTAAGATCTACATCAGAGTTACCTTCACCTAAGTAAGATCTACAATAGCATTACCTTCACTTAAGTAAGATCTACACCAGAGTTACCTTCACCTAAGTAAGATCTACATCAAAGTTACCTTCACCTAAGTAAGATCTACAGCAGAGTTACCTTCACCTAAGTAAGATCTACACTAGAATTACCTTCACCTAAGTAAGATCTACATCAGAGTTACCTTCACCTAAGTAAGATCTACAATAGCATTACCTTCACCTAAGTAAGATCTATACTAGAATTACCTTCACCTAAGTAAGATCTACACCAGAGTTACCTTCACCTAAGTAAGATCTACAGCAGAGTTACCTTCACCTAAGTAAGATCTACACTAGAATTACCTTCACCTAAGTAAGATTTACACCAGAAAGGTACCGAACTATTAGCCTTTCTTTGATAATCAAATCCAGTAAATTATTAATTAGAAAATTTTTAATCATAATACTGTACAGTATATGTTTTCAGTAGTGCTATATACGAGCTTTCATCAGCAACAAGATTCAAAGGAGTTGACTGAGGTTCAGCGATAATTCAATACATTAAAGTTTATAAATGGTTTCTGTTTCAGCTGCACACCTGGGTACTTCGTCAATGGCCAGGTGGGGAACAATACACCACAGTATCGCTATTGTCATGGTCAACTTGGCGGTTGGATGCCCAGAGACCAAGCTCTGGTACCCTGCATTGGTGTTGATGGTCAGTCTGTCTCTGCTTGATAATGATTTTCTCTCTCTCTCTCTCTCTCTCTCTCTGAAAACTTTATATTTTTCCTTGCATACCTAGCAATTTATCCATCCATATATACCTGGTAATTTATGCATCCATGTATACCCTTAAGCCCCGGGTTAGGGTGCTGCTGGCAGTACCCCCCCCCCCCTACACACGGGGATAAATCAAGAAAAAATCAATCTTTCCAAAAATAATAAAAAATAAAAATATGGAATAGGGGGTCGTTCTGGAACATCACCCGAGGCCTAAGGGTTAAGTAATCTCTCCATCCATAAGTACCCCTGTACCTTGCAATCCATCTGTCCATGTATATCTTGCATTTTATCCATCCATATATACTTGTATACCTAGCAATATATCCATCCATCCATCCATCCATTTATGCTTAAAGATCTATCCATGAACTGTATACAGTACCTAGCAGTATAGCAGTATATCCATCCACCCATAAATCCATCCACGTATAACTGGCAATCAATCCATGTAATCCTAATAATCCACCCATGTCTGTCTAGCAAGCCATCTATCTACAGTAAGTATACTTATCAATCCATCCCTGTATACCTTACAATCCACACCTGTACAGTATGCTTAGTAATTCACCCATCTATGTATACTTAGCAATCCATGAATCCATCCATGTATACTGTACCTAACATTCCGTAATTCATGTATACCTAGCAATCCATCCATTCTTGACTCCTTGTACAATTCCCACAGTATGCAACGAGGACTTCCCACCGAAGCTTGCAGACATGGATTTAAATGAACAGCGGAATCCGCGCTATGAGACTCACACCCTGAAGTATCAGTGCAAATACCCAGACATGACAAACCAGGCTGGACTGAGAGACCAAATTCTCACCTGCACCCCATACAATGGCACTGAATTCAACAGCACCCACCGCTATGTCCCTGACAATGTAACCGTGTGTGACAGTAAGTATTTTTTGCTTTGCCATGATTGAATATATCAGTGATTGATTACCACGTTGAAATAAGACAAGTGCATTGCTTGTCATAAATCAGGTTCCATTCATAGACAGATGTCTTCATTGAGGCCAGGCCGTGTTTGGGAATATAAAAAGAACAGAATATGCTAATGAGTTTTTTAGATAATGGAAGACTTGCTTTTAAATGAGGGACTTCTCATAGTTACTTTTAGGACATGGGGTAAAACGTTCTAAAGTTTAGAAGTACTGTAAAAGGAAAGACGCAGGCTTCACAATAACATTTACTTCTCCAGTTAGACAAACATCTTAACAGTAAGTCAAACATCTTAACAATAAGAGTGACTACATCTCAAAGGATGCTAATCTTCAGCAGAGTATAATCTTAGGATCATGGAAACACACATTATAAACAAAAAGAAACAGGAGGTCAGAGACTTTCGGTTTTGTACCTGAGCTTGTCACTCACAAGAGAAAATTTCAGATGAAATGTATACACTACATCCAATTCGTAATGTAAGCATCCCCATGACAACATGTATAAACAAGAGTACTGTACAAAGTTGCACATATAGTATTCGATAAACTGTCATGGAGGCTCATACCTTGTAAATATCGATATGCAGTAATTAGAAGTGCAATAATTATCATAATTTCACCCACAAAAAGTTGCAAAATGAATATACAGTATATTTTTTTTACCAATGCCTTATCGATATCAAGACATGGCTCACTAGAAAATGCAAACACGATGGAATAAAGATCAAGTGTGGCAGTCCCAGATTCACTCCTTATTGGTTCATTAGTAGCTGTGTTGATCAGGCAAAGATGCAAGTTTAGTTAAGACTGACTCTTAAATAAGACAGAGGCAGATGTAATTGATCTATCAACTAAGCCCTGCCCACTTTTGATGCAAGAAAAAATTCATGTGCTATATATTGAAGACTAATGAGAAAAATTAGCTGTTAATTTGCCACCCACTCTGTAACCAGCAACCAATCACTTATGATATGTAACACTTGTTAAGAAAGCTACGTATAGATCAATTGTTATCCTACTCTCAGTTTCCTCCTCCTGGCTCTCAGGGACTCCAAAAACTATTACATTGTCCCTGTTTTGGAAACGTTTCCATTGTTCCTCCTCTCTCCTAACAGATGGTACACCCCCTTTTTATTGACCCTCACTGAAGTAGACATGTAACTTATCCTTCTATACTTAAATACAATATCTTGATAAAAGTTTGTAAATATATAAATAAATCTAGTATATAAGAGGAGACTATTGCTGAAAAAAATATACCTGTACTGTATTTGAATTTCAATTTACTTTTACAGAGGAAGATATGAATAACTTTTCATGTTACAGGATGCTTCAGGAACCCAGATGTCCGCAATGCTGTCACTAACTTTTCAACTCAAACCATGTATCTGATAGGTGACACCCTAATAGCCACCTGCGACTATAGTCACCGAGTGGCCCACCAAGTTGATACTCAGGTGGTCAACTGCACTAATAATGGCTGGCAAAAGTTGCCCTGTCAAAAAGGTATTATTCACACACTTTCTACTTCTAAAAATGGTACTTTTTAATTAAGTCTTGCTCCACCTTTCCCACCATGGTTCCGGGTGGCCTAAATAAAGAGTAACACACTTCACTGTCAGATGTGCTTCGCTCTAGTGTTCCCTTTCAACAAGGTCCTAAGATAAACATTTAGTTTATCCCTGTCACCCATTTTTTATTTATAATTCTTTGAGTACATACATATCATTTCTTGTACAATGCTTGTTTATTATGAATTAAAATTACCTGTAGACTTCATCGATTCAAGTCCACATCTATGCTGTACAGTTTTAGGCAGACCTTGAATGAGCATTGGATGATTCATTGGTATTTTCGAGTTACCTGTATTTATATTTAATTTAAAATTTCATATTCATCATATTAGGATAAGCTAAAGGAATTTTGACCAGTAAATGCAGCCATTTTTCTGTAGTTCATAAAAATTTTAATGATACTGGTACCACCAATACTGTTCATAGTGTAATCTGAGCGATAGGGAGATAGTGATTAAAATTATAATGAGTAAAAAGAACTTGGATGTCTGTTTTGTGTTAAATGAAGCTGAGGGGGAAAGGAGAGATGAATGTGGATCAAATACAGGGAATAAAGTCATGATTTTCTGAAATACTATGAATGCAAGAAAGTATTCGGTGTTGCTGAGTGAAGATATCTATACAAGTGAAAGTGGGTTCTATAGGCATGGCTGCCCATTAGGGACATTGTAGATACACCACACTGTATACTAAGGAGGCAGCATGGTCAGTACTGCTCTCGACCGTATTCACTAACCCAAGTTGTAAACGTAGGTACCCATTTACATCTGGGTGAACTGGGAATACCTGGGAATCAAACTTTCAATCCCTGGAACAGGAGGTGAGCACTGTATCTGCTTGATAGGTGAAAGAGTGAACTTAAAACATTCTGAAATACAGGTCTGTTGAGAAAGCGAAGAAGAGTCCAAAGGCGGACTAATATTGGGAGAATGGACGAGTTGACGGTCGGAAATTTTTCCTAAGATGGCAGGTCAATGGGTAAAGAAAACTCTTAAATTCACTTTGGTAATGATATTTTAAAATGAAGTGGGCCAAAAATGTCAAAAATAAGGGTTAAAGTTGCTAAAAAGTCACATGACTGCGAAAAGCTTTGTGATTGGTTGTGACGTCACTGGTTTGGGCAAGCTTCCTAGAGGGAGGCAGCCAGCTGTAGTTGTCCAACCTTCTCAGCTGATCGGCTCTGCAAATAAATATTATTAGATAATTAATTGTGCTTTACCGTACAACACAGTACGTTATGCTATTTTGAATATATAAATATTACTAGGTACATAAACTAAATCAATGGATATTATCTGCCCATACAACAAATTTCATAGTACAGTATAAACATTACAAACAATATTGGTATTATTTTAGTTTTGGTCATCTGGGGAACCTTAAGATTCTAACTATGGGATTAAGTCCTTTAAACAATAAGACACATTATCTCTACGGGATGTCTGTCCCAAAAAATTTTCGATCGCATAAGAAAATACAGATCATATGTTAGGTTAGGTGAGGGTATGATGAGTTATAAGGTTAGCTTAACATACATCAGTAAGGGGGGGTAGTAACTCAAAACTAGTGATTTATGATAGAAATGAAGATCTAAATCGTTCATAACACATCGGAAACCATCAGAAAAAACCATAGTCTGCACGTCTAAGCACAGGGATGACCAAAACTTAGAATTTACCCATCTAAACATCAAAATACCCATAAATTAATATAAATGATGATATATCCCAGTGGTTCATTAGTGAATCATCAAAACAATACCAGTACTATGTTGTCATGTTTACCTAGCATCAGGTACAGGTACTGTATTCTCAAAACAAAGTCCAGACAATGTAATTACTTCTAAATTTACTAGTATCTCCATCTAGTACTGATATAAAAAGTTAATGCACTGAAAAAAAGAGAAAGTCTACCAGGTAAGAGTACATGACAGCTGAGCTGGTGTGAACATTGGAGTTTTTATGACCAAAAGAACATAAGAATGGAGGAAACTGCAGAGGGCCTCTGGGCAGTCCCATTTAGATCTAACCCCTATTGCTCATATATATATCCATCCAACCTTTGTTTGAAGCTGCTCTTCACGGCACATTTCTTCACTTACAAAATGCCCATGACTTAGACCATATAAAAACACCCTTAAAACTTACCTGAACTTGGCATTTGGGGTCCTTTCTACTACCTGTGACTGCAGCGATGAGTTTGAAGGTAGCGACGTCATTTCAAATGGCGGTCCTGTTTCTAGAGAAATAAACTAATCTCGACTATTATAGCAGGACTTTAAAATTTTAATACAAATTATATATACTGTATCACTCTACGAACATGGCAGAGTTTATTTCTTGTGTTTACCCAGAACCATCAACTCGTCCATTGCAGCTAAACATAGCACTGTATTCTATATAATGAAAGAGCAGTGTGGGTTTTAGTACTGTATACTGTATAAGAGAAGAGCTGTGTGGGTTCAGAAGAAAAGGCAGGTGTATGAACCAGTTGATTGCAGTAATGGCATGAAAGGTTTTTAGTGAAGAAGAAAAGTTGTCTGATATTTATGATTCTAGAAAATGCATATTATACAAGAGATAGAAAAGTGATGGGCGAAGTCTAGAAAATGTTTGGAATAAATGGGAAATACTTAAATGCTGTCCAGAACCTTTATATGGAGGGTGAAGCAGGTGTCAGGATGTGTCGCTAATTGGGGGTCTTACCGTATTTTCACGGAACATAGAAGTACTTTAACGATATGCTTTGTCGCCATGATTGTTTAATATTTTCATGGAGAGGTGAAAGCAAGAGTGATGTAGAGGGGGTGTAAGTTTGGTGAATAATGAAATATGAAACAAATGGAAAGTGGGTTAACTGCTGTTTGTAGATGATGCACCTCTAGTGAATGATTCAGAAGAAGAGCTACAATTGTTAGCGGATGAGTTTAGAATAGGTTGTATGTGAAGAAATTTGATATAATAAATGTGAACAAAATTGGTATTGAAAATTTGAAGAAGGAAGACAGGTAAAAAATGGAGAAATTGGAGTGTTTCTGAACTGTAACAATGGATGCATGAGGATGAAACGATATGAATTGAACCACAATTACTGGAAGGAAAGAAATTAATACCTTCATGGAGAAATGTATGGAGAGGAAAAAGGAAATCAAAGAAGGAAAAGATAAGGATACTGTATTCAGGTGATCTGTTAAGTCAGCATTTTTATCTGGGTACGTACTGTATAAAGTAAAGCATGGACCCTGGTTCTAATTGGAAGGATCAGATTAGGGACGATTCTTTTAAGTTATACGTGGCTGATACGTGGTGAAATGAAAGATAATTAGACAGTTGAATAAATCTATGACATCGGTAACAATAAATGAACAAATGACATCGAATGGAGAGAAATTGTCAATGCTCATTTGTTTTATTTTTTCAATCACTCTGCATTAAATGGGAAAATGCTTAAATGTGGAAAAAGATTTCCTAAAACCTAGTTAGTATAGTAACTTAGGTATACAATAAAAGTATAAAACACTTACAAATAGTGTACAAGTATAGTACAGTATAGTATACTTTGGTGTTTAGTATAAGTATAGTATAGCTACTGTAGGTATTTAGTACAAGTACAGGTACAGTATAGTATAGGTAATTCACGTGGTGATAGCATTACAAAGCTGTCAATATCAGTGTATCTAAAACTTCTTAACCTGATCATTTAGGTATGTACTACAGATACAGTAATTTCCGTATGATGACAGCTTTATGCTATCAGTGTGTTTGTTGGAACCGGTGGTGATCAACGCCACCACAGACTGGGAGGACAACATGTGGACTGTAGGAGAGACGGTTAAAGCTACCTGTAAGGATGATTTATACTTCGCCATTCTTAAGTCTCAGACCCATCATGTCAAGTGCACAGACAGCGGCTGGTCCTCTGACCCGTACTGTCAACAAGGTGAGACAATTGATCCAGTTAGTGTTATAGAAAGCATTAATTCAGATTTTTGGAAGGGGCTAATGTAGACTGTTAGTGAAGGGATTAATTCAGACTGTTATTGAGGGGATCAATCTAGGCTGTCCTGGGAAATTAATCTTGATTGTGTCATGGAGGAGATCGATTCATATTTTGAAGGATAGACAATGAATCCATGTTGTGATCTGGAGGCTATTGATGGAAGAAATTAATCCAGAATGTTGAGAAGGGGATTTGGCCAGTTTATCTTCAAGGGTATTAATCCATATTTTCCTACAAGTTAATTCATAATGTGTCACGGTGCAATGGATGGGATAAATTCAGAAATTCATCAATGAGATGAATCCAGATTGTCATGGGGGGAGAAAATTAGTCAGGATTGTATTCTGAAGAGAATTGAGACAGATTATGGCCTGAGGGGTATTAACAAGGTTTATTTTGGGTAATATTGTCACAGTAGTGTTGATATTGTTCTTTATCAGTCTGCTTGGACACCCCATATGTGGCAAATGCGACAGTGAACTTGGAGGACAAGATGTGGGTAGTGGGTTCGGCGCCCATGGCCACCTGTAACTCACAACACATGTTCATCGCAGAGAAGTCTAACACAAAGCCGCTCCCCTGTACCAGTCAGGGCTGGCAACAGGTGACTGGTTGTGACAAAGGTGAGGATGATTAGTTAAGTTTATTTTAGTTGAAGTTCAGGGAAGAATGTCTTGCAGCTAAATCTGTATTGTGGTTGAAGGTCAGAAGTGAGAATGTTTTTTCTGTTAAAAGTTTATTGTACAGTAATTACAAATCAAATGTACCCTCGTCCTAACTAGCTTCAACCTAACCAATCCTAATCATTATGATTGGAGCCAATTAAGATTAACTGATTTTTCATTAAGCTTTGGGCAGGTTAGGGTCTATTACATCTAGCCTTTTAGGATTTGGGCTCCAGTTATCTACTTACTGTATATTTTTTGTCACGTTCATTTGATAGCCTTGGTTTTGTAGGGCTGCAGTGTAATGAATTTCTCAACATATCTTCTTTGAAGTACTGAAAGGAATTGATGTTATAGTTTTTCTTATACTGTATACAGTATTTTTTATGAGAAATGCTCTTATTTTCTCATGTTGGTAATTGTCAGAATGTTGTCCTTGAATTATTTTTACATTTTTACTTTTATCCTCTTTACCACTGATTGGCTCATTTGCCGCTTGGGTACTTTACTTTTATCCTCTTCACCACTGATGGGCTCGTTAGCCGCTTGGGCGATCGGTAGATATACATAACTTTCTTCATTTATTTTTACTCAGTTACATGCACACACCATCCTACATACATACAATACTGTGAAAAAAGTAAAAGCAATAATTGTCCTGAGGGCAAACATGTGGGGAATATATATTTCTTTGCACATGAGTTAGCTGGCTCAGTGAGAGAGCGGAAGGAGAGCGCAGAGTGTAGGGGTGGGGAGCGTTGCCCTGGAATCGGCGTCCCTGGTCCCAGCTGGTTTCCAGTGCTATGATGAAGCAGGGAGTGTATGCAAATGGTGACCGTGTTAGGCTTTCATTTCGTGTTTATTAACCTATTTGGCAATATAGTACAGTATTTTTTGTTGTAACTTATTGATTGGTATTATTTTTTTATTCCTTGCATTTCCTGGTACTATACAGTATAACAGTATACAGTATATTATTTTAGGAAAACTATGGCTACAGGAGGAAAATACACACAAAAGTTTTTTCTGAAATACTTCCTGCTAAAATAAGGGTTGCGTCTTATATGCTGTAAAATATGGTACTGTATTTTGGGTGTTTTTTATATCATTATTTCTCGTTTTTATACATTTAGTACATTCGCCGGAAGATACAGACAATCGGTTTTTTGGACAGGTGGTCCCCGTTTTAGTCCGGATCTTTGAGGGTTCACCGTAGTTTAGTTACTTGATTCACTTTCTTACAATGACTCACTTGAACCATCAGTGGAGACTTACAGCAACCTCACTCTTGGCGTATCATATGTCCCAATAAGATGAAAAAACTGCATTAATTGAGACTGAATGTGAAAAAGACCTAGGCATGTACGTTGACAATGAGCACAAGTTCTCGGGCCATTGCTAGAAGAAGGTGAATCAGGCAACTAAATCATTAGATCTTTAAGAAGGTCGTTCAGATATCTAGACGGCCGTTCCTCGTAACGATCTTCAAGAGTGAAGTGCTTCCTCGTCTGAGGTAATGTCAGCCCGTCTGGTCCCAGAGATTAGAGAGCCTGAACTTGCCTAGCTTATACTACAGACGGGCAAGGGGGGCCCTAATTGAGGTGTATAGGCATCTCAAAGGGCACTATTTAATCGAGTCACGGCTCAAGGTTGATGAAGCTGCTAGCCCAGAAAACTGTGAGGGGTAACTTTTTCGGAGTGAGAGTTGTGAACTCTTGGAACAATCTGCCAGGTAGTGTTGTGACGGCACCGAGTGTGAGCTCTTTCAAGACCAGACTTGATAAGCACTGGAGCGGGTTCAGGTACATTCAGGAACCAGTTCATGCCCAGTACTTGCCAAGATTGCATAACAGAGACGTGACCGATCACCCAAGTGGCTAACAAGCCGATCAGTGGTGAAGAGGATAAAGGTGAAAGTATAAAGTGATTCTTATAGAGTTACAGATAAATGAGCTTCTCTTATCTGGTTATGAGCATTCTTTTCCAGCTTGGTATCTCCAGGTGTCTCAGTGTATGCTCCCAAACCTCTACTGAAGATATTGCATTATTCAAATGTGTGTGAATTAGTCAGCATTTTTAGCATTTTAATAATATAGATTTTTTAATGATTTGAGAATATATAACTAATATGAGATGGTTTATCTCAATAAGAAGCTAGTAAATTCAAGAACTTTGTGTCTTCAACTATGACGATCACCAAACATGTGACAATGCTGTTATGGTGAAAGAACATGTTATAATGTGGTTGGTGGCAGCCAGGTTGTTAATATAGGGTCAGTTTCTTACTGCAACACAAGTTTTTCTAGCACACTAACCTGTTCATGAAAATTTTTTAAACATTGATGTTATGAGTATTACATACTTTTATTGCATTACTTTTACAAAACTGTCAAAATATTTCATGACCGGCTTTCAAAAATAATATTAATATGTCACAGTGTGTGAGAACCCGGAAGTAGAGGGTGCCATCATGAGTGGGCCATCAGAGATGTGGCCGGTGGGGGTCAGAGTTAATTTCACCTGCAGCTCAGGCTACTCCCTTATACCTTCCGGAGATACAGTCCAGCAAGTATTGTGTGCTGATGATGGGTGGAAGTCAGAGCCTTGTCAGAAACGTGAGTGCATTTTACTGGTTAACCTGGCATTGTTCAATATACAGCCACTAGAATTAGATATCTTAACCCCTTGTATATAATATTTTTATTTGCAGTTTTGGATGATACTTAACTTTAATTTCTGACACTTATTTTTAGGATATCTGTTTAACCCCTTTCATACTGTATGATAATCTATCCCTCAGAATACAGGTAGTACTGAGTCTCTTTAGTCAGATTATATGCACTCTGAGTACACTTACTGAGCATCTTGAGTGTGATTACCTAAACTTTTGGGGTATTATAATGTCCCTTGACTTTGACATAATAGCATCTATAGTTCCATGATGTGACTTTCCAGTTCAGTTATTTGAGGATTAAAATTGAATATGTTATGTAGCATCACATCATGAATACCTGCAACAGTGTCAATATTCAGTGACTTCCTACTTCATTTACTAGAGTTATCGGCCCTGTTTCACTTGAAAATTTTCCCGGGACACATAATATAACCTTCTGTGATTGTCTAGTTTTAAGGATTTTTTCTATCATTAGCAGTTGTATATTGAATTATTAAAAAATAAATAAAAAAATTAGTAAAATATTATAATTTAACATCAGATTTACTGCTAAATTATTTGCGTGTGCTTATTAAGATTCTTGTACTGTACCATCAAATTTAATAAAAAAAAATATTAAACAGATAAAATCAAATATCAAAACTTTTGGCAATATTTTGGGGGAATCCTTCATGTGTTTATGATAATCTTAGCCAATATGTCCAGGGACTGATGCTCGAACTGACACATTAATTAGTTTTCCATTTGGGATCATTACACATGATCATATCTTTGTCAAACCTTCTATTGACCTACATTATCTATTATATATACAGGTTGGTCCAATTAAAGTGAACCATGTTGAAAATGAAATAAAAATTCATGAAATGCACTGTGGGGTTATGATGTTTTGTTCACACTCAGGATGGGATGGAGAAAGGAAACTCACAATGTGCTCTCTGTATACATATTGTATTGGATGTACAATGCAGCTTGGTGCTGGGAAGGCATCATGGTTACAAGCGTGATGTAGAGAGAGCTGGTTAATGAGGATGCTTAGAGGAGGACCAGCTTGTGGGTCGCCATGCTCGCCGGCGGGAGCGAGGGCCGCCAGGCAGCGGCAGAGGAGGTGGTGTAGCTTGCTGCGGCTGTAGCTAGAAGAAGAGAGAGATAGGTCACCACGAGGTCAGGTCTTATATAGTGGAGGTAGGCGTGGCTTAGTAGTTGACCTCCGTCATGTAAGGCGACGCTGGTTGACCTAGACCACGAGGCATACACTGGGGAATTGGCGGGGTCGGCTACTCAGCGACAAACAACGTTTGTAAGGGAGGTATCCACTACAGCATAAAATCTGTATTTAAGCAGTTCGCAAGTTTCTGAAAACCTTTGAAAACAATCTTTATTAATGTTTGAAAGTTGTCATCAAAATTTGCACCCCTCTTCGCAATACACTGCTGCAGTCGTAGGCGACAGCTGTGCAATACTCTACGAAGCACATCTGGAGAAATGGCATCAACCTCCTGGCGAATTCTGGCCTTCAGGCAGACACGATACTGCACCGGCCAACGATCCAATGTCACTGAATCCAAGGCCATGCGCCACCAACTGCCACGGTGCCACCCCGATTCCTCCTCCCACTCAAACCCCTACCCAGTGTTACCAACCTAAAACTGGTTCACTTTAATTGGATCACCATGTGTGCATATATATATATATATATATTATATATATATATATATATATATATATATATATATATATATATATATATATATATATATATATATATATATATATATATATATATATATATATATATATATATACTGTATATATATATATATATATATATATATAAGATCACTACTTTGTGGAGGACCTGGGGTAGCTGCCTCATTTAGTACCTCATGAGAAAATTGGCATTGCCCATTCTCCTGGAGTTACGTACAGTACTGTATTTTGTGCCATATGTACGGAGAATTCTTATTCAGAGATCTAGATTGTGGTTCTGGATTTTTATGTAGAATGGCCTTATAGTCAGATGTGAACTACAGTATACTCCTTATTCCAACCGCTTTACAGAAAGTATTTCTAGGTAGCCTTTATGTCTAATAGTACTAATTTTTTAAGTACAGTATTGGTTACATCAAACAACTCCATGATTACCTATAACCGACAGACTAAGATAAATATTTAGCTTCATCAGTCAGATCTGTAAATACCAGTCCTTAGCGAACTGACAAGTGAGAGAGCTTATTGATCAGCATTTACTAAGGCAGTTTATGAACCGTCCTCAGTCACTATTCTGATTGCTTATGATTAATATGTTCCCTTCCCTCAAGTGTGTCAGCTTGAGCCGGAAGTGATTAATGCCACCACGGACTGGCAGGACGACCTCTGGCCTGTGGGCACAGCAGTCAATGCTGCGTGTGAAGGCGATCTCATCTTCGTTGGAGACAGATCCAACATCCGCCCGGTCTTCTGTACTGATACCGGCTGGGAGAATGAACCAGCCTGCGAGGAAAGTAAGACTAATTTCCCCTTGAAAGTTTGTTGTTGGATCGACTTACTATGCAATACTGTAGTCCTTTGCTCTGAAAAAAATGTATGTAGTACTACAGTTTTACCCCGCTTAACGCGCTTTCACTTAACGCGTTTTCGCATATACGCGGTGCCTTGCCAAAGCTGAACTTTCACTTAACGCGGGTTTTTCCACAGCTACGCGGTGAGTGTCCGGCTCAGATGCTATTTTTAGATTTTGACCACGCGCCACTCGCCACCCACCCGCCCACCTGCCTGCCTGCCTCTCCCTCCTCCTCCCTCCGCTTGGGTAAGCGGCGCGGTAAGGTTGCGCAGTGTGTGCCTTTGTTGCGTTATCACTGACGTCATATGACGTCTCGGACTGTGATTGGCCATGCAGCCCTACCCCCCTCTGCTGCTAGCTGTAATTGGCTTAAAGTATTATGACGTGACTACCCCGGGGAGGGAGGGAGGGAGGAGAGACGACGCTTGACCTAGCCGCGGCAGTTTCATCCCTCAAGGCCACGCCGGGTTAACGCGCATCCATTGTTCCGTAAAATGGCTTCCGCCGGACCACCACCCCCAGAGAGAAACCTTTCCTTACCTGGACCCAGCGGCACTAAACCAAAGAAGACACGACGTTCATTAAGCTACGAGCTGAAGTACCAAATTGTTCAAGATTTGGAGAAAGGAAGACGCCAAGTTGATCTCGCGCGCCAGCATGGCGTCAACGAATCTACGATTCGTACAATAAAGAAGGATGCAGCCAAGATAAAGGAGCACATGAAGATCACAAAGTCTGCAGGTGCTTCATCTATCAGGTATTGCCAGAACAGGGTGCTGGCAAAAGTGGAAACTTTGCTGGTGAGTTATTTGGTGCGTCAGGCGCGACGCAACATGGCGGTGGACACGCGCTCAGTGCAGGAGTACGCACGTGAGCTATACGCAGCAGTGACACGTAAACTGGGAATTGCAGAGCCCAAACCCTTCAATGCTTCCCATGGTTGGCTGCATAGGTTTAAGAGGAGGAACAAGGTCACCAACATCAGCATTGTTGGTGAGGAAGCGAGTGCTGACCGTGCGGCGGCTAGAGATTTTCCTCCGTTTTTACGTGAGATTATGGAGGAAGGACAGTACAGTGACGACCAGGTGTTTAACATGGACGAATCTGGTCTTTTCTGGAAAAAGTTACCTTCCAAGACCTTCGTTGTCCAGTCTGCGAGCAAGGTAAGGGGTCGGAAGATGCAGAAGGAACGCATCACCGTCCTGTTTACCACCAATGCCTCCGGTACCTGTAAACCAAAGTTATCGGTGATTCACAAAGCCCGCAAGCCGCACGCCTACAAGAATATGGACATGAACAAGCTTAATGTCCACTGGCTAACCGCACGTAAGGCGTGGATGTCCTCTTCTCTGTCCCTCTTCTGGTTTGACAACTTTTTTGTTCCTGACGTGCAGAAATTCTGCGAGCAACAGAATGTTCCTTTCAATATTTTGTTGCTCCTTGACAACGCACCTGGACACTCGCCCCTACTTATGGATCGTCACCCCAACGTAAAAGTGGTCTTCCTTCCTCCCAACACTACGTCATTAATCCAGCCCATGGACCAGGAGTTAATCTGCAATGTTAAAGCTGCATACTCGGCAAAGAAATTCAAGCTCCTGAACGACTCTACCAACACCAAGGATGAGTTGCGTAAGCTGGGTGACACCGACAGCGAGAGTAAAAGCGACGAGGACAAGGAACAAGAGGCGGCGACTCAAGAACTTCTCGTCAAACAATTTTGGAAGAAGTTTAACGTCAAACAAGCTGTAGACTTCTTGGTGGAGGCATGGGATCTGCTGTCTATTGCTACGATTCGTCACGCATGGAGACATGTGTTGCATGGCATACCAGGTGAGAGGAGGAGTGAACCTGTGACTGGTCAGGTTCAGACTGTTGCAGTAGCAGTGGACCTTGCCAGAGAAGCTGCGCTCAGTATTACAGCTGAAGGCTTCTCCGAGACCACCAACGAAGACATCATGGAGGTGATCAGAGATCCTGAAGTGACTGCCGACGAGATGTTGGAAGAAGAACCCGCCAGTGAAGAGGAGGAAGAAGGTGCGTCATTCTCCGAAGAACCTAGTTTAAGTCATAGTGATATTAAGTGTGTCATAGAGTTAACAGAAAAAATTAAGTCCATCGTTTCCCGCGACACTGACGATGAACGCCATGACGTCTTCCATACCCGACTGGTGCAGGCTATGGAGCCGTACATCACGGTGTATCATGACAACATCAAAGCCAGCCGTCAGCAAAGCATAACCGAGTTCTTCGCCCGCAACCCACCACAGCCAGCCCAAGCCAGTGATAGTGATAGTGAAGTTGATTTTGAGGGATTTGTCAGGGAAGCCATAACAACTGTAAGTGACAGTGATATTGATTCACCTAGTAATGGTGATTCACCTAGTAATGGTGATTCACCTGAGGGGCAGTAATCTGCCCTCTGCCTCGGAACCAGCCTCCATCCCCGTATGCCGACCCATCTCTTCTACTACCGTGAGTGTTCCTCAAAAATTTTCGTTTTTTAACCTATTCTTTATTTTTCCTATGTTAACCTTTATCTTTCCTAACCTAACCTCTTCTATATTACTTGTTTTTCATGCCACCATAAAGTTAAGATAGAATTTTTACTACAACATAGTTATTTGTCGTCAAAAAGTGGAGTTTGGGGGTCGGGCTGGGTTCTATTGGAATTAATCCCATATGTTCTGTTATTCACTTAACGCGGTTTTCACTTAACGCGGGACCCTCTGGGTTCAATTGACCGCGTTAAGTGGGGTACAACTGTATATTAATAAATGAATGAAAAAGGGGGATTCATTAGACATGGACCTATAAATAAACTAAAATTGGGAAAATAGAATAAATATAACAAATTATAAAAGTAGTAATAAAAATGAATTAAGATGAATATGATACTTTTAAAATGTTAAATATGATTAAGTAATGTTTTGTATATAAAAAGAAAAACAAGTTAAGAAAGGGCCATTTCCTATGTATATTAAAAATATATACAGTAATTACCAAAATATTAACACATAGTTCAATTGAATAAATATCAACACATGCTTAGTTAGTACAATACAGTATGCTTTTACCCATAACAGAGAGTTCTCTCTCTCATAATGTTTTAATTATTAAAATAGTGTAGTGTAATTACTAACATTGTTATGTGCTTAAAGACCTTCGTTGCTGAAGCACAGTAAAAACATTATAACCTTGACCCATATTTGAATGGTTTTCTACTGTATTTACTAATAGTTCTGGTAAGTAAAGTGAACAGATTATTCATCAGTTCACATAGATGCAAAGATAATTACCTATGATCGTTTCTTTCCAGAAATACCAAGTGTATTGTGCAGTTTGCAACCACAGGTGGGCAATGCTAGCACCACCTGGGATAACATTACCTGGTGGGTGGGTGGGGTTATAACAGCCACCTGTGACCACCTCCACTACTTCCTCAACGGCTCCACAAAGGAGACACAACTCACATGCACCACCCAAGGCTGGGAAAACATAACCGGCTGTGAGAAAAGTAAACATCTTTGATTTTGAAAGGTTGATGCATTTAATGTTCATTTTAGCTGGAAATGAAATTGTTCATCTGTAGGTAAAAAAAGAAAACCACTTTGCTTCTCAAAGATTTGTAAGTACGTAATATTATCATCTTAATTGGATGTGTGGGCACACATCTGACCATTCTTGAGAAACGAAAGCCTTTTCATCTTGGACTATTATAGATCTATGTATTATTTTCGTCCAGATTAAGAAAAGCTTCTAACTGGCTTACTTAATTTTGACTAAGTTGGCTTTGGAATTAGAATGAGACTTTATTAACAAGATATGTTCTTCAAACTCAAGTTATGTGAGAAATAAGTCACAATTCCTAAACTGAGCCTTTTTTTTATACACCACTGAATACATTAATGAATGGTATACTGTATTACTGATAAAAGAGTGATATATCACTTCAGCACACTACATTATTAATTGCACATACCAGTCCTCAGTGTAGCATGTAATGAGGAGCCATTGGTGGTGAATGCCACTACCACCTGGGTGAACAGAACCTGGTGGGTGGGGGAGGAGATCAACATCACATGTAACTCAGATCACAAGTTCATCCCTGAGGACACTTACAACCAGCTGATGGAGTGTAGTGAGGACGGTTGGGACAACATGACTGGCTGCCAGGAATGTGAGTACCATGTAGTGCTTGTCATATGTCAGCGAAGAGTGTAATAAGCACAGTATTGCTTCAATTATCTAATGAGAATCCATCCAGCACACTCTGGATGTCTCGGGGGCTATTGACCTAATTGTAGTAAGCTTGATAACTTTTCTGTTTTTCAATGTTATTTTTGTTAATGATGAATGAGACGGTTGGTAGTAGTAGAAATTACTAATGGAATTGCACCAAAATTTCTGAGATACTGTTTGCATGATACTAAACAAGAAAATGGAAACGATGGACCCTGGCATATTAAGCAGAAAGAACTTATTTTGATATCAGGTAGTGTACCAATGAAAGCATTTTCTTGAAGAGGCATGGTGTAGTTTTATGTTATTTATGGACGTCAGACAATAATCGACTCTTGCACTAAAACACATATTTCTTGTTCACTGCCATCCTCTACATGCAAGAATGGATAACTTGCGTTAAGACAAGAAACAACCTGCACAGAACACCTACTACATACTGTACTTAAAATACAAAATGGCTACTTTTTCACTCATTGGAGATGAGCAATAAGTATACGAACATACAGTTCACTTAGAATCTAAAGCTACATGTAAATAACTTATAGTGAATACAAATTGGAAAGCAAGCTGGTAAGGCACCACTGCCAGCAGAAACCAAGTCGTGTTATAGGTGCCACAGAGACTTTTAATTTTATTTTGTTTGTGTTCTTTCTCAAGGACTGAAACTGTGCCTACAATACACCATTCACAGGGAGATACAGTGTACACAGTGATAGCACAAAGAGACATAGTCGTTGATGAGAACAGGAATAGGAAGTATAAAGAAATAATAGTTAAAAAAAAATAATCAACAAGCTTGGCTATCCTAAAAGGCATTCTATTATCGCCCGAAAGAAAGTTTTATTTTATTTTTCTGTGTTTCTAAAGGACTGAGTGGGTGTATAAAATCCGTTATTCATAGCAAAATGCAGTGTACATAGAGAGAGCACATAAATACTGACAAATTGCCAAAGTGAATGAAAAAAAAGAGAAGAATACAGAAGACAACTCTAAAGGCAACTGGGGAGGTTAAAACCAGCAGAGGGCAGCTAAGTACTGTTTTTTTCTTAATTTTTAAATAAGTGTAGATCTATGCACAGTCTGCACCCCCCCCCCACCACCACCACCCACACACACACACAACAGCAACAACCATGAAGAGTATGATATGTGATTACTGCAGGGGGGCGACGGATATAGATGGTACAGGCCAGACCAATGCAACGTTTAGGACGATGCAAGTTGCCGTAAAGCATGAAGGCTGTTGCTGGTATTGCCCTGACTGCATAGTCAAGGTGAAAGAGGCGATTGCAAGCCATAGTGGAATGAGTTCCCTAAGGACGAAAATAGATGAAGCTGGATCCTTGCTGGTTGCCAAACTAGAACAAGTTGGGAAAGAAATCCTTGCTAAGACTGAGGAAGTAGCCGAGGAGTTATGCTGAGGCCACGGGAGGTGGCGGAGAGTAATGCAGGATCAGAACAGGTTCTACAGCAGCTAGGGACTCTGAAAAAGTGTGTCGAAGAAATAACAATTAGCGGACATACTGTTAGGGGAGAGGAGGAACAACGGGAACGTTTCCAGAGCAGGAACAGTATATTAGTTTTGGGAGTCCCTGAGAGCCAGGCAGAGGAACTGAGAGTAGGATAACACATGATAAGATGCAGTTTAAGAATATTTGTACAGAGGTTCTAAAGATGCCATCAACTCCTCAGGATGTGAGGAGGCCAGGACAAAAGCAGAGGGATAAGCCTCGCCCCCTCAGGATCACACTAGTGAGTGAGGAGGAGAAATAGGAGGTTATTCGGCAGGCAAAAAACTTAGCAAGGAACGAGGCATCTCGCAGTGTATTCATTCACCCAGATCACACGGTAATGCAGAGGCAACAGCACAAGAAGCTCATGCAGGGCTTGAAGCAGAGGAGGGAGGAGTCGAGGAGGAACGGGGATGGGTGTACATGGGTTATATTCAGGGGGGGGATAGTGGAAGCAAGTGTGCCTATACAGAGCCAGGGGGCAGCAGCACACCCTCCACCCGCTCTACCCCCCACCCGGGAGGTGGCACCAGTTCTGCCTACCAGCAGGAAGGAGGCGAGCGCCGTGTAAACAATGACATTTCCAACCACACCCTGCAAAATACAGTGTACTTATGAAATGCTGCAGCTTCTGAGAATGGGGGGGGGGTGGAGTTACTACTTAGAGCAGAGACGTTACCGGGAACAAATTCCGGCTTAAATATCATGTACAGTACACTAATACTGACAGGCACGCAGCTTGTCCGCGCCGCTTCCCGCGTAAATTCAGGAGTGTATTGCCCTGAATGTATTGCGTAACTAATAATTGACGCATCTGGACAGGTGCCGCGTAAATGATCAACCGCGTATAAAAAATCCGCGTAAACCGAGACTATACTATAATAGATGATTATTACTCTCTCAAAAACAGTTTTTCATTAAAATGCTTCTCCTTAGTTCATCCATATGGTTTAGGGAGATCTTTCACTATGTGACCTAGAAGTTGCAGGCTGATATCTTTTAAAGAATTTTTGTTTATACCATTTACAGATAATATAGGTGAAAACTGCTATGTACCACCTGTCATAGAAAATGGAAACAGCGCCTGGGTGAACCGGACATGGCTCGTGAGGGAGACTGTGGTAGCTACCTGCTCCCCTCAGCATATATTTGTTGCAGAAAATGCAACAGAGCGCCATGTTGTATGCACTGACTATGGCTGGGAGAATGTAACTGCATGTGAGAAAGGTGAGATGTTCCAGTATTCCTGCAAATGTATGAAAACTAAATGTATTTCCTTTCCACTCTTACAAGTTCTTTCAGTAAATTTTTACACCCCATGATCTAACAAATTAATGCGATATTCTCAAAAATTAATCATTTTCGACGGAAATGTTACTAGGAAAGGTTTTTAGAAACGACGAGATATACCTAGAACTGGATCCAAAAATAGTGTGGGACATTATGGGCAGCAGAATGGACGTCACATCGAACAAAACCTTGTATAGTATTTTCATGGCGTGGGTATGTCCACTTTTTTGGAGTGAGAGTTGTGAACTCTTGGGACAATCTACCAGAAAGTGTTGTGATGGCACCGAGTGTGAGCTCTTTCATGACAAGACTTGACCAACACTGGAGCAGGTTCAGGTACATTCAGGAGCCGGTGCATGCCCAGTACTTGCCAACAGTGCCTAACAGAGACGTGACCGATCGCCCAAGCTGCTAACGAGCCGATCAGTGGTGAAGTGCTTCCCCATCTGGAGTACTGTCACCCCATCTGGTCCCCGAGATATGCTAGGGACTGTCAGTTGGTTGAAAATGTTCAAAGGAGGGCCACCAGACTGGTGCCTGCACTTCGGCACCTCAGCTACCCTGAGAGAGTGGAGCGCCTGAACTTGCCTAGCTTATACTAGAGACGGGCAAGGGGTGACCTAATTGAGGTGTATAAGCATCTCAGGGGGCACTACTCAGTCAAGTGTCCTTACTTGGAGATGGCGGACGCTCGTCCCACAAGGGGTCACAGATCAAGATTGAAGAAGCCGCAAGTCCAGAAAACCGTGAGGGCAAACTTTTTCGGAGTGAGGGTTGTAAACTCTTGGAACAATCTACCAGAGAGTGTTGTGACGGCACCGAGTGTGAGCTCTTTCATGACAAGACTTGACCAACACTGGAGCGGGTTCAGGTACATTCAGGAGCCGGTGCATGCCCAGTACTTGCCAACAGTGCGTGACAGAGACGTGACCGATCGCCCGGGCGGCTAGCGAGCCGATCTTTTTGTGAAGAAGATAAATGAAAAGGAAAAGTAATCAGAGACGTGACCGTTCGCCTAGCGACTAACAAGCCGATCAGTGGCGAAGAGAATAAAAGTATAAAAGTAAAAAAAGTAAAAGTAAATCTCTATCTTGTTTTTCGGTTTGAGATTCGAACCATTGTCTCATTATCTCCCTATGCCCTTTTTAGTTTTCTTCCCCATATAAACCATGTGAGCTTCAAATCTTCGCATATTCTTTTCAGTGTTTTGCTGTAAAAATCAAAATTTCATCCGAAAGTGAAGTTTGAAGTACAAACGTCCATCCTAGTGTGATATTGTGAACTTCAGACTTGCATCCCAATGTGATATTGTGGCTTACCCTGTATAGACTTTCATCATAATGTGATTTTATGAACTATGAACTTTAACCCCAGTTTAATGTGAACTCAAATTTACTTTTTTTTTTCACCTAAACCTAAAATCTAACCTAATATACCTGTACAGTGCTGTAGTTCAGTTGTGTCATTGTTGAGATTTTCTATGATGGGTTTTATCTCCATTCTCCAACACTTACTACCTCTTATTTTTTAAATCTTGTGCTACAGTGACTGTTACTAACTTGGGAAATTCTTTGTGTAATTTTTTTTTTAAAGAAGTTGGTATGTTGCAGTATGTGAAGGAGAACCGACTGTAGAAGGAGCCACTACAGACTGGTCATTGTCAGGGGTGTGGATGGTGGGAACCATTGTTAATGCCACCTGTATCTCAGGCCACTACTTAATACCCTCTGGCGACCAAGTGCAGATCATACAGTGTACTGATGATGGCTGGGATAATGGCACAACAGCCTGTATGGAAGGTGAGAATGTGCTTGTTATTTGCATTTTGAAAGAAGAAACATGTAATCGTCGGATTCCCTGACATGATTGTTAAGAAAATCAGATGTTTTTTACCAAATAATCCTAATCATACTTTGTTGACTGTTTATTGTCTCATAGAGTAAACATTTCATTCATCTAACTTTAATGGCATCTTTTATGGCTAGCCACCCATCACTATACCCTTTCTACTCTAACCTGGCCATAAGCCCCATCTATAGCTACAAATAGCTGATTGGTTCCCCTGAGTGTCTTACCTCCCCCCGGACTGCACTTGTACAATTGCGTATTTATATTTATCTTTTCTGATAAATATTAAAAATTTTCTAACATTCTCTTTGAAGTGCTAATGCCTTGAAATCATTTCCATTTTCATAGTTCAGATAATTATTTAACATTACTTTATAGGCAAGGGGGGCCTAATAGAGGTGTACAGTACTGTATAAACATCTCAAAGGGCACTATTCAGTCGAGTACCCTTACCTGGAGCTGGTGGACGTTCGCCCCACAAAGAGTCACAGCTCAAGGTTGAAGAAGCCACAAGCCCAGAAAACTGTGAGGTGTAACTTTTTCGGAGTGAGAGTTGTGAATTCTTGGAACAATCTGCCAGAGAGTGTTGTGATAGCACATAGTGTGAGCTCTTTCAAGACCAGACTTGACAAGCACTGGAGCAGGTTCAGATACATTCAGGAGCCAGCGCATGCCCAATACTTGCCAACAGTGCGTAACAGAGACTTGACCGATTGCCCAAGCGGCTAACGAGCTGATCAGTGGTGAAGAGCACAAAAAGTGAAAAAAGTAGATAATAACAGGTCTACTTACCAATTGTGAACACATTTAGTTTAAATTTTCTATGAACCAATCAGCTATTTGTCCCGTATAGAAAAGGGGCATGGTTTACGAGCCAGATTAGTGTGGATATATTACAGGCAGCTTGAGTATATGTGTAATGTATACCATCACCCTGAGAATGGGGAGTACAGTATATACAAGTTTTCTCACAGTCAGTACAGAGCAGCGATCTGAATGAGCACACTATCACACTTCATCTTTCCGTTAAGATTTTCCATATTAGAAAGTTTATAAGGTTAGTACTGTTGTGGGGTATGTTATGTTTGGGTTCACACTCAGGATGGGATGAAAAAGGAAACTCACAATGTGCTCTCTGTATACATGTTGTATTGGATGTACAATGCAGCTTGGTGCTGGGAAGTGGCAGCGTGGTTACAAGCGTGATGTAGAGAGAAGCTGGTTGGTGAGGATGCTCAGAGAAGGACAGCTTGTGGGTCGCCATGCTCGCCGGCGGGAGTGAGGACCGCCAGGCAGTGGCGGAGGAGGAGGAGGAGGTGTTGCTCGCTGGTTGGTGTAGGTAGAAAAGAGAGTGGTCACCACGAGGTCAGGTCTTTTATAGCGGAGGTAGGCGTGGGTATATAGTTGACCCCCGCTCCGTGGGCGGCGCTGGTTGACCTAGACCACGAGGCATACACTGGGGGAATTCGCGGGGTCGGCTACTCAGCGACAAACAGCGTTTGTAGGGGAGAAATCCACTACACTGTATCCTTGTACCTTGCCATGGTGATAACATTAAAAGTACGTACTGTACCATCTCTCTTTTCTCCACTGCCTTCACACACTCAGGTTACCTAGTGAAGGATGGCTGGCCATTTATACATAAGTTATTTTAACATCCCATTTTATGGCCAAACCTAGAACTTAGCCGCTCAGAAATTCTCCCTCCTTCTGTGTGTTAGTGAGAAGGATTGCCAGAGCTGGAAAATCAGATTGAACCTAAACGGAGGGGCGAGCTTATATCCACATTATACTGTACTTAAGCCACCTAACTTATGACTTTGCCAGAAAATGCAATATCAATTTATCATTCCTTCAGTTTCTTATAAGAAATAAATATATTTTTCTTTAGTCACAAGAGTGTTAATTTCTTTAGTTTGTGCAAGAGTGTAACAAGAAAAATGAATGTTAAGATTTATATTTTTGGGTCTGGTAATACGTATTACAGAATATGTCATCCAGATTCCCATCCATTATTCATTACAGTTATTCTCTCTACCATATTTATGAGACCCATGTATTCAAAATTTGGCAAGTGGTTCTAAAATGTAGGATTGAATTTTTACCTTGCTTTGAAATGATGCGCTATATTCAACAAAAGCATTTTTGAGTTAATCCAAGAAGGTAAGTAGTGATGGACCAAGGAGAATTAAAGATCACCCAAAGTATTTTGATCTTCAGTAAAGTCTCATAGAAAAGTTGGTTGTTATCATGTACATTTAACCAACCTCAATCATTTACCACTATCCTAGGGTGTGTAGATAAGCCCGACTTTGGTAATGTTACCTCAAACTGGGTAGCAAAGGCATGGAAGACAAATGAGAATGTGACGGTCTCCTGCCCTGACCAACATTTTACCAGAGACAGATTGGAAAACACAAGCTTCACATGCACCTCAGATGGCTGGGTGATTGACTATCCTTGCATTAAAGGTGAGTTAAAATGTATAGCATGTTACTTTGTACTTAATGGTATGTGTTGTTGTGGATTATTGAGTGTATGATATTACTTGATAGTGTGTGATGTTGTGGGTTCTTGAAGGAGTAAGATATTACTCAAGGTTTTGCAGTACAGTACTGTATTATGGTTATTGTACAGTACATGTATACTAATTACTGGGGGGGGGGGGGTATGTGTGTTATGGCCTCTAGTTCTTGTTCTAAATCTCCAATAATTAATTAGTTTTCCTGAACTAACATTTTCTTCTAAACGATTTAAGCTAAAACTTCTCACATTTTATGTTCTCAACCAATTGTTGTTGATGTATGGTTATGACATTTTGCCAAAGTTGGTTATTGGTACTTTACAAAAGTAGGTGGGAATTATACACACAGCCAAGACATCCATTGTAAACAGTATCTAGTTTTATTTTACCTGCTTTTTGGCAACTTTAGGATTTAAGACATCATCTTCATTTAGGTTAGTAGTGAGAGCTCACAAGTAATACTTTTAAGAGAAAGTACAGTATGTATGATGATGACACACACACACACACACACATACATGTTCTTTCATTTGTGCATGTGTTTTTGTCAGCCTGTGAAGGAAATCCAAGTGTGGTGAATGCTAACGTGAGCTGGGTAGAAGGGATATGGCTGGAAGGGGAGAAGGTAACTGCCATTTGTAATGAACAACACCACGTCCACTGGGGCACTATCTCCTATACTATCCCCTGTACCAGTGAGGGCTGGGATAACTCCACCACCTGTGTTTTCTGTAAGTATATATACAATATCGTACAGTTATTTTCTCATAAAAAGAATGCTTGCCTCAGTAAGTAAATAAATATCAAATTTTCAAAGTATTCCAGATCAGGTAAAGTAGATCAAAATTATGAGCTACAGTATTTTCAAACGTATAATATTGTTTTTTTACGATGACAGTTGTCTCGAGTAACCTCATACATTTATGTTGTACAATAATTCTTCATAAATTCTCCATTTGACAGCAGGAGTTAATATGCTAGACTTGGATTCTTAGTTTATAATTGAATGAATTCCTTTTATTAATTTTTACATTGACATTAAATAAAAAAGTGAATACCTGTATAGTAATGTGGGGTGGGTTGGTTGCAAGCGTTGAGTAGAGAGAGCTGGTTGGTGAGGATGCTCAGAGGAGGACAGCTTGTGGGTCGCCATGCTTGCCGTCGGGAGCGAGGGCTGCCAGGCAGCGGCGGAGGAGGTGGTGTTGCTTGCTGGTTGGTGTAGGTAGAAAAGAGAGAGTGGTCACCACGAGGTCAGGTCTTAAATAGCGGAGGTAGGCGTGGCTTAGTAGTTGACCTCTGTCGTGTAAGGCGGCGCTGGTTGACCCAGACCACGAGGCATACACTGGGGAATTCACGGGGTCGGCTACTCAGCGACAAAAGCATTTGTAGGGGAGAAATCCACTACAGTAATTTCATTATGCAATCAAATTCAGTGATTTTTTTTTAAACATACTATGCATACTTAATTCAACAAATAGACAGTATAATTTAAATTTTCAATTAATTTCAGTCCTTTAATTATTATTTAATGTAACAATCAATCAAGCAAGATGCTATTCTCCTGTCTTAGGGTTGGCAACCGTGGCTCTCCCTTCCTAACGTTTTGGGGATATCTTTACTAATTCTCCCACATTTTACTTCTATTTGAGGACCCAGATTTTAATTTCATTCATTCATAATAGTCTCTGCCCATCCCTAGCCTCCTACACTCAGTTTTACCCATTAAAATCAAAACTATTTTCCCCTCCTGTCTGAATATATAACCAAAATACCTGTCTCTAATTTTTCATCTTTTCTTGCTTTTCATATGATTTTAATAATATGTTTGACTTACCTTCAGCATTTTCTTGTAGCACCACATTATGAAGGTCTCGCCTCCGACTGGTGTGTTTGAGCGTCCACACCTCAGACCCGTAGAATAAAACTGATCATACGTTACATTTCAGTAGTATTTTCCTTTAACCAAAATTAAAATCTAATTTTAACAGGACTTTAAGATTATTGAATGTTGTATACAGTACAGTACTGTATTTTCTTGACTGTTTTAATTTCTATGTCAAGCATCGCAGATTTTACACCTGTTTAAATTTCTTGTTGCCCACTAAAATTTTACTTTTGGATATATTATTTAATTAAGAAATAACCATTACATCCGTTTTTACTGGGTCAACTCTTTTAAGTTGATAGACTCCACTTTTTTCATGAATGTGTTGAATTGTTTTTTGTAATGCCTTATTACTACTTTTACTTAACTACCCATTGTTCAGTATACTGTACTGTACATTTACATTGCTACCCAACTTTGCTGTATGAGAATATATTCGCTTCTCATACTTTTCACCACTATAATATGTGGTGATATTCTTCATCAATTTTGTTATTTGAACATGTCCATCTTACTTCACTTAATCATAAAATGCTCCACTGCAACCTTTCCATATACAGTACTGTATCTGTAAATATTTGCATACTTTCTGCCTTCATAATTGAATGAAAGTCAACAGAGTAATTAAATTTTGCAAATGAATTTATGGTCTTTAATGTTTTATAATTAAGAAATGAAAAGTACAGTACATTTAACAGTTAAATTAATTAATCTCTTAATACTATATACTACAATACAGTATACCATATCATAATTTAAGTATTATAAAACTTTTCTATATTTTTAACTCTACATTATGTGACTTCCTTTCAGGATATTTGTTACCAGTTTTGCCTGCTGATCCTTGAAGTTTAAATCTAAGTAATTTGTCAAAGAATATCTTACAAGATTTATCCATTTGATATACTGTATTAATGTGTCACTAACACTTCTCTCACTGCAGCTTGATGTGCCAGACAACATAATACTGTATTAATTTGTCCTTTTGTTTCTAATTTACTTAACCTTACCCATATGTTTCATGCTTCTCAGAATTTCTCTCTCTATCTTTTCTCTCTTGGGTTTTGGAAGGAATGGAGGATGTGTTCTCATGTGGATAGACTCTTATGGATATTATTTTATGTTGATGTGGATGAGATCTTGTGGATGGAAGCTGATGTGAACAGCTAAAAAAACAACATCATACACTTCATCCAAAGTTCTAAATGTAAATGAATTAAAAAAAAAGATTAGTAGGTCACTCACATACAAACTTGGAAAACATTGTCTCTTTTTGGTTGTACATTTATGTGACAACATAGTCCTTGAAGTACGTATACCACTGAAATGGATGAATAAAACTTTCCTACGAAAGTGCATGTAAAATAAAATATCTGCCTCTCTATCTCGACATTACCACCCAACAACTTCCAAGGGACAAATATCCTCACTCCTACGTTCAAAGTGAACCTAACCTAACCAAATGTAAAAGCTAACCATCATCCTTCCCACACCTATCATCACATCCCACACTGATATACTGTCTGCTCATGTTTGGAACTTCTTTTTTTAATGTTGCCATATCTGTACAGTACAGTACTCTCTCTTGTGCATTATTAAGTCGTGTATCTCCCTTCAAATTAAAATTTTCATCTCCACCTGGAAAATTTTTAAATTCTAAGAGCATTTTCCTTGAGGCTATACAAACACTTTACAAGAAATTTTACATTGACAAATATAATGTCCCACACCTTTACATACACTGCATGTATCCAATAGTGCATCAAATGAAGCAATGCATTTAAAGGGCTCCATTATGTTGTCATTTCACACCATCCTTCATCCACAGGATAGACTGAACTGACTCCTTGATTATTGTTTTTAAGTAACGAAAAATAATAATACTGTAAATGAAAAGAGACGTGACCGATCGCCCAAGCGGCTAACAAGCCGATCAGTGGCGAAGAGGATAAAAGTAAAAAAGTAAAAGTAAATGATTGTTTACTGTGAAAGCTTGAATGTGTACATTGAATTTTAATTAAGTTGTTGACTATTGAGTGTATGACTGAATCCTGTTAAAATATGTAATTGTTTACTGTGAGTTCTTGGATTTAAGTTCTTTTTGTAACTACTGTACTGTAATAATGTTTAATATATTTTTCATGAGGTTGTGCATTGTGAATCTTGTTTATTAATAGAATTATTTACTCTGAATAATAGGATGAGTCATTTATATACAGTACAGAGTGTATACAGAAATGTTTGCAATCTTGGATGCAAATCTTGTTTAAATATAAAAAAATTAACAGTTAATCTTGTTTAATTAATATTATAATATAATCTCTTAAAATTTGTTTTGTATCATAAATTGATTTTCGAAAAATCTGCTTTTTATTATTTTCCTATTTGTACATACTGTACATCAATATACAGTAACTCACAAAAGTATCTGTCCATACTCTGTGTGAAACATTATGAGACCACAGATGATAGATATTAGGACATGTATTTAGTATACTTTGTTATATATATATTAACAAGTAATGCAATCTGTATTTAATTTGGCATCATTAATATGATGTTTGATTTCCAAACGTAGTGGGATCAGTATGACACAGAGCCACGCATACCAACCCTCCCAGGACATCACGAGTTGTATGTAGCCTTTCGAAAGTCATCGGACCCATCCTGGCAGATACTCTTTTGAGATACTGTACAGTTCCTTGATGTCCAAGTTATACAGGAAAATGTATGGCTCACTGTTTTGGTTGCTATGATCCTTCACATAATTTGTTGCTACTGTATATCGTTTAAAGAAAGAGATTAGGCTCATACCAAACTGCAATTACTGGATTCTCAAAAACTCCTATAGTGGTTACCTTTACAAAAGCAATCTTGTAATTCCACGTCCGGACATCTCCCAGATCTCCATGTCCACAATTCTAGCTCTGAAGTTACCAACATCTTACGTCTCCGGCACTGCCTCATGATGTCCAATGACTCCGGCACTGCCTCACAAATATCCCACAGCTAGTGTACTTTACTTTACTTTATCCTGTTCCCCACTGATTGGCCATGTCTCTGTTACACACTGTTGGCAAGTACTGGGTATGTACTGGCTTCAGGTGTATCTACAGTCTGGTCTTGAATGTGCTAACACTCGATGCTGTCACAACATGCTCTGGCAGATTATTCAAAGACTTCACAACTCTCACTCTAGTGTGGCGGGCATGCGCTAGTTCCAGGTAAGACTACTCGAATGAGTAATGCCCTCTAAGGTGCTTATAGACTTACTTTAAGTCATCCCTTGTCTATCTATACATTAGTATCAGCTAGGCAACTGCAGGTGTTCTAATCTTTAGGTACCTGAGGGGAGTGCAGGCACTGATCTGGTGGCCCTCCTGTGGACATTCTTAGTCAACCGAATCTAGCATATCTTAGGGACCAGATGGGTTGACAATACTCCAAATTGGGAGGCACCTCATTTTTGAAGATAACTGTATTATGAAGGTCGAACATGCACATCCATGTCCTTTACATATTTGGTCTCGGTTAATGTTTCTTCATCATATTGGAATATGTAATTCGCCTCCTTGCTATTGATACAGCCATTCTGTTGCCCACTCTTGAAGCTGGTAGGGATCTTCCTGTAGCACTTCACAGTCCATTTGAACCTTAATTTCCTTGAAAAACTTATCGTCATTCGCAAACATTTGTATGGAGGATTTTATAGCCTCTGGCATTTAATTTATGAAACAAACAAACAACAGTCACAGTGACACTGTCCTATGGTACCTCGCTTGTCACAGGTACATATGACGATTTCGTGCCATTCACCACACATTGCAATTTGTGGTCATGAAGAAAATCTCTGATTTATGCCAGGACGTTCTCCTAAGTTTAGTACCCTTTCAGTTTAATTTTCAGCCATTCATTAGGTACGCTGCTGAAAGGCTTAGCAAAGTCAAGGCATATGCAGTATTGCCAATATTTCCACCAAGCTTCAGAACCTGAGTCCATACATCCCGCATCTTAAGTAATTGTGTCAAGCTGGAGCATCTAAGCATAAAACCGTGTTGGTAATGTTGCTGGGGACCATTTGCTTATCCATGCATCTGCAGACCAGGCATTGGATACTTAAAAGTGGTTCAAAGTTATGACCTGCAGGGTGGTCACAACTCTCAAGCCGTTTGAAACTAGAGGCGGCAGCAAACTGGGCACTTTCCTCCAAATATGTTTGGCAAACAGTCCGGCCAGCAAAATATAGAGACTTTTGCATCACACTGGGATGTTTTGTAAGCACATCTGCCCAATGCAACGAAAACAACAACAAAGCGTCTAGATGAGGTTTGCCATGGATCCCATCACCACAGATGAGGCCTTGCAGGATTGTGCTATAGTTGTTCAATTGCTAAAGCAAGTAAGACGTCTGCAAAAGCTAAAGAAAAGACAAATACCTGAAGGTGCAATGTGAATTTTTTTTTTAAGTGGTGGCAGCTGGCAGTTCAACTTATTTTTACTTTTATTCTCTTCACCACTGATCGGCTCGTTAGCCACTTGGGCGATTGGTCACGTCTCTGTTACTTTTCCTTTTCTTTTATCCTCTTCACCAAATGATTGGCTCATGAGCCGTTTGGGCGATCGGTCATGTCTCTGTTACGCATTGTTGACAAGTACCCGTGCATGCACCGGCTCCTGAATGTACCTGTACCTGCTCCAGTGTTGGTCAAGTCTTATCTTGAAAGAGTTCACACTCGGTGCCATCACAACACTTTCTGGTAGATTGTTCCAAGAGTTCACAGCTCTCACTCCGAAAAAGTTTGCCCTCACAGTTTTCTGGACCTGCTGCTTCTTCAATCTTGAGCTGTGACCCCTTGTGGGGCGAGCGTCCGCCAGCTCCAAGTAAGGACACGCGACTGAGTAGTGCCCCTTGAGATGCTTATACACCTCAATTAGGTCACCCCTTGCCCGTCTGTAGTATAAGCAAGGCAAGTTCAGGCGCTCCAATCTCTCTGGGTAGCTGAGGTGCCGAAGTGCAGGCACCAGTCTGGTGGCCCTCCTTTGAACATTTTCAACCAACTGACAGTCCCTAGCATATCTCGGGGACCAGATGGGTGATAGTACTCCAGATGGGGAAGCACTTCACTCTTGAAGATCGTTATGAGGGTTATAAGACCCAATAATTTATATGTCTGATTTACCTTCTTCTCGTAATGGCCCGAGAACTTCAGCTCATTGTCAACATACACACCTAGGCCCTTCTCACATTCAGTCTCAAATAGTGCAGTTTCTTCATCCCGTTGGGACATATGCTACGCCTCCTTACCATTGGTATGCACCAGGTGCATCCTCTTATACTTCGTGACATTAAATTTCAGCAGCCATTTCTTCGACAATTCTTGAAGCCCATAGAGGTCCTTCTACAGCTTTTCACAGTCCGCTTGGTTCTTGATTTCCAGAAATAACTTGGCGTCATGAGCAAACATTTGTATGGAGGAGTGTACAAAATCAGGCATGTCATTTATGAAACAAGCAAACAACAGCGAGCCCAATAGACTGCCCTGTGGTATCCCGCTTGTGACAGGTACGGATGAGGATTTCGTGCCATTAATCACCACACACTGCTTGCGGTCATGTAGAAAGTCTTCTATCCACGCTAGGACATTTCCCCGAATTCCGTACCCTTCCAGTTTGATTTTCAGCCTTTCGTGGGGTACACTGTCGAAGGCTTTGGCAAAATCTAGGCGATCCTTTACAAGGTTGTTTCATAGTAGATGTTCCATTGCGGCATCTCATCCGTCTATAGTTATATGTGGAGTGACGATTGCCCTTCTTGAAAATAGGGCTCACATGAGCCACTTTCCATTCACTGGGGACCTTTTGTTCATCAAGGCATTTACAAAACAGGATCTTCAGAGGCTCTGCAAGCTCGTTGCTCAACTCTCTTAGCACTCTAGGATGCACCATGTTAGGGCCGGGACACTTATGGACCTTTAGCTTTGACAGTTTATTTCTAATACCCTCTTCTGTGAACACAATGTGGGTCAGTGCTGTGTCGAACAGTCTGTCCTCAAACGCCTGGCTGGCTCTAAGGTCTTGCCTAGCATAGATAACCACATCCCTCTTGCAAGTTTCTTGAGAAAGGTTCGAAAATGAGTCATATCCAGCAATACTGAACTCGTTCCTCTGGGTCGATTCTCCTGTTCTTGTACAACAGTTCTACAACTCCTACAATGTCTGGTTGGTGGACCTTCCGTAGTATTTCAAACTCCTCTCTCTTATCAAGGAACGTGTCAGCAGTGCTGGATTTAGACCTGTGGAGGCCATGGGCAGCCTCTTTGTGGAGGCCCCCCTCATTATAACTACCCAAGAGGGTGGGGTGGCTAGTGAAGGGAGCCTAAACATCTGGGAGTTCCGGGGGGCGCTGTAAGCCCCCCGGGAAAATTTTGAAATTTGAACACTTCTTTGGAGAATTTTGAAGCCATATGCAGTTATATTGAGGAAATTAGAACATTGAGAAATTTTTAATTAACTGTATATTTATTGATAGTGTACAAATTGTAATATGTGGAAGTCCCTGGGCAGCTGCCCACTTTGCCCGCTCCTGAATCCGGCCCTGCCTGTGTCGGCACACTTGCTTCCACTATCCTCCCCCTGAATATAACCCATGTACACCCGTCCCCGTTCCTCCTCGACTCTGTTGTCTGTAGCTCACATATTAAGCGAGATATTGCCAATTACATTTGGGCGAAGTGGCCATTTTGAAAAATGGCCGCCACCGCTGTCCACACCTCAATTCAGTTGGGGACTTGGAGTACAATCTTCAAATTCACCCTTGTGGGTCAGTCCCATACTTGTATAAAAAGTGCATGATTTTGTCCTGATCCTCTGGAGTGCACTACCCTAATCGTGATGGAATTACATTGGCTTTCCATTAAAGCTAGACTAGTGTTCAAACTATAATGTCTGCCTTTAATTTATTATTATTATTATTATTATTATTTATTTATTTGTTCCTACAATTGAAACATCATTGCATGCGTTTTTCAAATTTCATTGGGGGAAAATTTGAATGAGTCTTCGAGAACCCGGAGAGGGAGCTGTACCGAGGAGACACCTAGCGGGTGACATGGCAACTATAGATGTAAACAAAGGCTACACCCGCGCAGGTTTTGAACGCAACCTAACATGACCCATCAACTACTGACCCCAGCTGACCCTTCACACGAGTACCTGGTTAGTACTTTGATTGGGACAAGTTATTACCCATTGAAGGTATTACAGTGTGTGAAAGAAATGTTTGTTCAGGTAAAATATGGATTTGTGGATTTGACCTCTTTGAAGGATTAACGATTTGAAGAGGAAACGGGTGTGGCGTTTTATGGTGCATGTATTTGTGTTCGATTATTGTTCATCTCCCTTTTAAAACAGGTGAAACTGACTGTATATTTTTTTTAAGAAGAGATAAATATAAACACGTTTGGCATTCTTGACACGTATTTTAGAACTTCAGTTTTATTCTAATGATACTTCAAGGACAACCTTATTTCCGGAAAAAGGTTTAGTATAATACTATATATTATCCCAATCTTCCCAACTAGTATGACATTTTCCTTGTGTAGTTTGGTGTTTTTAATCGATTTAACATTTGTTTCTTGTGGAAATGTGCTGTTCCTAACTTAACCTAACCTAACCTGGTCATTTTTCGTTAACCACCTATCACCTTTCTTCATATGAAAATATATTTTTTCGTTAGTTTTCTTGCTGCTTTACATGATTCTGACATTTATCTTTGGGGCAAATCACTTTTTTTTATATAGTTATCCCCCCCCCCCCCTATCCCTGCCACCCCAACAACATAGTGGGCCATGGTGGGAATGTGGGGTTTTGAGTGGGGGGGGCTGGAGGTTGAAAACGATTGCTTTTCACCAAAAATAAATGTCAGAATTATCTAAAACTCCAAGAAAACTAGCAAAAAAATAACATTTTCATGGGAAGAAAGGTTAAAACTAAACTAGGTCTACGTACTAACCTGGTGGTGGACTACTCATACCCAGGCAAATCGTACCCACATAAGAACATGTCAACTCATACCCAATTACGAGATTTTAATACTGTATATGAATACCGGTAGCAATGTGTTTTTAAAAAAGTGTTTATTTGACCTTAACTTTAACAAATTAAGAGTAAATACGTCTGCTCTCTCTCTCTCTCTCTCTAAATAGGAAGAGTGTGAATATCGGGTGACACATAATCAAGTAGTTACGTTACTCATACTGGTCTTGTTCCGTGTGGTCGGGAATTTTTAAACAAATCTATCCAGAGAATGATTAACATACAATAACATAACTAATTGTATATGCGTTGGCCAATATCCTCACTCTTCGTTCTTTTATATCCTTATTACTACTATATTTTATTCTTGACGTTGACATGTCAGAAGAAAAAATTCCTGACGATGTCACGATGTCAGCCACTCCATAGAACAAACTCGTTATACCAGAAGAAGTACCAGAGAGGAGTCCCGAATTATATGCTGTATGCTAACTGATTTGTTTACAAAAGCTGGACCTGGAAAATCAGTCTGTTTTTATGCATGTCTATATTTTGTTGACTTATGACCATTTTAAACGTTTACATCGCCCAGTTTATAAATTGAAACTGCCATATCTATCCGCCTGAAATATGTAAATTGCAATAAAGTTATTCTAAATCACATAGTGTGAAATAGGTACTTGTAGTGCAATGTATGTGTGACGGAATACTTAATTAATGAGATGCAACCATTTTAAAGCCTGCATTACATTTCCCTATTTCACTGCACTTTCCTCCAAGATTTACATAATCTTTTTTTTGTAATCATAGATAAAGCCGAATTGCATGGTACATATACTAATAGGTATGAATTATCTCTTGAATTGGGTGTAAGTTATCTAGTGTACGACTTATTTCGTGAGTTGGGTACGAGTTGTCTTGGGTACGAAATGACCCTAACCCGTACTAACCTAACCTTACCTGACCTAACCTAACAGGCACATCCTAACCTAACCTAACGGCCCCCAGTGATGCTGTGTTCCTTAGCCATGGGGATGAAGTCACTGCCAGTGTGTTTTCAAAATAAAAATGACGGCTGCGCAGTATTATGAAATTTCCATCCACCCACGCATCAAGGCATGCTAACACACAAACGAATGAAAGGGAGCGACGTTGCGTATCACCATAACATCAAATTGGGACTTAGAAAATTGTTTTATTATTGCAACAAATAAATCGCGAATATCGCGTTTATTTTTGGAATGCCCCACTAAATTCAAGTACGTACAGTATATTCTGGATTTATGCGGTTTTGTTTACGCGTTTGGTCATTTGCGCGGTGCCTTGCCAGAATGAAATGTTTTAATTATGCGGCAAATTTCATCATTTACGCGGCGAGCGGCTGGAGAGGTCCAGACACGCCGCGCCATTTTTTACTCACGCGGTCCATTCTTGACCATTGGCGGGAAGCGGCGTGGCGAGGGGTGCTATAACTAATGGAAAATGGTGCCATAATAGCGTAAGAGATTAAGCGCCCTCTTGATGGAGAACAATAAGAATAGGTTCATGTTTATAAGTTAGGCATTTATAACTCGGGAAAAGACTGTATACTGTACTGTACTGTACTGTACCATACAGTACCGGGAAATGTTAAAAATGAAAAATAATTGCAAGAATAATGTTTGACATATTGTAAATTCCTGTCATTTTGTGGGATTTTCACAAGGTAAGAAAGCATTTACCTTTTGTAAAAATAAATTCCTAATGTTCCTGTTTAGCATGCAATAACATCATCCAGTATTATGAAAAAGAATAAGTGGTTTACAATATGTCTGACTTGAGCTCAAATGTACCTCTGAGAACTGGCATACAGTAGTTCACTAATTTATTTAAATCACCAGACCTCTATAGTCATGTGAAGGAAAATAACGAATTATTTTGATCATGTGAAGATTATGCATCCAGCATATTTTACCTGATGACTAAACAACCTAACCAAGATTACGAAGGGTTGGTATTCATGTTTAATCATCAGGTGAAATAATTCAGGGTGCTTAATCTTCAAGTGATCCAATTATTCGTACTGTACAGTGTATTTGTATGATTCCATCTATGCCAGATTGCCGGCATAAATAGACTTTTAACCCCTTCTGTATGTGTTCCACTCTTTGCTGAATAAAATCATTTGATGGTAGCCAAATAAAATATTAAAAGTGGCATCCCCATAGTAAATGGGTTAAAACAATTGTGAATAGCTTAAACAATTATGAATAACTTCCTTTATGGTAATTTTCTTAGGAAATTAGCAGGTTGAGAGAGTTCCTCTGGAATTTTTCCCCTGACCTTTAATAATGTACTGTTTGAATAAGGGGAATAATACCTGACAACTTTGTAATAAACGATGGACTATATCCAGGTACTGTGCTGTAACAAAAAACTGTACAACTTGGAAGATTATATTTATTTTTAAAAAATCCACTTAACTTTGCTAAATAGGTGAACATTTAAAAAATTTAGAAGATATAGTAGATTAGTTAAAATATTTCAGAGTGAAAGTACAGTAATACTGTACTGTATAGTGAGATACAATGCAATATTGGGTACATACAGTGGTGTACTTTGTGCTTGTGTACAGTAATTATAATTTTTTTCTTGAAGTACCATACATCATGCAAATACAGTATTGTACTGTAGTAGCTATTTAAGATTACATTTAAAAAAAAAGTGTGTCCAGTACCCAGTAACTGTTTTTGGGAGCTACATTCAATAGGGCCACCAACACCTGCACTCAGCCTACGAAGGAATCTGCAGATTTTTTTACTAATCCACAACTCATTTATTGCCAAGAAATCTCTACCACATGATTTTTTAATTCTTGTAAATTTCTTGAGATGTAATCTCTTTTTGGTTCTGACACCTTTATTATCATATGATAGTGTTTCAAGCGATGGTGAACAATATATCTGCCATTGTCATCATTTTGTTTTTAAAAGTTAGCTAAAATTTCTCCCCTTTCACTTCTATTCTTCAACTCATATGGACCTACTTGTGGTGGTGCTTTCCCTCTGCTTACTATGACAATTTATGTTACAGGTACAATTTTAAATTTTGTGTTTACAGTGCTTCTCATACCACCTAGTATTTCAGTCATTTAATACCCAGAAAAAGAGTGCACTGTACATGTATTTGTCATATGATATATACTGTATGGCTGTATGATAAAAATATTTGACAGATTTCGTAGTGGCAAGAAAACTTGACTGACCATGGGCGACCGAAGTCTACCTCCGCAGGTGGATGGACATCCACAGGTGTGTACAGTACTCTTTGCAAATTTTACACACAAAATTCTTAAAAGTATTTGTGCTGGACTTAGTACAGTTCTGTGTAACACTCATAACATGCTCTTTATTTTCACATGAGTTAATAATATTTTGTTAAGATTGATATTGGTGATAACAGTACTGGTAATACAGTAGTACAGTACTTGTAATAATCAACTTTATTTCCAGAACTTGATCCCGAAGGCAAAAAGATTTTTTATAGTAATGTACAGTATTGTAAATGACCATGATGAATTTAACACACATCAGGGTAGTTGAAAATTATAGATGAATCATTTCATATTTAATTGTAACCTTATTCATTTGTCAAGTGTCAGTATGAATAATAAGATTTGGATAGCTAGGAGAAAATTGAATGACGGCAAAACCGAGAATATTGACATCCAAAGAAATAGGAGGGGAGACGGCATAAATAATTTTGGCTCTTTCAGGGATGTGATTTCTCCATTTTTTCTGGTTTTCCGTTTTTTTTCCATCGTTTTAGGCAACAATAAATAACAATACGTAATTGACCCTCAAGGGTTGATGGGTCTGTCTTGCGAGGACGATGAGCCAGTATACTGAGTATAGTGGCCACACTGTACATCTTCATGCATTACATCATATACTCTAGGTCTCTTTGGCTAAGTACAGTATTGCTTGTTTTGCTTTCCATTCTTCGATTCTTTAGTATTTCATTGACCAAAGATCAATGACGTCATACAGCGCCACTGTTAGAAGCTTTATAATATGCCTCTCCAACCTATCCACTTGATGCGGGGGAAGGGCTAAGGATTTTTCACTATAACTAAGTTTCAATAATCATTTTACACTTTCTGATGATCATAATTTATTCTATAATCCATGCAATATTTCATAGTTGTATAGACAACTCAGTAGGGCATGTGTGTGTCCCCCAGGAAGTCAGGGCTGTAGGCTATGTGTGTGTGTGTGTCCCTTAGGAGGTCAGAGCTGTAGGGCATGTGTGTGTCCACCAGGAGGTCAGGGCTGTAGGGCATGTGTGTGTCCCCCAGGAGGTCAGGGCTGTAGGGCATGTGTGTGTCCCCCAGGAGGTCAGGGCTGTAGGGCATGTGTGTGTCCCCCAGGAGGTCAGGGCTGTAGGGCATGTGTGTGTCCCCCAGGAAGTCAGGGCTGTAAGGCATGTGTGTGTGTCCCCCAGGAGGTCAGGGCTGTAGGGCATGTGTGTGTCCCGCAAAATGAGTAACAATGTGAGAAATTAAGTTAAATACGGTGAAAACTTCCCAGGTAGGTGTTTCCCCAAACCCCCTAGCTCAAATTTGCTTTATTTATTTATTATTATTATTTTATTTTTTTCAAGACTCAATTACATCCCTGCTCTTTAAACTTCGGGGAAGTACAGCTCAGTCTGGTCTATTCTGTTTGTAATTTTGGAGTGTATAGTACTTAGACTTAAAATTTAATGGTTAAGAACATATAAATTCTAGTTAAGAGTTGCAACTTTTATATTCAAAAGCTTTAGCTGTGCAAGTTAAACAGTTTTTGGATAGACATTGTCTTGTGACACTTACATTCACTAATTTTGTCTTGGGTTCACTATTGTAACTTAATGGGTTTGCCTTCCTAATTATCTACTGAAGAAAGTTCAAACAGTGTTGAACATGGTTGCCAGGCTTATTTTTGCTCTTCCATCAAGGACTCCGACTACCCAAGTCTTGATCGAATTACATTGGCTTCCAATTAAAGCGAGGATAGAGTTCAAACTGTCTAATGACTTTTATTTGGTGAGCCTAAGTATCTGGCCAACCTACTAATTCCTCTGACTACACATTCTGAAATGATTTTGCATAGTAGTGATGATCCTTCACGCCTTGAGGAGCCTAGAGCAGTACGGGAATGTTCTTTTGCTGCCCGATCCTTTTCCTGTGCAGCACCCAGATTGTACAATTGGTTGCCTGCATCCATGAAGCAGCTGACTTCTGTGAAGGCCTTTAAAAAACAACTTAAGGCCTTACTTTTTTATAGCTTTTGATTCTGAAGAATTACAGGGTTTAGGAAATATTAAAGCTTTAGGGTATTTGAATGATAGAAGTTGAACTTTCACTTTTTGTGATGTTTTATTGAAGTACAGTATTTCTTTTTATTGTCAAGTCTTTGACTCTTTAGTGTTTCGAGCGTTAGTTAATTTTTTAGAAGAACTGGTACTTTTGAGATACAAAAGCATTTTTTATTATTATTGTTATTATTATTATTATAATTATTGTTGTTGTTGTTATTATATTTTCAATATACTGTAACTAAAAAAAATTCCTTCACAGGGCCGTCTTGATCTCATTTTTGGGCGTCCTGTTTTGTTCCCACCTGCCAAAGCTACACAGTCATTCATCTTCACATTCCGTTGGTGGGGCGATATACGACCTTGTCTTCTAAGGTAATAAACTCATTACTATAGTTCACAGGAAATATGAAAACAGGTACAGTACTTGAAAGTATGAAGGAATTATATATTATTACACGATTATCAATTCTTATAGGAGAGCAGAAAGATCATTGCATTTTACTCTAAATTCAGTAGTTCTTCTGAGAAATGGAGAAATTTCAATTTGGGAAATTAGGGTGTCAGTGGAAAATGAATGAATAATTGATGTGTACCATACATCAGCTGTGTCTGAAATGCATTACAGGTATTTAGATATTTTTGGCCTTGATACAAATGGGTGCATACTCAAGGGAAAGGTGTCTTCCAAGTGTACTCAAAATGACGTAGGCAAGAGATATACCATATGCACATAGAGTGGTGTAATTGCTTTTTTGTATTGATTATCCCCACAATGGCAGAACCTGAAGGAATTTAGGCACCAGAGCTCTAGTATGGTATTATTACATTTCAGAATTAGTAGAACAATATGATTTATGTATACAGGTATGTTAATGTTTAGTTATGAATATTATTTATATGGTTATGGAAGTGAACATTGGAAGAAGTTATGATTGTACTGGGTTTTATTATTTTTTTTTAGAATTATAAAAAACAAAAGACAATAGAAGAATACAGGAATAAGAGAGGAAAACATTAACTGTAGTAAGGTAGACAATCATACACTTACTCAACCTCCCTGTTCACAACATTCACTCTATCAGGGAGCTTCCCTCAGAGGGGATGATTATAATGGAAGATTTTTTTGCCTCTAATCCCCATATCCTTTGCCATTATATACTTAATGTACTGTTCCACTTTTCCTTCTCTTAATGTGAGTGGGGTCCTTCTACCTAGTGTGCTACCTACATTTCCTCAATCCACCCACTGTGTTTTCTCTCCTCTATCCTTTTCATGAAGCCTTTTAACCAATTTCATTACAGTTTACACCTTATTTCTTTTCTGACTTTTCAAATACCCCTTACACTTTTTTTTTATCTCTTTCATTCTGGTAACCCCAGATACAGTCCTCAGGTACTGTAATTTGCCTTTGTGGATTTAATTTTAAAATATTCCATTTCAAGTCTATGTTTCTCTGCTGAAAGTTAAGGTAGGAAGCATTAGGCTATCCCTGATTTCCTTTACCTTCAGGCTAACATTCCTTCGTTTGGTGATGTTTTGCAGTTCTCAGGTTACCTTCCTTCCATGTATTGGTCTCTCCGTAAAGTTACTCTCTATTTTACTAGTCTTACATATTTATTTCAAAGCACTTGAAATCCTTTGACTTTACCAGTATCTCATTCGTCATCATAATTTTAACAAATAATTTTCTTTAGTGTCTGTTCTCTCTGGTTTACCAGAATCCACTAAGTAAAACTCCTTCCTCCTGAAAACCTTTACTGTACTCCACCTAATATACAGTATACTGTACTTTCAATTTCTTTCTATCACACATTCTGTCAAAGTCTTGCACCAATTTGTTCATTTCATGTTTATCGAACACAAAAATCGCTGCATCTCTTGTGTAGACATGTTACTAGTGACTACTTCATATCTCCCAACTCTGGTTTTGTTCCTGTTCTAATCATCTTACCTTCATTTCCCTTATCACTCTATGGGGACATCTCACATCCTGCTTTAATCCAATTTTCATGTCAGAACTCATTTAGTACTCTATTTTTGCTCTCACACACGCTTCACTGCTCTTGAAGAATACTTTCACTGCATCAGGTAGTATTCCTCCAACTCCATTACAGTGATCTTCTTCACCTCGCACAGTGCCTTTTGATCTACATTGGCATTTACTTTTTCCAGGCTCTTAAATGCTTTATACAGTTCCAGATTTTACAAATGCATTTTTATGCAAGCAATCTTATTAAGAATATTGTGTACTGTATATACCCATACCTCTTCTAAATCTTCCATGACTTTCACCTATCTTACATTTTCATATTTTTTCCTCTAAATTAACAAATATTGTACAGTAGACCCTTGCCATTCGCGAGGGATAGGTTCCAAGAAATGGCTCGAATTGGCAAAACCGTGAATAGCCACTTAGTGCACTAATATACAGGTACTGTATACCTATATTGTACTGTGTATGAGAATCTTAAGTCACAATGCTGTACTTACATTCGTATGTGAAAGTCTGGAGCTTGATGAAGTGGTGCACTGTACATAAGGAGACATCTGGTTACTGAAGCAGAGATGGATCATCAGGATCACTGGTGGAAGAGGGTGAATCAGTGGTGGTTGGTGGAGAGGCAGGTGGTGAAGTGACGCGCGACCGGGAGGTAGAGCGTGGTGAGGTGGCGGGTGGCTGGGAGGAGGAGGGTGGAGCGGCAGCAGTAGTAGCTGGTTCTTTCTTGAAAAACATGGTGTTTGGTAGTTGTTTCCTCTTGGAAGGGTCATGGTCAACAATGAAACCATTCACCATCTTTACCTGACGAAGTAGTTCACCAAAATTTTCCAAGTTCCAACCTTTTTGTAATTCCATAATGTCCTCCTCTTCCTCAGCACTTGTTACCAACTCTTCCAAATTTTCTTCTGTAAGTTACTCTCCATGCCCATCAATCAGCTTTTCCACATCTTCAGCAGCCATGTCCACAAACCCCTCACCACCCAACTGCCATGCAACACTCACAATTTCATTCACATACTTTACTATGGACGGAAATCCCTGAAAGTTATTCACACACTCAGGCCATAAGGTGTGCCAACAGGCATTCACTGTCTCTGGTTTGAGTTCATTGAATGCTTCACTGATGTTGGTAAAGCAGTCCGCAATACTGTACTCCTTCCAACACTTGCTAACATCAAGGTCAGGGTCTTCGTCCATGGCACTGGATAAGAGCAGTGGTGTTAGAGGGTAGGAACACCACCTTTACACCTGGATGGCTATACTGTAAACTTTCTGGGCGACCTGGTGCATTGTCAATCAATAATAACACCTTTAATTCCATCTACAGGTATAGTACTTGGAAGCAAGGTATTTTTCCACTTCCACGGCGAAGTATTTATGGAACCAGTCCAGGATTGCTTGCACAGTTACCCATGCCTTTTTGTTGGACTGCCAAAACACTGGCAAAAGGTTCTTGTTTTTTCCCTTTAAAGCCCTGGGGTTTGCTGAGCGGTAAAGCGAGCCAGGTTTGTTCATGTGGCCAACCGCTTTGCCACAGATGAGCGTCACTCTGTCCTTGGCTGCCTTGAACCCAGAGGCATGCCTCTCCTGTCTGTTTATGTATGTTCTACCAGGCATTTTTTCCAATATAGACCAGTTTCATCAGCATTAAACACTTGTTCTGGTTCATAGCCTTTCTCTTCTATTGTTTTCTTTATCTTGGCGGGAAATGCACCTGCGGCTGTGTGGTCAGCTGATGCGGCCTCCCCAGTCAGCTTCACATTATAGAGCGAGAATCTTTTCTTAAAATTCTCGAATCAACCTGGCACTAAAACTTGGTTCAGTCACTGCACTAGCACCTTTCACCACCTGTTGACTCGTAAAAATGAGCATAAAGACTTTTCGCCTTTTCACGAATCACGTTACTATCGTTGGGAACATTTTTGCGGTGCTGGTCCTCAATCCAAATGTTCATTGCTTTTACAGCTTTCACTCTTTTCTTGTTATGAACAACCTGCGTCACTTTAGCACTTGCAGGAGTACTTGCTTGAACAGAATGACGAATTGCTTGTTCATTCTTTCTTATGTACCACACTGTGGATTCGTTCACACCTAACAACTGACCAACCACGGCATCACTCATTCCCTCTTTTAACTTGTCTAATAATTCAATATTCCTTGCCAGGGTCATCATTGACTTTTGCCTTTTATGTTTCAATCCACTAGCATCACTAGCATTGACACTAGGCAGTCTTTTTGGGGCCATTTTCACGAAGAAACACAAAGGTTTTGAGAGTATGACACGGGATGCTAGGTCACGGGTACTGGGTAAGGGCAAACAGAGCGGGATGAGACGCTGCGGGTGCGTGGGGTGACTTGTTGTGCTGCGGGAGAAGGCTCGCATGCTAGCCACCCGAGCCACCAGCTGCTTACCGTGAATCGTTGAAATCACGAATCGTAAACCCGCAAATGGGAAGGGTCTACTGAATACAGTACATAATTTTAAAATTTTTCCTGGTTCAAGATTTGATAAACTTTATTATTAGTAACACAGGTAAAGTGTCTTGTAAGGTCTTCTGTGAGAGTATTAAGATATAATTTTTTGTTACAGGCTTCCACCAGAGAAGAGTGAAGCAAGAATCACTTACTATGTCACCTGCAGTTCACAGTCATTTCGACAGTATCTGTGTGACAGCAAAAGTTTACATATTAATATCAAGATAGGTGGGGGAGAGAATATGGAAATAACAGAGGATGATAGAACATTATTTGGGAGACAGATACAAAGCCCAAGAAGAATAGAAGGTGATACACCTCGGCAAAAGTTACTCAGACGGCAGTTAAGGCTTAAGAAAGGTTGGCAAGATGGTGACACAATAGGGACATTAATACTCCCAGATTTAAAACTAAATTCACGAGGTGAATATGTTCATGAGGGACGAATAATTGACACTTCAGCTGACATAATAGGCACAGTTATTGTTACCATGGTCTTCATGGAGGGTACCCTTGAAGCTTTTCAACAAATAAAGATTCAAAGGGAAGAACAAACTTTTCAGCATGAAAACAATGCACATGAAAAGGCAGATGAAAACAGGTCCAAACATCGTATGTCTGGGATTCCAGTTTTGGGGTCACATGGTAGTAAGTCACTGAAAACTCCACCACAAGAAGGTTATAGACCAAGAAGCCGTAGTAGTAGCTTCAGGGAGTCACTCAAACAAAAGTGTGACAGACTAAAATCTCCGAAGAAGCAGCAACAGAGCGCTATTGATATTGCAGCTCAGGAGAAAGAAAACCAAGCTCCACAGAGGAAGAGAGCTGGTAGCTTTTCTCAGCTGGGAAGAGATGTGTCAGTGCAGCATGATAAACAGCAGGCTAGGAGACATGATTTCCTGCAAGTTAGGCATCAAGGTAGCCCACAATTTAGACAAAGAGAAAATTCTCACTGTGGACAGCAAGAAAGTTCTCCAGGGAGCCGGCGTGAAAGTTTTCAAGAGAATAGGTCAGAAAGTATTCAAGTGAATCTGGAAGAAAGTTTTCAAGAGAATCAGACAGAAAGTTTTCCATGGAGTCAACAAAGTTTTCAAGGGACCCGACTAGAAAGTTTTCAAGTGGGCCATGATCAAGCTTCGCAGTTGAGGCAGCAAGTTCATTCAGAAGCTGGACATCAAAAAAATTTGCAAGTGGGGCCACATGATAGCCCTCGGGTAGGACGTCGGGGTATACCGCAGTTAACTCCTCAGAAGAATTCACAGATGATACAGCAAGACAGCCCACAGATAGTACACCGAGAAAGAAAACCCCAAGATGGTAGTTACAACAGAGAACGACCTGCAAGCTGGGGCCTGTATCCAATGTTAAACAGAACTGATCCACATTCTTTAATTGGTACGTCCATTGGTTTTAGTTCTTCATTTCTTTTCAAATGGTTAAAGGTCTTTACTTATGTTATAATCTATTGCCTTAATTCCCCAATTATAGTACTGTATTCAAATCATCATAACACAGTTTGTAGTATAATAATTTATATGTACATTATTCTTTATGCCCATCATGGACATGAGAGTAGAGAAATAAAAGGGTCCCTTAATACAGTATTACCTCTATACTGAAATAATGGGTGAGCAGCCGCTTTTGTAAAGGGAGTTATTCGGTATAGAATAAATCCGAAAAACTTGTCCAATACTTAACTTTGTTCAGTGTATGAAAAAGTTCTGTATTTTTAGTCCAGATGAATTGACACAATACCGGATTTTTTTTTTTTTTATATATACACTTTATAAAATGTAGTTTGGGAATGCATGACTTTAATATTGACACTAAATATCATACAGAATACATCAGAAATTACAGTAACACATAAATATTGAACAAAAAGTAGTTACATAGTATTACATAAACAGGAATTTAATGTGACTACAGGTGTATTTTCATTTTGGGGGAAAACTAATTGCTTTATGATAATTTTTTATTAACCCAGCATAAAATGAACCTAAACAATGTGGGAATTATGGTGAAGCTGGATATTGTTGCTTTAAGGGGTTTGTGGGACCAGAGGTTGAAATTTTCTGCTTAGTCCAGCCTTTCCTACCTTCTCTCCCACACAATTAACTTCCCACTCCACAGTTTTCTTATTTTATAGATTTATATTATATGCCATGAATGTATGACTTACTTTTGGTTCATATCACTTATACAGTGCTATGGCACAAAGGCACAATGGTCAGTCTGACTCTGCATGGTAGTAATCTAATCTGAGTGTGGTAACATAGTTTTACCATGGATCAAACTGGTAGAGATCTTGGTATGAGAATTAGGGACCATGAAGCTGCCATTGAATCAACTATATACGGTAAGACATAGTGTCCTTTTGTTTGCTGTGCATGGCTGCAGTTTTGACAACAGAGAGCTTAAGTTGGCATGGAAATGCCCACACACCCCAGAAGGTGGAATTTTAGGGAGTTGGCCCAAATCCCATTGCGAGTTAAAACTTTCACAAAATAACAATATAATCCAAATAGCATTAAAAAACAGATAAACAACCATAAAAACACTGGAAAAACAAACAAAATAGAAGTTATTATACAGACACTCACTGAAATACCAGACAAATTCACTTGAATATTGTTATTGTGTTTCAGCTAAAGTCAGTTAGTTAAGTGTATTCTTATACCTACAGTTACAAGGAATATTTATTGTATAATCTTCTGAGAATCACTTCTTTGTGTCATGTGTTTCAGCTCCCCCAGAAGTGTTACAATGATGAAATTTTAGCACTTGATCCCGGTGGTTGGCCACTACCCCAAAAGGTGGAACTTTTTCATTAAAAACACATCTATTTTTCTTTTTTTTTTTTTTTTTTGCTATGCATTGTAACATTTTTTAAGATAGAGCTGAATTTGTAATTATTATGTAAATAGCTCCAAAAATGCTACTAGTTGTCACGTGATCCATATGAGAATAGGCAGCATCTGGTATAAGTTACTAAAAAAATTTTTATTTAACATAACCAATATTACCGTAATTTCAAAAGCTTTTTGAAAACAAAAATGATACAGTAAACCCTCGAAGATCTGGACCCGGGAAATCCGGATTTCAGAAGATCCGGACAAAAAATTTGGGGGTTCTGGGCTAAGAAGCCTCCTAGAAGTTTCCCTAAGAATCGTTCCCAATCCAGAGCAAAGAACATTTTAGGCCCGTGGACGCTGCTTGACCCATCAGTTGTCAGTTGCTTGGACACATGTGCCCGAGGAGGTGGGAAACATAAACAAAGTTGACAATTGTTGTTTGTGGGAATATTATTTCATTCACTCTAGTAATGACACAATGTTTCTTATTATTTTATCATAGATAAATGCATGTTTTACATGCAGTAATTTGTTTATCACTACACTAGTACTGTATTTTTGGTGTTTCTTATATTCATTATTCGCCGGAAAATCCGGACAGGTGGTCCCCTCTTTTAATCTGCATATTCGAGGGTTCACTATATTACATTGCATGTTTGTTTGAGGTTAACTAGCATATGGGTATGCAGGACCACACAACTCAATGCAATGTCAAGGAAAACTAGTTATTTCACAATGTGTAGCTGAGTCGGTTGTATGATAGCACTTTTTGTACCAAATACTAGTGTCTGGTCCAGGCTCAGAAGGAGATACTCTGATGTTTTGTGATGTGGATTATTAGGGAGGTTCCGTTTCAGATCTTTGTTGGGAAGTTTGTTGAGGGAAAGTTGGTCCTGCTCATAACATTTTCTGTTTCGAGATTATAGAAACTTATCTGGGAGTCTGATAGCCAGCTGATGCAGGATTGGTTCATTCAATGAAAGTATTTAAGTTTACAATATTAGTCTGTAACCCACAAAGTAATGGTAAGCAGCAGACTATAGGCATTCACACAGGGAAGTACTGTACTACAGTGGTCCCTTGGTTATTGAACGGTTTGATTAACGAAAGTTTGGTTAACGAATTAGCTCCCATAAGGATTTTCGGTTCGATTAACGAACAAAACTTCGATTAACGAAATCCTTACGACAAACACGTTTTGTTGTTTTCATCAGCTGATCGGTTAGTCCGCCAATACAGTAATTGGTTCAATGTTTACATTCGTTTCAAGTGAAGCAAATATCAAGAAATTTGGTCTCTTGAATATTTTTGCATTTTTACATTAAAATCATTGGTCATTCTGAAATTTAGTTAAGATATTGATAATATACAGCGCAGAAATTATTATGAAACATGAAGAAGGCATTAGAACCAATGCACTCTGTAAAGAATGGCATCATCATTGAATTGCCTCTACAATCAACTGTGATATGTAAATAAAGCTGCCGGTAATACGACATACACACCTCAAAGTAAGTTAAAATACAGTATTCTATTGTTTTTTATTTATTACTGTATTGTACATTATACTGTACAGTACTGTATTTAGTTTATATTTAATGTTTTGTTAATTCTATTACTGGTATACAGTGCTTTGTATGTAATTTTTCTGTGAGTTGGAACGAATTACCCAATATCCCATTGAAATAATAGATTCGGTTCACGAACGACTCTGGAACGAATTGTGTTCGTTAACCGAGGGACCACTGTACTGTTATAGTACAGTACTTGGATCCCTCTTTCTTTTTCATTCCCTTCAAAGGCCTGTTATGAAGGTGATACAGTATATATATTATCTCTAATTTTCTCAGTTTTGGATCTCAGTTGCACAAATTATGGCTCGAAGATCTTGGATTTTTACCCATAGACTTGTTGGCTATTTAGATTTGTTCACTCATGATTGTTAAAAATGGAATTCCAATATCATTTCTTCATGTAAAACTGAATCCAGACTGAGCAGCTCAGCTACCCATCCTTTTCCTCATTGAGTAATGCCTAGGTATTGACACAGTGGTGACAGTTTGCAAGCAAACCAGTGGAGCTAGTGTGATGGAAAATTCTTCACCCTTCAGTGGCATCTGTCACCTCTAATACCCCTATTTTGAAGGATCTTATTTATGACAGGAAGGATTTAATTTTAGTATTCTGATAGTTCCATCTACTATGATCATGGGACTTGGGTTTTTTTAATCTGTTCCCTTTAGATGGTAATAGGAGTTGCTCGATCCAGAGTCAGTTACGAAATACTTTTTTAATAATTAACAGATTCAGGTGCAGTCAAGGCTGAGGACCTTCCTATCTTTTTGCAAGTCTTAGAAGGACGATCACCAAACCTTGATCTCTCTAACTTAGACCCTGAGACCCAGAAGCTTCTTGATGGCCTTGATCTCTCCATGAGCTTCTCCGGTATAAATATTGATCCTTCAGGAAAAAGCATAACACACATTCGGGAGTCTGGCACCGAAAGCACATCAGGAAAAGCAAAAAAACCCACGTATAGTGTCTTAAAGGGTATTCAAAAGGACAGTATTGATTTTTCAGGAGTATCTATGACTTCAGGAGTATGGCCATTGCAGGAAAGAAAAACTGAAGAAAAAAACAGAATTCTAGATTCCATAACAGCTATAGATAAGATACCTTGCCATGATAACCAAAAGTTTGATTCTCCCCGAAGAGGTCAGCAAGGGATAAATGTTCGCACAAAAATTCCAATGTCACAAGCTGGTAGAACTCCTACGAAAGCCTGTCGAACACTCTCCTCACGTACAGTGTCAGAGAAGAAACCTCCTTCCCCAGTTAAGGATTCATCTGCAAATCTAAATGAAAGTGAGGAAAGTTTAAAGACTGAGAAGACAATTCCAAGTAAATATGGATTAGAAGGTATGTACATTAATTCATCCTTAACTTTTATGATTTTCTACACTGTACTAGGAGACAAATTCTGATCTGTAGAATATCTATATCCTGTATTGCTTGACAAATATTATACATACCATTAATATATTTTTATGGTTTTGCTGATATTTGAAATAATTACAAAAGAATTTTCAGGTTAATCCTTAGTAATGTATTTATTGTACTAATCATGAAATTAAAAAAAAAATCTCGCTTTTCTGCCTGTTAGTCACATCTTCCAAATATAATGGTAGATTGGACAGTAAGTAGTGGCATCAAATGGGGGTTTTCTTGAAGAATTATTGTCCCTGTATATTCAAGCTGTCATCCACTAATTAAATTTTGAACAACATTGTATATACAGCTCCTCCCCGACTTACGACCTGCCTCAGTCGCACCAAAATTTTTTCAAATTACGTATTTTCGAGTCCCAACGTCAGTACACAGACAAAATTTTTTTTGTAATTCACTTTAAAATGGCTGGCAAGCTTAAAATTGAGAGTTTTGTGGTGCTGAGAAGAAAAAGAGACCCCCATTTTAGATAATCTATGTATTATTTAAGCATTTTCGACTTACGACCATTTCGACTTACGACCTGGATTTGGGTCCCTAACCCCATCGTAAGTCGGGGAGGAGCTGTACAATCAATTCAGGAGGTAATGTAAACTCATTACTAACTTTACTCATTTTGATAGACAAAATTGAAACATAATCAGACTGAACAATATCAAATGGCTGTCCTGTCATTATGATTTTATGGATAAATACCAAGTAAAATACTGTACTGTATGCACTGAATCACACTACCAGTCCTTGTCACCAGCAAAACTATAGTGACCATTGACCTGCTGCTGGACACCCTTTATACTTATATGATATGACTTGGCTGGACCTTACACCCCCTTCCCATAGGAGTGTATCTCCCATTATATGATGGAAGTCATGAGATTTTCAGACTACAGGTATTTGGATATTTTTCCCAAAATCACAAAATCTTGCAAATTCTACCTCAACAAGATGATTTGAATTATCCCTAAATTTCAAATTGTGAAGGCTCAGTGGATTTTTTTCTTGTTGTTTATATTATATACTTGATACTCGGCTTATTAACTCAATTTACAGATGAAGGGTCAGTACTGGTGGTTGACGTCAGAACCCTGACTCTGGCACCTCCATTGCTACCTGCCAAGCCCCCAAATAAAACAGAAAACATGTCTGGTAAGTCAGGTTGAAAGTATTTGTTGAGTGGCTTGATATCAGCTTTTTTATAATGGAATTCTTAGTGGAGCCTCCAAAGGGAACTTTTTGATACCTTCTCTCATAATATGTTTTGTCTGAATCATTCCAAGGCTCTTCACTTTCAGTGCTATCTTCCAAATCAGATCATTTTGAAAGCAGTTACAGTACTTTTCTTTCTCTCTTGTTTCAATAGACAGAAGAATATCACTGATGCCCAAGTCAGTAAGACCCCGCTCCAACCAGATGACATGCTGGCTTTGAAAGAAACAGTTGGTGGCCATAATTGCCCACAGCAAAGCTCAGACAATGTAAAATGTTTAAGAACAGATGTGTAAGTGCAAGTGAGGGCATGCATGGTAAGTTCTGTACCATATAGACATGTATTGTCACAGTACAAGAGGTTAATTTATAGTGCTGTAATTATACAGTCATCCAGTGAGTGTGTCACTTGCTTTACCATGCACTGCTAGTCCACTTAGCACCCAAAACCCAGTTTTCCCTTATTTCATATGAAGTTTTGTATGGAAAACAAAATGCAACATTAGGATGAAAAAGCGGAGGATCGAGTCAGCTGGCAGCTAAGAGCATCTTGGAGGCAGACCAATTTTGGTGATTCTTGTTTGAATAACCATACTTGTATAATACATACTGTAATTTATTCATGTAAACTGATTTGGCATCAATGAAGTTTTTCGTTTGCACATGGTTTATCTGACTCGCTATCAGCATAAAACATATGTAAGCCATGAATTGTTAAGATTCTTACACCATATTGGCCACAAAGGTCAAAGTTTACTTTCTGATTGGTTCCTAATGTTTTCTTGATGCACTTCTGCACTTAGCACTTTTTGGTTGTCTTAAGACACTTTAAGGGCAGCATCTTGCCATCAGCTCACCAGCCCAGGCTAGTTCAGCTGATGAGATTTAGGGGTAATTTTTATTTGGAAAATACTAGTACTGTATGGAAAATATTTATTTAAAAAAAAAATAGATTTTCGGATTTCTGATAATATACTCAGGTGTAATTGAAGGATGAAAATAAGGAAATTGATTTAAAGGGGTTAGAGAAAGAAGAGGACCTGGGTATGGTAGATGATATATGGTGAAGTGAACAATATGAAATACCCGGTACTTGATAGAATTGATTCAGCAAACATTCTCGCTGCACTTGGCTAGAAATCTCTTGCGCTGGCCTTTAAATTCCGTGGATACTTAACTCCTTGGGTATGTTGGGTCTCTCTGCGCTGAATAAAACCATCCAATGTTAGCCAAATAAAATATTAAAAAGTGACTTCCAGTCGGGAATGGGTTAACACTAGATACTGTACTTTGATTGGTAAAATGGTGTACAAAATGTAAAACACATATACAGTATTAAACTGTACTCAAAACGTGGTTGGCTAGAGATTTCTCAGTTTCCTATTCAGAATTTCTTACACACATCCAGATCATTAACCATTTCACACTTTCCCATTTAAGTACAGGTACCTTTGTAATATTGTAGTCACAATATTTGCTACTCTTGGCAGACCTACTGTACAAGGTCTCTTCATAAATTTTTCTCATGGTTGTTGAATCCATTTAGTGAAGAAATAATTTACCTTCGTTTTAGGTTGTAGTAAAATTTCTGATAATTGTACATGGAATGCTCTACAATATATAGCATACCCTAAGGTTTCTCCTTGCTATATGTTGGCTCAAGAAATGCTGTGATGGTACTTCATTATATTGTAGATTAAATTTTATCTATTTCTAGGAAAAACTCACTGTACTGTATTATCCCTGTTCCTGATGCCTTTTGGAATGGTTATTTTTACAGATATTGTATCCAGATGTCTCCACAGCATTTGCTTGTGTATATACAAGTAATTTATGGATACAATATATATGCTGAACACACAAGTTTTAAACATGAAATAAAGTGGTTAAAGAATAAATCCAGTATTACAATAGAAATTCTGTAGAATGAAAGGAAAAATTACCTTTTTACATTAGAATTAGTTGTCTAATGATTAGCCCCTGTGCTTGCTCGCCTCTTTTGCCTTTGCCTCAAAACCCAAACTTTTCCTTCTTCTTGGAAGCATATCTCGGTTCACCCCATCCTGAAGAAAGGTGGCCATTCTGATCCTTCTAACTATCGCCCCATTGCCCTAACGTCATCCGTCTCTAAGATTTTCGAAACTATCCTAAACTCTCATTTTCTCCGTCACCTTGAACACCTTTCTCCTTTGTCGGATCACCAGTTTAGCTTTCACCAGGCAAGATCTACTAGTGATCTGCTCTCCTACTGCACCCATCTCTGGTCATCCTCACTTAGGGATTATGGGAACTTTCGCCATTGCCCTCGACATCTCAAAGTATATGACAGGGTATGGCACTTGTTTTTGCTTTCCAAACTTCCCTCTTATGGTTTCTCTCCCTCACTTTGTTCTCCAATTTCTAGCTTTCTTGAGAACCTATCCATGCCAGTTGTTGTCAAGGGACCGATCTCACTCTTTCTCTACCAATAGCTGTGTTCCACAGGGTTCTGTTCTTTTACCTGCTCTCTTCCTTCTTTTTATCAATGATTTCCTTCACACTACGACTAATTCTATCCATTCTTACGTTGATGATTCTACTCTTCACTCTTCACATTTTTCCCTTCCCCTTAATTCTCAAACTAGATCTGTTTCTAGAGCTGATATCATTTCATCTATCAATGCGGATCTATGCAGCATCTCCAAATGGGGAGGTAGAAACTTGATTAAATTTGATAGTAATAAAACTCGGTGTTTACCAATTACACTTTCCAAATTAGATTATCTCCCATCGATCACATTTTAGGATGCAATCATTCTGCCAAATTTTAAAATATATACGCAAGGCCTCACCATTTCCTCTAAAAAGTCATGGAAACCACACATCCGCAACATTGCTAAAACTGCCTTCCGAAAGCTGGGAATGCTGTACAGATGCCGTAGTTACTTCACTCCAGAGCAGTTGCTTCAACTTTATAAGGGATTCATTTGTCCTAACTTTTTTTTTAATGGGGATTAGCCCACCCGAGCACAGGTCACTGACCCACATCAAGGCCTAGGGGGCAAAAATATTATAATAATAATAATAATAATAATAATAGTAGTTAATAATAATTAATAAAAATAGATAAAAATTATAACCCCAAAATAAAAATACGAATAATCACCATAAATAAATAGACAAACGAAAAAATAAATCAAGAGTGGGAAATGATATACAGCATATTGTGTTGTCAATAATAAGAGAAACAATTGAAACCCTGCAATTGTGTGTAAATGAGGCAGAAAGTCAGATCAGAAACCTTGGACTTGGTCACAATTTTTGTGATGCCATATGGCAGCAGGGTCTACCATTAGAAAACACATTATGCTTCCAATATCTTCCCAGGCGGTAGCACCTCCCTGTTTGATAGCTACCTACTACAGTACTTGGAGTACTGCTCTTCTTCTGTCCAACTGTTAGATAGGGTGGAATCAAAGGCATTTCGTCTTATTAACTCTCCTCCTTTAGTTGATAATCTTTCTTCCTTTTATCTTTGCCGCAATGCTGCTTCACTCTCTCTTTTACGGGTACTTTAACGGGCAATGTTCGGTGGATTTGGCATCCTGTGTATCGCGGTGCCCACCGTTTCTCTGTGGATGTCAGTCACACTAGAATAACCTGTTATAGTACATCCTTTTTTCCTCACACAACCAAACTGCTTTCTTTTGTGTTTCCATACTCATACAATGTCTCGCTTCAAAAAGCTGGTTTTCCGGCGTCTGTGTGGTGTAGATTAATATAATTTTTTCTTTTCTATTTTAATTTCTTTTTATTCTTTATTTTTTGTCCCCTAGGCCCCATTGTGGGTCAATGACCTGTGCCCAGGTAAGCTATTCCCTGTAAAAAAAAAAAAAAAAAATTGGCGGGTGGGGTGCACGGCTTATTACAAAATTGCCTAGCTACTCATGAGACAAGGAAGAATAATAGTACAGTTTGTTCCAACTATTCAGTTGCATTTCTAGCATTATAGATGGAATCATGAAGAAATTCCAGGTAAGCAGATGAGTTCTTACTGTTAAATTGTAATGGTTTCAACTGGCATTTATTTTTATGCTGTATAGGTTATGCATTTTAAACTAAATAATGTATTTGTTAGGTGTTCGGGTGATGCATCGCAGCCGTGTGTGTTACTTAACAACCTTGGACATAAATCTGCCTGAGCTAGACATTCCTGCAGAGTTGGAATTGTCTCAGACATTTGCTTCACGACAGCTTGTTGATCACGGTAAGTCTTTTAAACAGGAATCTCTTACAGATGACCATAAGAATTAAGATCCTCAGAGAAGTATTTTATATGTGCAAGTTAAAGTAGGCTATGCAGGTAAACCCCGAGATACGATATCCCTAGATGCTATATTTCACTTTAAGGATGGTTATAAATTAACATCATCTCCCTATATAGAATTCGATCAAAACAACTCGCTTTAACGATATCCATCGAATAGCTATCGATAGCCATTGGTCAGATTTTTTTTTTTCAAGTGCAAACTATGGGTTGTTTATACTCAAAATAATTGCCCTCTTGCAAGGATTCCAGCAATGCAAGTTATATATTTTCTACATCAAGTCAGTGACATGTGTTAAGGAAACAATATTTAACCCTATACACCAAGCATCTCTACCTTCACTTGTCAACCTACCCACGACCAAACCGCGCACTACAGCCCTCTGTCTGGTTCTTTGTCGATTGTAAAACCCACCATCGCATGGCTCCATGATTATTGGCGAGCATCATACATTTTTTTTTTTTTTTTTTTATATTGTGAGAGGGTGACTGTGAAGTGACAGTTTCTGTATTTTTGTGATTGTAAAGTGTGTCAACTTTGTTGTTTTGAAAATGTGAGAGGTGTCGGCCACTATCATTGTTTTTGTTATCATTGTTTGCTCTGTTTGTGTGACAAGTGCTTTTGCTCTGTTTTGTGACTGAAGTGGGCAGTGTAACTTTGAAAATATCTGGGAAGGCCAAGGCATCCCAGAAGCTTTACATTGCTAAGCAGCATGACACTCCCCAGAGGCTGTGTGAGAGTCAAATCAGAGTGACGTCTCCACTCCACCTGCATGAGTCCCCTTAGCCTCGTAGGGGACATGTGATGATGACCAGACTTGTTAAATATGATGTGGTGAGTGTTGTTTACTTGTTCTTTACTGATAATAGTAGTGTAGGAAATTTTTTGTTGGTGATACATGTGTGTTTGGGGTCTGGCTGGGAACGTATCCCATTAAACCCCATGTTATAATGCTCCTTATTTATGATATTTCACCATCGTATCTCGGCGGTTGCCTGTACATTTCAAACAGTTTCTTTAAAATACTCCATCTTAAACAGGAAAATTTAATCTAGAACTGACCTTTTCCTACTGTAAAAGGGAATATAAAAGCTCAATCATCATTTATGGTACATGAAAAATTGTAAGTTGGATCCAGAAAGCCAATTAAGTATTCCATGGGGTAAGGGTTAAACATACACTGGACCCTGTGTTACAGAAATTTGCTCTTATGGACATTGTATATCACTACCACTAAAAATCAGGATATGGAATGTAAATTCCACCTTCGGAAATTTTGCAATAAGTACAAAAAAATTTAAATTATTAAATGCAATAAAAAGACAATTACCGAAACTTTATATTATAAGAAATTCAAATCTCATTTGTATGTGTCGATGACATTGGTGACAGGCTTTGTTTTGAATCTGGGAGTGCATCGATTACAGTTTGCCTCCACATATAGCTGTTGCTCTTTCAAGATTTTTCCTCATCCTGAAGTATATTTCCCCTCAAGATATCTGAAAAAAGGCCAGCAAGTTCAAGTGCATGTAATACTCTAAAATTAGTATGTAAAGGAATTACACTGATAAAACTCGATGTTTTGTGGAGGTTTAATGCTGGGGAATCACTTAACGTCATTGCTAAACCTTATGTACAGTATTTACTATTATTTGTGATAAGTAAAATTAAAATATTTCTAAAACATAATTAATACAGGAATGTGTTAAAAAATGAATATCTCTATTTATAAGTGTGAACACATCTTTACTTTTGACATGGGAGTACTGTATATGGGAAAAAATGGTTGGCGATATGGTCATTTTTTCAAGAACATGTCCTTTCCGTAACGTGGGGGCCTAGTGTATCTTGAAACATCCAGTGTGATGTTTTTGATACAGGAAAGGATACTGACATGATCTGACAGCCTTCTGCTTCAAATGATAGCTCTTATGTCCAAAGAACCATTTTTCAGTACAGTAGTTTGATTATAAAAGAAAGATATTAGCAGTCTTATGATTATTGATCACTCATTATGTAACTGGTGTAATGAAACACATCCCTTTGCCTGCTCTCTGTTATAAAAGGGTGTTTGAAGATCACTTCATCACACCTCTCCCTGACATGGCTCATTATTGTTTTATTTTTCACTCTCTAACTTTTTGTGTGTAAATTTTATATCTTATTTCAGAAATTCATTATAATGCTCGAGAAGTGATAAGGTTACCACCCGCATCAGCGCTTGATATACTAAGAGGTCAGCTGGTAGTTAGGTAAGTTTTTTATATGACTGTTTTACATTACAGTATTTTGTTGCAGCACGAGCTCAAAATATAGTCTTTTTATTTTTCCCTCACTAAGAGTCACTAGTGATGTCAATAGCACAAGTTTTTCTGATTGGTTTAGTCCAGGTATGCCCAACTAGCAGCCTGTGGACCAAACTTGACCCTCCATCAATTTCTATATGGCCCCTACAATATGTGTATGGTTTTCAGAGATGCAGGTATGTAAAGTTTAGCCAGTAATGTGTAATGATTCACACTTCATTATTGTTGTTAAGATCAACCAGGATTCAATAACTGATTATGGGTAGGCTAGCAATGCAACAGAACATGAGCTACACAGTTCTTGGACAGGCCTTTAAGCTTTTGTTACTTGCAGAAAATGCTACCAGTGTTGCCATTTTAACTGTTTTCCCACTGAATCTAGTAAATTTATCCACCATTGATTATGTCATTGGCCTCCAACCCTAGTACAGAAATCCCGTGTTTTTCGCAGGAATTACATTCCTGAAACCCCCGCGAAAAGCCAAAACCGCGAATACTCTTTTAGGAATTACTGTACCTGTGGCCACCAAACAGCTCAGGCAGGTCATGCACTTAACCACGCCATGCTCTCCACTCACGGCCCAGTGGTCACACTGATCGCTGATGCACTGTACCGGCATTTACTAACATCATTATTTGAAACTAATCATATTATATAATAATGGAAAAATGTAAACACAGTTATATACAAACAAAATTATTTACAAGTAAATAAAAAATTTACATTTCGCTGAGGTCGGCAACACCCGCATTGCCAGCCTCTCCTTGCTGTCCTGGCATCTGCCTGCCCTCATGCAGTCACGCCAGCCAGCCAGTCCTCTTCCACCCACATTCCTCCACTTGAAGTCTATAACGAATCTAATTGGTTCTAGAACCTTGTTCGTTATAGCATTCGTTCGTTATAGGATTAATCCGTTCCAGGCCCCCAAATACAACCACTTAACACTGAAAAATATAATATAAATTTGTAAAAATTTTAAAAAAGTGCATGAATATGCATCTAAACCCCTGAAATAAAGAATATCATTAATACTTGTAATAAAAAAACAATAAATTAGTTAAAAAAAAAAAATTGTTCGTTGTAGGAATTTCGTTCGTTGTAGCATTCTCAATTTTATAGGTAAAACCGTTCATTATAGGAATATTCGTAGTAGAATCCATTCGTTATAGCATACCCCACTGTATTATGACAAAAGACACAAATGAATTGTCAGTCTTCACCACATCTTGAGCCATAGCTCATACCACCTCTGAGTTTGTCCAATGAAACAGCTTTTTCCGTTAAGGTCATCACTATTCTTGATCTCTTAGTCACTTTAGAGTCTTTGCTAGTAATATTTGCCTTTGATGAGGCTGGCTTACATCCCGGAGCCATGTGGAATGCATGTGGGAGGACAAACAGAAGAGGTAATCACAGTAGGGTTCACAGTACGGTAGGCATTTTTGGACTGAGGCTTCTCGGAGCAGCGGGTGTCTGAGGCGTGAATGGGTGGCGTCTGTGTGCCGCACCGCACAGGGGAATATAAAAAATGGTGTGAAATTTAAAACAATAATTTAAAGGATATTTTATATATACAGTATACTGTATATAATTTTTTAGTAAAAAAAATCGCGAATGGTCAAAACCGTGAAAAAAAAAACGCAAAAAACACGGGATGACTGTACTCCTATATGTAAAGTTCAGTTCTTTTCCAGAAGAGGTTGGAGCACCCCTGATTTAGTCTCTTCATTTGTACTGTACAGTATATATTTGGCACAAATACATACCTATAATATTAATAAACCATCATCATCATCAAGGAACAAATAATTAGATGCAACAGAAATGACATTGAATGTGATTTGTTTAGGAATAGATTGTGAAAAGTATGATCAGCATGGCTGTCAACCAAAGATGTGTTCTGGAATGGGCCTAAGTCATATTGTATCTTTCTAAAAAAAAATTTCCATGACTCTTCTACAGTAAGTCCTCGCTTAACGTCGTCTTGCTTAACACTGTTTCGGTACTACATCGCTGAATTTTAGAGACCAAAAATTCGTTTAACATCCCGGTGATCCGATGCTACGTCGTTTTGCGTCATCACAGACTACTTTCTATGGAGCATCTCCTGCTCTTGTCTGGCTGCACTACCCTCTCTCGGCAGGCGTGCTGCCCTCACTCGTGAAAGGTCACAGTGTCCCCAAGCGACGCCATGCCAGTCTCTGTTACGATTTCACATCATTCATGTGTGCTTTTGGTCTAAAACTGTACTCTAACCATTCGAAATGGCTTCCAAGCGCCCATCAAGTGCTACTGATGCTAGTGTAGTGAAGAGGCAACATAAGACCATTACCCTTGCTACGAAAATGGATGTATTAACCCGATTTGAAAAGGGGGAACGTGCTGTGGAAATAGCCGCTTTATGCTTGGTCTAACCCCCGCAACGGTGCGTACTATCCAGACCAACGCTGACAAGAATAAGGTTAGTGTTGGAAGTGGTTCTTCCCTGGGTGCTACTAAGACAACTCGTACTAGAAGCACTGTGATAGAAAAAGTGGAAAAGATGCTGGCAATGTGGATGGAGGACCAGAATCAACACAATGTCCCTGTGAGCCTTATGGTTATCCAGCATAAGGCCAGATCCTTGTTTGACGATTTGAAGGCCGAAGAGGGTGAAAGATCGAAGGAAGAGATCTTTACGACCAGCCGAGGCTGGTTTCAACGATTTAAGCGCAGGTATAACTTCCACAATATTAGATGACTGATGAAGCTCCCAGTTCAGATACGGTTGCTGCTGAGAAATTCCTGCCAGAATTCAAACGGATTATCCAGCAAGGAGGCTACTCTTTGAAGCAAGTCTTCAATGTGGATGAGACTGGTCTCTTTTGGAAGAGGATGCCTGAGAGGACCTTTATCTCCAAGGAGAAGAAAAGAGCGCTAGGTTTTAAAGTGGCAAAAGACTGCTTGACGCTGCTGCTTGGCGCAAACGCTGTTGGCGATTTCAAGCTGAAGCCTATGCTGATTTCTCGCGCTGCTAACCCACGGGCCCTGAAAGGTTACTATAAGGTATCACCTTCCTGTCATTTACAAGGTAAACAAAAAGGCATGGATAACCGGCGCCATATTTAGCCAGTGGTTAAAACGTGTACGTACTCTCTGCAATGAAGGATTACTATGCCAAGGAGAACCTTGACTTCAAAATTCTTCTGATCCTTGACAATGCTCCAGCTCATCCTCCCAATCTTGACGACTTGCATGACAGTGTAAAAGTTGTATCCCTGCCTCCCAACACGACAGCACTGATGCAGCCTATGGACGAAGACGTCATCGCTGCATTCAACACACATTATTTACACCATACCATGGCCCAGCTGCTCGAAGCTACGGACAGAGAAAATAAACCAACGATCCGAGAATATTGTTGCGACTTCAACATTCTTCATGCAATTGACAACATTGGCAAGGCATGGGAAAAGGTTTCAGAAAGTTGCCTGAATGGTGTGTGGCGTAAATTGTGGCCTGATTACGTCAACAGTTTTGCTGGATTCACAGATTTAGTCCCAGCTGTGAATAGGGATATCCTCAGCTTAGCTAGACAGACAGGCTTTGTTGAGCTGGAGTCAGAGGATATTGAGGACATCCTGGCATCCCATGCAGAAGAGCTCACCAATGAAGATCTGCAACAATTAACAGAACACAGTCCCATTGAAGACGATGACGACGACGATGAAGAAGAACCTTAACGAACGCTAACTTCCAAGAGGTTGGCAGAATCGTTCAACATGTTCCAGAAAGCATTGCAAATGCTTCCAGATGACGACCAAAACAGAACGTAGCTCAAAAGTTCAACACAGCATTGAGGACGTTCTTGGTTGCTACACCGAGATCTATAAGGAGAAGATGAGTAGCACTAAGCAGTCAACAGTGGATTAATTTTTTCATCGCGGGACGGCAGAAGGAGCTTCTTCACAACAGCCGGCAGCCGAGGAGGAGCAAACAACGGAAGAGGAACTCCAGTCAGAGCAGGAGGAGGAGGAGGCATCTGCTGAGTCTTAGTGACTCACCACCCTCCTCCTCTGCTCCCGCCATCCTCCTCCTTCGCTCCACTACCCACCACACACTCGCTCTTCCACCTCCGCCCATCGGTGAGTACCAATACAAACTTAATACTGTAGTTCTATATACTATTCTTTATAGAAATGGCAGTGATTTTCTGTATATGTAACTTTTTTCATGGGGCAAAGGGAGGCTCAAGAACATAACTCCAGTATTTTATCTATTTCTTATGGGGAAAATTGATCCGCTTAACGTTTCACATAAAGTCGCGTGTTCAGGAACGTAACCCCCGACGTTAAGCGAGGACGCCCTGTACTCGAATAGCTGTATCTCATTTCTTTAATATTTCTGTACCCTTGATCCACCCCATACATTAGTGGGACAGAAGTTAAAATAATTGATTGTAGTTATGTAATTAAGATAATTAAATGATTGTACTTCAGATGTGTGTGTCGTCGACTGGGAGAGAAAGACAGTGAGGATGTGGGCAGTGCTAATATCAGCCTCATGGACTTATGGAAGCTAAATGGTTCAGAGGTACATGTTTCACTCTTCAGGCCACAGGTTCAGAATGGCCAAGATTCTCTCACTAGAAGACAAGGAAAAAAAAATAGGAAAAGAGAAGAAGAATATAAAGAACAGTCACTTGCTCAGCTTACTTTAATTGCAAAGTTAGGATTGGCTGTAGGTAAAAAAGACGAAGATGGAATTTGTTTGAATATACCAACAAAACAAATGAATATGCCTTCAAAAATTGATTCATTGCATTCAAACGAGCCTCTAACTGACCGTTTGTGTGGAAAAGTTCATGTGATTTCAAAGTCCTTAGGAGAGAGCTTATACTCAGAAAAATTAGCAGAGAGAGAAAATGCTCTCAGATCTCTTGATTCATCATCTAGCTCTGACCTCAGTGATGCCAGATATTCCATTTCAGACATAAGACAACCAGTGCATCATTCTCAAAAGCCAAGAATAATAGTAGCTGATGATCATGAAACAGAATCATCTGCTTTTAACTCTATCTATGCCCCAGCACACATTAGCCCATGCGAGAAAGCATTGAAGGGCATATGGCAGCATCCTATGAACCAAGGGAGGGTTGATATTGTTGAAAGCATACTTGGAACTCCTCTTGAAACTAAAATTGTAAATTCCAGTGATTCAGGGTTTCATGGTTACCATGCATCATTCCTTGCTGGCATTAATGGATATGAAAGTTCCAATAATCAGCCTATTGAGAGTGGTGGTGAATCTCCTTGTATAAGAACTGCATCTGATTTTACTGCTGATTTTGTAAATTATGACACACTGAACCAGAGACCTGGTGGTATTGAAGTAAGACGTGAGGAACGGGGAGGAACATGTAGGATACACTTAGAGATTCTTAAAGGAAGAAATTTGCCATTGCTGGAAGGACCGGATGGCACTCCAAGACCACCAAATTCCTATGTAAGAACCACCATAGGATCTATTAATATCCTCACCAATGTGTGTCAGGAATCCGATAATCCTGTTTGGAGATTTGCTACTGATGTACTTCTACCATATTCTCAGCTAACTCAGGTGAGTCTTAGTATCTTTTTTAAGGATTAGTAAAGACACAGTAAGTTAATTCATTTATGTTAAACATAATTTTCCTTTTGCTGGATTTTGCATTTAGGATAAACTTCAAAATCTTTTGTTGTCCAGCTGTCTTCATATGTTCTTCAGTAATTGGCTTGCATAACCTTTTTTTCATTGTGGGTTTCATTTTGCATACTTATATGTAAGCTGAAGTTATATCTGTATGTGTGTAATAATACCAGGTAATAATAAATAATGGTTTATTGAAAGAACAGGCTGTCAAAAGGCTGAAAATATACAGTTACTGAATTAGGGAATGGGTCACTTGATGACACACACTATACAGTACAAGAAACATAGGTGGTACAAATATGGTATATAATAACAGAGGAGGAAGAAGGTCATTCAATAGGGAATTTCAACTTAGTAACAGTGCAAAGTAAGATTGGCAGGGAGTAAACACATTGGTTACTATGAGTTGAAAACTAGACAAAAATTTTAGTAATTATTTAGTACATTATTTTGAGTACATGTACTGTACAGTACAGCTTTTCCCTTAGGACAGTGTAGCGTGCCCAGAGAAACATTTGGCGCAAAATTTTAAATATGATGCACCAGATTGGCTCGCGCAAAATTGGAAAGATTCGCTTTAAATTAAATTATTATCTTTAATTGTGGATGTCACTTTAAATCAATAATCTTAAATTGAATCGCTTTAAATCGACGTTCTACTGTAACTTACAAACACCTCACCAGGCATCACACGCGAATCAACTGCCAGGCGAATACGCGCGGAAAATTTAAACTGTCTTGACCGTATTATTAAAAAAATAGGTGCGCATAAATTAGCTTTTGGTATTAATTAAACAATTGCGTTATTCCAAAAACACTTAAATTAAATACGAGTTACCTGTATTGCCAAACCAGTAAATAAAAGCCAAATGAAAGTTTAACACAGTTGCCATTTGCATGCACTCCCTGCTTCATCATAGCAACAGAGACCAGCTGAGACACTACCTCCACTGACTCCCTAGCAACGCTCCTCACCCTCCTCCCACTCCCTCACTGGGCCAGCTGACGCATATGCAAAGAAATGTATGTTCCCTTTATGGGTTTGCCCTGGGGACAATTATTTCTTTAACTTTTTTTCACTAGATGTATGTAGGATGGTGTGTGCATGTAACTGAGTAAAAATAAATGAAGAAAGTTATGTATAATTTCCCAAAAGTATGAGTTGAAAGAGAACCATAACACCTCAGAGCTTGGCCCAGTAACCTGGGCTAGTATACACAAAACTTTTAAGTGCTAGCAAAGAGTTGGTTGTTAAGGTTGACATTTTCCTGTTAAGCTCTAATAGTACATACAGTACACAAAAGTTTTAAGAGCCTTAATAATACTGTTAAGTTAAAAGGCTCCTGGAGCACTTTTAAGTCCTGTAATAGTCATGTTAGTTGATACCATGGCGAACCAACAACAACATCAGCGGCGGCAACGCATTTATCGAGAAAGGAGAGATATATTTACTGATTCTGAACTCATCATGCGATACTGACTGGACCGTACAGGTATCATGGCAGTGACTGATTTAGTGAGGGAAACACTACACATTACAACTGGGAGGAATAGGGCTCTAGCCCCAGAGATGAAAATGGCCATAACCTTGCTTTATTTAGAGAATGGAAGAATGCAATTGTGTAGCAGTGATGATTTTGGAACCACTCAGCCTATTATAACTCAGATACTGAATGCACGAACTGAATTGAAATTTTTTTGTCAGTTTGTGAAGTTCCCACTCACCCAGAGAGAAATTCAAAGAAAGCAAGCTGAATTCATTGAAATTGGTGGGTTTCCCAGTGTTGTGGGTGCGATTGATGGCATACAATAAAAATTGTGGCTTTTAGTGTAAATAAACATTTATATGTTAACAAGAAATGCTACCATAGCATAAATGTTCAAGTAGTGTTTGATGCTGCATATCAAATAATGGACATTGTGGCAAGGTGGCCCGGTTCAGTGCATGATGCACAAATTTTGGACGAATCTAGCTTGAAATTTTTATTTGATCACAACATACCATTACATGTTGATGACGTGGATGTGTAAGGTGAAGCCGACATAGAACTGCCGGCATGTCAAGATCCAGTTGGGCTTCCTTTTCTTTCGTGAGGTTAAGGCTTCCATTTCTGTGATGTTCATCTTGTCCTCTCCTCAATAACACATGTGTGAGGGTTTGTTTACAAACAGCACGGCAAGACCAAGCCACCGATCACTATCTTTGGTTAATATATCCTCCTTCAAACTGCATAGATTATATTTTTTTATTTTAATGATCAAAATGTAAATAAATGTAAATATTGAAATTAATCTTCATAATTTTATTGAGGATACTGTATTCAGCCATAAGACCATTTTATATGATGAACTCCTGCTACCCTTAGCGCTGTTTAGCGGTACCGGTACTTAACAAACAACTGTTTGTGCGGTAAAAGTTTGCTAGTTAATCTTTGTGTATACACTTTTAAATTTTACTGCTAGTGAACAGAACTATTTTGTCGTTAGCAGAAAGTTTTGTGTATACTGGCCCTGGTGGTTATAGTGACGAGTCTAACTGGGCTGTAATGCCATGATTAATAATTATTAAGCACTATTATATCAGTAAACACTAATAATAACAGTAAATCCAGTGAAATATGGCAGGGAGCGAGGACAGTTACAACAGCAAATGGCACGCTAACTAGCAGTCACTTACTAGCCTTCTCACTCCCATTGCCAGGCGTACGATTGGAATGTGTATGAGAGAAATACTGTATATACATATCTTGTAGTCTAATTTGAAAACGGTAACGGACACAGTGATAAACAAATTATATAAACCATGCATTTACCTACGATGACCTAATAAGAAACATTGCATCATTACTAGAGTGAATGAAATAATATTCCCACAAAAAACAATTGACAGATCTGTTTATGTTTCCTGTCGTGCACTGACATCTTAGTTACATGGGCCTAAGACGATTATTGCTCTGTTTTGGGAATGCTTCTTAGGGAGGCTTCTTCACTGCCGGAACCCCCATATTTTGTCCATATCTTCAAAAATCCGGATTTACCGGGTCCGAATCATCAAGGTTATACTATATTTTATCCACTTCATACTCTTTATTGTAGGTACAGTATATCATTGAGATGTTGCATGATTAACTTGTTTTTAATTATCAGACTGATGGTAGCCTGATCCTGAAGGTCCACCACACCCCTATTACTCAGAGGACATCAGTTGATGATCTCCTGCTGGGCTTTGTTTGTGTTGATGCTACCTCCATCTGGAGCGGCCATGTCTCTCTCTGTGGCTGGTACCCTTTGCTTGATCTTCGAGGTGCTGCCAGGGGTCATGTAAAGGTTAGTAATGTACAGTACTACTGTAGATTACAGATGAACTGTAATGATTTTAGTTTAACACCCTGCCTCTTCTGTATGGAAGGCTTGATGTCTTCGAATTCAATCTGTAAAGAATAGAGGTTTAAAGAATTGATTAGTCATTTTGTTTATTAATTTTCTATGCTATATATTTATCTACTTATTAAGTGTTAGAAGTGAATGTGTATGGAGGCAGTGGGCTATAACTGCATGGCCACATTCCCTCCTGATGTGATGTCATGGCATACACACAGCGCAAGCAGCTACAAGTCTGTAAGTCAGCTGACTCAACTGTGTCATGTCACCCAGAGGATAGTTGGGGTGTGGAAGGAGCTTTTTACTGTTGTATGTGATGATATTCTGTGCATCAGTTTTATTGTTTATCATAGCAATAAATATGGCAGCTCCTCCCTGATGTGTGTGATATTCAAACTTATGATTCTAGCTGATTTTGGAGGAATTTCTATTTTTATTGTTATTATTTCATTTTGGGATTTGGAATTTTACTGTATCATGGGTTTACTATACTGTATGCAATTGCCAAGAGGAAATTGGCTGTCAACTGATACCACCTCTTCAATTGGGAGTGGTTTTCATAACATCATTCCTGACATATTCATTTACAAGTAGTTTGAAGATTACAGTACAGTACTGCATATTGTAGTTAATCAGGAGTAGAGAGTATTAGAAAATCCAGTTGTAGAGACTATTTTTTTCTACCAACAGGTTTCACTTACTCCGCATGAGCCTCCACAGACTATAACACCAACAAGTCACTGGTTTTCAGTCAGTCTGCAGGAGCATGCCAATTACTACCCACCATCAAGCCCAAGCCAATCGAGGCATTCTTACCCACAACACACAACTCATGCTGGAGAATTATATTCAGACCTTCAACATCTTCATGCAAGAAATGACATCAGAAGCTCCACTCTGTCCTCTTTGGGAAGATCTACAAGTACTGCCTCACAGCTTTCTCCAAGGACCCGTAGAAAAAATTATAGCCAAACTGCACACAGTGTTCAAGACCACACTGCCTTGGAAATTAGTAGCTTATCAAAACAAAATCTTGAATCTTCCTCATATTCTAGCTCTCCTTCTGTGATGTGTTCTGGATCTGTTAGTGATAAACATATAGGTAGTAATAACTCAAATTCCAACAGTGAAGTATCTCATTTATATGTAGGAGTTACTACCACTGGTGACCAGACCCACCACTTGAACAGAAAAACATCCAACATTCCAGTCTTCTCTCACGGAAGAAATTCATTAAAGATGCCAAGTCATGATAATGATAAACCAAAGTCCACTAGTGTCTTGCCGGATGTAGTGTATAAAGAACAAGAAAGTTTGTGTCCAAATGTGTCGGTTGTTAATCAGGGATATTCCAGGCATAAAGGATCAATTATTGTCAAAGGGACAACTCCTGAATCTAATGAAGCATCTCATCAAATGGAAAAGCCTTTGAAGGACACTAGTAATTTTAATTCATGTAAACATCCATCAGAGAGAGAGAATGGGAGAATGATTAAGGATTCCATAATTGTGTCTCATTTTCAGATGCAGAAAAAAAAGGAACAGTCTAAAGAAGATAAAGGCAAAGAAGAAATAATTTCAAGTAATACAAGTCTTGTTAGTACAATAGATTCAAATAAAAAAGCCACTCCTTCAAGTGCAAGCAGAGATTACCTTCCCAGTGATAACCAACCACCAATGACTATATCGGAAAACAAACCGAGTTCTTGTCTGAAGGTGCCTGGTAGTCCATCACTAAGGGCAAAACATGTAACATTTGCACACAAATTAGTTCATCACCAAAGCAATGACACAGCTAGTGCAGTCCACTATTCCCAAGATAGGGCAAACAGAAGGTATCAGTTAACACAACTCTCTAGGACACCCCAAGCCTCTAACCACGATTCAGTTTTAGATTCTAATATACAAAGTACCATGGAAAAGGAAGCCAGTAAGGGAGTGGTGTCTCGGGATCAAGTATCCTCCCACTCAATGACGTTAGAAGAATCTGATTTGCAGGTTGTTCCTTGCAGGGAAGGGGATACTCAAATTGTAACAACAACTGTTAGTGTTCAAGGCAGTAAGACCCTCAATGCTGTGTCCAGTTATGGTAATCCTTCCTTGCGTGACAAGAATAAGACTGATTTAATCATGGCTTTTTCATGGATGAATCAAACATCAGGCTGTGATTCTCCATGTGTTTCATATATTGAATCAAAGCAACAGACTATGCAACACAATCAAGGATCTAATGGCAGTTGTACTTCCAGTAGTAGTGGATCATCAGTTGACTTACGAAAGGCAGCCACAGATTCCCACAGTGTAGTTTCACAAAAGAAATCTAAAAAATTTCGAAGTAGACTAGCTGCAAACTTTTCCTTGAAATAATTGCTTTACTTCCCAACAGGACAACATATATGTAAAAATTGCTTTAATTAATATAGTACAAAGCTATTTTATTCATTGTGCAGTTAAGTGGGAACTAGTGAATTGCATTTTGGTTAACTTCCATATGAACATATGAAGGAAGTAAATGTATTAGTCAAAATAATCCAATGAACAACTGAATATGTTTTGATCCACTTGTCATAGTTTACATTCAAGAGGAAGCTTATTTTCTGATCAGCTACTTTCCACCAGGTGGCTCTTGTAACTGCATACCAAAGCATTTTGGTTCATTGCCCAGCAGACCCAGTCACTATTACTATTAAAAAAAGGGAGATTAGAAGCAAAGGTTGATCTCTAGAGGTGGAAGGTTTAATAGAGCTTTGTGTACTTAGATGACACACACACACCACAACTAATAGTGCTGCTGCCTTGGATGAGAAATAACTCTTCTTGTTAGTGTGCTCCCTCCAGCTCTCATCTCTGTACACTTGAGAGTAGTTAGGGGAATTTCCCTCACTTCTAGGTGTTATCATGAAGGTAAGAGTGAAATTTACCTTTATTCATATCTTTCCCAGCAGGTTGTTCATAGGTTGTTCTGACATTTTTTGAGTCCAGGTTGACCTACTAATGGTGTGTTAGCTTTAGTGCGGACATTTTTAAGGGCCTACAGGATAGTAACAGGCAAGGTCCCCAGTTTAGTTATTTTATTGATTTGCTTTATTGGGGCCTACCCATGCCCTATGAAGGTTGATCATGGTGACAGATAGCATGTTAAAAAATCCCTGTGGGTTTAAGCACACCCACATACAATACTGTATTCCCTGTCCCATTCTATCTTGGGGAATTTTATGTGCCTCCTTATAAAACTCGTGGATAAATCATAGGTGCACTTAGTTCATTGAGTGCACATTTGATTGGGGGTGTTGCAATGGCTCCTTCCCTATTTTTCACAAATCTGAGGGACACCTTCCACTATTGTACTGTATTATCCATTTCTGGCTATGATATAAAGGGAACGTGGGCCACATTTATCTAATAGAAAGTTTATTTATTAGTATGTTTAGCAATTGACTCATTTTCCTTTACAACACAATCACACATTCCAAATAGATGATCTACTTGTACGAATTAGAAATTAATGGATTGTCTTGTGGATCATAATCTGCTATTTAGCAAATGCAGGTGAGCCAGATTTAAAAAAATGTAGATGAGTGCCTCGCTTAGAGTTGGTTAGCTGGTCTCAGTTCCACTTCTTCACCTTTCCCGCTCACCTCATCCACCTTTCCTCCTTCCCACTTTACCTCCCCCTCTCATCTCCACCTCTCCCTCCCTTCCATTTTGAACAATTGAGAGCTAGTTTCTCAAATGGCAGGGCTTGATCTATGATTTTCTGGATATGAATTAAATACTTAAAAAGTGCCCAGGATTAATATTTTTAATTAAAAGGCAGGGTCTGTTTGAAACATATTATTGAATATTTATTCATCAAATTACTATGATATATTTGCATACAAAGGCAGTTCCAGTTATTTTTCTTATTAATGTATATTCTGGTCAAAGGTGACAGGCCTGTGTATCCAGATCTTATCTACTTGCTGAACAATAATTATTGGTATAGAATCAGGCAGGCTACTGATGCTGCTAGATATACTATACTCTGGGCAAGTGGTGTTCATAAGTGTATTCAGAGCTCTGCCACTTGCTTATCCAGTCATCTCTAGAGTGCTTATTGCAAACTACCATGAGTGGTTCATAAGAAATGACAGATTTAATTTTTTATGAATACAACTTATAAAACTTAAAATATGGTTAAAATACAGAACATTCACAACTGAATTTTCACAATTAAGTTAAATACAGAGGCATGTTTTAGCCATAAAATAATGCCTTCTGTGCTAATTTCTGTAGGTTAGCTCCATTCCAGGAATTTACATTTACCAAAACATTATACAGTACAGTACTGTACAGGTAATTAAGGTTTTATACCAAAAAGAAAATTATTTACTAAATAAAATACATACTGTATACAATTGGTGCAGTACATTACCTTAAGTTGGGATCCCCCCCCCTCCCCCCCTATCGTTTGTGATGCTTGGTTCATATTATCGCAGGTTTGTAGGATCTCTTGGTGATGGTGGGACAGCAGAGAAGTCACCACTGCTCTTGGATGCTATTGCATAAAGATTCACGAAAGGACAGCACAAATATAGATGGATAGGGAGAGAGCACTTCACTTGCACTGAACACAGTAAATGGAGTGCTATAGAAGGATGTGGGAGGGGAGGGTGACATCATGCACCTTCAGCGAAAGTATGTTCCTGTGCATTTGGGCGGGCAAAATAGCTGTCCTGGCTGAAACTTGGGCCACGCTCGGCGCAGGATTTGAATTTTTGATTGGATCAACATTTGGGTAAGAAAATACAGTATTGTATCACTTTCAGATAGTGAGAAAGAGGTGTAAGAATAGAATATTTGGATAGTGATCATTTGGACAGCAAGGGATACTTGTGCTAAAACTCATCTCTGTTCCTGTGCTCAATTTTCTAGCTCCAGGTACTGGTATGTGTTTTATTTTAGATTTAGGTATTCTTCTGTTTTCTTAATTTTTATTTATTTATTTTTTTATTTTTTTTCTTCTCTAAAGTGAGTGGAATTCCCCTTTTGGATTTCTTTCTTCTTAAATTTTTTCAACTGTTGGTTGGTAATATTCACTCTGATGTCCAAGGATACTACCAAAGAATTGCTGGGGATGCTATACAGGTGCTGTAGCTACTTCACTCCTAAGCAGTTGCTTTAAGTTTATAAGGGATTCATTAATCCTAACTTGGAGTACTGCTCTCATTTCTGGGGTGGCTCTTCTTCTGTCCAACTATTAGATAGGGTGGAATCAAAGGCATTTCGTCTTATTAACTCTCCTCCTTTAGATGATAATCTCTCTTCACTCCAATGTTGCTTCACTCTCTCTCTTTTACAGGTACTTTAACGGGCAATGTTCGGTGGATTTGGTGTCCTGTGTACCGCCGGCAAGGCCGTGGGCTCATAACACTCGTCTTGCCTGCAGTGCCCACCGTTTCTCTGTGGTTGTCAGTCACACTAGAATAACCCGTTATGGTACCTCCTTCTTTCCTCACACAGCCAAGCTGTGGAATGCTCTGCCTTCTTCTGTGTTTCCATACTCATACAATCTGTCTCACTTCAAAAAGCTTGTTTTTGAGCATCTTTGTGGTTTACATTAATATAATCTTTTTCTTTTCTATTTTCAATTTCTTTTTACTCTTTATTTTTTGCTCCCTAGCGTTGTGGGTCGATGACCTGTGCCCGGGTGGGCTATTCCCTGTCAAAAAAAAAAAAAAAAACTTTCTTGGGGGCTTTGCATTAGTAAGTGGGATAATCCCTCTGCAGAGGTGCATGTTATGCTCTAAATTTAGGTGAGTTCCAGAACATTTTCACTGAAAATATTTTACCCCGAATTGTCTCGATAATGACAGAATGGCGAGATATGAACATAAAAACTTAAAACAGTGAACAAATGTCTTACTTTAGATTATCATATTCACTTGTACACTGAACTTGAGTAGTAGTTACTGATGATAAGAGAAATTATTGCTTGGAGATAGTGGTGCAGATCTCAAGGGATTTAGGTGGAGATATACTGTAGTTGCAGCTGCTGCAGGTAACTGTGACATTGGTGAATGTAGTATTTGAGGAGTTGTAGGAGGTCTTTCCACGTTTTTAGAGAATTAATCCAAAGAAATTGGTTAGGTTGACTTTTTGCCTATAGTACAGTATACTGAAGTGTATAACAAATACTCGTTCCCAATGCAAAATACTGTACAGTTTCTGTACACATAGCCAGCTTTTACTGTTGCCTGTGCATAGCTATCAAAACAACAAAGCTCAAGCAACAAGCGAAGAGTGTCTGCAAGTGTGTACAGTATGTGGAACTTGTTAGGTCCAGCACAAGTGCAATTTGCATAGTATATGTGCAAACATATGTACAGTACAGTACAGTACAGGTATATACAATTGGACATATGGTACCATTATAAAAAGTGCATGTCTGTGAATGTACATAGTGCATGCTGATTGTACAACATTCTTCTTATTTTCTGGCTGGCTGCAGTCATGGGTTGCCTGGCAAAGGGCAGCTGCCCAGAAATTGAGGATTAGTCCTGAAATCTCAGTTTCTGGTTAATCCCATAGCCAGGCAGTTCTAATACCTTCCCTCCTCTCTTGGATGGATGGGTAGTCAGCCAGGAACTTAACATGGAGGGTCAATATTGGTCCAAGGTGGTGGCTGTGTCAGTTGTGTTAGCCTTTGTACCAGCTAGGTAGACATGATACTCTTAGACATCCTTCGTCTTGAGGGTTAACTTCAATTGGGGAAGGATACATGATTGTACAATCATTTCCTAGTGATATTTATTGGGTAATCTCTGTCTTGACCCAGCAGGCTTTGATACAAACTGTTTTGGCCAGAAAAAAGGATTTCGGAATCAATCCTCCATTTTTTCCAGTTCACATTTCTCTTTGATATATAATACAGTACTTCATAGCTTAGGACTTATTTTCAACCTCAGAATCATGTTCTTTTCCTTGGATGCCTTATGTCATGAGCTTATTAATGACAAGTTTTATAACCAAGTCTCTTGAACAGTTTATAGAATGATGGATTTCTTAATTATCATAAACTTCCCAACACATCATCATGATGTATGCCTGTGAATTAATGGTGCTCCTGTAATGTGCTCTTCATGTTCTAATAATTGTACATTGTGTGTCCAGCACATAATTCTTCTCTACTAGAGTGCTATTTTAACTTATAAGCTCAGGGGGTGAAATGTCTTTGCATTGTAACAAAAGAGTATCCTTTGTGAGGTAAATTTGAAGGTACAGTACATGTAAATGTTTGCAATTCATTAATCATTTCATTGGTGATTTTTCTTTAATAATTCACCCCTTGAAGCTGCTATTCTATTATAAGTTTGGAAGAACTTTTAACCCCTTCATCAATACTCCCTTACACTTGTGAGAGATGCTGACTAGCTCACCACACCATGTGATTGTCTTCTTTTACAGCCTAATGGAGCTAATTTTTCATTATGCTTATGTCTTTATTTTATATCCAGTCATTAGAAGTTTTGTTGTAATTGAAACTTTTAAGCCCTAAATCCTTAACAAGAATACTTCTGGCTTCCAGATTCCATCACAGTATAAAGTGTGAGGCAAGAAAGAAAGGAGAGAGGCATTAGAGGATTTTTATACTGTATTGGGCTATCCTACTCAGGTTATTAAAGCTAGTTCCTGTATAAAGGGTCATTCATGACAGGCATCAGGTTACAGATGGGAAATTGACTTGGATCCCACCTTCCTCTCTCGGGTTTTCCTTGGAAGTTAACAGGTTGTGAGGATGAGCCTGCCTCCTACTCTATAATTGAGCATGACAAGTATAATCACATGGTTCATTAGTTCCCAGACCGAATCAACAACTTCGACTCTTTAGACCTACTGTTAAGGGATAGAGCTGTTGGGGGCTACCCAAATTTAGGAACTTCCTGGATCCTAAAGCTTTAAAGCTGAGCAGAAATATTCATAAGTTCTTTATAGGTTTGTTTAACAAATTGGATTTGTGGATAAAGCCCTTATTTTTCCATATTCATCACAAATTCACCATCACTTCATAATCATTTCTTAACTTCACTGGTACCATTATTGAATCATAAACATACAATATTCTGGTTCCTCTTCAAGCATTCTTTTGGCCATAGTTCATTCTCACAAGACCCTTCACTTTGTGGTACTGTATTCTCACATAACTAAAATATACTGTATTGGTTATCCTGGGCATACAGAGGGGGATGGGAAGGAATACCCATCTATCTGGTATATAAGCCTTTGGCTATAGGCAACCATGAGAAATGATGAGAGTAGCTATTGCATTGCTTCAGATAACTTCTCTAGTGGTCACTGATTTTAAATGATTTTGACAATACAGTACTGTTAGTCAAGATGTGACAAAAAAACTACATTGAATTTACAGTGTTAAGTTGATTATATGTTTGGTACTCAGGTACTTTGACCAGTCATTGTGAAGTGGTAAGTAGAGATCTGAGGAACAGTACTGTGTACAGGTACATATTAAGGTGGTCCTTATACTGTATTGGGAAAAAATATGTACACCTATATATTTTAAATATTTATGTCTGATATTTGTCCCCAACAAAAGTCAAAGGGTGTGTAGGCCATACCGAATTGATGGCTCACAGCAGTGTTATAAGGGTGAATTTTCAAGTCATTGTGCAACCTTTAAATATTATTATTATTATTTTATGAACTTTGCACACAGTGTTTTTGTGACAAATGGAAGATTTTGCAAGGGTAGACCTGAAAAGTTCCTACTTCGAAAAATAAGGACCACCCAAGTACTGTACTCATGGTAAAAAAAAAAAGTATCTATCCACACTGTGTGTGAAACAATATGACACCTTGGACGGAGAATTTTGACAAACTTGCCAAGACAACACAAATCATATTGATCATTTTGACATTCATCGAACCCATCTGGACAGCTTTTTATTTATTTTTTGCCGAGTTAATTCTAAAGCTGCTCTAATATAGTACATGAGTATTATACTCATTTGTTTAACATCTATCTTGAGTACAGTATTCTCAAGTATTTTTCACACTCGGTAATCATTATCAACTGTGATGCTTTTCTTTATCCAGTTTATAAGTACCGTATCATGTGTCTTCCTTCTATTATTCTCAAATGTTAACTAGTCGAATATCAAAATCTTTACCTCACTACCACACCCAGTTTCAGAAATAAACATTGTTCATGTCTTTATTTAATTCCTTCTGGATCCTTATCTAAAGAAATAGGCAAAAATTGTTAAGTACATATGCTGGTTTCAGTAAGTTACCTAGATGACATACTACTGTGTATATATCATTTACCATATAAACCAGAAAGCTTTTTATTATTGTATTCATATACGTACTGTATTATATGTTTTTATGTATCATTTTTGTAATTTTAGCATTTTGTATCAAAGTTTTTTAAAGAGATTGTCACTTAAATTACCTCCCAGTTTCATGTGCACAATGTTTTAACATTAATAATGCGACAAAATAATGTGTTTATACTTAGATATATTGACAGTACTTATATACCATTTTGATGTTGAAATGAGTTAGGAACTGCCAGTCTATGAGATGCTTTACTTCTGTATTTCCTTTATCAACCACCAAGTTTTGTTTTTAATGTTTCAGACATATCACCTCCTTCCTTCTCATCGTTTATTCCACCTTGATCTCTTTACTTTGGTTTTACAAAAGATAAAATTATTATTATTTTTTCTTATGCAGCTTTTTATTTTCAAATTTATTAGTTGTTTTATATTCGTTTTATGTCACACTTCCTATGTTCCCTGTAGTCTTATGGAACTGTACTTTGGTACATAGCAACCCAAGCCCTGTAGACTGAGTCATCCTGTTATTGGATTCTAAGAACTGCAGTCAAATCAAACTGTTCATGTTTGAAGTGATTAGATTACAGTATAGAGTTCACGAAACTACTTTGCTTGTCATTTGTAATTAAATTCTTTGTACAACTGGTAATTCCATTTCCATTATTTATGACATATCAACATCATCTGCTGCTGTCTGCTCCTTAGAGCCAGGTTGTAAACACATTTTCTAATCATATTAATAACCTTTGTAACCTAACTCCTATCTTGTGTAACTCATGCGGTACTAATTAAGTCTTGGATGGAAAACCATTTGTATCTTAAGCTAATTAGTTTATACCTTCCCATATGATCATATCTTGGGACTGTATCTAAAAATAAACCTGATGGATATGAAGGCTGCTATTAGGCTCAATGCTGAGAGTCATGTCACTATCACATGCTGTGTGTTTCTTAACTGTTATTTAACTCAGTTATAAAACATCATTCCATGAGCACATGACATTCTTGATTGTCTTACATCTCCTGTTAAGAGCTAAGTTGAACCCCTCATCATTTTAGCATTTTATTCAGAGTTGAGCTAAGTGGTGCCTTGCTATATTGGTGAAAAGCATTGTTGTGTTTGCTAATTTCATGTTGTAAAATATTTAAAGTGCCTAACAACCCAGTTTGAGGTTAGTCAACATGTTGATATGCAGGAGCACACAACCCAGCACTATGTTAAAGGACATGCCTGTATAAGCTTAGCTCAGTCTATCATATGACATCCTCAATGAAACAAAAGTAATATCTCCATCAGCCAAACCTCTCCAAGATCTGGAATTTTTCCGGGAAAACTCTCTCCCTTTTGGGTATGTAAACAAGACTCTGAGGTTGAAAAATCAGCCGTATTTTCTGGAAATTTCCTAGAAAACTTCCAGAAACTCCAACTTCTTTTTTCTGGGTTTGGGACAAGTTTCGAGGATGAAATAATGCACAATTTCCGGAGAAAATCTCTCCAAATTTTTCTGCTCCTGGCCTAGGCACAAAGGTTCCTGGAGAGTGACAAAAGATTGCATCATGCTCCTGGGTTCTCAGTGCTAGGTACATAGGTGAGAAGACCACTTGGGTAACACTGCAATTGGCTAATGCTGTCATGTGACCACATGGGATGCCTGTGAAAGGCTGATGCATCTCCCAGATTATCCCCCCCTCCCCTCAAGGCAAGTTTCAGAGCACGCTTAATTCATTGTCCGCAGCCATTCTACAAGGTTGACTTCTCACTCGCTGCTGTGTTTGCATACAATTTGTGTTGTTCAGTACTGTACACTCATTTAAAAAATATTCTGCACCCTTGGCTCTGAAACCATTCGCAATGATCACTGCAACAGAAGCCGTGATGGGTGTTATCAGATTTATTGGTCCGGTGTGTCATATTGTATAACCCTGTGAAGGTGCAGAATAATCTTTTAGTGAGTGTACTTTCCTGTACTAGGACACAATCAACCAATAATACAGTGTTTAAGGAGTATTAAGATGCAAACAGTGATTACAGTGTGTAATTTTACTGTAAATTTACATATTTTGTGTGAGAACCATACATATGCTATGGCAGTGGACAGTGTTTGTATACCATACATTTCTGTACCAAAAAATAATCAGCCAAGAATACAGTGTAATATGTTTCACTCCTGATTTACCAGTCCTTCATGGAGGGAGAGGACAGTGACAGGCCATCCTGTTTCATCTTATCACCATTCAGCCTGCCTGCATCACAATCTCAAAGTGACAGTATCTACTGGTGAGTACCCTATACATTTTATTTTGTTTATTTATATTGTGTAATGTTTTATGTTTACAGTATTTACAATATATTGTACTTGTACAGTGATGTTTGCATAAATAAATACAGCTCATGTCTGTCTGTGCGAGATGTGTACAGTAGTTTAGATTCTTGGAAAGCATTCCCCAGCACTGGTGCGAAGTTTAGAATCTCGGAAAACTTTCCCCAGAGCCCAGAAACATTCCAGGGATGTGCGATAGTGTCTATCCGTGGGAGATACATAGTTTACTCTTGGAAACTTTTCCCAGCAACCGGAAAAATTCTGGGAATGTGGGATTTTTCAGAGTTTGAGAGAGTCCTCTTGTTACCCAGAAATCTATCATCCCCAGAAGAGCTGTGCACCAATTATTCCTGCTAATGGGGATATTACTGTAATAGCATTCACAAATTGTACATACTGTATGTGAGGTTCCAGGAACATAATGCTCTAATGCAGAGCTTACTATATGAAGCTTTCATGCAAACACGAATAGCAATTTAATAACTACATTAATTTTATTTAATATTATAAACACCTATACTCTCCTCAAGGATAGTCTGTTGTGTTCTGCATGAGGAAAGGCTGGTGTTATATGAGTGTATAAAGCAACATGGCCTATCAGTATCTTCAAGGATTTGAAATTAATGTCTGCTTCAAAAAATATAGCATAAATGTTGCTATCACTCCTTAATTCCCCACATCATTTCTAGTATGTCTTTCACCTCACCTTTCAACCATGACACTTGAAGGACAATGTTAAGGAAGCAAAATTGCATATTAAAGATAGGACGACATAACAGGGTTTATATGAACATTACAGTAGTTAGAGTATATCTATGACAGCAAGGGAAGGGAGAGCGAGTTTGCCATACAGTACTCCAGCCACCTAGCAGCAGTTATAAAAGTTTGCAAGACAGCAGAAAAATATTCAACATTTAAAAAGAGGTGTATAATGTAATAAAAGAAAATCTGTACTTTAATTTTGTTTAATTATGATTACACAATAAGATTAAAAAGAAACTTATCTTTTTGTTTCACCAGCAATGTCCTGTATAATCAAAACATGGTTACTTATAACTTCTGATAAACAACAGATGTAAAAGAAGTTACATAATTTAGAAGTTAGAAATTTTCAATTGTTATTTAAAAAACTGAGCACTGTTGAGGGGATAACAGTTGTCTAGTTCAAAATGGAGGCTAAATAAATAAAACTGATTAAATATGTTGTCAACTGGGACAATCGGTGTTAAGAAATATTGGTATTCAGCAAAAATCCAACAAGTTTGGAAAATATTTAATCGAAAATACAAAACTTGATTTAAAAAACATACTAGAATATTTCCTTTACATTAAACCTCAAGTATATGTCCAATCATTATTCTATAACCTCAAAATAAAACTACTCATTTGAAAATTACTGTATCAAGCATAGCACCAAGACACTGGACAATATTCGACGTCATAAGAACTTCTACTTTGTCCTCCAGGTGCCGCTTAGGGTCCAGTTTACCAACATTTTTGATGGCAAGTTGCTCTGGAGTCATTTTTTCCTCCTCTTCCAAACTCTGAAAAAACATGAATATAAATATGGTGAATTAATCATATGAGGGAATTTAATGTTATCTAAAACTGGAACCTTAATTTCTATGGTTACAACTTACTTCAAGATTCTCATAAATATAAGAGTTTTTCATATTTATACTATTTGTTTTGAAATTGGCATATATTGTACCATGATCTAACATTTTTTTTTTTAACTATAGATAAATTGGAACAGTAAAACGTACACTAAAATAAATAAATATTATATATATATATGTATATAAAACTGCTATCATCAATGTTATATGGCCATTTTTATGCTCACGCTGGTTAGCCATGATTATCTAGTGACAGTTCTCCATGCAGTGCAATCTCTCATTTTCTTAACTCAAAGTCATTTCCTGCATCCACTCCACATGTCATTCTTGGCCTATGCCTAGCTCTCCTCCCCTCCAAACTTGTACACCTCTTATTCCAATTGGTCTCCTCCATTCACTTTACATGCCCATTTCATCAGGTCAGTCTACCTTGGCTCAATACCTAGCCACCCTTTAAGCTCAAAACAGAGTTCCCTATTCTTAAGTGTCACATCGCACTGACAGATAGGAAACATTCTTCAGAGCAAAGAAAATATATAAATTACAAAGTCATAGGGTTAGATTCCTGAAGACCCCATGAACGTTATTTCCTGATGTTTTATGGGAAATCTACAACTGGTTCCACCACTATCCACCCTCTCTTACTGTACTAACCAGTGGTCTTCTTCCCTATCCACTAACCATATCCAAGATGCGCATTATCACCTCATGCGTTCATTTTCAAAATAAAATATAAATCAAATGTACAGTTGCAAAATGCCAAAAATTATGCACACAAAGGTCCTTCCCAGCATCAACACTACCAATCACCTACCTACTTCCTTTGCTACCAATCAGTCATAGCTACAAAATCTGATTATGAAAGTAAAACTTAAGTTTCTTACTAATAATCCAGTCTTATATTAACTACTCATGAACTTGTGAACTTTTAACATTCTGAACATTCAGTACTTAAGTAAAATCACACATTCTGGCTACATCAATCAGTTCTAAGAATACCTAAATTGGCTGACTGATTCAAATATTGAGAGAACTTTTTGCTCTACTTGTAACTTCCAGCCCATGTTGATAAAGCCCAAGACCATTTCTTAATCACCTACTGAATTGTTACTCTTAATAGAAAATGCAAGTACTGTACAGGTCAGGTGCTTTATTCTCAGCTCACAGCAACCAACCTTATTATATGCAGTTGCTAGGTTAAGGATCTCTTTAACTGTGTCCTCATTGAGACTGCTGTGCTCATTGTAATTCTGCAGTGTCAGCCCTTCCATCCATGATTTCTTATGTAGATTTAAGAGCATCTGTTGTTCTCTGGTAGATATACAAGAACATGTTAATTAATAGTTTTGTAAGGATTAAACGAGACGTGCATTAATAATCACATAAGAGATATACTGTATTTTTATATTAGGGCTATGTAACATGATTTGATAATACTGTAGTGATATCCCCGTTAGCCAGAATAAGTGGTGCAGAGTGGTTCCAAGATTGAGAGAGTCCCTGGTATGAAGACAAATTTTCTCACCCCTAGAATTTTTTTCCGGATATTGGGGAAAGTTTTTAAAGTCAAAACTATGCAACTCGCATGAACAGACACGGAGCTGTTATTAGTGATGCAAACAAAACTGTATACATTATACTGTACTAACCAGCAGATGCTGTCATCTCGAGCTTGCAATACAGTCAGGTCAAATGGTGATACTGTATGATGATACAGAATGGCCTGCCTTTGTCCTGTACCATCTGTAGCAGGTGTTGCTAACTCTCCTCTCCCTCCACGAAGGAGGGATTGTACATGTACTGTATACTATAAATGCACCCTCTACACTAGCATACACTGTCCACTCTGCTATGTATTGTCCAGTACTGTACATCTGGTACTTTCACACTCATTGAATATACAGTACAGTATATTTAACTATAATCACTTTTTATGTCTTAGCACTGCTTTATCAGTATTCTTGGCTGATCATATGCTGGTACAGTAATATAGATCGTATGCAAAAACAGCAGTGAGTGAACTAAATTGTACAATGGCAGCAGACAATGAATTAAGAGTGTCATGATGCAAGAGTTTGAGGATATAGGCTTCGAGATATATCAGCCAATCATAGGCATCCTGTGCAGTCACATGACAATCATAGTTCACGGACACTTTCAGCCTACCCACCCATGAGCCCAGCACGCGTCTCCGAGTTGTAAACATGATGCAATCTCAAAAATTCATTCTTGGATTTTCCAGAAATGCACATGATTCAATCCTCAAAAATTAATTTCTATGCCCAGAATTTCACTAAACGAAAAAAAAATAAAAAATAAATAAATAAATAAACCTGGCTACTGGAGAGCGAAGATTCAAGCTAACCGAGAGATAAATTACTACAGTATATTACATAAAAATATTCTCGAAGTTGCGATAGAATAAGAATACTGTATACAGGTGCTCCTCTACTTAAGAACGTTCAACTTACAAACTTTCAGAGATATAAACATCATCACTGAGGGGGGTTACCTGCCAGAACAGGTGTTTAATGTGGATAAAAATGGATTATTTTGAAGAAAATTACAGATAGAACAAACATTACCTAAGAGGAAAAGAGTGAGCCAGGTTTTAAGGCTGTATTAAAGGGTATAGCTGTATTAAATATCCATAATCTTTTAATTTTTTACAATATGTTTGGTATCTACAAGAGTAAAGATGGACTTGCAAACAAGCCTCAGGAACGTAACTCATTCGGAAGTAGAGGAGCACCTATATACTTACGTCTACGCTGAGGCCACATCAAATGTGGAAGAAATAATTAGGGAGTACTGTAATCACTAATGAATAAAATACACTTTAATTTTAATGTGGTGCAATACAACTTGATCATAACTGTACATACAGTTTGATCTTCCATCTCACCTTTCATTCATGCGATATTTAATTGGGATCGAGTAGTAGTGACGGTTAAGTCCATGAATCAATGCCTGAAAGATGGGAGCAGTAAATTAAAAATTTTAATAAATTATCACAAAGAAATATATTGTATCTGTACATGTTCAAATTTATACTAACAGGCCCAATGATGCAAAAATTTTTGAAGAAGCATAACTGATATAAATGCATTTAAGATTAGGTTTGGTGTATATGTAAACATATGAATTTATTTGCTGGATATATTGAAACAGGATCTTTCCATGAGACTGACATTAAAACATACAGTTTGGGGAGCTGTTCTTATGTTGCATATGTTCAACCATACATGCATAGACCCCTTTTCTGCCATTTCTTGAAAAATTCTATGTGCAACTAAATCTGTGATATGGGGAGATATTCAAATAAAAAATTTATAAAAAAAAAAGTAACATTTTGAAGTTGTTCTGCCAGCTCCTGGGCTTGAAACACCTAAGTGCAGACTTATACATGAACAGACAATTGTCTAGTTTTCAAGAAAGGAAAGGTCCTTCTGTTTGGAAGGATATAATATTTTCAAACAACTTTCCTTCAAAAGGCACCAACAAATCCTGGACTTCACAATGATCAGGTGATTTCTCACACTACACAAATATTGACGCAAAAATCACACAAAAGCAAAACACTTAAAGTTCTTCAGAAAACAGCTTTTTGTCAACAAATTACTCCTCCCTAACAAAGATGATATCCATACAGGATCACCTCAACATAAAAGAAGTATACTGTATTCAATTTCTAGCATCAATTGAGCAAAACAACCACCCTCCTCCATAGAAACACAAACAAGAGGGACAACAAAATACAGTACTACACTGATCTCCAAACAACCTACGTCAAACACTCTCCTGCTAAATCAACATCCCACAATCACATCTATACCCCAATAACATCCTCCTCAATCAATAAACTACAACTATCTCCCATTATGAAGGCTCCAGCTTCCATGGGAAACAAGTTCACCTATATAGATGGTGCTGCAGCAACCTTCCATGATCATTAGAGCACAAAACCTTCTAAGACCCAAATACAACTTTATCTCTCTTACTGGAAACTACCTGATAAGATTCTTGCCAACCTCTAACAACACAGACAACTCTTCAACACAACCTCTCAAGAGATCTCTGGGAGCAACCAGTGGAAGTTGTTGGTTTCTTGAGGAACTGAACTGGGGAAACACAATATGATCAGGTATTAATGATAATCCAGGCAAAGTCTTAAAAAGATTTAATGCTCTCCCAAAGAGAGAGAGAGGGCAAGTACCTGGATTGAGGGCTTCTGTAAGTGGCCAAGATTTGAAGTTGTCTGTCTTGGTTCCTGCCCCAAGACCATCATGTTTGGGTTGATTAGACGGAAGGCATCAATCACCACTTTACCTAATTATGAAAATAAAACAAAAATTATACTGTATATGTATAGACACAATTGAGTATAATCATTCACTTTATTCTAGCATTGCCTCAAACATCATTTACGGAATAAAAATACAAAAATTCTCAGTCATCAATTATGAAATCATTAGTAACATATCACTGTTGAACTTCCTATGCTCAACAGACTACAGTATACTTTTATGTTCAGGGATGACATTTTTACCTGCTGTGCAAAGGGGGGGGGGGCTGTACAGTTTTTACTGCCAACTACTATTATGTCCCTGAAGGAGTTCATGTGACCTATCCTTCATGTAAATGTGATAGTTCTTGAAGGATTAGACAGGTTATCTTGAAATTTGAAGAAAGTTTCCCCCAGAAGAGCTTGGACAATTTTAATAATAGGCCTTTTTAAACAAGGTTGTGATTATAAGTAGCTAGTGTCTTCAATACTCTTGTGAACCAATGACGAATATACTGTAGACAGTACCATCATCGAAAAAGGTTATGCATGCAAACCAATGACAATATATTCATCATCGCCCACATGCTCACACCTAAGTGACAACTTGCCACATTGGGCATTCAAAATTCACTGGATCACCTATAACAATCTAACATTTTCATGAGATTACCTTTAACAGACTGGATAGGATCAACCACAACAGCGACTGCACGTTCTGACAGTGCCTCAAAACTCTGCTGTGTATTTATATCCACCCCAGAGAGCCAGCAGCCAAAACCAGGATGCGAGTGGTACCACCCAACTACCATCTCTGGCCGTCCAACTTGCTTCAACATATCCAACATTTTTGCTTGGAAAACTGGATCCACAGCTTCAACAGACACTCCCTGAAAAATATAAATAACAGTAATAATAATACAAATTCAGTACATATCATGTACATGTATACCAAAACAATTTGGCTTGCTCAAATTAAGTCTACCAGTACTGTACAGTAAATACAAAAAAAAAAAAAAGTTATGATCTTTCAATAGATACTTTTCATTTAGAGACGGTAAAAGAATCATCCCTAAAGCCAAATTCTGATTCAGTTTCAGCTAATACATTAATGTCTTTTGTGTTCTTGTTAGATCCCCAAAAGAGGCCTGAGCTACTGACTTATCTTCATGGGTATTGAGCAATCTTTTTTTTTAAGAGACTTTGAAACCTGTGGAAGTGAGTCTCTTTAACTGGTCTTACAGTTCCTCAACTCCACAAAAAATGCTTTAGGAAAGATTTTGAAACCAGCTTTTATGAAATTCACTTCCTCTTTGGTTTTTGCCTCTGGCAGGAGAATCTCTCTATTATATCGAAGAGTTTATCAGAGAATAGGTTTCACTTTGTGGATTCACTGGTAACACTTTTGGCATGAATGGTTCCATTATGTAATTTTTTCTTTCCACTTCCTCTAGGATGAAGAAAGGCAAGACAATGTAAGTTCATCTATTTAGATTGAGGACACTAAAATCTATGATTCAATAGTAGAGTACTAATTTGGGAGTCCAAGTGCTGATCCAGTTATTACTGGAATAGCAATGTTAAATTTTTTTTTAGCAAATACTGTATATCCATTTTCCAAGCGACATTTCCCCAGTACCCTGTAGGTGCTTGGTATATATTTGAAATCTCAGCACATCCAGTTTTACCATTTCCAATCAAACTCAACTTTTAGATTTCAGTCAAAATTTAGGGTCCTGGGAAACTTTTTTTCATCCCACTCATAGACTTGCTGGCTGTACATAAATCACCTAAGACCAGCACTACGTTACAAATTACAGTACTAATAATGGAAAGAGAGATATAACTGAAGTATCTAAAATTTTCTAATTAATACAATACTTACAGTTCCACTCTGAGGCATGGCAAAAACGTCAATTACTCGAACAGTGTAATCATCAACAAACTCCCCCAACATGAGGCCCATAACCTCCATTGGCACCCCAGCTCGTCCATGCTTCAGCATTTTTAGCAGTGCCAGGGATGAAATGTAAACCTGATGGAAAAATGGTGCAAGTTCAGTATACAACAATAAGAAAAGCTGTGATACTTTTCCACTTTGATAGCTATGTAATGTACCTACCCTGTAATGTTTTGATCACAAATAACAAACTTTTGTACTACTCTCTTGAAGAATGGTCCAAGTATTTACTAACTTGTTCAGCAGTATCAGGAACTGGGGCATCATTGGGTGGTGGTCCCTGACCAAGGGCTGGCAGACCACCTCCAAGTCGTAGCAAGCGATCCATGTTTTACTGTAAATATTACATCAAAAGTACATTCATCAAGCAACACTCAACTAATAAATTTTATAGACTATTTATTTTTTATTTAAAATTCAAAGACATCTTTCTTTATTTTGTTATTTAATTTGTAAAACAAACTTTCAACTGAATTTGTGTGAGTGTGGAAGTAAAACTGAAAGCCAGGGAAGAAAATGTCAAATTTTCAAGAATCTCCAGTTTTCTGAGATCTGGTTTTGAGGATCGATACTTGTACATAGAATGTATTCCTCACCCACTTTTTGTTATTTTCTGTAAAGATGTACTGTACAGTATTCCCAAGTTGGTGGTTTAAGTACCCAACCATTGTCTTGTATTACACCCTTAAGCTTACAAAAAAAAATATACCAATACAGATTCCCTAGGCTTCTTTGCAAGATAAAGAACACCTTTCTTCCAAGTTATAATCCAGACCAATAAAAAACATCTCGGAGTATCAGAAGACAATTAAAGAAGATGGTGATAGCAGAGCATTCAACCTTTAAATAATAGTGAGATGACTAGTGAATACCCATAACCATCCTTACCAGAATCCTATTAAAATCACACACAATCTCCATGAGTCTTGGTGGTCATTTGGCTGGTTAGCACAGTCAAATGACCACTTTGTTAAAGATAAAGGCAGTGGATATTTTGTCGTGAACGGCTTAGTTCCTATTAACGCTATTTTACCTTGAGTGCACTCTGGTTGGCTAATTATACATTACCAGCGAACATGAGAACTATATATCACTGAGACTGGCAGCATTTGGCATTTATTTCACCATGACTTGATCAATGTGTAGCTAAAAACATACTTAACCAGGAGTTGTTCGATTTTGTTAATTTTTTCCAGATGTTCTTATTGCTATAAAAGCGGTGACATTTACTAGAACCTGACCTAACCAACCAAAGAAACCTACTGAACCTTACCTAACTTCTTAGCCAGGAGGGGTGGACCCCCTTTTATATTAAACAAAGTATTTAGCCAATCAGAGCGCACTCACGGTAAAATAGCGTTTGCAGGAACTTAGCTGATCACGGCAAAATATCCACTACGTACAAAAGATACAAGAGCGTTTTGCATCACCCCATCCCATTGCTGGGTGGATGAGACGATGTTTTTTTTCCATAGTAACCAATACTATAAAGTATTGCCTGTTATTACGTGGTCATGAGGATTTTAATTTGGGGATATACGATGGTGGCCTTTTGAAAATTTACAAGGTAAAACTCGTCTTTTGATTCTGGGCAAGCAAATCATTGCAAATGCATGTGAAGTAATGTTTATTATCTGATGAAAACTCTCGACTTCCGAAAGTATGCCAAATCTCCCACAAAATATACGCCCCTGCCAAGTTACTTACAGTACACCGATGTGGAGATGAACACTGCCTCTGCCGCACGACTCAGTTCACCCCGAGTTCTCAAAATCTGTCAACATTGACCAAACTTCGACTTGGTATGCTAGTCCTTTTAGACAATTATTTATATTTAATAAAGCATGTATTTAACCTTTCTTATATATGAAATACACAACTGCTAAATAAAATTTCCTATAAATATTATAAAATAATATAGAATATATTAAGTCGACCTGATGCAAGTAAATAGTTAAGATGAATTAATATGTTTATAATATAGCCATAGGTGTTTAATTCAAGTTAAGAATAATTAACATTTATTTCTGGATATAGTAAGACACCTGACATACATTAATTCATATATTGTACGTCAGCTGTCTTTCATTTTATCTGAAACTATTTGTTGACTTTCAATGTTAATCATTTATGACACTGGTGCAACTTATTGTTCATTATCACATATTAAACTTTTCTTATTTGATGTATGTAATATTATTTTCAATTTAAAGTGCTGCATAGAAGTCGAAAAAATAACAATAATTTTTATATATGAAGTAAGTGGAATATTACACAATGCAAATTTGTCCTTTATGTTAATCTAAAATGAATATTTGTATTTTCTTTTAACTCAAATAGAGAAAAATGTACTTCAGGCAAGCTTTTGTAACTGCAACTAATATAATTGTATTTATTATTTCAGTCGAGAAAACTAAACCAATCGTCCTCATTGATAAGAAATTATACTTAGAATTTAAGGCGACATGTTATAGAATTTTCAGGATACTTAAATGTTAACTGTCACTTCCTTCATTAGGCTTTAGTAAACACCTTTATAATATTTATATATACTTGTACAGGGGTACCCAGTGACAGCACTAGGATCCCGCTTCCTCTATCAAGGAATAAATATTGAAATTGAAAAAAAAATGAACTGTCATTTTAGAGACAACAAGTTTGGTCTAAACTGCTAAACAACTAACCACCATACACAATGAACAACAATTATCTTGTGTATCAAATTGTTTTAGTGTATATAATCCTCAGAAAGAAGGATAACAATTAGATACGAAGCTTAAATTTGCTTACACAATAGAAATTTACATTCGATAAATATTAATATTCAAGTTAATTTGGTCTCTTTCTTAGTGTTTATTTTATTTAACACTTGCATTTTTTTTTTCGACTTGCAGGAGAAGAGTTTAGTGTTTGTGAAGTAGCGGCGAAGTGACCAAGGAGTGTGGTGACAACATGGGCGATACTGAGGTAAGGAGTGTGACTTATCTCGTTACAAGATTCTGTTTCACTCACTGCAGATGATGGATGAATCAAACTTAAATTAATAATATGTAACACTCCTCAGGTGATAGAGAAGCTAAAAGGGGTGCCACAGCTCCTAGCGGCCACAAAGAGGTCGAGTAGAGCTGCCGGCATCAACACAGCACTAGAGGTTGTCAACAGAGAAGGTTAGTTTATACAGTCATTATTAATAACAATCTACAGTATTACTTAACATTTAGTTTTGTAGGTTTGTACGTTTATCCCATTTATTAGGGTGATAGAAGCTCTGATTGCTTATGCTCCGTGACTCTTAGTGGTGTGTGTCATATGGGATGTTCTATTTAAGGATCCAGATTTTTGTGGGTTATGCAAATTTGTTAGAAGGATCGAGAGTAAGGTGATGTTTTATTAGTTATATTACAGGTTATGGACCTTTTATAATGGCAAATACCAAAAAAATTAAGTAAAAGTAAACAAAATCATCTTTATGTACTCTCATTTCATGAATTTGGTTTTCACAGTGTTGCACAATATCTACTGCTCTTTATGGCAAAAATAAAAACCTCATACTTCATGCCCTGCCCATTACAGGTGATTTATGATTGTAGATAGAATAAAAAAAAAAAAATATATATATAATGAAAATAAAAAGTTGTATCGTTATTAGTTGATATCATCCAAAGTATAACTATGGAAAATATTAACGGAATATATAAATGCATTCTGGTGCTAACCATCTGCTCCACAATTACCTAAAAATATCTTACAGAGAAAAGGATGATTAAAATTTTTTTTAACATCCTTCACTGCATGCATGATATTGTAGTGGATAATCCTCAACAATATCACAGGGCGAGGTGCAGTTTATGTCTCTGTATTTGTTTATGTTTATTACCAGTGCGTTTCACATGCTAATTTTTCATGGGCACAGGAAGGGGGTGCTACAGAACCCCAATATTATTGGTAGGATAATAATAATAATGATTGCCCCTCGTGTAACGAGGATGGCCGGCCCAAGGGCCACCAAGACGTGAAATTGTTTAAGGTGTAGAAATTGTCGCCAACACAACAACCACACCCTAAGTTAATGAGCTGCGAGCGTCAAGGAATAGTCCGAGAAGACCAGACAACTCGCCAACTGCATTGACGAACCATTACCCCAGAACACGATCTGCAAACCGATTAACATCCAGGTTCCCAATTACTGCTGGATAGACAGAGGCAAATGGTGTAAAGAAACTTGCCCATAGTTACACCCTGCCTGGGGATCGAACCCGGTTCGCTCGTTTGTGAGGCGAACATGCTGACCATTGCACCACAGGTCACCATATTTTTGGTATCAGGTGTTATACATTTGTGGTGTAATATGTATAAGGTGCTATACATTGCACCAAAAAGTATCTAAGATGCCAGGATTAATATTCAGCCTCCCCCCGGTAAAATTTGGTTATTTTGCTTTCCCAAGTGTTGAAATTATCAGAGATCAACACAGAAAAGTTATTTGCCCCTTAAAATATTACAATGGAAATATGATTGATTAAATACTAAATAACTGTCATGACTCATCTCTATCCATCTACCAGCCAATCAGCTGCCTTGATACAAACTGACCCGAGGCCTCAGTTGCAAAATTCAATTGAGCAGACTATAGATGACAATCAATGTTGTGGTCGAACATGTCTTTTGGTGCTCTCAAATTTTGTTTAATCAGTGAATCTGCAGTGATACATTGAGGAAATACCCAAGCTGGCACACAAAGGAGAGGGTTTACAGCTGTATTACACAGACATTTAAGCCTAAAACAAAAGAGAAACAGCTGGATTTCAGCTGCATCCAACATGGCAGTCTAGGTGACAGAGAAGGGGCCACTGCTAAAGCAAGAAATACTTTTATGAAGGGACAAGATAAGAATGAAGAAACTAACAGGAAATGTGGGAAGTATGCATTAATAGTTAAAAATAAAGATAAGGTTTTCGAATGTGAACACTGTATATGAGTGCAGGTATCATAATCCAGAACTGATATAAGAATTCTTACAGAAGAAGAAGTAGGTGAACAACTTAGCTGGAAATGCAATTATACTGTAAAGGGAGCCGTGATAAACTGGACAAATATGAGGAGAATAGAACTACAATCCATAGTTGCCATGCACAGAATTCTGCAGTACACTACTGTACAGTGTATGTATTTTTATGTTGGGATATAGAGAAAAAAAAACATTGTAGCATTTCCTGCAAAAATTTATGGTGTTCAAGTTGGTATTGGACGAGATTTTCAGATTAGTTTTATTCTGAAAAACTCACTCTACCAAACTGGCTGCCCTCCAGTTATTTTGGAATACTGTAGAGAGGTACTGTATTTGGGATACCCTCGATTTCCCAAATACCACAGTTATTGGGTTAATCAGCGAATTGTCAACATAATGATAAAAGACAAGCAATTATCACGTTCAATAGAACACTGGGAAGGTGGTACTGGGTTAGGTTTGAAGTTATCACATCACTTTGATGAAGTACAGGTACAGTATCAAAAACTCTTACATTAATGGATAGGTGTTCATATGCTATCGTATATCATACAGATGTCAAACCTCTATGGCCCACTCAAATATTTGCCATGGTCTACTGGCTGGGAATCAGTGACTGGTCCAGGGTAACATGGATGACCCAGGAAGCCAGAAAAATCCCCAAAACTGGTTCAATCTTGGTCTCAAGGGTCCTGAGTTTGAGGATCTATACTTGAGTACCATTGTTGATAATTATTCATCCAACTGTGTATATGCAAGATTTTGGTTCATTGTATAATAAATGAGGATCCATGATTACCTTGATGAATATAAATTTTAATTGGCTAGTTGAAGAATACAGGTCTATTATATCTATTTAATGATGGACTTGATCACTGTAGTGTACAGTACACCTGACCCCCCAAATGTGAATTCACAATTATGCGAGGACCCTACTTCTACCCACAATTCACTTGATGCGAAAAAATTGCTGTTATGCGGTCTGTGCCAGGATATGGGAAGGGAAAAAACGGGATGAGGTGGTCTGTGAGATTGCATGTTGCTATATTTCTTATTTTATAGTTTTATTATATAATTTCTTTATTTCTAATACACATTAGAGTATTGTAATTTTTTCTACAACTTTTGTAACATTACTGTTGTCTTTTAGTGTCTTTGTTAGGAAAAAGTGCCAGAATTAAGGTTGGGGGAGCTGCAGAAATGGTTGTGGAACACAAAATTTTTTTACCCCATGAGATTAAGAATTCACTTGATGTGATTTCGAGTTATGTGAGGTTTTCATAGAACATAATCCAAGCATAAACTGAGGGTCAGGTGTACTATATATGAAAGATGATATAAAGATAAGATTAAATGTTAGCGTATTAACAAGGTGCTATTTCAAAGAGATGCTAGTACAGTATGTTGATGATCCAGTTGTGCTTGTTGCTGTATATTTGTATGGCATTACACAGTATAAATTAGTTGACTTAAGAAAGAAGTTGGAGATCACCTTAAGATTTGCCCCCTAACTTATTTCACCAGAAGATTAACCAATTTAATACTAACCTAATTTAGCATAACCTAACTCCTTAGGTTGCAGTAGATTGGTTAATCTTCAGGTATAGTAAACGGGGGAGGGGGAAATCTTCAGGTGATCTGAAGTTGGGTATCACATGATTAAGTTTAACTGTGTTGTTGGAGTACTCAAAGGAATATCTTCTCTTTGTTAGAGTTGCCCGAGGTAGTGGTGAAAGGAGTTTCCCGGCTGGCTGTGCAGGTTGTACAAAATTACACTGATGGTCCATTACGAAGCAAACTGCGGGAGTTGATCTACACTTTAGCCAAGAAGCATGCGGCAGCCATCCCAGCGCTGGCTCTCTCACTGCAGCATCAGGCCCAACAACATGCATGTGCTCCTCATTCATCGTAAGTGATTCAGAATGAGAGAGACGTTAAAGAATTGATAGACTTGTACCAATGATAGATAGATAGAAATTGTATACTGTGCTGTACTTTAAGATATTATCTTAAATCATTTTTTGATGTGTACATTGACATAAATTTTGCCATATAGATTTGTATTTAAATAGCACGGTCAATTTTTAATGGCCCTTTATAATGGAATGCCATTCTTTTAGGCTCTGGGTTGCACTGTGATATCTAATACATTTGGTTATGTATTGGAATAATTGTATTCAAAGTACTGTACCCTTTGTTTAAAAATCCAGGTCAGTTCTTTGGGTTCTGAATCAGAGTTCAAAGGGGCTTTATTTTCAGAGATGAAAATGGGTCATATTGTTCAATGGGCAAAAATAGAATCCTAAATTTGGAAAGTAATATCAATGTAGGCTCAGATCTCTATCAGGTCACCATGTTTGCTTTCATTAATTTTACCCATACATACAGTAAACCCTCATGCTTCCAGACTTCTCAGATTCGGATTTCGGTTGGTCCAGACAACTTCTGGATGTGGCAAATTCCTATTCGGTCTCTCTCTCTCTCAGCCAGAATACTGCGTTAATTCCCCCGCTGCTAAAATGGACTCAGCCCGCATCTCCTGCCACTAGTCACAGAGCGTGTCCCTCCTCAGTTTCGCTTGTAGTTTCGGTGTGTACACACCATCATGCTACCTCTTGATCACGCCCTTTTGTTGTTCCTCATGTCTTTTGTGCCTTGTGACGTTTTTTGTGCCTGATTTCTTGTGCCCTGTGACTGTTGTGTAGTGATGGCACCCAAAAGGAAGTGCATGCAGCTTACTGTGGCTCAGAAGCTGGAGTTGCCACAGAAGTTAGAGAGTGGTTGGTTTATAGTGAGATGCTGTAGTGAATATGGCATTGCTAAGCAAATAGAGTCTGATATACAAAAGGCTAAGAATTCCCTACAGCATTTGCAATGAAATATAATCCTGATTCTTAGACCTCTAAGACAGCTTTGGAGACCGCAAGCTGTATTAAAACTCAAAGCAGGTACGTTAAAATAATTCCTTATTGATATACAGTAATAACAACAATACTGTCAATAGAATAATACACTAATACTGTACAGTATAATTATTTTTATTGTTGTTGTTATTGCTGTATTATTATGACTATTATTATTTAATACTGTTTTTACTATTATTATTAATACAGTACTGCATTATTATTGCTATTACCCAAGTCAATAGTCCATGTACAGTACTGTATTATGATTATCGTTAATGTGCCTTCATCCCTCAGTTCATCCGGACATTTGCCACATCCGGACACCCTCTCCCTCCTAATTGTTTGGAAGTGCGAGGGTTTACTGTATATTTACTCTGAGTGCCTGCTGTATTATGATAACCATATAGCTGGGGCTTGCTGTCTCCAGATTCATTGGATCTCTCTCTTGATGCTTTGGTTTTATCATTCTGGCTCTTTCAATATGAATTGATAAACTAAACTTGCATATTTAATATTTTTTTTATCATTGACCAGTGAAGTTAAATGGTGATGGGTGCCTAGTTTAAATCCCTTTGGTAGTTGAACTTTTTTGTTATTTAAGATAAACTTTGTGACAAGTAATTAGTACCTCAACTTAAAACTCTGATGTCTAAGGTATATTATCTGTATTGAATGTCTGTAAAGACTTCCTGCTTATTTTTTATTATCAGTTTTCTCATTGTATAGAAGGCTTTCTCCCCAGTGGTGAGGCAGTATGCTTTTAATGTATATTTTTTCTTAACTTCAGCCGTGCTCTTGCTCGTGTCCATATATCCCCAATGGAAGTGGCTGCCAAAGTTTGGTGTATAGCAGTGAGTGCCAAACATCCTCTCAGCACTAAAGAAGCAACAGCACTGACAGAAGCCTTAGCTGTCCACTTTGCTCTGACAGTTGCTGCCAATGATGTGATCTTCACCCGAAGAGCCAACAAAGCAGTTGGTTTTTTCTTGGAGGATGAGGCACTTCTGAAGGCTGTATGCCAAGTATGTAACTTACAAGTGAATTTTGACTTCTTTTATTACACTTTTCGCATCTGTTACAGCACTTTTCACCTGTTCTAAAGGCTGCCGATTCAATCCTGGGCATGCCAAGTCTACCCAGCTGTAAATGGGCACATAACTTTAAAAGTTGGGGAAGTGAAGTGCAGTGCTGGCCATGGTGCCTCCTTAAATGCTGAAGGTTTAGTATCCAATGTGTTATATCCATACAGATCCTTGAGTGACCAAGAATTTGTTTACTATTTTGTACTCATCTATTAAAATTTGTCTTTTTTTTTATGTAACTGGTTTGTCAGTTTTTTACTTTACTTTTTTTTACAATAATATAAGTTTGATTCAAAGAGATAATGCAGGTGTCGCATATATCATACAATAGATGGTAAGTCGCCTTAATCATATAATAATTTATAATTATATAATACTCAACAGTACAAAACAATCACATCAGTGAAAACAGTTGTTGATTACCTGACAGTCTGATTTTCAACCCAGAGAGTTCTTTTTCTCATAATTTTTAATTTTTTCTGTAATACTGTAATGTTTTACTAACCTTGTTATGGGTGTAAAGACCTAAGTTGTTGTAGTTCAGTAATAACATTATAACAACAACTTATTTTCTTGAAACAGTCCAGATAAGCAGTGTTCTTTCCCCCTCCCCCATAGATTTGCTTTTTCTGGACTGGGGTCTTCTCCAGTTAATCCATTGTATATTAGTTGTACTGTACTCATAGAAGCTTTTATTGTTTGGTACACTGTGAATGACTGCTTGATGACCATGACAAATATCAAGTGTTTTATGTTGTAGTTTTGCTTAGCTTTGCTTAGTATGAATAACAAAAATTATTTATACAAAAGCGGAAGACAGTAGCAAGTATGTTTCAATTCTAAGTTTACACTAAGGGTGCATGGTTGAAATACCTTTAGTATACAGTGAGTTCTGCTATAACGCGTGTTTTGATAACGCGAATTTGCTCTCACGCGATTTATGAATTAGGAACGATATTTGTATAACGCGAACGCTTGTTTGCTATAACGCGATTTTTGCTTACTATTTCTCCAATTTTGTGGTATTAATTGTGAATATGGTAAAGAAGAATATCTCCAAGAAGCGTTCTGGTAATAGAATTTCCGGTGATGATCGTAAAAGAAAGGATATAACACTTGGAGAAGCTCGATGTTATCAACCTCAAAATCACCCTTCTCCCCCATCAAGTTACATTCATATTTTTTCAAGGTAGTGTTACATTTACCGTATGATTTCATTATTAGATATGAATGTAACATTTATTTAGACTGTGGTATCCTTTGTGTTAGGCTAACTACTAAATTTTTTCGATTTCGAGTAATCTGCACCTAACCCTATTTTCTCCATAAGCCCTGTTATTTCTATTACGCGATTTTCTATAACACGATATTTTACAAGAACACAATTATCGCGTTATAGCAGAACTACCTGTATAGTACTCTTTACTAAATTAAAATATTTCTTGATCCTCAGGCTATAATAAGCGGTGAAGTTACCATTCATCGAGTTATCTTGGGTGGCCACTTGTTGCAAATAATGGCTGAGGCTAAACTAATGCCTCCAATTGACAACTTCAAGCAAGCTCTAACAGAAGCCTATGTCAAACATGTTCTGCAATCAAGAAATAAAGTAAGATTTTGTTTTTTAAACTTTTGGTTGAATTAAATGATATGCAGCCAAACAAGAGTGGTATTTTTGTATTTTCTAGTACAGTTTGTTATTTTTAGTTTTTGGTTGACATCCCTGTGGAGAAGGGAAATATTAAGACTTAAGGCTGATTTTATTGTATCTGTCATAAGCAGTTTGAAAGAGAAGTATCGTAATTACTTGCACAAACTTTATTCTCCTTGTTTACTGATTCCTAATTAGCCAATTGATAAATGATGTGCGTGGGATTAGGATACAGTCTTATCCAGCAATTTTATCTATCAATAAGGGCTTCTTTGTGTCTTATTTTTATGCTAACTCTATTTTACATTTTAGAGAGTTTACAAAATCTTACAGAACATTTAGGTGTCTTCCTGTCTTACACATCAAGTGTTGAGCCAGAAATGCTTGCTGAAGTCTTCAATCTAAAGAAGTTGTCATCACATACATGAAGTCCAGTAATCGCCTCTTGATTACTGTAAAAAATTGAGTGTCGCCGACCAGATAAACACAAAGGAGGAAGTAAAATATATTGATTACTGTTAGAATATAGGTATTAGTGAGGGCAGATTTAAGATAGAAAGCAAGAATTTGGCAAATGTAAGTTTAGAATCAAGAAATTTAAAATGAATTTCAGACCACCAAGTAATACTGAATTGTGACTGCTCTCAGATTATAACCTTTAATTAGGAAAATGGCAGTCCCAATATATCTTAACTGATAATTTTAATTTGCTTTATCAATAATAATTAGTCCTAGTGTAGACCCCTATCATCTCACACTGAATATTGTTAAGATGCTCGTTAATATGATAATTAGAATGAATTTTCTTTTATAGCCATGGCCATTCATACTGGAACATACACGACCCCTTCTGCGACAACTGACACACCAAGAATTCTCAGACATGGTACTGCCAGCTGCTAAGAAGTCTCTTCTGCGTAACCCAGAGGTCACTCTCCAGGCTGTGGCTTACCTCTGCTCTGGACTTAATCTTGATCTTAGCAAATATGTGGTTGACATTACCAAGACACTGGCAAGTGAGTTCAGTTATCACTGGTTTGAATTTTTATTAAATAAGATAACTTTCTGGTACACATGATTCGAGTCTTTGGGACATCTAGTACAGTACTGTATGTTGTATTATTGTGGGATGAGGTTGCTGCTAGGTGGACACCTGAAATGTTTTTTGGATCTGAAATATGTTGTGCTACCATTAGGCAAGACATGGTTTTTGGGTGATTATGTCCTTCGGTGGTGGTACAATAGAATCTTGGTTATCCAGCACCAATGGGAATTGAGAGGTCCCGGATAAAGAGATTTACCGGTTAGTTGAATTTCACTCTTAAGATCCTCCAATAAATCCTATGATGTACAGTGCTACAGGCTGACCTCGCAAAAAATGGACTTTAGTTAACATATATATATATATAGCCCAGTGCAGTGTTGATTTAAAGAAAATAATCTTGAATTACACCTAGTGAACTTAAAATTTTATTGGTGAAATTACTGCATCAAGCATGGGTCCCCTGAAAGGTGATTTCTCCTCCATCCCCACTTCCTTCTCTTCTCCCTTCTCCTCCACTCCCACTTCTAATTCCCACCATCATCATCAACCAGGCACCTTCTACATATACACCTCAAAGTAAGTGTACTTTACTGCATTTTTTTTTTTTTTTATTTACTTTGTATTTACTTTTGGTGAGCTGGAACCAATTACCCAATATCCCATTGAAACAATGGATTCGGTTAACGAACAACCTTCTGGAACAAATTGTGTTCGTTAACCGAGGGGCCACTGTATATGATTAATCACGATAAAATAATTACTATAAGTATTTCTTTATGTATGTGTGAGTAGAACACAAAATTTTTGTTTATGCTTTATGAAAATGTTTATACATCACTTTATACCTTTGTTATTTCATGTGATTGCAGTATGAACCTTATTCCATTATAAAGCATACATATTTACTAAAAAGTCGTGAAAAATTAATACTTTAAACCCTCGATAACTCGGCATTTGATAACTCGGAATTTCATAAAACTCGGCATATGAAAACCCCAAGAGTGTTAATAGATTGGTATAACTTTATGATTAAAAGCTAGTCATCTCAAATTTAAAATTTGCTAAATTATACATTATATTTTTAACAAAATTTACTTCCTTAGGCCCACTTCATGCAAAGGAGGACCAAGTTCGAGATGATACAGTTGAAGTTTGTCGGCAACTGGCAAAACAATGTAGTGATGTTTCTGCTGTTGAAGGCTTTGTGAAGCTTCTGTTTGATGTCTTTTTTGGTTCTGATGGAAAACTTACTGTTGCAACACATAAGGTGTCAGTTCTTCAGGTGAGTAACCTTTTTTTGCTGTTATTTTGATAATTTGAAAGGAATACCTAACCAGACCATTGTGACTTAGTTTGCTTAGCTTGTGTCATAATAGATCCAGAATCAGAGTGAAGGTAAATCCTTCTGTTGCTAATTCTAAAATTCATATAAAAACTCAATTACAACTCATTGACATTGAAGATATAAATCTAAAAGCCACATCCTTAATTTACACTCAGAGTAATTTGTTTTGTGAATCTCTTGGAGAAAACTGAGACAGATATCTTGAAGGAGTCCTTTGGATTGTCGGAGTAAAATAAGTACAGTAAAACCTCGCTAAGGTGGATTAATTGGGAGAAGGGGTGTCCAGGGTAAGAGGTTGTCTACTTTAAAGCATTTTTTTTTCAAAAAGACATCTATTTTTAAAAAAAGAAATGAGTACAACACCAATGTATCCTATTTTACTGAAAGAAATACATGGTTTTTAATCAACCTAAATTAAAAAAGGTAATATACCTGAAGTACTGTACACTTACTTTTCAGTCACTGATAAGGTCTTAGGCTTAATCTTCTCACCACCTTTACAGACACCAAGCACTCGCTTAGGGGCCATGGTTATTGTCTAATATTTCAATATGAATGCTACATAATCACATTATTGGCAGTGTCAAATAAATTTTAAAATAAAGTTCAGGGCGTCTAAATGGCAATAAAACACAATCAACAGAGCGAGAGAGCGGAAGAGATGCTATCACGAGCGATGCTAATTTATGACTGACCATATCTCTTTGTTTACCAGCATGGGGGACGTGGGTGAACCATGGACATGTCAGCTGAGGAAAATCCCCCCCCCCACTTTTTTTAATTAATTATTTTTTGGCAAATAATTTTGTCTGGCTTAAGCAGGGTCTGCCTTAATGAGGTTTTACTGTACATATAAGCTTTGATGTGGATGCAACTTGATATCCTTCTCTAATCATAATGGTATAAAACGTCTTTCATCCTTCAAAGGGTAAAGTTTTCTTATCTCAAATTACGTTGTCAAATTTTTATCCCAAATCATATATACGTACCTTCACTAGCCATAGTTTATCCACACTCAAGAATTATACCATTTATTCCTTGTAGTAAAAAAAAAACATGGGAAAACAGCATGAAAACTAAACATGTACAGAAATGATTACCTGTGTAAACTGTAAGTGACTTCATATGACTTTATTGTGCAAATGTCTCCAGTTCTTCTTTAAGAAACATATACCGGTAGCTGAGGCCAGAGTAACAAATGAGATCTCTTACTCTGAAGCTTGCTTGTTTGTTTCTTCTTAGGGAGTGTTCTGTCCTGTTGGAAGGATAAAACTTCATCAATTGCTGAGAAATTAGTAGTTTCAGACAGTCAGCCGACTATGATTTCATTTAGTTTTTCTACAGAACTACTGTATATCATTATTAGTTTCAAGATTTGGTTATGGGATGCTATCATTCTCTTCAACCTATATTGACTGACAGCTGGATAGAAATCTTACATCTTTATATCTTGAACTTTCCCTACCTATTAATTTCTTCTGAAGTTTCTGATTTCAGTACCTGTATATGATTTCCAGGGTGTGGAAGCAGTCAGTGAGCACAGTGTTACAGGAAGCAGTGCATATATATTATCGATGACTGTATTGGAAAAAATGGTTAAGGTTTTGGAGACTGAAAGCCACGAAGGAACACTAGTGCAGGCACTTGCAGCCCTTACAGCATGGTCAACCAAGTTTACAACAGATATTCCTCAGAAACTTCTTGACTTTTTACCAGTGAGTTTATATTTATTTTATTTTGTAGTACTGTACTTAAGTACAATTGTATTGTGATGAATATTTTGTTGAAGCTGGTGAGTTACAAACACTAATTTATGTTCATCTACTTTCACTGGAATGGCTTTTATAGTCTCTTAGTATGCTGTATATCCCAATCCTTACACAATTCCATGTACCAGAATATGTGCAAGTGTTGGTAAAGTCTGGTCTTAAAGGAGCTCACACTCAGTGCTGTCACAACATTCTCTGGTTGGTTATTCAAACAGTTTACAGGCATTATTATCACAAAATGTTCTGGCATGCTATTACAACAATTCACATTTCTTACTGTTGCAACATTCTCTGACAGGTGTTTACAATGGATCACAACTCTTACTGTCTTACCATTCTCTGGTTGGTTATTACAGCAGTTCACAACTCCCATGCTGAAGATACTTGTCTGTACTTGTGACTTCTTTAAGATGAGGATGTGACCCTTGGGGTGAGAAATCTCTCAAATATTTTTTTAATTTTTCATGTTTTACAGAAGCACATTTTTTTTTTATATCAAATGACATCAATTGATGAATTAATAAAGGCCTAAATTTTCCCCTGTCCTTATTAGATGGCAGCATGGGAGCATTGTTTTCTAGTACAGTAACGCCTCGAATAACGACGGTAATGTGTCCTCCAATATTGCAGTGTAAGATGAATCATCGTATCCCGAATCATTAATTACCATTAAAATAAAGCAATAATAATGAGATGCGTTCCCAAGTGTGACGGTTTCATATCTTTTGTGTGACTTTTTACCCTCTTTTCCCCCCAAAACGATACAATTAATGAAAATTGTAAACTATATTCTTTAAATAATGTTTCTGAATGCACCTTATACAATATAAATGAATAATAATATGGTCACACAAGAGGAGATGGGACGCCATTGTTTTTTTTTGTGTTTACAAAGACCCTGGTTGTAGCTGTAGTAAAACTAATGTAAAAAAATAATATACATGTTTTAAGTAATGTTATTTAATGTTAATAAATGGAACAATAGAAGTAGTTAACCACAAATGGCCACAAAAAAGAGATAGATTGGGAACGCCAACGTATACGTGCGCATTTAAGGATACCGCATCATTTATCTCTCTAAGAATATACACAAAAGATTCATTATTGTTTATTACTGAATATATATTTTATTGAATTATTCTTTATATTGTATATGCGAAATGAACAATACAATTCATTAATATTACTTAGAATATTAAAACACACAAGAGGATAAGAGACGGCATTGTTGTCAGTGTTTACACCCATAATGTCAGTTATCCACCTGATACTGAAGAAAATAAGACCCTGGTTGTTGTTGTAGTAAAATTAATGTAAAAACTATGTATGTTTTAATTCATGTTATTTAATGTACAGTAGAAGTAACCACTGATATTAGAGAAAAACGTGATACTGATAGTGGAACGCCAATGAATACGTGCGCACTCAAGGAAACAGTCATTTATCTTAAGAATATGTACAAAAGATTCATTATTGTTTATTACTGAATATGTATTTAATTGAATTAATGTTTATATATGTGAAGTGAACAATGCAATTCATTAATAATACGTAGAATATTAAAACACAAATGAGGAGACAAGACGGCACTGTTTTCGTGAGTGACGATGGTTCTACATAAGAAACTGAAGAAAATAAAACCCTGGTTGTAGCTGTAGTGAACTTAATTTAAAAAAAAATTAATACTTGTATATACTCTATGTTTTAAGTAATGGTAAATAAATAAAGTGAGACGATTGGGAACGCCAATGTATGAAGAGTAAGTGCGTACATGTGAAAACATATTGTCATTTCTCTACATATGAATATGAAAGCAACACATTTACTGTTCATATATGTTTTGAATAATATTTACGAATGTAAAAAAAAATTCTACTCACCAATGGTGGTAAAGGCTAAAACATATGGACAGCCAATGAATATTGTGCGAGTTTTTACTTAGATGACGAAGTCATCAGGTTCAACTCTGGCTGAAGCTGTAGCTTTCCATAAAGCTGTTAGTGAAACTGTTACTGAACCTGAAGTTGATGTTGAAGCTGCTTATGATGATGCTGAATTTGATGTAGCTGAAGTTGATGGTTTAGGCCTTTGAATAATAAAGCTGTAAAAAGAACCTTACACAGCTGCTGTCTTTTCTCATTAAACATCTTTATGTAGAGGTCATTTGCAATTATTTAAATTTTAATGCTTTGTTCTGTTAATGGATCCACTTCAGAAAATATGTTCATTGCTTCCTCCATATAATATCCACAGACTTCTCACCCTTTTCATATCGTTTTAACACATCTAGTTTCTCAGCTAAGCTTATGCACTTTCTAATAGCTTTTGAAACAGCACTACCATCACTTGCTCTCTTGCTCATGTTGAATAGGGATGCAAATGTGTTGTAAGAAACCTGAGAAAGTTTTTCTCCTGTACCTGTTCAAATGCTTGAAAACAAATGGACCGCCAAGCTCTGACTGTTGTTTACTGGGGAAGCGCATTACCACTCATTTGCCAGGTACCTTCTTTACGCAAGGTGCTCTTCATTTTTTTTACAGTATTTTATTCATTTTATTTATTTTTTCTATTACATATCGGGATTTAGCAATTATTAATATGAAAATATAATTTTATTTTATTTTTACAGGTTAACAATCCCTTATCCGAAATCCTTGGGGCCAGAGGAATTTCGTATTTGAATTTTTTTTTTTTTTTTTTTTTAGTCCACCCGGGCATAGATCACTGACCCACATCAGGGCCTGGGGGGGGGCGAAAATATAATAAAAATTATAATAATAATAATAATTCATAGGTCTAGGTCGTGTTTCTCACTTTTGATCTTTTTTTCATTCTTGTATTTCTTTATTATTATTATTATTATTATTATTATTATTACAGTACTCCTGTATTATTGTTATTTTTATTAATTTTATTATTATATATTATTATTATTATTATTATTATTATTATTTATCATATTATTTTATTTTGGTGTATTTTTATTAAAATTTTTATTTACTATGAATAATTATTATTATTATAATTATTATTACTATTACATTTTCGCCCCCCAGGCCTGATGTGGGTCAGTGATCTATGCCGGGGTGGGCTAATCCCTGTTAAAAAAAAAAAAAAAAAAGCCCCACAAAAAAAACTTTCGGTTTTCAGAGCTTTTCGGTTTTCGGAATTTCGGACAAAGGGTTGTCAACCTGTATTATATTTTGGCCGTAAATACGAATGAAATAAGGACGTAAATTGAATTGGGTCCTACATTAACTAGGGTCTTAAATATGAAAAGTTGTTGGTTGAACTGTTGTTATCGGAGGCTTTACTGTACAGTACTGGCCTGCAGCATCGATGCAGATCACGTATGACTCATTACACCCCAAGTTTTATTGCTCTGTCTCATCTTGAGTTTGAACTACTTCAGTCCAGGAAGTAATTGTTTAGACTTTAGATTAATTTCATTTGTTAAAAATTCTTTTGAAATGATTGTGTTAGTGTTAAAGTGTTATGTTTTGGGGCTACGGTCCTATATTTCCTAGTGAAATACATAGATGATATAACAAGGTTTGATGATGTGCGACAGTTCTCTGCCCTCTTGCTTTACATTGAGGCTCTGCTGTATTTACATGTCTTTCCGGTAATGGGTAAGGCATGGATAGAATATAAGCCAAGAGAGAGGATAAGCTGTTTAGTTTGAGAAAGATTTTTATATTTAGTTCCCAGATATTAGGGTTAACAACTGGTTATCCCACAGAAAGGGTTGATGTTAAAGACGTCTACAACCAGTGTACGAGCTGCATACCTCCGATGTATGCTAGGATGTGTGACCCCTTCAAATGCTTTTAAAGCTGCATGCATCATTCCCCACTTGTTGACAGGCATTGATAAAGCTCTAGGCCAGAGTACACAGGTAAGTAACACACTGCCTTACCGATACACAGGTAAGAAACATTCTCTTTCTCATTTATGAAGTCATCTGGTATTACTGTAAACAGTTTTTCATGTTTCTTGTATGTATTTGTGGAGGAATTTGATATCACAAAAATATAAAGCTTGCTTCACACAATTGTTAGATACATCATCACCTTCATGGTCATGACACCTTAAGAATCCATAGCTTTTTAACTTGTCAGCCTGAAAAATGGAACTAGAAATAAATTTACAAAATGTAAAACTGTGAACTCCCACAACGTACAGTATCGTTCAAGATTCTTCGAACACTGCTGAAGACAGCTGGCAACTCAAGGCCTGTTTGTTTACTATAGTACATAGTAAAAATTATGAATGAATGTAAAAGTGATCAGTGACTGGTTACTTAGTTCCCCGTTGCTTAATTAATGGTTGAGCTTTGTTTTTTCGTATTACAGTATATTATACTACTTACTATAGTAAACAAATGGCCTTGAGTTGCCAGCTGTCTCCAGCAGTGTTCGAAGAATCTTGAACGAGACTGTACATATTGTAATTGGAATATGGTAATTCCATATTTATATCCCAATGATTAAATATATATTATAATGTACATGGTGATATTTATTGATTTCTTTTTTTTTTTGTTCTCTCTCTCTATTTGATGGAAACCAGATTTTGATGTTAGTTGAAGTCCTAACTTCATCAGTGCTGCTGCTGAAGTTAAGTGCTGCTGATATTAGCTTGGAAGAGAAAGTTGCTCCAGTGTGGAATACTGCCCTTGATCTTCAAAAGGGTTACTTCACAGGAGAAAAGTTCTTCACACAATCTCCAGAGGATGGTGAGTTGGAATCTAGTCAGTATTTGCTTTCCCTACCACAGCAACCGAAAGTTATATTTAATTCGTGTTGTTTATTGAAAACTTCATCACTTTGACTTTATGCCTTCTCTTGAACCTATATATATATATATATATATATAGCATTGGCTTTCACCAGGTTTGCTACAGCTGGTAATGTGGTGCGAACTCCTTCTCTCTCAACATACTGGTCGACTTGGCAATGAAAGTCATGCCATCCATCAGGCAATTGTGTGGTGCCTTGTATGTTCTCATTCAAAAGTCCGAATATCAGCTCAGGTATCTACGAAGAAACTTGTTTCATCTTTGGGAGGAGCAAAGTTAGCTGCAGATCTTTTGAAGACTCTGTCAGCCATGACTGTCAACTTCAAAATTCAAGTGAGTAATGGACATTTTGTTGGTTCTGGTAATGTTAATTGGGGTAGTGAAATGCTTTTGTAAAGTTGTTTGAAAAATATGTCTACCTTTTTTCATTCCATTTATTTATTTTATTTTTTTATTTTTTATTTTTTTTAAATTGCCAGGTCGATGAATTGTTCAAAATTTTGATTATTTTTTTTCGTTTTGACATTTCTCATGTTGAAGTAAGGTATACTATGTGATATGACAGAATGGTTTTATTTTGACTTTAAGGAAATTTTTTTCATCGCATTTGAATTGGCAATTCATCAGTAAAAATTACCTATAACCAAACAAATTCAACAATGGAAGAGTTGACAGTTCTGGGTAAACACAAGAAATACACTCTGTCACGTTCGTAGAGTGATACAGTATATATAATTTGTAATAAAAATTTAATATCCTGCTATAATAGTCGAGATAAGTTTATTTCTCTAGAAACAGGGCTTCCATTTGCAATGACGTCGCTACCTTCAAACTCACTTGTGCAGTCGGAGGTAGTTGAAAGGATGGCCTCTTCAGACCCCAAATGCCACGTTCAGGTAAGTTTTAAGGGTGTTTTTATGGACATTTCGTAAGTGAAGAAATATGCAGTGAAGAGCAGCTTCAAACATATACGGTACAAAGTTCCAAATCTAACAACATTGGAACTCTGAGGTTACTTTATATTCAAATTACATTTTACAGAACACATTCAAACATTAATCTCTTGAAAAAATTCGGAGCTATTTTCTCTCAAAAATCTGTAAAAACTAAGGAAAGAGAACAAAAATATATATGTAATATTTAAGGGCAATGGAAATGCTTTGTCCCCACAATTGCTAGTCATCAAGATGGGCAGCACGAACCTTCTTAAAGTCAATAGCAGTTTTTACTAAAAACAATGAAAAATGTCATTTGGGATGGAGAAATATTCACTTCACTTGACAAGTGTCTACTCGGGCCATGATGGACGAGTTTACAGTCAGAATTTTTTTGTAAGATGGCAGGTCAATGGGTAAAGAAAATGCTTAAATTAACTATGGTAATGGTATTTTTTAATAAATTGGGACAAAAAGTGTAAAAAATAAGGGTTAAAGTTGCTAAAAAGTCATGTGATTGCAAAAAGCTCTGTGATTGGTTGTGATGTCACTGGCTGGGGCGAGCCGCAGAGCGGGAGGCATCCAGCTGTAGTTGTCCAACCTTCTTGGCTGATCGGCTCTGTAAATAAATATTACACTGTATTAGATAATTAGTTGTGCTTTACTGTACAACACAGTAATACTATTTTGAATATATAAATATTACTAGGCACATAAACTAAATCAATGGATATTATCTGCCCATACAACAAATTTCATAGTATAAACATTACACACAATAGTGGTTTTATTTTGATTTTAGTCATCTGGGGAACCTTAAGATTCTAACTATGGGATTAAGTCCTTTAAACAATAAGACACATTATCTCTACAGGATTTCTGTCGCAAAATATTTTCGATCGCATAAGAAAATACAGATCATATGTTAGGTTAGGTGAGGGTATGATGAGTTATAAGGTTAGCTTAACATACATCAGTAAGGGGCGGTAGTAACTCAAAACTAGTGATTTATGATAGAAATGAAGATCCAAATCGTTTATAACACATTGAAAACCATCAGAAAAAACCAGTCTGCATGTCTAAGTACAGGGATGACCAAAGCTTAAAATGTACCCAATATAGCCTATCTCAAATTTAAACATCAAAATACTTATGGTAATTAAAGTAAAGTTTTACCCATAAATTAATATAAATGATGATATATCCCAGTGGTTCATTAGCGAATCATCAAAACAATAACAGTACTATGTTGTCATGTTTACCTAGCATCAGGTACAGGTATTCTCAAAACAAAGTCCAGACAATTTTGTTACAGTCTCCTCGACTTACGACAACCCGGACATACGACGGCCATGGTTGTATAAAATATTTTTCACATTACGTATTTTCGAGTCCCAACGTTAGTGATCGCGCTGTGTACTGACAAAATTTTCTTTTGTAATTCCCTTTAAAATGGCTGGAAAGCATAAAAGTGAGAGTTCTCGTGGTGCCGAGAAGAAAAAGAGACACCCATTTTAGAATTTCTATGTATTATTTTCGCCTTTTCGACGTATGACCTGGTCATCGGGACGGAACCCCGTCGTAAGTCGAGGAGAGACTGTATTTCTAAATTTAGTCGTATCGCCATCTAGTACTGATATACTCTGTTGATGCACTGAAAAAAATGAGGAAGTCTACCAGGTAAGAGTACATGACAGCTGATTTGGTGTAAACATGGGAGTTTTTTATGTCCAACAAAAGAACATAAGAATGGAGGAAACTGCAGAGGGCCTCTGGGCAGTCCCATTTACACCCAACCCCTATCGCTCATATGTATCCATCCAACCTATGTTTGAAGCTGCTCTTCACGGCACATTTCTTCACTTACGAAATGTCCATGACTTAGACCCTAAAAAAAAAAAATCCTTAAAACTTACCTGAACGTGGCATTTGGGGTCTGAAGAGGCCATCCTTTCTACTACCTCTGACTGCAGCGGTGAGTTTGAAGGTAGTGACGTCATTGCAAATGGCGACCCTGTTTTTAGAGAAATAACTTATCTCGACTATTATAGCAGGACTTTAAACTTTTATTACAAATTATTTGTACTGTATCACTCTACGAACATGGCATAGTTTATTTCTTGTGTTTACCCAGAACCATCAACTCGTCCATTCTCATGACTATCATTTCTTGTCGTTAAACAATCCTGGACAGATACAATAAACGTGCTGGTGGGCAGTGTGCCACCAAGAGGTAGCAAGTACAGGTATCACCCAATTTATGGTATTTCACTTTAATTATGTTGATGTTTAAAGACCACCTCCCTATATATATGATAATTTTTTTTTTGCATGAATGATGGTCATCATATGGCTGTACTTGTCAGCCGCAGCTTCATCGACCCGCCTGCGGCCACCCGGTGCTCTACAGTCCCAGGCTTTGTTCCATGGTGATTGCATCTGCTTGTGGCTTAGAATGAGATGTGCAGTGCGACACCTATGCACAGACGTTCAACTGCACACGCGAACACACAAATTGTCTGGACTGAAGCTGGATTTTCTGGACTTAATAAAAATATTTATGGTGAATAGAGGGGCAGTCTAGAGCATCTCAGAGTCTGAAAAAAACAAAGCAAAAACGAATTCTACTGTATAGAGGTTCTACTGTATGTGGTTTCCCCCTTCTATTGTCCGGATTTTCAGTGTATCTCACTTACCCTTTTTCCTATGCAAGTCAGATCATTGAGGTTCTCGGTGTGCGCATTGCTACATGGTACAGTCTCACCCTAAAGTTCGTTAACTCTCCCAGCCAGCTATTGCTGCACTGCCCACTTCAGATGTATGAAGTTGAGTCTGTTACCTTGAACCGTTAAATTCATTCGTATCGGTTTCATGTTTTGGTTGGTACGGAGACAGTTTCAAACATCTGAAGCAGGCAGTGCAGTAATAGCTGGCTGGGAGAGTTAATGAACTTTTGGGTGAGACTACTATTCACGGGTTTGTTATTATGGCCTTTAAAAAATTTCTAAAGAAGGACATTTTCATTGCAGAAAACAGAGGAACAGGATGCTGGGGGAGGAAGTGGAGGGGGAGAGCTGAGCCCGGCTGGGGTGGCTCAAGCTCTCACCACCATTAATTCTCCCAGCAGTCATGACAAGCAACAGAAGGAACAGTTGGCCCTCTTAGCCCTCCCTACAGCCTTCCACCCATCCCTTGGTAAGTTACAACATAAACACAAGGATTAAAGTTTTGAGTTGACAAGGGTTTTTCCTGATACCAGGTATTTTTTGTATTGCATAAAAATTTTATGAATGGGTACATGAAATTTCCAGAAAAACAAGTCCACTTTGAAAGAAGATAATTTAGTGTCAGGAAAGAGGGTCTTTGTTAAGGCCAGTTGTTTTTGATAAATATGTTGAGATGCTGGTCAGTGATTTGATTATCCAATTAGAAACTTTTTTCTCCCAAAAAATTTATTACATTTATCTATACAGAGGCCCCCCCCCCCCAAAAAGAAGCAAAGAGTAACAAAAACAGAGACCCTAATACAGAAGGTGAATACACAATGGCTATGGTGTCTGACATGTGAACACTCTATAAATAATGTAGACTTTGTTTGCCATCTTCACCCCTTGCCCTCACATGCAAAATCCATTAAATCCTTACTGTGTTTCTAACGAGTATATAATGTTCTTGCTGGCATGTAACATACCAGAGCTACATAGAAACAAAATCTTCTGTATCTCCATAACTGTTTACATATGGTGCTGCAGTTCAGTGGATTAAGAGAAATGGTTAAGACATTTATTGTTTTAACTGACTCATAATTTTTTTCCCCAATGAATAGTTCGTGAAAACCCAAATCTATGGGAGCAAGTGTGTCGCTCTCAAGGATTAAAAGCAGAAGATGTGATAGCCAGTCAAAAGGATAAACTTGTACAGCAATTCACAACAGACTACAGTCCATCACCAATTAATGAAGAGGTAATGTTGGTACTGTAGATGTTTAAGTTTGTTGATAAAGAAGTTAGTTAGTGTCAGCTGTTTTGAGTAACCAATGACCATGTTATTTATTTTTAAATTGTACAGTATTTTCTAACTAATAGCAATCTTTTTTGGGTCATTCTTAAAATGTCTTTCTATAAAAAGTCCTTATCCTTAACTACTTCTATGATTACCTTTACTTCACAAGTTATTTTACAGAGCTGGACCAATTTTTAGTTTGTTTTATAACTGTTGCTGTAGGTGTGACAACTCAAGTATTGTACTGCATTAACACGTCCACTGGCACTGCCTTATTCATAACACAGAGCTACATGCACAGGGTTACGAGGGGTCTTCATTATCTGTCAGGGATGTTTTCCAGAGAAATGCAACTTATAGTGAAACATTTTATAATAAGGAATTTTTTCCCATAAGAATTAATGTAATAGGGTACTGTATATGCATTCCACATTGTACAGTAATACCCCTTGAAAGCTCAGGATATGTTCCAAGAGAGAGCTTTTGGCAAATCAGCTTACAATGAGAGCATTATAACATACTGTACTGTATTGGATAATATTTGATATGGAGATACATTCCTAACAAGATTATTTGATATCTTTGAGTGATAGATGGTTCAGTTTGGCTACTTGTATAATAAGACAACTGATAAATAAATATACCAAGGTATATGGAGATGCATAATACAGGTACACTAAAATATTATTTGTTAAGTGCTGATAAATACTCTACAATATTCTTTAATAAGTGTTGAAGACATGTTGTGGTAAACTTTACAATATGGTGAGAGACGGCAGGCGATCAGTTCTTTGTGCAATGTAAACAAAGCCACCGGGAATTTAATATGACACATTACTCATCTAGGGTTGAGTGTGGGATTTTTTGTCGGGAAAATTCATTATCTTCAGATAATGCAGTGATGGATTAGCTTCAGCCAGAGCAAATCCGTACGATATCCATTGCGTCTCGCCAGCATGCTGCCTCTCTCTCTCTCTCTCTCTCGTTCTTTTATGACTGTCATTCATTGTTCATTTGTTATTCACTAATTAGTAAAGATACTACTGTAATAATCTGTTTTTATTAATACCTGTACCTTCCATATACAATACTGTGTATATATCATTGGTAAAAAATAACGACATCAGGAACCCATCTCCATACTGTATATGCAATGATATAATGACCCTGTAGAGCACTGTTTCAGATAGCACTCCATTTTCCAGGAACGTATCTTGAGAGCTAATTGGGGTATTACTGTACTGTACTTTAAATTATATGCTTATCATACACGTTTTATGAAATGCAGTTTCCGTAACATAAGTGGTACGAAAACCGTGGGGTCAAACCTGCAAGCTTATTGATGCATTGTTTGAGTTACCCAATCTATGTTCAGGTATAAAATGGGATTTCAAGATCACTCCCTTATTTCTTGAGTCAAAAAAGGAAAGATTAATGATCATATATTATTTAATTTTTATATTCCTATTTCATTATTGAGTATTCACCCACCACATGCTTCTTTAGTAAGCTTTACAGTTCTTAGTTTTGTAGGGGTTACTGCTTGCTGATTGACTCGTGAAACCAAATCTACAGATTCAATTTGTCATTATGGTATCCTGACTCACTTGACAACCATCAACTTGTGAACTTTTACAAATTAAAAGGATTTTTTCAGGGTGATTGGAGCTTAGTCGACCACACAAATGAGAGGTGTGGAGCAAGATCATTAATTTACTGTTGCCTCATTTGTCTTTCTTCCAGATATTCTCGGGGCTTTGTCGTCTTGCGGGTCGAGTCATATTACCCCCTGTTGTGGACTTCGTTTTTAGTCGATTAAATAATACCAAGCTAGTGCAGGTGACTGATGTGGATTACGCCATATATATGACCCCGGAGGGAACATTATACAATCAGTCAGTTGTTGAAAAGTGAGTTGAAATGTATTTTTTAAGTATGAATTAGATTTTGTTACTTGTTTTAAGGAAGAACTTAAATAGGCAATTATCTTATCTATAAATGTGGTTTCCCACCCATCTTTAAACTGCCATATTTAAATCATCCCAAATTCACTCTTGTTTATTTTGCAGTCCTGCCACACATGCTTGACATTTACCATCCTCCTGGATAACTTTCACAAAATATCTCTTGGAGTAATCAGTGGTTATCACTCATTACCTGAGGTCCACTGGCTTTGTATCTGTGAAGCAGAGACTATCATAAGAACAGGAGTATGTCCTAATTAATTACAGTACAGGTATTAGATGGAGAAAACTAAAGATTTTAACTTTACTGAAAAGTAACTTAAGATTCATTCATGAGGGTTCTAAGATATTGTCTTCTCAGCCAATAAATAAACATATTTATCAAGATCTTTAAGAAAATAACATACAGTATATAAAGATTCCTCCACAAGGGGTAACTGCTTGCTTGAATTCCTGTCCTTAAGATAACATTTTATGCTTAGTTTCTCATTGGGTAGACAGTAATGTATCTTTATGCTCTGCATAATTGGCGGCATTCTTTGTGAATAAGAACATACAAATAAGTATACTGTTAAGCACTGTAGAAAGAACTGGTCATTTATCCAACGTAACTGTTGGTACTGTCTTTATTTTGTCAAGAAACAAAGGGAGTTTGTCTGAAGTTCGATATATCCTCAAGTGCAGTACTGTACAGTATTTAAGAAGACAGACTTAGTGGACTTCACGTGTCATTGTCCTGTTGTTAAAAGAGAGCCAAGAAAAATTTACTTTCTTTATGTTATTCCACAAACCTGATATTTTTAACATTAGACCTTTTATAGAATTATTTTTTTCAGCCTCCATTTTTTAATATCCTATAATTTCTTAAAAAGTATTACAATTCCTTACTTTACAGAGCATTTGAAGATCATCTTAACATTAAGAATGTTAAAAAATCCAACAAGGTATATAGCCACAAAGAACAGATAATGATGCTAGAAGAACGGAAGAAGGAATTAGAGAAGAAAAGGAAAGAAGGAAGATTGGAATTAACACCCAAGCAAAAAGAAGTATTGAAGGCACAGACAGAGAAAGAAAATGCCATTCGGAATAGGTAAGAGATTGCCTCATGAGTTTCTCTCCCAAGAATAGTATACAGTATTTATTCTTTTTTTTTCAGCCAAGAATAATGGGTTGGGTTGGGTGGGGCATTTTTGGATGTTACAGATGTGTTGGCGATGTTCAGGTGTCACATGGGTTGGCTATGTTCAGGTGTCACGTGGGTTGGCTATGTTCAGGTGTCACATGGGTTGGGTATGTTCAGGTGTCACATGGGTTGGGTATGTTCAGGTGTCACATGGGTTGGGTATGTTCAGGTGTCACATGGGTTGGGTATGTTCAGGTGTCACATGGGTTGGGTATGTTCAGGTGTCACATGGGTTGGCTATGTTCAGGTGTCACGTGGGTTGGGTATGTTCAGGTGTCACGTGGGTTGGGTATGTTCAGGTGTCACGTGGGTTGGGTATGTTCAGGTGTCACGTGGGTTGGCTATGTTCAGGTGTCACATGGGTTGGGTATGTTCAGGTGTCACATGGGTTGGGTATGTTCAGGTGTCACATGGGTTGGGTATGTTCAGGTGTCACATGGGTTGGGTATGTTCAGGTGTCACATGGGTTGGGTATGTTCAGGTGTCACATGGGTTGGGTATGCATTGGTAGCCATGGATCCATTGCTGGCTGCCAGTTTTTTTCTATGATCCTGTGATGTTACCCTGTTTACTATGTAAGTATTATGTTAATTCTTTATTCCTCATGATTTTTGTCTTGTACAACCATCTGTACCACCAACTGTACACTGCTTATCATTTGTACCATTAACTGTACACCACTAACCATCTGCACCATTAACTGTACACTACTAACCATCTGCACCATCAACTGTACACCACTAACCATCTGCACCATTAACTGTACACTACTAACCATCTGCACCATTAACTGTACACTACTAACCATCTGCACCATTAACTGTACACTACTAACCATCTGCACCATTAACTGTACACCATTAACCATATGCACCACCACCTGTACACTACTAACCCTCTGTACCACCAACTACACCACTGTTCTTATTTCACACACACCTCTGCTTCTTGGATGTCCTTGATCTTTGTCTCTCCCCTCTATCCTCCTCTGAATGTAGAGATACAAAATGTAACCCACATTTGATTTTCAGGGAAAAGTAGTCCTGTTTTAATAGCATAGTAATTATAGTGTAACATGCCTGTTCGGCTAAATTTTTATGTATGTGTTGTTCTTAGTTGAGAAATATTTAGAACTCATCAAGGAATTAGTGAATACAAAAGTATTACATATTTTCATGATGCGTGAGATACAGCATAATTTTGAATGAAATTAAAATTTCTTTTCCAGAGTCAAAGATTTGTTGGAAAGTGTAACAAGTTCAGTTTCACTACTGGAGGCAGCAGTAGTGGGTAACGTAGAGGAACTGTCTCCACACTTCACAACCTTAATTCCACTCCTCACTTGGGCTCTTAGCTCTACCCTAATAGCTCCACAGATGTGCAATTTATATGTTAGCCTACGCTCTGCAGTCTTCGATTCAGAGGATGAAGTTTATGGTAAGTTGTCATCTCAGTTTTTACATTTCAAATTTAGTATTATTTCTTCCAAAAACTTAGAAAAGGTATAAGAGCATAGATTGGAGGAGAGCAATTTTTTCATATAAACTACCCAGTAATTTGAGTGGGCAATAAATACTTTATGACATAAGATTTCGGTACCATATGTTGAATACAAAAGTGTTTTAATAATTTGAAGGGTAGGTTGGGTAACTGGTAAAAAATCGATAAAAGATTTTTTGGTGAAGAAACCCTCCTTATGGTTACAATTGGCTAAATGAAACAAATAGGATAAAACATATGGATTATCTTGGAACTTTGCTATAGAATGGGAACACCAAAACAAGATATATACAGTACAGGGTATATCTATTACGGCAGTAAAAAGAAGAGTAAGCATATGCACTTGCTATTGGCCACCTTCATTATAGCAAGAAAAACCATAAAATGCAGAAAATTTTTGTACACTATAGTATGGTCATTATCATGTTATTTATAACGTAGGAGCTTGATTGCCATCATTGAAATATGTTGGTCCTAATCAGTAACCTCATCAGTTGTTCTGCTTCCCAAGACCACATTTGCTCTTTACTGTATGTATGTACAGGTACACCACCGATTTTCCGGCACCTTTGGTTTCTGAGCCTTGCCGGATTAAGCAATACACCTCTGACCCACTAGCTATACACCTCCCAGTATCTTTAAAGCACCATGGCCTCTAGAAACTTAAATTAAACAAATATGTTCAGTACTCTTAGCATCTTCACTGCTTTCCTAATGCACATTTGCTTCTTGGAATCACTTTCTGCATAGAATCTCAATACTTTTTCTCTTTGCTACTTTATATCATACACAGTTGACAAACCAATACCATACTGGTCACACACCTGTCGCACCGAAACTCCACGGTCAAGTTTTCTCAAGTGTTCCACCGTATCTTGTATCGATATGAACTGGTGTTTATGCTTTACACCACTCCTAAATTGCCCTTAAATCACTATATATATATATATGTGTGTGTGTGTGTGCGCGTGCGTGCGTGCGTGCAATTTGTTCCAGAAGGTCGTTTGTTAACCGAATCCATTGATTCAATGGGATATTGGATAATTGGTTCCAGCTCACCAAAAGTACATACAAAGTAAAAAAAAATGCAGTAAAGTACACTTACTTTGAGGTGTGTATGAAGAAGGCTCCTGGTTGATGATGATGATGATGGGAATTATAAGTGGGGTGGACGAGAAGGGTAAAGAGAAGGAAGTGGTATGGAGGAAAAATCACCTTCAGTGGACCCATGCCTGATGCCTCATTTCACCAATAAAATTTTAAGTTCACAAGGTGTAATTCAAGATTATTTTCTTTAAATCAACACTGCACTGTGCTATATATTATCAATATGTTAACTAAAGTTCAGAATGACCAATAATTTCAATGAAAAATACAAAAATATTCAAGACACCAACAAAATAGATGCTCTCTCCACAGAAAACAAAGCCAGACTGATGCCTGGTGACCGACCCACGCATCTGATGAGTGCACAGCTAACTAGTTGTCTGTACTGCATATATTATCAATATGTTAAATAAATGTTAAAATGACTAATAATTTTAATATAAAACATTAAAAAATATTAAAAAACTCAAATTTATTTATATTTAATCCATTGGAAACGAATTTAAACTTAGAACAGATTGCTGAATTGGCAGACTGGGCCATCAGCTGACCAGCTGATGCTCACAACAAAACGTGATATTCGTAAGGATTTCGTTAATCAAATTTTTGTTCATTAACCGAATTAACATTCTTATGGAAGGTAATTCGTTAACCAAAATTTTGTTAACCAAGGCATTTGTTAACGGAGGGACCACTGTACTCTCAATACCCAGCTATGAGCAGGTTGTCCTATCTTTCAGGAGTTAATAAAGTCAAAAGTTTTCCAGGCTCAATCATAAAATGGGATGTCTGGATCATTTTTTTTTTTAATGGGTATCTTACTGTACACTAGAATTATGATTTGATGTTGAAGTTTAGTAAAGTCATGTCTATCTTACAGCACACACCCTGGCCCGCACCACAGTGAGAGTGTGTGAGCCAGCCATGAAGTTGCCAGAGGACTGGCTTGGAGAACCTCTGGATGATGCAGTCCTAAGAACATTAAAGATGATCCATACTGCTACTGTACCAAAGAAGTTTGTATTTTGTTTGATAGTGTATTTTAATCCATTCCTTGACTTATGTATATATATTTTTTGAAGTTGTTAGTTAGGCTGCTTCTTTAAGGGTGAGTGTTATCTGAACTTAGCAGAAAGAGTGGAAATCTGGAAATCTGAGGATGTCTTTTAAGGTGGTAAACACTCTGCCAGCCCTATATCATTCCCAGGTGATTGGGTGCAATAGGTGCAGCTCTCGAGACACTAGTATACTTCATATCTAATCTTTTGAACAAAACAAAGTAAATTTCAGTGTTTTAACCCGATGCTTTAAGCTTGCCATGAACATGTGAATGTGACCACTAAGACTTTGGGCTTAAGACCAAGGGAAACTCTGATCTGATGACTGGGGCAATAATTCAAAGATTAGACATTTTCCCGACAACCAACTCTAGCCCTTAAGAAGAGATAAGAAAGAAACTAAAGGTATGTGACCTCATAAGTCATTTCCCTAGGCACCACAACAATAAAAAGATCTCGGCTCTCCACTAAACTAGAATGATACATGCTAACCTCTTAAGAGTGTTTGGGGCATTAATAGTTGATGATATGTTGCATTTTTGGTAAGAATATACAGTATTTTACCATCTATATTGCAAGTGTTACTTAATTGACAAGCAAATCAGTCAGACCAGGTATAATGATTAAGTAAGTCATGAGCTAACCATTGCATAGTGTAGATTACATTCCAGAACCATGGTGCAAATCTCAGTGCTGCTTTTATTTAAGTAGTTTTGATACATTGTATCTTGGGTTGTGTAGAACCTGCACCTGTCAATGAAGTGGAATTCTGGAGTGGTTTAGTACTTTAGTCAGTATAGTGGGATTCACACTGGAGGGGATGTTAATATTTGTTATTCCTGCTAGATAATTGATCAGATGGTATATAGTATAGTATTCTCTTTTAAGAGGTTACTATATACATTTCTCTGTTATATCATGTAAAACTGTGAAGATCCTGTGTGGCAGGGCATTGATAACTACCTAAGTTTTGGTTACCCCTGCACACTCAATATAGTGCCAGAGTTAATGTTTGATATAAGGAGTTGTCTTACTGCATTGTGATTCTTAGGAAATGAATTATCATACTTTTGTTAAAAAGTGAGCTGAATGACACTATATGAGTAAAATGGTAACTTTTGAATGTAATATGTTTTTAATTATCAATTACAATTTCCAATTTTAACCGCATAATACAGGTTGTACTTTAAAAATACAAAATGCTTGGAACCAGAGCCATTTCAGGTGAATAAAATTTTTGGTTAACTTCTTTATTAAAAAAACCCTAATAATATCACTAAGCAACAAATAAAATAATTATGATAATTATAAACTACAATACAGTATAATATTTTTAACTGAATTTAAACTTAACATAATTGGGTTTTAGTGAGGGCAATATAATACCATAAATACAATGCCATTGCTCGACAGCTCAACGAACGAGCCCGAGCAGAGTAAATTTTAAGTATTTGAAATGCCACCCTCTTTTTTTTTGGGGGGGGGGGGGCAGATAACACTGACACTAGGCAATCTTTTAGGGGCTATTTCACACACAAATACTAAAATTTTGAGTGTAACACAAGAGATGCTGCATCACAGACAATGGTTGAGCGCAAACAAAGGGAGAGGAGACGCTGGGGGCACGTGGGACTGACTCATGCTGCAGGAGAGGCTCGTAAGCTAGCCACCATCTGCTCACCGCGAATAGTCAAAATTGCGAATCGCAAACCCACAAATAGCAAGGGTTTACTGTATATACATAGCTTTGTTCAGAAAAGCCGCACAAATTTACTGATTCAATTTTACCAAACAGGTCCGCTCAAGATGATGATGAGGAAAAGTACTACTGTGCTCCTGGCTTTGTTTATTGTTTCCCATTCCTGGAGTGGGTGTTGAAGAAACGACTGGGAGGTGATGACAAGTTTGAAGCAGTGGCAAGTCAGGCATTACAAGTGATTAGTGAACATATGGCTATGAGAGGAGCTGATGACAATGATCTTTTCCATCCACGCTTCCTGCCACGCAAACAGCTTCTTTCTCTCGTCATAAATGTTATTAGTAAGTTAGATTTCAGGTGTATGTAAAGAACCTTTAAAATGTATGCTTATATATTATTTTTGTTCTACCTGAATCTCTCTGTTCTTTTCATCCTTCTTTATATTCTTAAAAAGTCTTTTTAGTATCGTTTTTCTTGCTAATGCTCTCAAATTTGACATATTTGTGGACAAATACGAAACTGAATTATTGACAGACTGATCTCATCTGTATTATGTAGGTAGTAAGGACAGACTTATGTATTTAATTGCTGCTATAACATTAAAAAATGGCAAATTAAAAAAAACAGTTTTGAGTAAATGATAATTGGAAATGGATGAAAGTTTGTTAATCATGTAAAGTAATTTTTAACTTGCTAGTAGGAAGGGTATGGGAGGTACGTGAATTCAGCATTAACCTCCAGTCCAGGTCACCGGTTAATGCTCTGTAAAATACAAGTCCACCCAGCTGTGAATGGATACCTGATTTGGCCGTACTGCCTCTTTGTGTGTAAAAAACACACAAAAAAAAAACATAGCCCTCAGTATGTTTGGGTCTGCATCTCCCCTGACAGGTTGTATGGTTTTTTGCTGTTACGTTTTTATATATATATATATATATATATATTTTTTTTAGGAATAGCCCACCTGGGCACAGGTCATCGACCCACAATGAGGGAGGGGGGGGAGGGAATAAGAATAAAAAGATATTAAAAATATAAGAGAAAAAGACTAAACAGTATTAATATACATCATGAAGATGCCGGAAAACCAGCTTTTTGAAGCGAGACATTGTGAGAGTATGGAAACACAGAAGAAGGCAGAACATTTCACAGTTTGGCTGTGTGAGGAAAGAAGGATGTACTATAATGGGTTATTCTAGTGTGACCGACTTCCACACAGAAACAATGGGCACAGTGGACAAGACGAGTGTTACGAGCCCGCTGCCTTGCCGGCGGTACACGGTGCCAAATCCACCGAACATTGCCCGTTAAAGTACCTGTAAAAGAGAGAGAGTGAAGCAACATTGCGGCGAAGAGAAAGGGAAGAGAGATTATCAAGTAAAGGAGGAGAGTTAATAAGACGAAATGCCTTTGATTCCACCCTATCTTAACAGTTTTATGAACAACATTGGTTCTTCAGCACTGCCAGATCTTACAGCCCACCAGATGGCCAACCATAGCTCTACACCATTGCAATATGCTACATTTACTTATCATACACGGTAAACCCTTGCTATTTGCAAGGGTTATGTTTCAAGGGATGGTGCGAATTGGCAAAACCGCAAATAGCAACTTATACTACCTTAATGTACGACTGTATACCTATACAGTACTGTGTATGAAAAACTTATATCACCGATATTACTTATATTCGTATGTGGAAGTTTGGAGCTTGATGAGGTGGTGTACTGTACATAGGTAGAAGACTGGTTATTGAAGCATAGGGGTATCATCAGGATCACTGTTGGAAGAGGGTGAGGCAGTGGTGGTTGGTGGAGTGGTGGTTGGTGGCAAAGTGGGTGGTGGTGTGGTGGTTGGTGGAGAGGCGGTTGGTGGAGAGGCGTATGGCCAGGAGGTGGCGCATGGCGGGGAGGTGGTAGGTGAGGTGGCAGGTGGCTGGGAGGAGGGTGGTGGAGCGGTGGCATCAGCTGACTGAGTGAGGGAGAGAGGGAGACGAATCAGCTGAGCGAGCGACTGGTTCTTTCTTGAAAAATATCGTGATTGGTAGTTGCTTCCTCTTGGCTGTAAGATCTTCAAGCATTTCCTGATAGGGAACCAATGCCTGGTTGATTTCTCAGACCAAACAACTGACCAGCTATGGCAGTACTCATCCCCTTCTTTAACTTGTCTAATAATTCAACTTTCTTTGTCAGGGTCATCACTGACTTCTACATTTTATATTTCACTCCATTAGCACTGACACTAGGCAGTCTTTTAGGGGCCATTTTCACACAGAAACACTAAAGTTTTGCGAAAACAACACGAGGTGCTGCATCACAGGCAATGGTTGAGCGCGAACAAAGGGAGAGGAAACGCTGCGGGGCGTGGGGTGATTCATGTACTGCGGGAAAGGCTCGCAAGCTAGCCACCATCTGCTTACCGCAAATAGTCAAAATCGCAAATCGCAAGGGTTTACTGTACTATACACAAGTATAGTGATTTTTTGTTTTTTTTTTAAGTAGGGATTTGAACTGTATTTTTTAAGGGGTTAGAATTCATGCATTTTCATGGATCATTTATGGTGAACAATAGCTACCAAGTACAGTACATGCTTGCTGTATGATTATACCTAGTATTTTTCAGAAGTTAGGGTTGAATTACTCAACAGGTATATGAAAAACTCAAGTATTTTTACCAAAATATCAGGGGTTGAACTATATATGAGACTGCACTATACCTGTACTCGAGTATATATGGTAACTACATATGTATGATATAGTAACATTTAATTACCTTGATTAAAAACTGTCTTAGTAACTTTCCATTTGGGTACTATATATAAGTCACATTTAATTTTGTCAACTACAGTTCTACATTATTGTAACTTGCTACTGACAACAGACTTCATGTGCATGATCAGCTAATGTCACCTTTCAGAAAGAAAGTACTGTACAAGGTGAAACAAATGTACCAGTAGGTAAGCTTCATTGTCCTCAGACAGCTCTCTCATTTAAATCATAACTTTTAACACATCCAAATTTTTCTTCAGGTGAAAGTACTGGCCGAACACAACAGAATGCCTGTGCTGTCCTACAGGAGGTGTGTCGATGTGGCTCAGGTGAAATTGGCTGTGATACTGCCTCACCAGAAGAGATTTCTGTTCTTCTTGACACACTTCAGGCTCCAGCACAGTCTGTCAGGGATGCTGCATTGAGGGTAAGGAACAGTAATGTTTAACATGTTTGAGGTGAATGTGTGGAATTGGACTGAGGTTTAAAAAAAAATTGTGTTGATGTTTTTAAAACATGAAAAATCCTGAAAATGTAGAGGGAATTAAAAAAATATTAACACTGAAAGTGCAGAGAGGTATTGAACACTAAAGCTATTGGAAATCTTATGTATATATATATATATATATATATATATATATATATATACATATATATATATATATATATATATATATATATATAAGAGTATATATATATATATATATATATATATATATATATATAAAAAAACACTAAGTTCCCAAGCGCTTTTTTTTATAGAACTGATCCCAAGCCCACCCATGACCATAAGAATCTCTTAATTACCATTTCACAAAAATTTCTCAAATTTCTTTACAACTAAAAACCTGGAAATTAATGTGCATTTAAAAACTCATGCACTGTTAAACAAATGTTAATCAAGAACTCCCCAACAACACAGGTGGCTGCATTTATAAGGTTCCTTGCAAGGAATGTAATATGTTTTACTTAGGCCAGACAGGTAAAGATCTTGTAACTAGACTTAAACAACATAAATATAGTGTTAGGACAGGCCAGGAATCCAATGCTCTGTTTGTACATTTGAGGGATAATAAGCATTGCATTGACTGGGATAATGCCTCCTCAATATTACCTTGTAATTCAATTGACAGTAGGAATATTATAGAATCCAGTCTCATTAAACATACAGAATCCATCAACATGAATTTGAGTAATGGTATGTACAAACTGGATAATTTCGTAATTAAGAAGATTTGTTACCAGGTGAGAAGGTTGGGCCATCTTACCCTCTGACCTGACTACGAACTGCTGCGGTGCTTTTGAAGATTAGTAGGGTCACTACCTAGTGACCGGACCATTGTGGACTTGATCTCACCTTCCTCTACTGTATATATAAGCCTTGTTATGTATTTCTCCTTAGTCTGTACTCCCCCCTGAAGATGTGAAAGCGCTTGGGAACTTCGTGTTTTCTTCTTTCCTTGTGGTTATCAGCATATACTTGGATCACACGCACCTACAGTGATTTATTTGCATATATATATATATATATATATATATATATATATATATATATATATATATATATATATATATATATATATATATATATATATATATATATATATATATATATATATATAAAATAAAATAAAATAAAATAAAATAAATAAAGTTGATGAAAGATTTTCCTCGTTGCAACAGGGACTGTCTGTTGTTGTGAAGTCACTACCCAAAATTGAAACTGATATCGAGGGATGGCTACGTGTAGCCCACAGACTTTGGGTAGCAAAACATGATGTAGCTGAGGAAGTTGCTCACCTGGCATCTGAGTTGTGGACAGCTGCCAATTTGGAGGTAAGTAATTTATTTCAAGACATTGCACTGCTTTTTAGGTTGGATTGAAAAATAAGGAATTGCCCATTATGATAACATAGCCTCCTACATTGGACATTTTCCAACCATAATATCATCCAAGGGACCCTGGAATCACACATCACAGACAGGTTCTAATAGAATAGTTTTGCAGTAGAACATAAATAATTTGTATAATTGAGAGGAAGGGAGTCTAAAGAATAAGGGTTTAAGAAAAAAGTTCCTTGTTTCATTTTCCTAGGTATAAACTCTCCAAATAGATCTTTCCTAACATTTTATGAACAGCTGTACAGTGTTGTACATTAAACTGTTCATATTTCAGATCTAAGAATTTGCTGAAGGTTCACAGATAATCAAGTTTTTGTGTTCGAAATGGTTATTTCTGTGAATTGTGTTATTCCAGTGAGAAAAGAAAAGATAAATTAATCTGATTCTGTGTAAATAGTTAAGAAATCTTTACTGGTTATATGTACAGTATATGTATATACTGTACACCCCAAAGTCACACCAAGTGCAGTTTTACCCTCTCTTATTTGGCAAACTTGAGACCAGGGCCATGCTAGAAAATATATTTTCCCGTTAAGTAGACGGTTGATAAATTAATGGTATATTAGCCTAGTGCTCTGTAATGTTATGGGTTTCTTTGCATACACATTTGATGCAGCATAATAAATAAGTTTGATAAACTAGTAGTGTAACAATAATATTTAAAAATATATAATAATAGATGAAATAATAAATGAGAAATGTGTATAATTCAAGCATCCCATTTTCATCAGCGCTTGAAAGTGTAATATTTGCCTGTGACCACAACATCTTTCTCTTTATCTCGTAAAAGATGATGGTAAACTTTTCATTAGCAAGCTGAATAGAAAGATTCATCTTGCTGTAAGCATTGATGTGCAAATATTCAGAAAGATAACACTCGGCATTTAACCTCCCTTGCTCCATGTTTAGTGAGGAACATTAAGCAACTAATGTAGATATGACTTGTCTAATCATAGCATACTGGTATTGACTTGTAATGATTTTGAATTTTTTATAATAAAGATTTCCCTGACAAGTTTTCTAAAAGTAAGTTAATAATAGTCTCACAAATTGTGTTATATTTCAGGCAGATGGAGCACTGAGTGAAGGCATTTTAGGAGATGTGGTACACCCAGTGAGTGCTGTACGGGCAGCTGGTGCAGCTGCTCTTGCTGCATTAGCTGAGGATAACCCAGACCTGGTAGCACCTATCACACTCCAGCTAATTGAGATATTCAAGGAAAAGACCGAGGTAAAATATTCTTCACTAAATCTCATGAATTGTGCAGTATGAGCTTTGAGTTTAAAAAAAAAGTATAATGAAAATCGTCCTACTTTATATTTTTCTACTGATACCTGTTTAATTTTAATGTACACGAGTAGAATTTGCTGCAGAAAGGGACAGTGATATTACCTTTGATATATATGAAAATTTAAATTTTGCCAATTTCATATCACATTTCTGTAATAGCATACCGAGTAGATGTTTTTCTTCAGCCCCAAAAGCATTGAATCGCTTTTAATCGACGTTCTACTGTATTAAAAATGTTGAGTGTACCCTCAAGTCTACTCCGTGCTTTATTGATAACAAAGCATAGAGTAGACTTGAGGGTAGACTCAACATTTTTAATACTACATTTAATTCTGAATAGTTGTGAGAGGATTTTCCCATTATTATTTGTGTGTGTGTGTGTGTGCGCGCGCGCGTAAAAGAAATAATTGTCCTAAGAGCAAACACATTAAAGAAATATACATTTCTTTGTACACAAGTACAATTGTACCCCCCCCCCTTTCAGCAAATTTTATTTGAGGATTTGGTTATTCGAGACCAGTTTGAGAACCTAACCCCCGTGAATTTGAAGAGCATGCTGTATTACTGGTACCAATACAACTTACATCTAGCGCAGGCTAACTGGACCTCTTTATGACAAAGTGTTATTTTTATGGCACAAACTTAATGTACACTGTACCCTTGCTTTATGCACATTCATGATAAGGGAATTTGCATATATGTACAGAACTAAACAGAGAATTTATCTGAAATATTCTGTAACATTCAATGCCATAATATCATTACCACTGGGGTTAATTATACAGACTTTTCCCTGTGAAAAAGCCATAATTTTGAGCAACATATTACTGTACTCACTTTGTACTCAAATGTACTAAGCTAAAGGACTAAAATTTTTATCTTGTGCAAACTATTTGATGTTTATAATCAAATTAATTGCTATCTTGCAAGGATACCAGTAATGCAAGTTATATTCTGCTAAGTCAAATCAGTGACATTTTATAAGAGAGAAACTTTAAGCCTAAAACTACTATCACCCTCTAAGTCCTTATTGCCTTCTGGCTGAGAGAAGGGGGGGGGGGGAGGTGAGGTGTTGACAGCCAGGCAGAGAGATAACCAAGTGTGTAGTTTTCAGTGGCGGTGGTCGGAGATTCGGGATTATACAATAGAGGGAGTTCAATTTTTTTGTTTATAAAATGGCACTGACTTAACTTAGCAAACTTGCATTGCATTGCTAAAATTTTGCAACATAGCTACTGATTTGAGTATAAACATCCCATAGTTTTCACTAGAGATAAAAATTTTAGTCCTTCAACTTAGTACATTTGAGTACAAAGTGAGTACAGTAATATGTTGCTAAAATTTTGGCTTTTTAGTAATTAACTTCATAAATTTGAGTACAGGTTGTGATAATTGTAATAATTTTTCCACACATTTATAGCATTACTGTTGACTTTTAGTAGTTGTGGAACGTATCTTAATATTCCCCATAAGATTAAGTATTCACTATATGCGTCCCGAACCATCGAAGCTGCCGGATTAGCGGGGTCCAACCTGTATTATTATTATTATTACTATTATTACGGTATTATTATTATTATTATTATTATTATTATTATTATTATTATTATTATTATTATTATTATTAATGTTATTGTTGTTGTCGTCCATGCCACATAACCACAAATTTGCCAGTCAGGTGAACTTCTCAGAGTAGGGTACTGTACCAATAATGAAGGTTTTCTCTAATTAACTTGGTCCTTTTATTTATTGAAAGGGATTTATTCCTAAAGAACTTTGATACCAATTTTTTGTTTTTAATTTGGAAAACTTTCCCATTCATTTTAAAAGTTATTTAATGAATTATGTATTTCTCCAGATGACTCCAGCCGTGAAGGACCAGTATGACCGTGTTGTTATGGAAGCTATTGACCTATGGGAAGGTCGTGCTGGAGTAGCGTTGGCTTTAAAGCAACTAGCACCCCTATTACAAGCTGACACTGTTGTCACACTTGCCAACTTCTTTGTACCTGATGCCCTTGGTGATCGTAATACTGAAGTTAGAAACAAGATGCTTGAAGCTGCCATGGCTGTCGTCAATTCACATGGAAAGGTGAGGACGTATCAGGAGTTGTACTTTTTACTACGTATTTTCTGGCAATTGTTGAATTTGAGAATTTTATAATGGTCAAATAATATTTATTGCAAAATATGTGATATTGATCCTTTTATAAAAAAAATTATCAATATATCTGTGTTTATTATTTATCAAGGAAACTGTGAACAGCCTCCTACCTGTATTTGAGAAGTTCCTTAACACTGCACCCAATCATGCAAGCTGTGATGCTGTGCGACAGAGTGTTATCATTCTAATGGGTTCTCTAGCAAAACATCTGGAGCACAGTGATCGTAAAATTAAGCCCATTGTTGTCAAACTGGTTGAGGCACTGCACACACCCTCACAACAGGTAATTAATTTTCTTGATCACTTTTTGTAATGTAACTCCAGATGGAACATAGCCTTGTTTTGTATTAATGTCTGTAAGCTAAGAAGATTTTTTAATTTTTTTCAATCCTTTAACTGCTCTTGAGCAAACTGGCAGGAATCGTGAACAAGATTGACTTTCCTTTCTCATGCCTTCTTCCATTAGATCTAGTTGCTATGATTTAGCCATTAACACCTGAAATCATACTCTACTCTTCTATCATTCTCACATCTGCTGCCTCGTTGATGTCCCTCCCCTTCACTTCTAGTTCTTCGCTCACTATATCCTCCCATCTAATTGGATTTCCTTGGTAACTTACCACCAAACTCTGATTGGTAAAACAGGAATGGATCTACCATACATTCTTATGGATGGTAATTGGGATGAAAGAAATGTAAGTGGTGATAGAATGGACATCCAGGAAAAAAGCAGAACACATGAATGATTAGAGGGTATTTAGTTGAATGGTTTACTGGGGTGTACCAGCAGTCTGGGTGACTGAATGGCAGCTGGTTAACCTTGGCTACTGTCTTTAAATATTAGAATCCTGGTTTTAGTCAGGGTCTTCCTCCCTCTAAGAGTTAACCTTCATCATGTAAGATGCAGGGTAAATATTGGAGACATTTTAGGGAAAAGTGCATCTTCCATGGCAGTGCGTCTGATATGCTGGGAAACATGGTATGTCTATGCCCTTACATCCAGCCACATTGTCACTTAGTGGGAAAAGGCAAGAGATGAAATGTGTTTTTAGAAAATATTTGTTTGAGTTTGCTATTTCAAGTTTAAGCTGTAATATTATTTGGTCTAGAGTTGGTTCAGTTTTCAGAAAAGAATACAGTATGTTTACAATTTTATTTAATAATTTTAGCATTGCAGTGAAGACATGAAGGAATTTGCAGTAACTAGGATGGGATGATATTTATATGGAGGTATAATAATTAACTTGAAACTATTGAAGCACCTTTTAACTTGTCAGCCTAAGTCTATAGTTTTCTGTCATTTGTTATAAGTTGAGCAGTTGTTTTTCTGTCAGCAGTAAATTAATAAATTTAATTTGCAAATTTGATTTTAGAGCGTAAAAGAAAATCTAATGTCAATATGTGAATGTTGTGTTTAATCCATCATCAAGATTTCCTTGTCTTGGTGCGTCTTTTTAGAATAAGACTATGAATTTAGCATTTATATGTCTTGAAAGTCATTTATTCCTCTTTCATTTCTAAAAGAGTTTATCATTTGTCATCAATATAGTGATGGGGACTGACCTAGTCACTCTGTAATGAAGAAAAATTTAGTTTTTTGCAATTGACCTTTTTATTCTAGTAAGATATTCATAGAATAAATTCAACTAAATTCACCCAAACCTTACTAGCTTTATCTGTCCTAGCACTTTTGTAAGGGACCTTGTCACCATCATGCACCCACTGATTAGAGAACATTTAATTTCTCTCGTCTTTTATAACTTCAGTATCTTACACTTGTTAAGGGAACATTCTTATTTCAATAGAACCCTGGTTAAAATTTTCATTAATCTTATGGCATTTAGCTGCACTGCACATATAACTGCTTAGGCTTTAGGAAAACAATAATGAATTCAAAGTTCTTTAGATATTGTTCATTGTAATGCAGTGATAGGATATGAGTGTATCATTATGGTAAGTATTGTATTTTAATATAAAGATGCATTATTGAATAGCTGTAATAAGTCTCATAAAGTATTTGAAAAATAACTGTCCCACCTCAATTCAGTAATTGAATTATGATGATGAAATAGTGTCAGTTAAAGGGGAAGTATTATAAGTAACTATACCAAAAATTTGTACAGTATTTTTTATTGCATGAGCTCATTTTTTATTTCTGATTCTCCAGGTTCAAGAAGCAGTGGCCAACTGCCTGCATCCTTTAGTGCCAGCAATCCGTGATGAGTGCCCCAAATTGGTCTCCAAACTCATGACTGTGCTTTTGGAATCTGAGAATTATGGAGAACGCAAGGGTGCTGCTTACGGGTTGGCTTCCCTTGTAAAGGGTATGGGTATTCTAGCCTTGAAGCAGTTGGATATCATGAATCAGCTGACAAATGCTATACAGGTATGAGAAAAAATTTTTTGGGCTTAACAAAACATTAAGCAAAAAGGTGACTATATTTTATTTTAATCTTTATAATGCAGTAAAGTACACTTACTTTGATGTGTGTATGTAGATGGTTCCTTGTTGATGATGATGATGGGAATTAGAAGTGGGGGTGGAGGAGGAGGAAGTGGGGATGGAGGAGAAATCACCTTTCAGGGGACCCATGCTTGATGCCGTCATTTCACCCATAAAATTTAAGTTCACTAGGTGTAGTTCAAGATTATTTTATTTAAATCAACACTGCACTGCACTAAATATTTTCATTATGTTAACTAAATTTCAGAATGACCAATAATTTCAATGAAAAATGCAAAATATTCAAGACACCAACAAAATAGATGTTCACTCCACTGTTAACAAAGCCCAACTGACGCCTGTTGGCTGAGTCAAGCGTCTGATGGGTGCACAAAAAAATAGTTCCCTGTACTGCATATATTATCAATATGTTAAATGTTAAAACTGACTAATAATTTTAATATAAAAATGCAAAAATATTAAAGAGCACAACTTTCTTGATATTTACCCCACTGGAAACGAATGTAAACATAGAACAGATTACTGAATTGGCAGACTAGCCCATCACCTGATCAGCTGATGCTCACAACAAAACGTGATGTTCGTAAGGATTTCGTTAATCGAAGTTTTGTTTGTTAACCTAATTGGAGGTAATTCGTTAATCGAACCGTTCGTTAACCGAGGGACCACTGTATATGTATGTGTGTGCGTGTATTCAAATACACACACACAAAACACATGCAAATAAATAATAATTGAAAAATCCTCCCATAAATAATCAGAAACAAATTTATTAAAAATTTGACAGTCTACCCCCAAGTCCGTGCTCTATTAATAAAGTACTGTAATAAAGAACAGACTTGAGGGTAGACTCACATTTTGAATAAATTTGTTTCTGATTATTTGTGAGAGGATTTTCCAATTATGATTTATTTGTATGTTTTGTGTGTGTGTCTACACACACACACACACACACACACACTTTTACAATACAGGTAAAGGAAATTACTGTCTCTAGAACGAATGGCTCCCTGTCTCAGCCGCAAAAATGCCGGCAACTTTAAAACTACCCACACACTTTCTTGGGCACATCCAGGATGTCATCTGCAAAGTAAAAATCCACGGATAAGGTAGTATAAGTTGCTATTCACGGTTTTGCCAGTTCATGCCATTCCTTGGAACCTAACCCCTGTGAATAGCAAGGGTTTACTGTATACTGTACTTATAATATAAATGAAAAAAAATTAAATTAAATAAATAACGAAGTGATGATCATGGATACATTGCCATATGATTCTTACTAACACCATGTTATGTGTACTAAATGTTACATAATACTTCCTTGAGTTAAATGTACAGTACAGGGTATATATCAGGTGCCACTAAGAGAGCACAGGCTCTCAATTGGCTTAGCCATGTCAATATTGTTAATATTATCCACACTGTATCTGTATTTTTCTGGCTAAATAAACTGTTTCAATATCAATAACTAAGGATCCATGCAGCTAGGCCACTCATGTGCCTGGCACTTGGGATCGCGTTGGATTATGATGCAATCTCGGAAATTTGTTCCCAGGCCCAAAACAGAGGGGTTTGGAGATTTTCTCTGAATTTGCGAGAAAATTATGATTTTCATCCCCAGACCTGGAATTGAGATAATTTTTCTGGAAAATTTCCGGACCAATTTCGGTTCCGGCTATTGGAAAGTTCCGGGGATCTGGGGTTCTGGCTAACAGAGAGATTACTTTTTTTGTGATCCTGAATAAGTTATTAGTATTTGTCAGACATTGTTGTGATTGAACTGGGGTGTGACAGTCTTGGGTTAATGCCTGTATCTCTTCTCAAATCCCTTTATTGTACTGTACGTTATGTATTTCCGGGTAAAAAAACGATTAAAATTGGATTATGAGGCAGGACTCGTTGATTTTTCCAAGATACAAGTCTGCAAAACTCATTCAAAATATTTTCATAAATTCAATGCCTGTCCATGCCATTGTTGTTCTTGCTAGACTTTTTTGTTTTTGAACTGTAACTTGTTAAAATTTTCCACTTGATATTGGTTTGATGTTTCATATCTACATGAAAATTAATCCCTGCTGGACTGTAGGTATGACATAAGACAATGTAAATATTGTTTTTGGGTGTTAATCGCCATTTTTATTTACTATATACCTTTCACAGAAACTAATATTTGCAGTAAAGAAGACTATACTTTTGTTTTTCAGGACAAGAAGAACTACAGGTACCGGGAAGGGGCTCTCTTTGCCCTGGAACAATTATGCAACATGTTGGGAAAGCTGTTTGAGCCATATATTGTGCATATTCTTCCCCATTTGCTTCTCTGCTTTGGTGACACCAACCAATATGTAAGAGAGGCCACCGATGACACGGCTAAGGCTGTCATGAGTAAACTATCTGCCCATGGTGTCAAGCTGGTACTTCCATCTCTTCTTGCTGCTCTCGAAGAAGATTCTTGGAGAACTAAGACAGGTCAGAAATTTGAGCTGATGTTCAGTACAGTGCAGTATTAACATGATAACAGGATGGAATACTTTCTTTAATACAGACTCACATGTCTCAGTCGAGTCCTGCATTCATATCTGTCATATCAGTGTATTGCACCTCGTTACCTACACTCACTTATGTGAACTTTTTATGTCAAGTACATATTATCTTTAATGGGGCTACTTCTCCGTGGTTTAGGCATACACCCAGGTAGGACACCTGTCTTACTTGCTTCTGTGTTCCTTAGATGTTATTGCATTACACCATTCCCCAGGATGCGACCCACAACAGCCGTCTTATAACCAGGTTCCTACTCACTGCTGGGTGAACAGAGGCAACAGGTATAAAAAGACCAGCCTAGTTTCTCACCGTGCCTGGGGATCGAACCCGAGATCATTCGGTTGTGAGCTGACTGCGATACCATTGTGCTACAGGGTACCCGGGCTTTAAGAAATTGGTAAAATAATGTAGAGTATGTATTTTAAGAAATGGGTAAAAATAGAAAAAAAATTGGATGGAAGGAACAACTCTTGTTCACTGAATACTTAATAGTGGTGTAGACCTAACGAAAGTTGGGGGTTGCAGGTGGGGTTGATCAGGTGTTGCTCTATTCACCTGGTTTATTTATTTATTCAGTATTATTGTCTCGTACAATCAGCAGACACCACAAAGTGGTTGGATGCCTTTGAAATGTGGTGTTATAGATGAATGCTAAGAATAAACTACACTGACAGGAAAATAAATGAAGTACTACGATTAGCAAAAACTTCAAGAGAAATATTTGTAATGCACAGAAAAAGAAAAATTAAATACTTTGGTCATATAATTAGGGATGAGGGGATAATAACATAAATATTAATGGGCAAAGTTGAGGGTAGGAGGATCAGTGAAAATCAGAGATTGGGTCAGATGAATGAAATGAAAACCTCGGTCCAGGGAGAGATACAAAACCTTGGAGGATTGGTAAACACAGGCCAAGAATATTTAGAGTGGAGGACTGTGGTTGCCATCTCTCAGAAATGAGGACGGTACTCTGATCGATTGATGATCAGCCTCTTATGGTGTGTGATTCATCATTATTGATATAAAATTTTGATAATAGAAAAAAATACAATATATAATTTGTAATCTTACTTGAAAATAAAAGGATAAGCTGTAATGCAAGGTGTTCATTCAGGACGCATTCCTGGAGTGAGAGGTTTCAGTAAATCAGCTTACAGTACCACACATTTTAGCAGGGAGTATTTAAGAAAGAACTTGTGTGTGTATTTTCCTCCTGTAGCCATATTTTCTTTTTCTTTTTTAATAATATATACAGTATACAGTATCAGTAAATGTGAGGAATAAATAAAAATAATACCAATAAATAAGTTACAAAAAAATACGGTACTGTAGTATTGCCAAGCCAGTAAATAAAAGCTAAATTAAAGAATAACACAGTGGCCATTTGCATATACTCCTTGGTTTACCATAGCAATGCAGATGCTGCCTCTGCAGATTACCTAGCAGCGCCCCCCAACACACGCCTCACCTCGCCTCCACCCGCTCCGCCACTAAGTCAGCTAACTCATGTGCAAAGAAATGTATATTTCCTTTGTGTTTGCCCTTAGGACAATTATTTCTTTTACATTTTTCACAATATGTATGTAGGATGGTGTGTGCATGTAACTAGGTACAGATGTTAATTGTCTCACTTTATCATCATCAGTCCAGTAGCTATAATTCGAGCTTTTATATTTACAATAATTATTTTTTAATTAATTAAAAATAATATTGTGTTTAAGTAAGAAATAACATATTTTTAATTCTGGAGCTGGGTTAAGTAGAATTTAGCTTCCGGAAGCAGCAACTGTGGGATTCATTAGCTTACGGGAGACCTCAACTTCACATCTAGGATGCTGGCTGATCTTTTTAGCCATTTTTCAGACAAACAAATGTGTCTTATATGCCGTAAATAAGGTGTATGGCATTTGATATAAAGATACTTTCCAAACAACATTGTTTCTTACTTTTGAGTGATACATCGTTGCTCGACTTGGCTACTTGTACACTTAAAACAACTGATTAATGAATAAACCAAGGAATATGCAGATGCCTAATTTACTACAATATTATTTACTCCTGTACTAAGTGCGGATAAATACACTACGTACTGTACAGTACTGTTTACTAAGTGCTGAAGACAGATGCTGTGGTAAGCATGAGAGGGAGGTAGCTAGCTAGATAGGACGATCAGCTGTTAGCACTTTGTAAACAATGACGGGGAATTTAATAAGATGCAGTGACTCGTGGTGTTGAGTGTCGGATTCTTTTTAGGTGAAGGTTAATTATTTTACTATAATTTTTAATCAACCTGGCACCAAGTGAACATAAATAATATGAGAATTATGGTGAAATTGTGTAAAGTTCTGTTAAATGGATCCTGGGAAAGGGGGAAGCCCCTCCCACTTGCTGTTCCCAGATGCTCTCATGTCCCACACAGAATTTACCCCTACACTTTTTTCTTATTTTTATCTTTATAGTACTATCAGTATACAATTTTCTCTTTATTCATAAAACAAAATCTGTGGTTACTTACATATTTTATAACACTTTATGAAACAATCTTCTCAGTGAAAATAGTGATCAACAATCAGACTTAATCTGACTTTCAACCCAGAGAGATCTATCTCAATTTTTTATTGTTGATGTAATGCTGTTTTACTAACTTTTTATGCACTTAAAGACCTTAGTTGTTGAAAAGCAGTAATAAATTATAACAACAGCTGATTTCCTTGAAACAGTCCAGACAAGCAGTGGTATGTTCCCCCAATATATTAACTTTTTTCAGACTTAAAAATTCTCCAGATGGGTCTCCCCCCAATAAGTGTCCTGCTTCAAGGTACTCTGTACGTGCGAGTTTGTGTGTGTGTTCCTAGAGCCACACTCCATACAATTTTAAATGTGTAGTAAACTAATTTTAGCAATTAACTTCTTATTATATTTCAGGATCAGTAGAGCTGTTGGGAAACATGGCATTTTGTGCCCCAAAGCAGCTCTCCTCGTGCCTTCCATCTATTGTGCCTAGGCTTATTGAAGTTCTGAGCGATTCTCATATGAAGGTGCAGAAAGCAGGTGGTCAGGCGCTAAGATTAATTGGCTCTGTTATAAGGAACCCAGAGATCCAAGGTAACTGTACACTTTTCTTTGTTTTCTCATTAAAACTTTTTAAATGTATAAATTCAATTTCAGGGTTGTTGTGATTTTAATGGATATGTCTCAGCAAAAAATCATGATTCAAATATTTTATTTTATTTTTTATTTTTTTTATACCAATAATTGAAATTTATGTATGTCGCAAAGAGATATGGGAAGAAATTTTCATTATACAGTACTGTACTTCATTTCTTTCTTATGTTCCACATCTGCATCATCCACTGTTTTAGACTAAGTGTAGGTGATCTGAATATGATGCATAAATAGTGTCAAGCATCTAATATAATGTAAGAATAACCATAATGATTAATAAAATTGTCCTTCAAGTGTTGAAGTGTTTCTCATTCAACTGAAACATAATCAATAGAAAATTTAACAGGTAAACCACTTCTAAGGAATGTTAGTGTTTAAAAGGCTTGCTTTTTGTTCATCTTACCAAGAAGTTAAAATGACAGTTATTTTTACATGCAAATTTTGTTGCAGAAACAAGTTTGATCAGATTAATTCAAGCTCCTATGGTTAATTATGTCATTGATTAATTGAGATTGTTGGTAGGCTGTAATCAAGTGTTATAATTTATCAGCTTTATGTCAAGTAAGGGTGGGGGCTGACTTTGCACCCTCCACCTTGACTGTGTCGAGAACTTTTGTCTGGGACTGTACAGCTTTGGACAAAAGGAATTCAGCAGGGAGGGAGGTGGTAATGGTGGTATATTGGAGGGTATGGCACATAGATGGAGACTTGGTACTGACACATTGGGGTGATGGTGAAAAGTCTTCTCAAACAATCAACTTTTGTGTAATTTTTGTGGTTGTTTTGATGTATTGTTTTATTTACAGCATATTGTTTGTGTAAGCAGTGTTTGCCACACAATTAAACTTAAAAAAAATATATATATTTGTGGTGTGAAAAAAACATCACAGACCTTTAATTGCCACTTCTATGTGACAGTGCCAAGTTTCCACCTACCCTCCCATTCATCACCTTCCCCACTCCCTGTCTACCAAATTCTTTTTGTTCACAACTGTACATCATACAGCAGAGCCTTGGGGAGAGGGCTTGTAAGGGTGGACTTTTTTAATGCTTATTGTTGTTGTTCTTCCAGCCATTGTGCCAGTGCTGTTAGCAGCTCTCCAGGACCCAACCAAAAACACATCAATGTGTTTGCAGACTTTACTGGAGACCAAGTTTGTACATTTTATTGATGCTCCATCCCTGGCCCTCATCATGCCTGTAGTACAAAGAGCATTCCAGGACCGCTCAACTGAGGTATGTCAAGAATGATGTTGGTAATTTTCTTCCCTCTAGGGCTGATAACCTCTCCAAATTTATTTATGAACACAAGTAGCGATACATTCGGTGTACATCGCCTTGAACTTTGTACTATACCAGGGGGCAAATTAAAAAATAAATAAAAGAATTGGGGTCAATGCACCTGGTCATTATTGTGTCCATTTTTCAACTTCGTAGCTCAAAAAGTGTCTTGAGATATCACCTGGACAACAAAACACTCAAAATGACAAACAAATAGAGTAATCACTGAGTGTCTCACTACAGCTTCTTATTGCACCTGGAGACATAATGGGGGGGGGGGTTGGCAGCGTACAGTACATCGAGGGCTGGAGCTTTTGTACATGAACACTGTTACTTCTGTCTTTGGTAGGGTTTCTTGAGTTTCACGCTTAGAGAAGAGCCATAAATTTGTTTTTCAAATTTCATCATTGTTTTGGGTCAAACTTCAACCAAGTCATAAGTTTTTTCAACAACCTGACTTCCTGAGTTTAGCCTGAAAAAAGTCTTTCGGGCATGAAATCTGGATGGGAATCTCATTGCTCCATTTGCCCAGTTATGGGATTCATAGTGACATTTAGTTGGAAGATGGGTTTAATTTACAGGCTTTGATTTTGAAACATCAGTATGAGTGTGGAACCTTTAGAACTTTTCTCCAGTGGTATGGTGAGGGGTGATAAACTCAACCAGGTTGCATCTGTTGCATGCATACCTCAGGGGATTGTATCTTCTTTCACCTTCCAAATGGGTGCTTCTCTGAAGTCAGTCTTCTGGAAAGGAGTATTGACATGGAGAGACAGTGTTCACCTTAAGGTATCTGAAAGATTGTGTTACATAGTTGGACTGCTTGGCACATGGGAACCAAACCAATAGTGTAAGCTCTACTATGATTCCCAGGATAAAGAGTTAAGTCACTATATTATTTGGATTGTGTGTCCATCTTCTCGTTGTACTATCAGTTGCTGGTTTGACCATACTCGAGTCACCTTAGCCATAATACTGTATCTGTTATAATGATGATTGATCTTAAAATCAAGCCAATCCTCAAAAGTAGTGGTGGGGAGGCAACAACGTCTCATTTGGTATGCTCCTAACATAGTCTGAATGCTCAAAAAGCTTCATGTAATGGGATAATTAGGTATTTTATTGTTAGATTTAGTTTATGGATTGTCTAGGACTGGAATATATAATTTTGATTAATGCTTCCAAAAGCTACATTGCACAGTATCGGACCTTCTCTGATAAGGTTACGATCCTAAACCAGAGTATCATCAAAGTTTTATACAATCCACTGCACAAGTAAAGGTTTATTTGCACATCATTAATGTATAAAGGTCCTTTTAAAGCCAACATTACTATTAAACTAGTTATACCCAATGAAGAAGTCAACCTCCTGCTATTTCCATATGAAAACTCCCGAATTCTTCTACATACTATCTTGGCCAGCTGATTTATTCCATACCTCTTGTTACTTCATGGTGTGGTGTCCTGATTACAGTCAGACAGAGTTGAAACAAGATTTTCGGCTGGATGCCCTTCCTATCACCAACTCACATACAGAGTGGAAGCTCGGCATTATATGTAGGACTTCCAAGCCTGGTACAGTACTTGAGAAGTTATTGAAAATTACAGCATTTGTTTTAACATTTTACCAGCTCCAGTATTGTACATTAGTATATAACTTGATGTTTATATTTAAATTGATATAGTTAGGTATAATTTTGGAAATTTATTTTTATTCCAGGTGCGAAAGATGGCAGCTCAGATCATCGGAAACATGTACTCGCTGACAGACCAGAAGGACCTCCAACCTTACTTGCCAGGTATCATTCCAGGCCTCAAGGCATCTCTGCTTGATCCTGTTCCTAAGGTATGCATAAGTATTTGATGTCTAAAATTTTATTTTACAGGGGCCCTCATTATATGTGTTTCAGAGAAAATTTACATAATTAAATGTTTTATAATGAATTTTTCCCCATAAGAATTAATCTAATCAGGGGTACTGTATATGCATTCCAACATGTACAGTACAGTAATACCCCTTGAAATCTCAGCAGATCACCTCCCAATGGGGTCATTGTAACATATAAGTAGTTCCTCGCCAACCACAGGGGTTATGTTCTTGAAAAACCCTGTGGTTGGCAAATCCACAGTTGGCAAGACTAAAGGCTTATGGGAAATAGGGGGTTAGGTTTCATGGCCATAGAAAACCTTCATCAAAGCCGAAGTTGCCTGTTCCTTTACTGTTCTGTATTGTTTATTTAATAAAATTTGTCAAATACGTATAAATACAGGTAGTTAAATATAAATTGAATACAGTGAACCCTCGAAGATCTGGACTAAAAGGGGGGGACCACCTGTCCGAATCTTCCGGTGAATGTACTAAATGTATAAAACCGATAGATAATGATATGAAAATACACCAAAAATACAGTAAATATTATCCTGATCACTGGGGTTAGTTATACAGACTTTTTCCTGTGAAAAAGCCATAATTTTGAGCAATGCATTCCTGTATTCACTTTGTACTCAAATGTACTACACTAAAGGACTAAAATTTTATCGCCTGTGCAAAATATATGATGTCTATATTCAAATTATTTGCTATCTTGCAAGAATTCCAGCAATGCAAGTTATATTCTGCTAGGTTTAGTCTGTGACATTTCATAAAATAAAAACTTTAAGCCTAAAACTACCTTCACCCTGTTTTGGGAATGCTTCTTAGGGAAGCTTCTTAGCCCAGAATCCCCAAATTTTTTGTCCGAATCTTTTGAAATCCGATTTACCGGGTCCAGATCTTTGAGGGCTTACTGTAGGAATATAGATTTTACAGTACATCTCTGTGGAGATGGCATGTTGCTATAAAATAAGAAAAATAAAGAGCATTGGTGTGTATGTATGTGAAGTGAACATGTGTGTGGGCTTGGCATGTCACCAAGTTAGACTGTCCCTGTAGCTACATCCCCCTAGCTCTCCCCCTACCAGGCCTAGCTTCATGAGCTGTGTTATTGTTATTTTTTAATTCATACAGTATTTTCAGGTAGATATATGTGATTTTCTTATTTTTTTCTTTTTTTTTTTTACTGTTTCATGCACACAATCATTCATACAGAATGTGCAAAAAAAAAAGAAAAAAGATTAACATAAGGTAAAAAACAAAGAATAAACGCTCTGTGTGTCCATGGGAGGAGGGGGAGTGCTTTCCTGTCTCCCTAAAGTATTTTTAGGGAGATTGTGATAAGTATAAAGTATAAATGAGCAAAGTTGTATCCCTTCAACATTACATTACATAACATTTTAAAATATGGAGTGAGAAAGTGGAAAGGTGTGAGTAATTAGAGACACGGAGTGGGAAGGAGTGGCAACATAAACCCTCGTTGCCAAGCGCTCCGCAACAGCTGATCTTTAATTCGCCACCATACAGTTAAACAGCAAGGCTCACTTTGGATATGTGTGTGTGAGAGAGAGTAAGTAACACACACACACACTTTTTTTTATTTATTTCCTTACCTTATATCTATATTTTACTGTACAGCATACAGTATTTTCTTTATTCTTAAAGCACACTAATACACTGAAATTACTTTTCCATAAATTCTGTGGTTAAGCAACACATAACAATGGCATTAGTGTTCAGTCATGTGAGAGGTGACTGATTTATTTTGGTGTGGTAGAATCTTAACACTTGTAGGGCACCTTTATTACTTATTATGGTTATTTTTACATTATATTATGTACCTTTAGCACTACAGTGGTCCCTCGGTTAACGAACACAATTCGTTCCAGAAGGTCGTTCGTTAACTGAAACTATTGTTTCAATGGGATTTTGGGTAATTGGTTCCAGCTCACCAAAAATTACATACAAACTAAAAATAAATGCAGTAAAGTACACTTACTTTGAGGTGTGCATGTAGAAGGCTCCTGGTTGATGATGATGATGATGATGGGAATTAAAATGGGGGTGGAGGAGAAGGGAGAAGAGAAGGCATTAGGGTGGAAGAGAAGTCACCCCATGCTGCCATTTCACCCATAAAATTTTAGTTCACTCGGTGTAATTCAAGATTATTTTCTTTAAATCAACACTGCACTGCATTATATATTGTCAATATGTAATATAAACTTCAGAATGACCAATAATTGTACTGTAAAAATGTAAAAATAGTTTATGTTCAAGAGAGAGTCAAGCAAGATGCTTCCTCCACTGAGCAGACACACAAAATGACGCCATTCTGGGGGGAGTCAAGCGGCTGTTTGGCGTGCTAAAAACTAGTTCCCTGTACTTCAATTATGTTAAATAATTGTTAAAATGACTAAAAACTTCAATATAAGACTTGGAAAATTATTGAATAGTACAACCTTCTTGATATTTACTCAAATGGTAACGAATTTAAGCCCTAAAACCGATTACTGTATTGGCGGACTAATACTACAGCTGGTGAGCAGGCAAAAGCAGACAAAAACATGTTTGGAAAAATTCGTAAGGAATTCATTAACCGAAGTGAAGAATCTTATGGCAGGTAATTCATTAACCAAAATTTCGTTAATCGAGGCGTTCGTTAACCGAGGGATCACTGTATTTATGCATCATATTTGGGTAAACGCAGACATAGTATAAAACAGGGATGATGCAGACAATGTATATGCGAAACAATTGATATATAATGAAGATTTCTTCCTATATTTATTAGCAAAGTATGTGTGAAATGATGTACTGTAAATCGGTGCAACATATACTGAGGACCCTTATGTAGATATATTGATTGATATTTCATGCCTTTCCTGTCTGAATTTCAGGGTATCTTACCATGGTCAAAAAGAAAGTTAAGAATTAGATCATATTTTTTAAGTTTTAATATATTTTTATTTATTTATTTTTTTCTCTCCAGGTTCGCTCTGTGTCCTCTCGAGCACTAGGAGCCATGGTTAAAGGTATGGGTGAATCCAGCTTTGATGACCTCCTTCCATGGCTCATGCAGACACTTACCTCTGAATCATCCAGTGTCGACCGCTCAGGTGCTGCCCAGGGACTTGCTGAGGTCAGTTTTCTATCTCTCTCTCTCTTAACAAAAAATACATTATGACCCTCAACTCCAGTAACACCTTGTATTCAGCAATGGCACTCCCACTACACAACACAAACCCCAAGATTTCCATCTCTCCTATCCCTGCTTGTTCATCTCTGTCCTATCCAGTATTTAATTCACTTCACCCTTTAACCACCTGCTTCAATGTTCCTCTCACTCTCTAACCATGTACTTCAGAATCAAACACGCCTTTTAATGTTTTTTCCCCATTCTCTCTATGTGCCCATACCACCCCTTCAGCAAACCCTGATCAGCCCTCTGATTGATAAACCTTTCACGTCCACATCTTTTTTTTTCCGTAGTCTCCTACATAATACAGCTAAAGCAAACCATTTCCATCATTTCTAACTTACCACTTCCTCTTACATCAAGAGCCTGTGACTTGCATCCATACAGTAATGTCAGATCATATAGTCTATTATTCCTATACTGTATTTCCCTTCATTGAGCACAGATCTCACTCTCCTCATATTATTCAGTGCACTATTACCTGCATTTCCTCATCTACTTGTAGTTTAACCCTCATTCCAATCATTGGCATATCCACTCAGTTATCTGAAACATCTCTCTCACTCTTGTGTACATTTGAGCTGATTTTATTGTAATTACCCACTCAAATGCCATCTGCATGTAGCATCAAAATCATCTCCCTTTTGCAACTCTTATCCCTTTTAATTACACCTGGTCTTGTCTCAGTCATTCTTACTGTCACTCCTATTACCCCACTTCTCATGTATCATGTACCTTGGTGTTGACAATTTTGTGTATAAATGATTTCACTGAGTACAATCCACTTATTTTATGTTATACAATACAGGATTAAGATGATGATTCTATCCTAGGTGGTTGGGGGTCTTGGTCCAGAGAAACTTCACCGCCTCATGCCAGACATCATTGCCACGGCTGAGCGTTCTGACATCGCCCCTCATGTAAAGGATGGTTACATCATGATGTTCATATTCCTTCCTACAGTTTTCCAAGATGAATTCACTCCCTATATTGGGCAGATCATCCCACCAATACTTAAGGTCAGTCTTCATTCCGTAGTATCTTTGTGTGTCTACATTCAGACCTCATTAACAATAAATAATTTCCAATATTTGCTAAAGACTTAAAATTTATATTCAAGTACTGTATAGGTTGAGATTTAAGACCAAATTTTTAGGTAAACAGTAGGGGTTCTAATCGTGGAGGTATAGGGTGGAGGCGGCATGAGCGATGTAGACCGTTCAAGTGAGTGAAGCCTGTCAGCCACGTGGCAGCTATCTTTTGATTGGCAAGAGCTCACTGCCAGCCGCCACTCCTCACAGTCTGTAAGCGCACATTGTGCTAATGTTTATTAATAAACATTAAACACTTATTAATCACAGAAATATACACAAATACATAAGTACAATAAACTTCAGTGTAAACAGAATGTAGATCTGCAGTACAGGAGCTTACTGGCTACTGAAATGATTTTTGTGTATACAATATATTTGATGACTTTTTACTTCAACTTGAACTCGTAACTTAGCAGTGAACTGTTTTCCAGCGTATGCATATCTCACTTGAAGAGGTATAATAATATGATAATATAAAACATTATGATCTTCATTAACACATATCATACATAGCTTCGCAATCTATACGGATTTATTATGGAAGTTGTGATTGCATATAAATTTAAACTCGCCAAAGGTGAGGGTTTGGTTGCCAAAATGGAGGGCAGGGTGCTTTGAATTTTAACCGCCAATTTTGATTTTGCCAAACAAAAAGTCACCAAACTGGAAGGTGTACTGTACTGTACTTCTTTTTTATTGTTTTGTCTTTTAAAAGGGTTAAAAATCATTTTTGGAAAAGTTGATTTTTCTCAATTTACCCCGCGTGGGGAGTACAGCCAGCGGCACCCTAGCCCGGGGCGTAGGGGTTAATTTATATGTTTTTTCTTTTTTTCTTTTTTTTTGTGTGTGTGTGTGTGTGTGTTCCAGATACCAGGATGCCAGATAAATGGTCCCATACTTGTATTTAGTAACCAAAATCTTATGAGACATTCACATCCAGTGTAAAAAATATGTAATATTTTTTTTCAGATTTTTCAAAGCATAATTCCTTCAATGAAACTTCATTATTCAACATGACTTGTTTATAACCTTATTTCCAGGTGCAGTAGGGGATCATTAAGGAAGTTCAATGATTATTGGGAGTTTTGTTCCTTGTTAGAACCCACTAAGGAGTGACAATTTGGCTTGTCATACCAAGTGCAAAGTAGATAGAAGGAAATGCATACAACTCTATAAGCTAGAGGATTACCACTGCCCCACCCACTAGAAATCAAGCAAATAATAATACCATTTTTCATGTCCAATCTCTTTCAGGCTCTTGCAGATGAAAATGAATTTGTCAGAGAAACTGCACTGAAGGCTGGTCAGAGAATAGTTAATACATATGCAGAATCAGCCATTACTTTACTCCTACCTGAACTAGAGGCTGGACTCTTCCACGATAACTGGCGAATCAGATACAGGTAAGAGTGCTTTAAAAGGGATATGGAATAATTTTGCAGTCTAGGAATGTATTCCTATTTTATCCATAATAAGCTAACTAAAGAGAAAATTATTCACTCAAGAATGAAACTACTGAAGTTACCAAACTCTATTTTATATTGGGAGTATCTTGTATTTGTGTCTGTTTCATCAATCTTTTTCTAGGAGTATCTTCTGTCTTTGATCATATGGAACATAGCTATTTCTATTTTGGAAAATAAAATTAGTTTTAAGTATTGATGAGGTACTTTCCAAGGTACAGACACTGAAGTTTGCAGGATCTTTCACATGTCCTTGATGAACGATCAAGCTAATTAGCTTTCTTACATCACTTTATGGACTTCTCTTATTTTGATAGGCAGGCATCCAAAGTGCTAATGTTTTGCAATATTTAAAACCTTATGCATATGTGTGCTTTTCCAGTTCTGTACAACTGCTGGGTGATCTGTTGTTTAAGGTATCAGGGGTCTCTGGTAAAATGACTACTGACACTGCTCATGAGGATGACAACTTTGGTACAGAACATTCTCAAAGGGTAGGTAGCATGAACTCTTACCACTTGTTTGGTCATTATGGAGGGGAATATCTAAAGCCAATTTTCTGTAGCTCATGCCTTAATATCCTCTTCTAGTTTCATACTTCATCAAATTGTTTAGAATACTTTGTCTGTGATTTACGGTATTTCCTTGTGTACAGTAAACCCTCACCCTACGCAGGGGTTAGGTTCCTCGAAAACTGCATTTTGGGCAAAATCACTTGGGGCAAACTTAACTTCTTACGGAAAAAATGTAATGGCGTGATTGTGGCTGCGTATGGAAATCAGTCACAGCATCATTCCCTGCCCCCCTCAGTTTTCACAACATGAGCATGCTCACATATTGCTATTCTAGCAGCAACAGGTACCTTCTCATTCACTTGTCCACTGATCCAAACAACTAATAGTTTAACATTTTTTCTAAGTATCGATCCCCCCTTGGACGTTAGGTCACCTTAGCACTAAGAGAAGCAGATACTTCCACACTTGCACATATTTTTTCCTCACAACTATGAATTGTGTGTATAGTGGATTCATTTGCAAAGTTCTCATGGGCAAGCGTTGTTACACGCCTTCCATTACGTAGCCGATCTATAATCTTTATTTTCTTGGCTAATGTCGTCACTTTTCTACTTTTCTTGGGTTTGCTACCATCACAAGCATCACCTCGGTGTTTGGGAGCCATATTGCAAGGGAAAACACACAAAGTAATGCAAAAACACAAAGTTCCAAAGCAGCTTTAGTACAATGTTGATGTTACAGTACTAGTATGCAAGCAAGACTGGCGGGCATCTCCAACTGGCACGTGGGTGAGGCAGAGCAGAGGGGAAAGGAGCAAGGTGGAGGCAGCGCGTTGTTAACCCCCTTATATTCAAATTTTCCGTGTCGGTCAAATTATTTGGTCACATATTTAAACGCGTATAGTCAAAATCTCGTTGGATAAACTAGCATTGGTCGAGGGTTCACTGTATTGTGGCTTTTATGTAAAAAAGTTTCAAGATATTTCCTTACTTATTTTTTAGTGATAGATAAGTCTCTGTTTATGCATGACTTATTATATTGTATTGCTTTCAAAAGTTTCTTTGAAAATTAAAGTAACTTGAAAAACATCATTAAAATAAAGGCTTACAGAATTAAAGTTCTGTGTATCATGATACTTATGTCTTAAAGAATAAAAGTACTGGAAGCCATTACAGTTTATTCAATTAGAAAGTTAATTTATAGGCACCAATTGCTAATACACTTGAGTCTCAGGAATCCCAAATGCTTGTGACCAAAAGGCTTTTGGAAAGTAGATAGTTATGGAAATTTGATGTATCTACTTCTGGAACCCATACTTATTTAGGTAATAAAATTCATGAAGTTATATTTCAATAAAGTGTGACCCGTGATCGGTCACAGGTGGGAAGCACAATTGAGCATCACTGCCAAAAAAAGTTTTTCATTGCACTTCTGTTTACCATGACATAGAACATTTAAAGGTGAATGTTATGCCTTTACATCATCTGCTTGAGTAAATAATGGGACTGCCTAAACTCACTTTTAGTGCATAGACACCTGTTGCCACAGGACAAATGGTTAATTAGCAGTATTTTCTCTAAATACTCACAAGTGTTGTAATTACAAACATCCAGTGAGTGGTAGTCATGTAAACAATGGCAGTCACTCCATCAATGAAGCACTCAGATAGCCCAGTGTTCTTATTTATTTTGAATATTTATTTGGAAAACAAAATGCAGCAGTATTATTCCATCTTCTTAATCTTAATTCGTATATCCTAGTTAACTTGTAGCTTAAGTGTTGCAAGATGTTCAGGTAGGGTCAAGTCAGCTGGCTGGTATCTGAGTATAGAGAGTAGTTGTTAAGTTACTGCCACTACATTTTAATGACAATCTTGATTTTTTTTCTTTTTCAAGTATTGAAGTTAGCAATTTCATATGCTGTTTATTTCTGGTGAATTGTGCAATAAATATTTTATGAGTAGATGTAGATCTTAGAACTTTGTCTCACAAAAAAAAAATGTTGAAGTTCTTTGACAAACAGTGGTTGTGTATCCCCAGGAATAAATAACACCAAATAGGAAAGGAAGGGGATATCATCATGTTGTCTATATTTTTTCATTAACTTTGTATTATAATTGTTAGGCCATCATTGACATCCTTGGTGAAGAAAGACGTAACCGTGTGTTAGCCGGACTGTATATGGGACGTTCAGATGTTGCTGTGCTAGTGAGACAAGCAGCTCTCCATGTGTGGAAGGTTGTGGTAACTAACACTCCCAAGACTCTAAGAGAGATACTTCCCACACTTTTCTCTCTTCTGTTGGGGCACTTGGCCTCTACCAGCTATGATAAAAGACAGGTAAGATTCATATATTCACCAAGTTGAGTTTTGTGTATTTTCACTGCCCTTTTGCATATGTGTAGCTGAGTGGATACAAAACTTGCCCCCTGATCAAAGGGTTTATGCCCAGAGCACCTTAAGTCTGCCCAGTTGTGATTGAGCACCAAATTTAATTGTGATTTTTCCCATCATTCTTGCAATGTGACAGCATTTTCAGTGATCCATTTGAAATCCTTGTAGTTTATATCATCAGTATATTTAATTTCACTGGACATGACTCCCTTTTCTTATTTTGTAAAGGTTGCAGCACGCACTCTCGGAGATTTGGTTCGTAAATTAGGTGAGCGTGTACTCCCAGAAATCATTCCAATCTTAGAGGCTGGCTTAGGGTCACCTGAGGCTGATCAGCGACAGGGTGTCTGTATTGGTCTCTCCGAGATAATGGCATCTACCAGCAAGGATATGGTTCTTTGCTTTGCTGACAATCTTGTTCCTACTGTAAGGTAAGATTTTGAAAATATTATGAAATATGAATTTTGCTAATGGGTATCAGAGGAGGAGTTTTCATTCCTATAACCCTTTTCCCATTGTAACAGAAATTTCCTTTGAAAATTGTCTAACACTGCATCTGTACACAGCTATTATATGTGTCAGCCACTCTTTAAAAATTTTCTAATAGTTATTGTAATAATTTTTTAAACTTTATTCATAATTAAGATTCCATATCTTATATATCTACCCCTTCCTTCGTCAAAAATATCAGTTATATAATGTTTAAAGTGGAAACAAATTGTACAACATCCTTTTTGAGAACTGCAATTAGAGTAAACCGTATAATCTTCATGAATATTTAATACTTGAGCTTGTACTTAGTCATTTTTGTGTAAGGTGAAGCGCAGAAGCGTTTTACAGCTCCCAACAGGGAAGCATGCCAAGTTCATGCTTGCCTTTATGTCTCATGAGTTAAGGGCGTAGAATCCTGAAGAATCAATGGTTTTTATGTCATCAAGTTATTGGAAGCTCCAACAACTCCCTGAATACGAATTCGCAACTTTTGATTTACAACAGGTACCTACTTTACTGCTAGGTGAACAGGGACTAATGGGGGCTAGGAAGTATGGCCAAACAACTTCCACCGGCCCGGGAAAAAGAGTGTCATTTGCTGTTCACTCTTGTTGTATATTCCACTGTATGACATTATAATCTATTACTCAAAAAATATATATAATTATTTTCATTTTACTATTTATAGGCGGGCTCTGTGTGATCCTCTATCATCTGTGCGTCAAGCTGCTGCTCAAACCTTTGACTCCTTACATGGAACTGTTGGTTTTAGAGCCCTAGAAGATATCCTCCCGCCCCTATTAGCAGAGCTAGAAAATGAAGATGAAACACGAGAATATGCATTGGATGGCCTCAAGCAGGTCATGGCCATCAAAAGCAGAGTTGTCCTACCTTACCTGGTTCCACAGGTAATGTTTTACATCAATTTTCTTCATAGGCGTATATTGTGTACTGTATTGGTACAGGGATCTCTCGTTTGTTGTTTAGCGATCTTTGACTCACTGGAAAAAATTGGGGAGGGAAGTCGGAAAACTGGGGATTCTGTGCTCCAAGTGATCATCATTGCGATGCAGAACTCTACGGTAGCTTAAAAAAAAAAAAAAAAAATGAAGAGTATGGGTTTGTATGTGTGAGTAGTGAACATGTGTGGAGGTGGTAAGTTAATGTAGTGTATAGTATGTGGCCAGTTGTCAAATTTCTCTGTGTTTGTCTATTTTCTCTTTGTTAGGCTCACACACATACGTACACGTAGGAGATCTCGCACTTAAGGATTGGGGTGATAAGGGAAACTCACAATGGCATTTTCGATATATATTATATATATATATATATTGTATGTACAATGCAGTGCTAGGGAGTTGCTGTGTGGTGAGGAGGTCTTGTTTGTTTGAGAGCGTTGAGTAGAATGAGCTTCACGGTGAGGCTGGTGGGTATTTATATGATTTTGCCAGATCGGGTTGAGAAGTGTGAAGTGAGCGGCGCTGCTGATTGGCTGAGGTGAAGACGGTTCCCAGGCGATAACTGGCCAATCACCGCGCAGTCCGAAGGTGAGGCCCATCACATTAGGAACTCGCCGCTGGCTGGCTGGTAAGCGGACGGCAAGTGATCAACTAGCAGTTGTAGGGGAGAGTATCCACTACACTATAACTTCTTACCGACTCGCCAGCCCAGCTTCTGTGTTTATTGTTAATAGTAATGAAACTATAAAAGTTGTCAAAATATCATTACAGTACTCTAATTTTGCTTAGAAATAGGTGGGTTAATGGGGTATAACTGCATGGCTGTGCTCCTTCTCGATGTGACATCATGGCATACACACAGATAGCACGGCAGCCACACATCTGAGTCAGCTGGTTGACTGTCTCAACTGGAATGCATTGCCCAAAGGATGGTTTGAGTGTGGAAGAAGCTTTTTTATTTATTTTTTTTACATAAAATATGTGCCATGTATCCTTTTTTTATCATAACAAATAATAAATATGGCAGCTCATCCCTGATGTGCGCGGTATTTAAACTTACGATTCTAACTGATTTTGGAGGAATTTTTATTTTTATTATTATTATTTTATTTTGGTCCCGGTTAGTTGAATCTACTAGTTGCCCAGATACCAGATAACTGGGATTGTACTGTATTATTCATTGAGACACTTTTTAGGAGTCAGTACTTGACATATGCTATCAGACAAAGCACAAATTTATAGCTATTGTAAAGCTTTACTTCATATATGCTGTCACAATCCTGCCACTCCACTATGTTGTGCTGATACTGTACCCTAAAATAATGACTCTTTACAAAATTGGCAGGAATTTTTCCCTGTGAGTCAAAGATCACTGAACTGAAAATTGCAGATCATTAAACATTGGGTTTTAAAAAATTTAAATTGACTGAAAAATTGCTAAGAGTGAACTATCGTTAAATGAGGGATACCTGTATTGGACGTATAAATGGATGAGGTTACTATTTGTGTGTGTTTACATATGCTCAATTGATGAAGTCTTTGTTTGTTCACCTACAGCTGACTTCACCACCAGTTAACACCCAAGCCCTCTGTATCCTCGCCTCAGTTGCTGGTGACACACTTACACGACACCTAAGCAAGATACTTGTGGCCTTGCTTGGTGCCTTGAGTGATACAGCTGGCACTCCAGAATATGATGAGGCACTCAGTCACTGTCAGGGTGTTGTTCTTGCTGTTACTGATGAGGCTGGAGTGACTACAATTGTGGATGAACTCCTTCAGCACTCAAAGTAGGTTATTGGGTGTGATTAGATGGAAAGGAATGGCTTACCTTTTTAATTGCTATAATTCTTAGTGTCTAAAATTTTTAGCTCCTTATGGAGCTTCTGACCATTACCTCATCTCTATAGCCAACTTTTATGTCTTAAAGCTCAACCAATGAAATTTTTAAGTTTACATCAGGAATAGTGATTGTGTAGATTGGAATGATCCTCTGGATTCCTGTTTATCACTTCCTTAGCTTTCCATCTTTCCTGAGAATCCTTTCACTACTGCTGAAGACATCACTGGTATGATCTAGGTTGGGGTGAAGGAAATCTTACCCACTGTGATGTTTCAAAGATGTCAAAACTCCTCTAAACTTTTCAAATACTCTTGTGCCACTACTGTGAATAAAAAGGAAAATTGCATAATCACAAATCCAGTCCTATTGCAACAAATCATGCTAAAGCAGTTATGTTATCCAAATGAATCATGCTTCACAAGAATCATCAAGATTGCTGAACAACCTAAATAGTAGCAAACTATTCTGGTCTGCCTATAATACAATCATCTCAATCTTCAGTAGGTATTTAGCCATTCATCTTCTCAATTGACAAGATAGTTTTGTGATCTTCAATTCTGAAGAGGAGGCCAGTCTACTTTCTCATATTTCTTTTACAATTTGTCTTAAATTTTGACAACATTATTATCCCATCCTTACAAAAACATTAAGATTTTAGGCATCATCCATACCTCAAGTTCTTCAGAGTTTTGGCCAAAACTACTTCACTGAAGCATGAATTCATTTTCAGAGCCAATCCCTACTTCACAGTCATTTATGTAAACCATGTAAGCTACCAGATGGAATACTACAGTCATCTGCGGGTTAGATGTGGTGTTGGGGTACTTTGCCTCATAGGACCAGTATTGAAGAAAAAAAATAATAATAATCTCACCAGAAAATCATCCAGTATTGCACAGTTCTTAGGGATATCTCAACACTTTGTGAAATAGATACTTCTCAAGTCACTTTTCTTGTAAGTTGTACCCATTAGTGCATTCACCACACACCCTCCATGGGCATTTAGGAAGGCCCATGCCTTGTCTTCTGAAATTAAATTTTGCTTAACTTCCTGCCATCCAAAGGTTATTTATACTCCACACTACCACTATGTGGGACTCTCCCACAGGCTCTTTTTCATATTTCATATAACATCAATGTACTCCAAAATAATGCCCTCCTTCAAATATTTTAAATCTTTTGCAAGGGGATTGCTCAGTTAATAGAGTTATCAGTGACACTTATCTAATCTCTGTATGTTGGATCACGGTGCACTAAACTGAACCAAGAACAATGAAATGCTTAATGGTTTCAATGAGAGTCATAAGTCTTTTATTTCTAGTATAAATGTAGCTCATTTTAGAACTATTTGCAGGAAGATGAAAGCTAAAGGAAGATGCTTATCTGTTTAATATTTATATGCATTATGAGCTAAACACAATAAATCCCTACAAACCTAGACTGTAACTAACCAGTATTATGTCCATGCTCTTTTGTGGGAAAAATCAGAAACTTTTGAAATGTCCAGTTAGAAGGAGGTGTGCTATTTTAGTTTTCTATTTGCCCCCCTCTCCCAAGTTTTCAACCTTTTTCTGTTGTAATGCAGGGTGGCCAAACTTAAATTGAATCTTGCCAGGATTATTTGTGCTTAACATTTAGCTTCTAGTATTAAACAGGAGTGACCAAATCAATCTCAGGATTATTATTCATGGAACTAATTGATGCTAGTAAAATTATATGTTCTAAGGATGATACTAGCTTTATTTAATTTTTTAAAAAAACATTTCTTGTGTGAATTTTTGTAGGGGAAGTAACTTGGGTGTAGCTCAAGCAGCTGTTGCTCTATTGCTGGCCTTCTGCTCCAACACACGGGCAGACTACAGTGATTATGTACCCCAACTGCTGCGTGGCCTTATCCACCTTTTCACTCACAAAGACGAAGAAATACTCAAAACTTCCTGGCTTGCATTAAATGCCGTTACTAAGGTGGGTTATAGGTGCTGCACTCTTTATGGTATTTGTGTTAATTTGTGTTATATTAATGAAGATTTTCTAGTAATTTTAGAAATCTTTTTTTATTTTTCATTATTTTAAGAAGTAGACTTGTGTTTTGACTGTACTGTAATAGTTATCTTTGTAATTAAGACCCATCTTCAAAGTTAGAGCATCCGTCTCCTCTTCTTCCTCCTTTATTTTCTTACTTTGTGAAACTAAATTAGTTAATATATTTCTAATATTACTCTTCTTAGATATGTTTAGTGATACTCAGTGGTGAAATTTTACAGAGTTTAGATGCAGCTGATCAACGTTCTCTAGTGGCTGATGTTCGTCAAGCTGTGAAATTTGCTGCTTCTGATTTGAAGGGTGAAGACTTGATGCCTGGTTTCTGTCTACCTAAAGGTACTGATTGAGAGCCTGTGTTTAATGATATTTGTCAAGATTTTATTAATCTCTGCTTGTTCACCTACTTAACTACTTAAATATGTATATAGCATAATTTTAACATCATTCACATAAGTATTCAGCATATTTGTAACATAACAATCATAGCTATGTAATTAGTATAATCTTAACACTTATAATGAGTACTTAATTTGCCATATTTCCATGTTGTCACAATGATAACCGATGCAATGGACACAGTCTACCTGTGTAAACTTAAGTACAGGTTAAACTTACGTGTTGAAAGTCTCAAGAGAAACAGGTTAGGTGTTGACTCTATGATGGGGATAGCTACAGTGGCAATTTTTTCTCATTTTAGGCAATCTAAATTTAAGTTTAACATGTCATTTCTCTCTGGTTCAGTTGATCACTCACCATTCCATTTACCGATACAGGTACATCCATCCCCAAATTTCTTGATACACTCTATTTTAATGTTATTAATGAATTTTTAATAAGTTTAGAGGAAATTTAATCCTCATAATGAAAATAATGTGTATTTTATTTACAGGCATCCAACCAATTTTACCCATCTTCCGTGAGGCTGTGTTGAATGGGGAACCTGAGCTAAAGGAGGCAGCATCCAATGGCCTTACAGAAGTCATTCGCCTCACCAGCTCTGATGCTCTCAAACCCTCAGTTGTACATGTCACTGGACCTCTTATTCGCATCTTAGGTGACAGATTTGCTTGGAATGTGAAGGTGGCTGTTCTAGATACATTGGCTCTCCTGTTGGCCAAGGTGAGAATGAGGGAAGTGAAGAAATATTATCTATATATATATATATATATATATATATATATATATATATATATATATATATATATATATTATATATATATATATATATATATATATATATATATATATATATATATATATATATATATATATATATATATATATATATATATATATATATATATATATATATATATATATATATATATATATATATATATATATATATATATATATATATATATATATATATATATATATATATATATATATATATATATATATATATATATATATATATCATGTAAATCCACAATGAAAACGTGGATAAGATAAATCTTGATAAAATCACACGGAAAATGGAAACAACGAGTACCTTAGCTTTCGTCTTTATTCAAGACATCTTCAGAGGCAACTGGATTACATGGACAGAGAGAGGCTTAAATATACAGGGTGACCTTAAAAACATGAGGTCAGGTCATAATGATGACATCCACTAATCCCCACACCAACACACACACGTAGAGGAGCTTAAGAGAAGGGTGGTGACGTGGAATTGATGTAAACGCTAAATGGATATACATGTTGAATAGATATTTTGCTTGCTAGCTGTAACTGTAAATTTGAAATTGATGCATGACCTATCTTTGGCTGCCATCCATGCATCATTACCAGATATACGGTGTGGAATTTGTCTTGAAAAGAGTATAGTATACAGTTTACTAGAAAGAAGTAAGCATAAATAACTGTCTTCAATCTGCATTGATTGAGTTGAAGTACATCATTCTGTCATCATTCACTCTTCCAGTTTCATACACAATTCTTACACTTGTGTCAGTGTCAAGACACTCTCATAATATACTCTAGTAACTAACACTTACACTTTAACAACTCAGTTGCTTTACTTTTATCTATTAATTACCATACCAGAAGGAGGACTTGGGAATTTTTGCTCTGTTCATTTTATCTGTTTATGGTACATGTAGGTGGGTAGTCTTTGATTACCTCAGGGAGTTCCAATCCTGTCTTGCCAGCTGTCCTTACCTTGTGGGTTGGTGTTAAGAGGACATCCAGCTTTAAAATTTTGCTTCAACATGCTTTATGGCAACCAGGTCACAAGAGCTGTGCTCATCCCCTGGTCTCTGCTGTATTTTCTGGGCTGGTAGCCCTGGATTTTCAGTGGTGAGTGGGAGGCCTCCTGTTCTGGTTTTATCCAACAGCTGCCATCAGATAATCGCAGAGTTGAAAATAGCTGTTAAACATTGATGATGAGAGTTGTAAACACAATAACTTGAACAAATAGCAATGGATTTTAACTAAACATGTTATGTGGATGTATGAGAAGATGATCTTATAAATTTTAATAATTTTTTTCTGTTGTTATTGTCCAGTTGTCTCTCATAATTTTTATATAGCAAGGGATCTGCTCAATTTTCCTGGCTGCTTTTTGTAGTCTATTTTTCCCTTCTATTTTCTGTGATATCCTTTTTCATTCATCATCCACTCCACATTCCAATTCCAACTCATTATTTCCCACATCTTCACCCATTATTCAATTAATTCTCATAACTCCAGCATTGCTGCAGAAGTTATATCAACTGCTCATAATCTTGATGTAGATATTATTTTTAAAAAGTTTATCCATGAGAGCACATCCTACATGTAACATTTTCCTGTTTACTAAGGCTCACTTGGTACCTAAACTCTTCCTTGAAATACTGTGCTCCATTTTCAGCAGTTACTGTCCTACCAATGGTCTTACTGAAATGACAGTAAATCTGCAAATTCATCTACCACTCTTAGTTCCAGCCTACTCAGACAAACATTACACTAAGATAACAGTCACCTACAATATCTTCCTTTGATAAACTTCATCAAAACCAGGTAGCTTCAATAACATAGTTATCATTTTATATAATGACATTATCAGTATATATAGAAACCATTATAAATTTCATTTTGCATCATCATCATGATTTAGTCATCCAGTCTCACTCTCATCATACATTGCCCCATCCATATATTTATTGAACCAAAGTAACATTTCATAACCTTGATATTTTTCATAATTCTTTTATATACCGTCTGCTCCCACTTGCATTATTTTTTGGTGCAAAATTATGATAACATTCAGCAGTCTTCCATGCACATTATGAAGTAAAAATATTCCTAAACTTAAGTATATTCAGTTTGATCACATTTTCTCTCACATATACAGTACAACAGATACTTTCCTCGTATCCAAAACTTAATTACTATGTTATTATTTATCTTTCCATAGACTGGTGTTATGCTGAAACCTTTCCTGCCACAACTGCAGACAACATTTGTTAAAGCAGTGCATGATCCCCATCGAGGTGTTAGATTACGGGCTGGTGAGGCACTGGCTCATCTTATCACAATCCATACTAAACCAGACCCACTTTTTACTGAGCTTCATAATGCAGTAAAGGTTGCTGATGACACCTCCATCAGGTAATTTGTTACCCTAATGTAAGTTATTTTATGAATGACATTACTTGCCAAAATCAAAGTTATGCTGGTCATTAGCAACAGCTTACAATAGCTAGATTTACTAACATCTTAGGATTGTGTACCTGCTTATTAGACAGCCTCTTGATATGTTAGTTTAAGTTCAGGTTTTGTACTAGCAGGTGGGTATTATACAGAGCCAAAGAACCAAATAGTCTTGGAACTGGATAGAATGGGATAAGTAAGTGCAGGAAAATGTGTGGGAAGAGAAAATAAAGTAAAATATAAAAGATATGAAGTATAGATTGTGGTGAAGTGTCAGAGTATGGTGGATTAAGTGAAGCCAAAGGAAACCATGAACAAAAGAAAGGTCTACAGGAAGGTACAGGTTGATAATCCCTTATCCAAAATTCTGAAAACCGAAAACCTCTGAAAACCGAAAGTTTTTTCGTAGAGCATCACATATTTATAATAAAAATACCTGTATGCAAAAATAAAATAATAATTATAATAATAATAATAATAATAACAAAAGTAATAACAACAACATTAATAATAATAATAATAATAATAATAATAATAATAATAATAATAATAATAGAATTATAATGAAGATAATAATACTGTAATAAAATAATGATGATGATGATAATAATAACAAAAATAACAATAACAACATTAATAATAATAATAATAAAATAATAATGAAAATAATAACAATAATAATAGAGAAATACAAAAATGAAAAAAACCTAAAGTAAGAAACACAACCTAGACCTGTGAATAATTATTATTATTATTGTTATTATTATTATTACATTTTCGCCCCCCCCCCCAGGCCCCGATGTGGGTTAGTGACCTGTGCCCGGGTGGGCTAATCCCTGTTTAAAAAAAATAATAATAAATTAACCTAACCATTCTGAAATCCAAAATATTCCAAAATCTGAAACACATCTGGCCCCAAGGATTAAGGATAAGGGGTTGTCAACCCTGCTACTTCCAGGGGGATATGAGATTTACAAAATATTACTTCCTGTACTACCTACCTAATTATTTGTATTACTGTAAACTTTCTTCCTTGCAGTTTCATTTTGTTTTGACAAAACATCTCTGTTTCTCAGGGACACAATGATCCAAGCCTTGAGGTGTGTTGTGAAACCTGCTGGAAATAAGATGAGTGAAGGTGTTAGGCGAGGTTTGGTTACAACACTTGGGGGTCTTCTTACACATGATGATGACTCCACACGCCTCTGTGCTGCTGGGGCCTTGGGTGTTCTTCTACCTTGGTTACCTACTGATGAACTACGCTCAATTCTTACTCATCATGTTTTAGGTAAGGGAAGGTGATAAACAGCAGTATATGATGATAATAATTGGCTGTATTTCATTTCAGAATTAAAAAAAATAAACAAAACTTTCATATTTAATGACAAAGCTTGCCATTGTAACTGCATGCAATTCTATTACTTGATGTCATTGCTCTTACATTAGTATCATTTGTAATTTATATTGTAGAAAATATTATGAATAACTTCCTAAAGCACTGTTACTCTTAGAAGCATTGCAAAGGATTACTTGTGGATTTTTAAAATTTTCTTGTTAATATGTTAGAGGTAATTTATTCAGCAATAAAACTTGTTCCTAATAAAAGATCAGAATTTATGGATGACTTTAGTATACTGTATGTGTGTGGAGTAAGACTATTATCATCATAGACTGAAACTAGTTTACCTAATGCTCATATTTTTCTTGACCAAATTTCAAAAAGCTTTCTTGAATATGGTTGAGACAGTAAAGAATTTTCTGTTGAGTATATACTGTATAGTAAATCCGATCTTAACTGTAGGGTTAGGTTTCAATAGACACCAGAGATTGCAGACATTGTGAATTCTAAATCAAGTCCCAAAATATTATCCTAGAATTCACATCATTTCTCCGGATAATTGCTATTTTCACTCAACGTGTTCTTTTAGAAATACACTGGGAATAAATTGCATTAAAAATATTTCTATAAATTCATCGGGTACAAGGACATGATATATATCCCATGACCCCCTTGAGATGTGTGGAGCACCACCAGCCCCATCTTTTTCTGGGTGTATCAGCTGAATTGTCATGTTTTATTTTAATATGACTGACATGACTCTTCAGTGCACTTTTCTCAAGAAAAGAGAGGAGGTAGGGGTAGAGAGGGGGGGGGGGAAATTGAGAAAAAAGAAAAAGTAACTTATTTTCTTTTCTCCCTCTTGTTGCCCATCTCCCAGAAGAATAAAGAAGAGGGTGTGAGACAGTCTTCCTTTCACTCAAGGAAGGAGTAAAGTAAAAAAAGGGAAAGACCCCTCTTCTCTCTCTCGCTCTCAATTGAATGTTCTGATTAAGTAAAAATGTTGTATTGGTTGGGGATCAAGATTTCTTTCTTCCTTTGATTTTTTGCTTTATTTTGTATGTTATTTAGAATTATTTTTTAAGATTTATAATTTGCTTTTAATATTTATATGTGTATAAAGTACAAAAAGATAAAAAAATCAGATGAAAGGTAATGAAAGATTTAAAAATATACCGGTATGTTTCTGACATGTAGGGAGTGGAGTATAAATATTTATGCATTGAGGGAAACATTTCCAGCCTTCTTCGATTTTAAGGTACCTTTGTGCTAAGTGGTTATTCCTCAGGATTCGGGTAAGAAGGTGTAGTATTTCAAACTTATTTGAATTTTAGATCTTGGTAACACAAGTCAGGGCCCTGAGGCCGAGGGATAAAACTCCAAGATTTGCCTGGAATATGGAGCTGCTCAATTCCAAATCAGTTGTACAGCAGGATTCCAGGATGAATTTACCATTGCAATGAAACTAAATAAGTATTTCATTGTTTTTCAGAGGATAATTCCAATGCAGATTGGACTATTCGCCATGGAAGATCTGCAGCGCTCTTCTCAGCTTTGAAATCTGCACCCACAAAAGTTTTAGAGGTGGCCACTGCAGATCAGATATCTTCAACGCTGCTCTCCTATTTATCTTCTGATCGTTTGGCCCTAGTGGAGAATGCCATGTCTGGTGTTTCCTTCTTCGTTAGTTATCAACTAATCAATGGTGATACTGTGCCTATATCCCTTATTCAAACTTTTGCTAAGGTGAGTTCATGTACTGTACTCTTATAGTTGTGGACTTTCATCAGCATCAATAATGTTTAATGGCCACTTTCCATACTTGTGTGGGTTACCCATGACTGTCTGATGGCAACTCTCCATGCTGTGCAGTCTCTAGCAACTACTCTTGCAAGGTTCTCAACTCTTATATTATTGCTTACAACCTTTCCCTTTGTAATTTTTGACAGGCTACCCCTGGTTCTCCTCCTTCTACATTTAGAACATGTTGCACCTCCCTAAACTTCCTCCAGCTGTAGCTGTTTTTAGGAATCGCTTGTTGGGAGATTTCAATTAGTTTTTGCTCAGTTTACATTCCTCACCATTGCATTATGCGCGGGGTCGTGACGGACATAAACAACAAGGTGAAATATTAATACAAAATTAATCCGAGAAGTTAACAAACTTCCGGTAGTCTATAGGCCTCCCCTTTCTCCTGATACACTCCTGCAGGCATGAAGGAACTGAGTTCTGCCAAGTTGTGGATTATTTGTGGGTCTAAATTATTCCACTCCTCACAAATGGCTGCCTCCAGCTTGGGGACGGTATTTGTGTTCTTGCCCTGTAGACAAAGCTTGATAATGCTCCAATTATTTTCTATCGGGTTAAGGTCAGGCAAATTGCTTGGCCAATCACTTATGAAGTCTACCTGACAGTCAACAAGCCATTGTATTACAGATTTTCCTGTGTGACATGGATTACCATCCTGCATAAACACATTAGCGTGGCATCTTTCAAAAGACCCAGGCATATAATCACAAAGCAGCTCCAAGTACAGTCTCTCCTCAACTTACGACGGGGTTCCATCCCGATGACCAGGTCGTAAGTCAAAAAGGCAAAAATAAGACATAGAAATTCTAAAATGGGTGGCTCTTTTTCTTCTCAGCACCACGAGAACTCACTTTTACGCTTGCCAGCCATTTTAAAGGGAATTACAAACAAAAATTTTGTCAGTCCACAGCGCTATCACTAACGTTGGGACTTGAAAATATGTAATGTGAAAAATATTTTATACGACCATGGCCGTCGTATGTCCAGGTTGTCGTAAGTCGAATATGTCATAAGTCGAGGAGAGACTGTAGTTAAATTGGTTCATCATCACATTCCTAGGTAGCACAACAAGGTCACCAGTTCCAAAGTACGAGAAGCAATCCCACACCATTAGTGACTCAGGATGGTTAACTGTGCTAAAAGTGAACTTGGGGTCAAGCGAATCACTCCCGGGGCGCCTGTACACATTAAAAGTACGACTTCAAGTAAAAGAAAACGTTGCCTCGTCACCCCACAGCACATGCTGCCACTTGGTCATATCCCACTGAGCGTTAGCCTTGGCAAAAGCAACCCTACGCTGCCTCTGGACAAGGGTGAGGAGTGGCTTCTTGCGTGCGCGGTGGCTGCGAAACTGCAGGTCGTCAAGGATGTGGTGGTGAATGGTCCTTACAGAAACATCACCTAGAAGTACATGGTTTTTTCTTTCAATTTCCGTGCTGACAGACGTGGATTAGCATCAAGTTTCCTCTTAAGAACAGTTAACGTGCGTTGGGAAGTTTTCGAGCCTTCCCTGGCCGTCCGCTGTGCACCTGTATTGCCAACCCGCCGTCATCTCAAAATTTTTTAATCCAAATCTGAACTGATCGTTCATTAACACCAACAATTCTTGAAGTTTCCTTTACAGGTTTCTTGTCCTTATGCAGACTAATAATTGACGCTGTCTGTTCTATTGCTAAATCTTCCCTCTTGCCCATTTTGGTAAAAAAAGCAAAGAAACAACGGGCGTTGTGGCAATAAATAGGGGCAATGTCGGGGGGTAAACTCATGAATCTTCGATCACAAAATTTACTCAGGCAACTGGTGAACGTTATAATTGCTGGTTGACTTGTCTCCCTTCGCTGCCAGACTTACAATACCTGCCTCAGCCACAGCTGGCTGGCGTGGAGGGGTGTGAGACACTTCAGCAAAGATCACTTCCCGTTGGCCACCTCTCGCATAATGCAATGGCGAGGAGTGTATTTAGTTTCTTATTTCACTTTTCATGTATGAATAACATCTCAAAAATACAGGTGCTCCCCTACTTACGAACGAGTTATGTTCCTAAGGTTTGGAAGTCCAACTTTACTCCTGTAGATACCAAAATATTTTAAAAAATGAGACGCTAATGGCTGTTTAGTACAGCTATACCCTAAAATACAGCCTTAAAACCTGGCTCCTTCTTCTCTTCTTAGGTAATGCATGTTCTTTCTGGAATTTCCTTCAAAATAATCCGGTCTCATCCACATTTAACACCTGCTGTGGAAGGTAACCCCCCTCCATGATGATGTTTGTTTGTCTGAAAGTTTATAAGTCGAATGTTCTTAAGTAGAGGAGCACTTACATAATATCTCAAGTATTAAGTGGGATAATAGTGCCTCAGATGGTCATGAGGGAAATCATTTTGTACCCAGTATATGTTTATTAGGGGTGTCTTCATTTCTGGATGGCAAATAATTAGGACTTTAAATAATTCACTTCAGGTTGGAAAGCATTACTGTATATCTTATGGTAATGTCAAGTATGCTATGTATTTTTTGTTCATACTGTGCTCTTTGACATGTTATGAGTTGAGATAGAGTTTGGGTAACCCCCTTTAATATGAAATGTTCTTAGCCTTTAAAATCTTCCTTCAAAACATTTTTTTAGACCTTTGTGAAATGTATAGTGCTATATCTTAATATAGCATTGACAGCAAAGATAAGGACTCACATCTTACTAATGAGGGTTATGCAAAATAAAATTGAGTAACCTATTGACAAAGTTCCAGTTCCTCCAACTTTTGGCATCTGTAGAACCCATCACAACATGTGACAGTTGAATGGTTGCTGATTGGCATTTGAATCACACCTGGTGATGTGGGAATGTGGATCAATTGGCAACCAACAAAATATCAGTATTTTGAATTGTAATGGTTGGGAACTCCTGATTCTCTCTATCCCTAATATAGATGTCTTTTTGCTTCCTGACATTTATCAAGTGCAGTAATATCCTTGAAATCTATAAGAGCTAGGAACCTGGTGAATTCCTTTAGGGATGTATTTTGGGATACTATATATATATATATATATATATATATATATATATATATATATATATATATATATATATATATATATATATATATATATATATATATATATATATATATATATATATATATATATATATATATATATATATATATATATATATATATATATATATACTATTTTCTTTCATCAGCTAATCAACCACAGTAGTAATGAAGTGAAACAGGGCATGTGCCGAGCCAGTCAATATGCTGCCGAGTCATTAGCAACATCTAAAGGCTCCCTGTTGCCCACTGAAGTAGCCCGCCCTCTTATACCAATGTTGGTTAATGGCACAAAGGAGAAGAACCAAGTAGTGCGATCATCTGCAGAAATGGCTCTAATTGCTGTGCTCCATTTAAAGGAAGGGGACCAAGGAACACAGGTAATGTTGTTGTTTGTGTACATATAACTTCATAACCACATTCTGAGAAATGTCAGTGTACAAAATAAGTGTTAATACAGTATATTCAAGTTTAACACTGCTACAACAGTATGGATCCAGAATTTACAAAAGTGGGGAGGGAGGTGGTATGTTTACTGCAACAAATTTATAGTTTTGGAAAAGAATGTGTTTTCAAAGAAAGTCAAGGGTCATTCTGGATGCTTAATATCTATTAAGTAAACATGCCATCCATCATTGAGGAGACTTTCCAACATAACTAGGATCAGAATGATGTTGTAATGTAATATTTATCTGAGTGGTAAAGATGAAATATTTTACATCATGCTGAGTTCTCCCACAGCCCTGTGTAGCAAGTTGTGGGAGGACTTTTGCTGGTAACTGTACATAGTAATTTTGTTTTGTAAAGATTTTAGGGAAGCAGCATAAATCAAAGAAGAGAAAGGATTAGTACAAAAGGATCTCATGTTTCGCGACTAATTGGTACCGATTTTAGCGTCGTGAAATTTAAAATCGTGAAATGAGTGACATTGAAATACATGTAAATAAGCCTAATCAGTTCCCCCCTATAATGACCTACAACCCTCCAAGAAAATGATATTACTGTAATGTATTCATTCATATAATATTGTTAATAACAATATTTATATACACTAATACTGTAGAATAACTTACCTTGATGGAATTGGTGAAATGCTTGACTGGGCTGGTTGATGGGTTCCAAGGCAGGGAGGGCTGGTTACTGCTTCTCCCTGCTCCCTCCTCTACACCTCCTCTAGACTCAGCATCTAATCCCTCAAAGTCTTGAGGTAGCTCTTCCACCAGTAAGTCACCCAACACTTCAATATCATCATCGGTGGTGCCATTATCATCTCCTAAAGTGATGTTTGCCAAGGCATTAACAGGCTGGGTCTTGCACAGGTACCAAATAATAAGGGCCTGCTGACGATCATTAACAAGGGACATGTAGAAAGCCTTCTGTTCCTCCATACCCTTCTCAAGGGAAGAGCACATAAGGTTCCTAGAATGAGGCCTGGTATCGTATTCTTCTAACTGTTCACAGACGTGTGCAAGGTTTGTTAGCAACTCAGTCAGCTGGCGTGTTGTAGGTTCACCAGGCTTAATGTCATCCTCTTGTGTTGGTTGCTGTTCTTCCTGTTTTTCATCCTCCTCCAACATTTCTTTAATTGCTGGTTGCTGCTGATGTTGACCAACGATTCTTGCAAATTTTCAACCTGAACATCTGAAAATCCCAGTGCTGGGACTGAGTGCGCTGCCTCCGCTGTGTTTATAAATGTTGCCGCCACGGACTTCCTCTCCCTTCTTCCCTTGGTCTGCTCTGCCTCACATATCTCAGAGTTAGTGAATAAAGGCTTCCATGCATGTAGCACTGTTGCAACATTAATCTTATGCCATGTCTCAACAATTCTCTCCACTGCATTTTTAATATTATATTTCTTTCAAAATTCACAAACTGATAACACTTCGTGGTTGTGGGGTGGTGCTAGGAGTCGGGTCATCTACCATCTCCTCCTCCTCTTCCTGGTTAGCTGGTAAAGCCTAGTCACTGTTAGAGAGTTCTGCCTTGATTTGCTGTAACTCAACTAATGAGTCTGTTGACGAAAGTCTTCAAAGAGTGACGGATAGTAGAACAGTTTAACATTACTGATGAATTCATGGTCAAGTGGCTGCAGAAGCAATGTGGTTAGAGGAAGGAAAATAACTTGTACATCAGGGTGAAGTGCAATTAGAAACTTAAGAGTGCCCAGGAGCATTATCCATCACCAGGATCACTTTGAAGTCAATGTTCTTCCTCCGACAGTACTGTTGGGCGTCAGGAACAAAGTGCTTGTCAAACCAATCGGTGCATAAAGACTTAACCCAAGTTTTCTTATTATACGTCCAATAAACATTGAGCTGCGACATATTGGCATGACGGTAGGCTCTGGAACGGGCAGCACAGTTAACCGCCAGGGGTTTCATCAAGAAATCTCCACTTGCATTATCTGTGAATAAACTGTAATCCTGTCCTTTTAAGTCTTTACTCCCCTTACCTGTTTTTCATCCTTGGCAATGAAAGTGGTCTTAGGTGAGTGCTTCCAGAAAATGCCAGTTTTGTCATAATTGAAGATTGGTCTCAGCAATAACCACCCTCTTTCACAAGAGCTTGAAAGACAAGTACAGTAGATATTTTTCTGCTGCTATGACATCAGCCGATGCACTCTCCCCGTGGTAATGGGCAAACTTGACTTCATAACACTTCTTAAGGCAGCCAACCAACCAACAGAAGCATTGAACGGTGATGGAGAGTCAACACGTTTCTTCTGTGCAACAGCAGCGTAATAAACATGTGCTTGATGCCTTATCTGTGGCCTAGACAGGTCGCCTTGCTCACGGTTTCTTCTTTCGACCCACTTGTGAAGGTAATGTTTTGTGATAACAAGCAGTAGGTGTCGTTGTGAAGTATTGGAGAATGTCCTGTTACTAGAAAATCTTGAGAATACATTCACAGCAGCAGTTAAGGCTTCCTTGTTCTTCTTAAGGGAACGTATGGTTGATTCGGGACAGTTGAACCTTCGCATGATTTCACAGGTACGAGCACCACTTGATCATTTCAAACATCTCTCGTTTCATTTCAAGGGTGTATTTCCTCTTCTAGACCCCCTTACGGTAGTCACACTTGGCTTGGGGGGCTTTACTTGTTGACCTTCTCAATGGCCATCATTACCACCAGAACCGCTCCCGACATTTACATTACGCACCTCACTCATTGTTAATACACAAGAGTCGCTAATATACAATAATTGCTAATACACAAGAATTGTTATTACACAGGAATTGTTAATACACAAGAATTGTTAATAGTTAAACAAGAATCTCACGAACATAAGCACAATGGGTGATATAATCCAAGGTCACTGCACCGCTCGCTCATTCAAACTAACTGCTGTTAAGCCGTAAACAAAAAACACTCGGCGGGTCGACGGATAACAAAAGACCAGAACAATGCGCGCTGTTCACTCAACAATGACTCGCGAAACTGGTAATGAAAATCACTATTCTTGAGAGGCTGGAAATTTAAAAAATGTCGCGAATCTAAAACTCGCGAAACTTGAGATCCTACTGTATTCATTTGTGTAAGGGCAGCATCCATAACATGTAGGATGTGTAGAGGATGAATACTGCCTTAAAAACTTTAATGAATATGAAGATTAATTTGGAAGTGTGGCACCAAGAAATCTACAACAAAAAATAGTTTATTTTCTGAATGAATTTGAATGTTCCCAAGAAATTAAGAAATCAAAAGTCACAATAACAGTTGTACATCAAAATTAAAGGGATTTTTTAATCTTTTAAGGATAATAAATGGTTAAAAAATAGGTTAAATACATACTGCAGTGTTGTATAGACAGTTGCTTAAATCTGAAGTACTGTATGTAAATCCTGCTCTTAAGTTCATTTAATTATTATTTCTGCAATGAAATTTCAGGTAATGCTGGGTGCACTAGAAGGAGGTGGGAGAGATTCTCTAAATGAGGTGATCAATAAGTCTCTGCGCCGTGCCACATACATACCAGTGACTCCTGCAGAAATAGACCCAACTCTTCTTACTTGATTCATCAGCTGCTCCTGGTATAGAGAGGTTTCTGCTGGTGCTTATTACAACTTCACCAGAGACAAACAGTTGTATTCAGGAGATGCATTCATGTTGGTTAACTCACTGGATGCACACATCCTTGTTGGTGCTCTGAACTCTGGTTCTGGAATTCTACAAAGGTTCCACGCCATGTTTTTTCTCCTTCGTCCATTTTTGTTGTTTCTTCCGAAAAGATTGGGGGTCAGTAATCCTAACACATAAAAAAAGACCAACTAGTTTGATACTGTATCTTCACCTGCATCATAAAAATTATAATAATACAGTAATAATAATAGTTTGGGGACCCATGATTTCTGGTGAGCATCAGTTATGATGGTGCTTCAGTAGTGTTTTGACTAACTTGGTCTTTATTCTGAATATAACTATGGACTGGATTTAGGTATATTTATTTGGAACAAAAATATTTTTGTGATGTTTACAGCACATTGCCAAGAATCTAACCAAACATAGGTTTTGTGTGTGTATGTGTGTGCCAAGGAATACTGTTTGACACAACTCTTAATGCAGCCGTATTTTATTTTCTCAGCCTAATATCGTAATACGTTCATTTAAGGGCACATTTAGGTAAATATGTAGTTTATATAGCACACATTGATATATATATATATTTGCTTGATTTGCCTCCCCAGTCTTTAATTCTGTAAAAAGAGTCCATCATGCAGTAATCGCTAGCCATTTCTCTCAAACAAAAGAGTTTAATTCAATTCATGAGTGAAGTCAGACCTTGTTTATGTGCCCAGTTGGTCCTGAGTTAAGATTTTGGTCAAGAAATATGATGTGTACCTTGAGCGTCATCAACACAGAAGAAAGTTAAATTCACTTAGTAAGCGCTATATTTTCCAAGTAATTCTTAAGGAGGGTGAGTGCACGAGGGTATACTGCACAAGAAACCATGGAAGTGAAAAAAAAATTGTTGTTTTACTTGTCTTACCATCATTTATTTTGTATCATTGTTGTTGGATTGTAACTGATTAATATTGATGCAGATTAGCAGTACATCATTAATCTCTCTCTTTCAGTCTCACAATTTTCTTCATTCTCAATTTTCTTCTTTCTCTCCTCTTTAACTAGAGAAAAGATGGTTGAGGCCAAATTTTGACTATCAAGCTATTATAATTTTATGCTATTTGGCATGAGGAATTTTCAAGGACTTTAATCTGCATTATAAGGTTAGCTGGTGACCTGATCGAAGAAAGGTGGTCCGAAATGTCAAGTTATTATGAGCTAAATCCGTGATGATCAGTAAGGCCGCAGAACTAGTAAGTGTGCGTCTTTTTCCTTTGGAGTTTAATTAATATTACTCTTATATCCTCTCAGTCTTTAAATACTGTATACCAAGGCTCGAAATCAGGGGTCATTAACTGCTAAGGCTTGGCCCAAAATCGGTTAATAAAAATGTTGATTGTTAGTATGGTCATGATATAGGTAAGTTAGTATAATTTCATTTGAGTTCATTGTATTTTACTTGAACATCCTTTTAGACTTACAGTAGTATTGACACTTGTATCCCATTTCTTGGTCCAGGTCACACATGTAAGATTTTTCCCAGTCTTAAACTTTTTTTATTATTATTATTTAGAACCACATACTAGTGATATTTTAAGTATAAGACAAGTAAAATAACAGTTTCCCCTCCCCATAAAGGGTTTGAAGGAAAAATAAATAAAAAATACTTTTCCTTGTTTTATATCAGGTAAAAGATGTTTCTTAGGAAAAGTAAAAAAAAAAAAAAAAGAATTCTTGAGTTAGTCTTTCATTATCCTAAGCTGTGTATGTGTTTGTTTTTTGTGTTCATATGGGGCCTTGGCTACACTAGATGGTTTTGTGCACTTCTATGTCATTTATGTGTACAAGAGAAGTGCACATAACCGAAGGCCTGTGTAATGTAATTGAATATCTGTAACACCTCACTTGATACCTCAAATTTAACCACCAACATTAATCAGCATATCTGGAATCCCTGTATTCCCCGACTACTGTTACCGGAAATGTGACTGATTAATTAGAGCAGGCATGGGCAACCGCCAGTGCAAACCAAGTCTTAGTGCAGCCCGCAGAGTGATTGAGGAAATCCATTTAACGTGTCTAGCTTTTGGTGAGTAAAGCAATATTTATATAAAGAATAATCTACACACACACAATTCATTACTGCTTCATCACCTAAGAATAAGTAACTACAAAAATGTAACAATGAAACAAGTATAAATTGTCAACAATATAAGCATTTTAACTTGTGTGAGTTTACATACCAAGTTCAGTGCGGTCTGTTTGATGAATCAGCTGCTATGTGGTAGTGGGTCACTTGGGAATTAACTAAGGTTGGGTAAGTCCAAGTGGGATCATAGGCAGTGGTCATACAGGTCAAAGGTAAAGGTCTCTTCCTTGTTGACAGACTGTCTGTCTCCATGGTACCTCATCCTTCATGCATGGCTGTCTGTTCTTTCTATTTATTCTTTACATTATTCTGGTGGGTGTCTCATAAATAAGACTGTTTCACTCATCTTCTGTTAAATACCAAGAAACATTAACATATTACTTAAAAAATAATAATGATGGATTTGTTTCACAAATGGGAAAAAAACTGTGATTGTAAACTGAAAATATCATAAGGTGGATGTAGCGATAGACTGTTTAGCTGTCTGTGGTAATACAATATATTTTGGTGAGTATGCCCGCAGAAAAATACCTAATCGTAATACAGCCCATGACAGGAAAGGTTGCCCATGCCTGAATTAGAGGTTCAAGAGTTGCCGATTGTCTCGTGACTTGCTAGATACTTGTGTTGGCTGACCTATCATGTGCCATGCACTGGGTACAGAGCAAAGGTTTGAGCGATCTACTTGTGAGGAGTGTGCAAGTACCCGTGGAGTAATTCTTGTGGGGCGGTTACGGGTTCAATAAAAAAAAAACAGGTTCAGGGCAGTGTGGGTAATGGTGTCACATCAGTTGAGGTCATATGCTCCGGAACTAGACCTGGTTTTGTCATGAACCAAGTACTGTAACAGTTAAATCTGATAGACAGCTTTATATGGTGACTGATGCCAACTGGGGATAGGTGTTCCAGATTTGCCTCCATACCCTCCTCATAAGTTATTATGATGAGGTCCAGCGGTTTAGGTGTTTCCTACCCTCTGGAGTGAGTCGGATTTTTAACATGTTGGTATAGGATATTGTCTTTCAAGAGTTTCTACATAAAGAATGGCTGGATTATTTAGGTCGTTTAGCATGTATTCATTTCTCTAGTCCATGTCGCCATAATTAAAGTCCCCCATGACAAGGAGGTGGCTAGGGTTTAGTGCCATTCCAATTTCAATTAAGGCTCTCAAGTTCCTCTGGTTCAATGCGCTACAGTTTTGGGATCTGTAGATATGTCCTACAATGAGTTAGTCTCTTCCCTTCAGTTTAATTTTGCACCACTTTGATTCTTCGAAAACATCCTCTTTCCACATCCTCACCTGGTTCGTTCTAAGATCTTGCCTAGCATAGATAACCACACCCTTCTTGCAAGTTTCTTGGGAAAGGTTCATAAATGAGTCATACCCATCTATATTGAACTCACATTTCTCTGGTTCGATTCTCCTGTTTTTGTACAATAGTTCTACAAGACCAACTATACTTTGGTTGATGTACCATCAGTAGTGTTTCAAACTCCACTCTCTTGTCAAAGAATGTCAGTATTAGCAATAACACATGTACAGTAGTGCCTGGTATGCGAGGAAGGCAAATAAAAAAATGACTGCTCGTCTCTCATACACTCGTTATATAACCATGATGCCACATCAAGAACTTACGTACATTTTCATTTACAACATCAAGCAGTCTTGGAAAGAGGTTACACAGCTGCAAGAACAACATGTGGAGGAAAGTGTGGCTTAAATGAGTGAACGAATTTGGTGGAATCACCCCGACATCCCCAGCATCTCCAAGGAGGCCGGCTTTGAGGAGGTTGCCGAAGGGAATGTGGCTAAGGTCTTTGAGAGCCACTCTGAGGAGCTCAGTACTGAGGACCTACTGCTCCAAAAACAGCAGCAGGCAGTGGAGAAGTCAGTCAGTGAGGAAAACCCTGCACCCATGATTCTGACTGAAGGTGTTGAGCACTGCCATTGATGGTGTGAGCTCTGCCATGGATTGCTGGCTAAGTGACCACAACTTCAACAAGAGTTTGTGTCCGAGGACAATTTTGGAGAAGGTCATGCTTTGCTACAGGGAGATGTACCTGGAGAAGAAGGCATGCTAAACAACAATTACCTCCTTTTTCAAGCCCCTGTCACAGTCACAACCTCTGACTCCTTGGGTCACCAGCCATGCAGAGCCCTCTTCATCTTGACACCTCCAGTCCCACCCAATAACTTCACCTTCTTTAAGGCCAGGCCGAAGCCTACACCTCCAGTCCCCACTTTGTCTCCCGACTCCCCAGATTACCCAGAGGCTGTGTGGGAATGAGAGTGTCATCTCCACTCCACCTTCAAGAGTCCTCTTAGCCTCAAAGGAGACATGTAATGATGACCAGCCTTGTTCATAATAATGTGGTGAGTATTGTTTAATTATGTTGTAGGTATTTTATTTTCTTTGATATATGTGGCAAGGAACTTATCCCATTGAACCCATGCTATAATGATCTTGATTTACAATATTTCGACCTGCTATGGATTTTTCATAAACATAACCACATTGTAAATAGTGGGATACCTGTACTGTATATAAAGATTCCTTTATATGAGGGTTATTGTGCAAGATTTTTATTTTGCCTATTTATCTGGTCCATCCACGTTTATCTTAGATTCACATTCAAAGTCTTTACTTTATCCCTTTGTATACTGGGCCCCTCTTGAGCTGAATAAAATCATCTGGCATTAGCAAAACAAAATATTCAAAGTGGCATCCCCATAGTGAAGGGGTTGGTGGAAATAGTCTACTAACTGGAAGGTAAATTGTCTAATATCTTTTTAATATTCAATAAATTGCAATGAACATTACCCAGAATTGATTTACTAATGCTCAAAAAAAAATGTACAAATGGGCAACATCAAGCTGAAATGGATTGAGGTAAGTTGGGTCTTTGGGATGACAGGTTATCTAATCCGGTAAAAAAAAATGATAGGTTATGTTATGTTTCTTTACCCCCTTAATTCATTGAGGTAAACTGTATAAATATCTTGTTCTTCTGCAGCTTCTGTCAGTATCCTATCTCCAGAAAGACCTTACATTCCTAGAAAAGGTTCATCACAGCAGCTAATATGATTCCTGAACTATGTTATCTCAATTATCCAAGTGACAATCCTCTAGACAAGGCAAAATAGGGCAGATCTCATTGAAACATTTGTGTGAAGCGGACAGTGTTAGATGCGCAAATTGAGATTTTAAGTGTACCTTTCATTGCTTTCTCTGAGTCAAGGCTCTACCATCTATAGGAGTTTTCCTCGCTTTGTTACAAATCCTGATGTGCTACAGTCATTCTCGAGTATTTGTGATAATATAGGGTAGAAGGGCCAGGGAAAGGCAGAGGCTGGGATGGATGAAAGAAATTAAAAACTGGGTCCCCAGCGAGATAAAACACCTTAGAGGATTGGTAAAAACAGCCCAAGAATGTTTGAGTGGAGGACTGTGGTCACCAACCCTCAGATATGAGGGCGGTACTCTTGATTGACTGAGGACCTTCAAGGTGTACGATATCCAGTGTACAGGTGATAAAGACCTTTAAATCCCACGACAACCCCGTACCTACCTGTACTTTTACTTTTATCTTCTTTGCCACTGATTGGCTCATTAGCCACTTGGGCAGTTGTTCACATCTTTGATACGCACTGTTGGCAAATCCTGGGCATGCACTGGCTTCTGAATATATCGGAACGTGCTCCAGTGTTATTATTATTATTATTATTATTATCATCATCATCATCATCTTTTCGCCCCCTAGGCTTCGGTGTGGGTCAGTGACCTGTGCCCAGGTGGGCTAATCCCCGTGAAAAAAAAAATAAAAAAATAAATAAATATATATATATATATATATATATATATATATATATATATATATATATATATATATATATATATATATATATATATATATATATATATATATATATTTCATGTAGATCCACAATGAAAACGTGGATAAGATAAAGGGAAACAACGGAGCACCTTAGCTTTCGTCTTTATTCAAGACATCTTCAGAGGCAACTTCCCCGCGTAGGTGGTCTGGGCTGTGAGGGTCGTCCAGGAGCTTGTCACAAACCTTCTTCCCTAGGCGATGGAACCTGACGTTGAGGGCCTCTGTTTTATTTCTTTGGTGGATGGTTTTCACTGTCTCCTGGTAGGGTGGCGCATATACAGGGTAGACACCTTTACCAAAGACTGCCTCTACCCTCAAAGGAGGAAGAAAGGGGAGGGAGGAGCGTCATCCTGGTGTTGTTGTGGACGTCAGCCCGAGGGTGATAACGGATACACTGGGAGTAAATGGAGGAGGGGGGGGGTAACTTAAGGAATCCGTCTCTTGTTTCCGGGTTTGTGTTTGTGACAAACAGTTTGTCCACACAATTTACTGTAAGTAAACTATAAACGAGGACTGAAATGCTCTTGGAAAATATCCAAGAGCATTTCACTTTCACTGTTTAAACATCTTCTGTTCGGTGAAAACGAAGTTTAAGGTGCTTCATGAAAGCATTTTCCCTAATCGCGTCTAACCTGGATTGACCTGTGCTGATAACGGGGTCATGGGTGAAAGTAGCCGCGGTGGAGGAATATAAGGGCCTGCTGAGGACATCCTGGGTCAGTGATCGTTACCTAGAACTGCAGGTCACACCTTTTGCAGGTAAGGAATGGGAGTACAAGTACCTTTGTTCTTTTCATATGAAAACACATTCGTAAGAAGCTGCTAATGTTGTCTCTTATATTGTGTAAAAGTTATCACGGTGCACTATGTAATCGAGTGAGGTTAAGCATTACTAAACTAGTGATAGGAATTACTTGTTATGTATGGTAGACATTACTTGGCTAGGTGTGGTATACATTCTTCATGTTTAATGAAACACTTGCACTATCATTGTAGCACTGGTACCACACGTCTGTACTAATATTACACGTTTACTACAAAAAATTCGGATCTAAATACGTAACCTTATCTCACCAGTCTAACCTCATATGTAGGGTGAACTTAATTGTGTTTAACTATCACTACCTAACTCATTAACCAACCGGAACTATAGGTTCAATTAAGCAGCCTTACATTATCAATTAAACTTCACAGCATGACTTTACTTAATACAACGTAGTTTAATATAGTGTGAACTATTGTAACTAAATTAAGTATCCACTATTATGTCCGTTAGGCTCAAAGATAAAAAAAAAATACCACACTGCGTTGAGGTTGTTTGGAAAATAACCAGAAGGCAAAAATTTCATTATAGGTTAGGTTAGAATAGGTTTGCTTTTACTTTTACTTTTATCCTCTTCATCACTGATCGGCTCGTTAGCCGCCCGGGCGATCGGTCACGTCTCAGTTACGCACTGTTGGCAAGTACTGGTCATGCACCGGCTCCTGAATGTACCTGAACCCGCTCCAGTGTTGGTCAAGTCTTGTCTAGAAAGAGCTCACACTCGGTGCCGTCACAACACTTTCTGGTAGATTGTTCCAAGAGTTCACAACTCTCACTACGAAAAAGTTTGCCCTCACAGTTTTCTGGACTTGCGGCTTCTTCAATCTTGAGCTGTGACCCCTTGTGGGGCGAACGTCCGCCAGCTCCAAGTAAGGACTCGACTGAGTAGTGCCCCTTGAGATGCTTATACACCTCAACTAGGTCACCCCTTGCCCGTCTGTAGTATAAGCTAGGCAAGTTCAGGTGCTCAAATCCCTTAGGGTAGTTAGGGTGCCGAAGTGCAGGTACCAGTCTGGTGACCCTCCTTTGAACATTTTCAACCAACTGACAGTCCCTAGCATATCTCGGGGACCTGATGGGGTGACAGTACTCCAGATGAGGAAGCACTTCACTCTTGAAGATCGTTACGAGGGACGGACCGTCTAGACATCTGAACGACCTTCTTAAAAGACGCAATAATTTATTTGCCTGATTTACCTTCTTCTCGCAATGGCCCGAAAACTTCAGCTCATTGTCAACATACACACCTAGGTCCTCACATTCAGTCTCAAATAGTGCAGTTTCTTCATCCCGTTGGGACATATGATACGCCTCCTTACCGTTAGTACGCCCCAGGTGCATCCTTTGTTTACGTTAGTTTGGACTGAGTTAGATTAGGTTTGACTAGATTAGTTTAAGTTTGGTTAAAATAGGTTAAGTTCAATTGGGTTTGGTTTGGTTTAGATTGGGTATAGTTTGGTTTAGTTAGATTAGGTTTGGTCTCATTAGGTTAGGTTAGGTTACATTAAGCATGGGTAAAGCCCAAAATGCAATTTCACCTAGTTAGTTTGAAAACGTCCACAAAGCGTTGTGGTCGTTCTCCGCTTTTCTTTTCTTTTTCGATCTTTGAGCCTCACATTTCGATATAATTACTGTATATGAAACTGGGTTCACGATATGAATACAATACTAATGAATGGCCTAATGAAAAAAAAATATGCACACCCTTTCAGGTGTGAGTTGGCGCTTCATGATGGACTGCTAATGATGTTTCTGCCTTAGACATTAGTGACTATTAATGTATTAGGTTTCGTGTGATCAAGATCGGCCACAGCTTGTGACATAACACGTCACCACACATTTTATGGCCATTGTTTACGCTAACATTTTTTTCGCACTTAGGCTCATGTATAATTTTCAATTTAATACATATAAAGAAATGAAGGTCCGAACCCTAAAACTTGGTAATTACTGTAACTTGGCTCATGTCAGTCAACTTCATTAAGTTCAAAGTATTTTCATATTTCTGTTCTAGATGAATATTAGATTTCAAAATTAATTTAATCTCCTGACCACGTGACTGTCTTCTAGTCCTTATGGCTTGGTTTGGTTAGTGCTTATTACGACTGGAGCCTGTTGGACCAATTACCTCCTTGACCTGGTTTTCGTTGTTGTTTAGTAGACCTTCCCGCTCAGTGTTTTGAACAGATTGAACCCTCCTCATGATTACACGATGATGGGGCCTCGCTGACGAAAAGAGAAATAGAAGGAAAAATAGTGAAATATTAAAGGGGAAGGAGAGATAGGCGGGCGTGAAAGTGACGAGTGAAGAGTTATGAAATGAGAGGTATAGAAATGTAATAAACTAGACCAGTAGAAAAGATGTGAAGAGTGAGATAAATGGTTGTGTAGATTGAGATACAGTATAGGTCAGGGGCGGATCCAGGAATATCAAAAGGAGGACCCAAGAAGTTGTGGGTGGGGGGAACATGGCGAGCCCAGCTGGTTTTTTTTGGAGTGGCGCTGTAAGCCCCCCCCCCCCCTTCCGAAAATATGTAAAACTGGCCAATATCATGGGCATTTTGAGGCCAGTTTGAAGCCATGCGCACTTGCTATTAGGAAATATTCTGAGGTTAGTAGTAATTACTTTTTGCTATACAAAGACGCCTGAGTGCAGTAGTACATTAAAGAAAAAGTATTGGAATTTTCTGGTGAAAATGGGAGATCTGGACCCCCAGGGCCCCCTCCCACCCTGGATCCGCTCCTGTGTGGGTGAGGGAACATAGCGAGCACAGCAAGCCCACCCAGCTAGGGATATATATATATATATATATATATATATATATATATATATATATATATATATATATATATATGGGGGTTTTTTGGGGGGGCGCTGTAAGCCCTCCAGAATACTTTTGAAAGCTGACCAATATCAGGGGCATTTTGAAGCCATTTTGAAGGCATGTTCACTTGATATTAGGAGACATTATGAGATCAATAGTAATTACTCTTTACTATAACAAAACGTCTGAGTATTGGAATTTCTGATGAAAAGGAGAGTCCAGACCCCCCCCCCCTGGACCCGCCCTTGTAGGTAGAGAAAAATATATGGCTAGAAGGCTTTGAAGCTGGGTAAAAAGATAACCAGACAGTGTAGAATTCTAGCAGAGAAATAAATCTAAAAAAAAAGGTACACTGAGAGTGTGTATAGGCGGAGATTGATGAATGTGGAAGCAGGAAGAAAAAATCAGGAGATATTGCGCAAAAGAAGGCACTGATAAAGTAACCTATTGTTGTTGACGGCAGTGGAGTGTTGCTACACATGTTAACTGATATAGATTTCAACATTTTGTGCTTTCCACACTCTTAGTTGAACCGCATATTTGTATTACAATCTAGGTAATCTTTAATTGCTTGTTTGATTCTGCCCAAGAGCGCACATGCAAATACAAACCAGAGTAAACAAAATATGCATTACCATATGTACCTAGTTACCTACTCGAATCCACGTGTTTGTGTGTATATAATGCCTGTACTATGAAATAAATTATTTTTTCAAATGCCCCTTTCTTGCTGAATGTTGTATCCTACTGTATTTGTCATCTCAATGATTAATAATTTGTGGGATCAAGCTGTACCTGTATTCATAATTTATTTGTTAATTCTTTCCTTCTTCCTTACAGGATGTCTTCGTCCTTGATGGTAGTGGTGCTGGTGTGTGTGAGCGTGACTCTAGGCGTTCATGGTACTGAAATCCACTTCCCAGGAGGAAAGCTACTGTCGTCTCTGGGGGTGGAGATAGGTGGAACAAGACAGGGGAGCGTGTGTCTTCCCAGCACCCACTTTATCACTCTTACCTCCACCAGAGTCCTCCCATCCACCCTTTATGGCACCTCCATCCTCAACATCCCTACCACCATCATCCAGGTGCTACACCTCATCCCAAGCTCACTGTACACAACATACTGTACACACACTTGCATAAAACCTTTATTGCTACTTACTTGTACAAAGTTACATTTTGGGAACTAAAGGGTTATACACAAATATACCCACCCCTTATATATTTACTCGCATACATATGTAAACGAAAACACATACAATGCACACACGTTCTATTTTCGCCCCTAAAGGTATCTATACGGAGGTGTTGTCAAGATTCTTTGTCCGTTGTGTCATATTATGTCACAAAATCGTAACGATACATTTTGGAGCGAGTTACACATACGTGCTATGTACAGCTCCTTTCAGTTTTAATAGTGCGCTTACAGGGGCTCGTCATATAAACACTCCATAAATAATTACATTGAGATATTTGTTTTAAAGTTGTTTTACTCTGATTCCACAGTATATTTACTATTGCGAGTTTCCTTCCGTCGAATGCAAAACACAGGGCTTCCAGCCTGCCACACTGCACAAAACCTGATGAGCCCCTGTATACGTGCTAGTGAAGGGGACTGTACATACGTATGTTCAAACACTAATTCAAAGTTTACATATATTGTAACGCGATGCGATACATAGTAACGGTGATGCATTACAGCAAGAGTGGTGCATTACAGGTGATGTATTACAGTAGCACTGTAGCAGTGATGTGCAATAGTAGATATTTTTTCAGTGAAAGTGATGAGATAGTGCAACACAACAGTAAATAACACTAGTTTCTGTTTTTGTGTTACAGGACGTGACTCAATGGCAAGTTAAGTCGTCCACTGTGCTGGTAACGCAGACCGTCACATCCTACCCGACACCACACCTCATCACCACAACGCAGGTATTCTATTGGTTCCCGCCCGCTCTTTCTGGCCACAATGGGTTTTCTTCACTTATGTTTATGAATTCTCTTAATTCTGCTCCTTATATTTCATACTGGTTCTATAAGGTACCGGACTTTTTATCACTTGTACTCCTACATAATTTCTCTACTTGTTCTACGAGATTTCTCATTGGTTCTATCTCATTTTACTGGTTTTCTTCCTCACTGCTTCTATTGGTTCTTTCTCACACTGATTCTTCCCTCAATTAGTTATAATGTTTGTTACTGTAATGCTACTATTGGTTCTCACCTTCACTGGTTCTACTTGATCTTTTCCTCACTGGTTCTACTAGTTTTCTTTTTGTTCTTTTACGTTAAAGTGGGAAAAGGGATGTAAGGCATGCCGGCATGCTGAGGCTCAAGGCACACCCAAACTTGAAGGGTAGAGAAGTCACGACAGATAGTTGTGGGGGGAAAGGTTGGAAAATAAATTCAATGAAATAAATAGAGGGGGACGACGCCCCTTGTTTTACATATTACAGTTTGTTGGCTAACCTAGGATTTGGGATGAGGTTGCACTTAAGGCTACTTTGGTTGGCAATGACAAGTTGGATTTTACAAATTACACGCTTATGAAAGTCCTACTATTGTATTACGTTATGGACTCACAAGATTGTGACTTGTTAAATATGATCTTATATCATCTGAGTTTTAATTTAAGGTGAATCGTGGCACTTGGCCACTGGCTGACACTTGTTTTGAAAGTTCTGGTCTTCCCAAGCGTGACGAGTGGGATGTGTGGGCACTCCAACTTTGGCCTCACCAACGCCTTGCACAAGTGGATTTGTATCTTCTCAGGCAACAGTTTAAAATTTGTAATTTGGCGGTGGCGACTTTGTCTTTCTTTAGTTGGTCCCTGATGTGGGACGTGATGCCCGTCCGAGAGATGGTGAGGCCTAGCAACCTGCCTTGTTTAGAGTACCAATCTGTTCATCGTCAATCATCAATGGGGCCGGCTTGAATTTAGCTATAGTTATAGTTATGATCTCAAATTTTGTTTTGTTTGTTTTATCTTCCTTTTCTTTTCATACTCTAAGATATCCTCTATTGCCCAAGCAGTGAGTCTGAGTCACTTGATCCCTTTCCTGAAGGCGGCAGAGTCGAGGTAGTTGTTGGCTGCTTCCCACACCAAGGTGGCCCAGCTTTGTTCATGTAGACTTTTGCTCTTGTGCTGGATGTCCGTCTGTAGCTCTCGGTACAGGTCCCTCAGCTCTTGTGTCCATCTGTGGATACTGGCTAGCTGTTTCTTGTGATTACCTACTTCAGCCGTGTGAGGGTGGGGAATGGTCCTGTGGGTGGTGTATCATTGCTCGACCTTGTCGTCGATGTCATTGCAGCTGTCCTCTTTCAGGTTCCTCCCCTTCTTGAGACTGAGAGATTCCTTGAAGGAGTCCCAGTCTGCCCATTTGAAGTTTTACCTGACTTTGGTGGAGCGCATAATAGGATTGAATGAGAATGTCATGGTGACTGGCAGGTGGTCGCTGGTACGGATGGGTCCAGCTGTTATGTGCCTGTTCTGGAAGACCTCTTTGTTAGAGAGGATTATATCGGGTGTTGTGGCACTGGCACGTCTGATCAGTGTCTAGAAATCTGGCTCAAGGTGTTGTAGTTTTCCCCTGCTGCACCAACGTTGTTCTCATTACCTTGTCTGAGTATGACGTGGCGCCCATTTAAGTCCCCTATGATGTATGTTAGTTTTTTATGGCGCAGTAGCTGGTTGAGGTCTTGTTCGGGTAAGTAAGGACATCTGGGAGGTAGGTACATCATGCATATGATGATGGGTCCTCTTGTGGTCTCCACCTGCACTCCTAGAATGGAGTCCTCGAAGTCCAGCAACACACTGCGACTCAACCGCGACCAAACGGCTGCACCGACACCATCACTCAGTTCACCTGTCTTGTTCCTCTGGTATAGTATTGCCAAAAATCTTCAGCTTACTTTCGTCCTTTATGCCAGTACTGTTTAGCATGATAATGTCTGGGTCTAATTGATAGTATAGGTTAGACAGTTCATTGCATTTTTTAAGGGACCAGTGTAGGACATTATGTTGTACAGTTTTCATCCTGCTAACAACTGCCATTTCAGAGAGTTTAGCTTGGGGTGTCGCTTGAAGTGCATGCTCGGTTTCTGTCATTTTAAGGGGACTGGAACTTTTTAGCAGAACCTTCGAACATCTGCTTGCCAGCTAATGACAGGCCCTCAAACTTCCTGTCAGCCCCTCTTCCTTTGAATCTACTAGTTCTCTGCCTCTGATTCTACCAGTTTTCTCCCTCATGGGTTGTACTAGTTTGTTCTCTCCCTCTCTCCTTCAACTGTTCTTTTACTGGTTCATTCACTCTGGTTCCTTAGAAAAATTTGAATAGGTTTAACATTTGCTTTTTTTTAACAGTATAAACAAAACTAACCATTCAAAGCAGCTACATATGCTTAGTTAAGGAATATAAATAAGTTTTTTCAGTCTTCTGTACTGAGACCACATCTCCTTCGGTGCCTTCCTCAGAAGCTGACAGGCACCAGGTATGTCACACAGATGCAGTTCCAGACAGAAACAAAATACATAACGAAAACAGAGTCGAAGACATATACGGACACAGCAGTTGTCACGGACTATGCTACCAGGACCCGCCCAGTCACGTCTCTATACACCGTCACTGCCACCCTCACATCCACCCATCTCCAGAGAGACACTTTCGTAGTTACCGCCACCAAGTATCAGTGAGTTTTCCATCTTCAATCATCCCAAATTTTATCAGAAGTAAATTCCCAATTATTTTTCTCCAATTTTGCCTTAGGACATTGCTGGCTTTTGCCACTGTATTACTGTATCTTAATGGTAAAATTCTTACTACAAACTCACTCAGATTTTATAGACAACAAGTCTACCTTGGTTTTGGTCCCACTTTAATGTCACAAAATTAATACAGTTTCTCATTTATAACAATCGGAGCAACTCAAAGATGGATTATTTACAGTAAATACTGTTCAAAACAGATATGGATGCATATCCAGGCTAATGAGCTTTGATTAATCATAAATTTTTACACCATCAGCTGAATCTATTTCAATCATCTGGATTTCCTCATGCAGATATGTGACCCAGACTGAGCGTGTGCCATACTACTTGACCCGGACGGTCACCTCCCAGTATGTGGTGTATGAGACCTACACCCACACCAGTGTTGAGGACGAATTCGTTACCCAAACATCCTTCGCCTTCCAATCCTCATTTGTCACGCGCTGCTCACTCCGAACCACCCCTACTACTCACTACCAAGGTTAAACCACTCTGCACCATCTCAACAACAACTACATTGCACCAACTCATCACCCACAACCCCCCTAGGCTAGGTCACTCCACACCTAACCATCCTCTAGGCTAGGTCACTATCTGTATCAATCACCATGAAACCTAGGTACCATCACTGGGGCCACAGTCCACTATGGTTATGAAAAATATACATCCATCACTAATCCTACTAATGTCATTAAGGCCATACTCCGCCAGGCCCACTAGCAGTAACTAGAGTATCAGCTTCAAATCTAAAAGATTGACTGCTTCCATCACTTTTATCATCGGTAGATGACTTTATTCTGCACTAGCCTGACTGCAGGTTCACAGAGTAGGAAATTTGAGTTTTCTCATATGCTTCAGAGAACTAACCTGAGAGTTTTTTGATGGTTTCTGTGTTACTAGGAGAGTGTAATATTAGGTCTTCCCATGGCCTGTTGATTATTTCAGTTATTTCGTGTTGGTATTTTAGTAATTTTTGGTATTAATTCTTAGATATAAATGACAATATTCCTCTTGTCACTTTTTTTAGTCCAACTATCACAGGATATAAGTAATATTCTTTAGGAATCTGGTAATATATTAGTTTTAAGTGCTGCTGCTCTTTGTAAATACCCTGTAAGTTGTACTCATTTAAGTTGTATTAGATGTAAATAATGCGTAGTTTTACAAGTTGCACATTTTTTAGAATAAATTAATATTCTGCCTTTCTCTGGTTTTGATTTTTATCCAGTCAGTTTATACCTTACTTATCTTCTTAAACCACAGATCAGCTGGTTAGCCTAGTATGGATCAATAGGGTCACTGTAGTTTCCTTCAATCTTAGGTTCTTATATTCTTAACTCACCGGCCTATAGTTGTTCATGTTGTGGTGTTCGCAGGATTTTATGCAGTTCTGCAAGCCTGTCACTCTAACAGAGGGTCAACTACTTTGGATATACTGTTCGCGTACATTATCATGGACAGAGCTTAGACCTCAGACAATTTAAACCTATCATACTCTTCTGAGAACTGAATATGCACTAGTGTTGTGTTGAACTGTTTTTCATAAAAAACATGGAAGTTCGCACCCTACAGGATTTTATAAACACAGAGGAAAATAATTTATTTCGTGCCCATGCCTAATTTTTCTGGTCCAACCCGCAGTTTTCATCTTCATGTCCAGATCTGATACTCCACAAATGTGTTCAATTCAAATTTTGCATAACTCCTTAAATGCTCTTCTACAACCTGAATTGCTTTGGTTCCTGGACTTGGCATACATTTTTCTGTCTTGCTTGTTATTTGATGCAACCAAGGATTGTAGCAGCTCATCTCTTGAAAAAGATAATGGGCTGGTCCTTTATCAGAATAATGTATGGACGACCTCTACCCCCCTCTCCCCACCTAACATAACTTATTTCCAGCTTTTCCTACACCCCTATTACCGTATGTCTTCTGACTAGGAAAGTTTAGGGGCATCTATTCTCATTAATTTTATATCTTGCCCTTGGATCATTGTCTCCTAAAGGTCCAACAGTATTGCCTTCTGTGCAACACATGCTTATGGGCAATGTGCCATTGAGAGTTAGAAAGTACTGCCCAAGCAAAGGCAAGCCTTGGACTTTAAACACAACTTCCAACAAATTAAGAACGAACAAGTTTAGAAAATTGTTGGAGCAAACTTTATTGAAGTGAGAGTTTTACTCTTGGAACAATCTGCCAGAATGTTGTGATGGCATCAAGTGTGAGCGCATTCAAGTTAAAGCTTGACCAACACTGGCACCGGTACAGATATATGCTTCAAAGGAAACTTTCTCAGTGATTTAAAGTCATGTTTGTGTTATTATCTAAAAACCCAGGAACCGTAGAGTATACCCAGTTTAGAACAGTTAGCTTAATAAGTCATGGCGAGTCTGGGGTCTGGCACCACGAGGCAGTGGAGCATATTAATCAGGCCGCATTGGTGCCATCGTTTCATATATTGTTCTCTGCTGAGTAGCTACTACATCCGGGGCAGTTGTCAAGTAATCCAAGAGTCACAATTGGATCTGGGGAAACATTGGAGCGGCGTCAGGGGACGGACTGGGAAGCATGAACACAACAAATCTCTTGTCTAGAAACGACAGACATATTTACGTTATATTACTTCTTACACTGGGTGAATGACAATTCAACTGTTAAAGCATGAACACTGATATTCACTACAATTGACTGAATCAAACTGAATGGCTACGCATAAACATACCTGGAGAAACATTGGAGCGGCGTCAGGGGACGCTCGCCCTGCCTCATCCCTTGGTATATATATCCCTGAGTTGCCAGTGATCGCTACTCACGCAATGCCAGTAATTACAAACAACTCTAACTGTTACTCATTCAAAGATGACCCTCAATTGACAAAGGTCTGGCAAATTACTTGAGTTGATTTACACAGACTAATTCAAGATTGAACTTCCCAGGAGAAAGTGGAATAAACAACGCATTGATAACTGTCTTCACAAAGGCGGGACTCTGGGAGGGAACACAAGTGTAGCGTCTATGGGGAAAAACACGTCTTCTTCTCAGGGGTTGCTAACCCACTCATGTTTTGCGGTCGTGGAGCTTAATAAGAATCATTAATTAAACAGACTAGCAGTCAACGTGACCATGACACTCATGCTCTTGGCCTAGTCCAATCAATGGTGTTTACCATCATTTAAAAAGGTACTGGAAGTAAAGGCTGCAGTGCAGAACGTGAGCCCAGTCTCAATTCTAGGTCACTAAAAAAGCGTGAGCCAATGATGGATAGGATGGAGAGGCTACTCCAAGACTGGATTCAGGACAAGACTCAACACTGCTTGCCTCATTTTGGCAAAGGCATGCAACATCTGGATAATACTGAAGGCAGAGAGTGGTGAGAGCTGTGCTGCTGAAGCCTTGTTCAGGGCAAGTCCAGGGTGGTTCAACCGTTTCAAGAATCGTGCCAATCTCCACAACTTTCGTCTAATTCGTGAGGTAGCCAGTGCTGACATCATGAGTGACAATGCCTTCCCGGCACTCCTGAAGGCTAAGGTGGAGGAAGGAGGATACAACGCCAAGCAGGTCCTTAATTTTGACAAGATGGGCCTATTTTGGACGAGGATGCCATGGAGGATTTTCCTGGCTAAGAAGGAGAAGACTGCACCAGGCTTCAAGTTGCCAAGGACTGCCTTATGTTGTTGCTTGGAGTCAATACTGAGGGGGACCTTAAGTTGACTCCAATGCTGGTGTACCACTCAGAGACCCCTAGAACTCTTGAGGAATTTATTATGGAGCCCCTCCCAGTCATCTGGTGCTCCAACAAGAAGGCCTGGGTCACGACGGTGTTGTAACAGAGTTATGTGCTTGGCTACCGCCAAGTGCCTCAAGGAGTACACTGCAGAGCATAACATTGCCAACAAGTTTCTCCTGATCCTTGACAATGTGCCTTCACACCTGGCTATAATGGGCGAGTGGATAGACATCACTGTTATGTTCCTGCCCCCCCAACACGACCTCACTCATCCAGTTAATGAATCAGGGCATCTTCGCAACCTACAAGACGTACTACTTGAGGTGGTTGATGATGCAGCTGTTTGAGGCAATAGATGGAGAGAAAAAGCCGACCATCCAGCAGTTATAGAAGGACGTTATACTGTACATAGCTGCAAGAAAGGCATGTGGAGAAATGTGTGGCCTGAGTGCGCAAACGACTTTGGCAGCTTCACAGATGTTATAGATCCACACTGTAACATCACCAAGGAGGCAAGCATTGAGAAGGTCAATGAGGGGAATGTGGCTGAGGCCTTGGAGAGCCACTCTGAGGAATTCAACACTGAGGACCTGCTGCTCCAGGAACAGCAGTAGGCAGTGGAAGAGTCAGCAGGTGAGGAGGAAAACCCTGCATCCATGATGCTGACTCTGAAGGTGTTGAGCACAGCCACTGATGGTGTGAGCTTTGCCATGGATCTGCTGGCTGAGAATGACCCTAACATTAAAATTCATTCTTCTGTGAGGGCAATTGTGGAGAAAGTCATGCTTTGCTACAGGGAGATGTACCTGGAGAAGAAGGCATGCTAAACAACAATCACCTCCTTTTTCAAGCCCCTGTCACAGTCACAACCTCTGACTCCTTGGGTCACCAGCCACGCAGAGCCCTCTTCATCTTGACACCTCTCCAGTCCCACCCAAGAACTTCACCTTTTTTAAGGCCAGGCCAAAGCCTACACCTCCAAATCCCCACTCTGTCTCCAGCTTTTCCAGATTACCCAGAGGCTGTGTGGGAGTCAGAGTGACATCTCCACTCCACCTTCAAGAGTCCCCTTAGCCTCAAAGGGAACTTGTGATGATGACCAGGCTTGTTCATAATGATGTGGTAAGTGTTCTTTAATTGTGTTGTAGTTATAGTATTATTGTAGGTATTTTATTTTCAGTGATACTGTACATGAGATTGTCGGACTGGCTGGTAATGTATCCCATTGAACCCCATGTTATAATGATCCTTGTTATTGCCATGCACAATTGTGCGCACCGGCCACATGTTAAGTGAAGAGACTGTTTACAACTCAGAATATCTTACTAAGCGAGATGGAGCTGGTAGCAGCTGTGTGATTGCTTGAGGGGCAGACTATCACCTTCTACTGTAGAGGCAACATCTTGATTCTCGTCAGCCAACATCTTCCTGCAGGACATTATATTTGTTCTCGTTGGTCTAACCCTAGACCCAAAAACGTGAGTGTGATTGTGAACTGTTGAATCCTCTGAGAACTCTAAATAACTTTAATAAGTGTAATTATGTACTGTATATTGATCATATTATTCAAACTGTGTGTCCTGATGTACCAGTAGTTATTATATGTGATTTGTATTCAACAGGTTTTGACCGAATTATACTCATCGCGTCAACAACAAGGGTCTTATTGTCCTGCACAAACCAAAATTGCTCCTATGAGTGATTATAATCCTGATTTACGAATTTTCAACCTGTGAACATAATCTCATCATAAATAAGAGGATATCTGTACTGTACATGACTTTGTGTAGATTAGGTTGCTTAATGTGATGTCTTTATACTCAGAAGCATTTATTATTGTGTAAAATAATATTATTTAAGAGAGGAAAGTTTTAAATTTTTCAAATTAATATAATTGCAATTGTAACCAAATATCTTCGTTTGACAAACATAGTTGTAAATGAACTCATGCAAAGTAATTGTAATGAAATACGTACATTGTCATTGTAATTGCCTCATGCTTGGTACACTGTGTCTATTTTGATAGGATTTGATACTTTCATTCCACTGATTAATGATCTCTTCCTTTGGAGTTTTCCAGAAGTTAGCAAGTATATCCCACCCTTTAGCAGCAGTGACAAGCAGGTATTCATTTCCAGGGTCTTGCTCATAGCTGTATGCGCCCATTACGAGACTCTGAGCAAAACGCGCAGCAACACATTCCTGAAAATTATAAATACACTCATAATATCCTATATTTGTTGTCAATTATTCATTCTTATTGTTGTAATAAAATAATAATAACAAAATAAATATAAATAATAGCATCACTATTTAAACGGTATGCTGATCATGAATGTACAGAAAAATATTAATTATCTTATATTTCAACAATACCGAGGTATATGTTTCATTTAAAGTTCCCCCCTCCCCCCTTGCCAAAATTCTGGGTATGCCACTGGTTCCACAACAAGGTCCAAAATCTAGTTTACTCCCCACTCTCCAACAAATAAATTTATAGTACTGTACAGTATAGTCTGCATTTACGCGGATTTGGTTTACGCGTTTGGTCATTAACGCGGCACCTTGTCAGAATGAAAATTTTAAGTTAAGCAGTTCATTCCATCATTTACGCGGGAAGCGGCGCCTGGAGGGTGCGCATTAGGTCGCTCTTACGTTATTGCTGACGTCATATGACGTATCGGACTGTGATTGGGCCACGCATCCTTACCTCCCTCCGCCGCTAGCTGTGATTGGTCTAATGTAACAAGACGTGCCCTGCCACCAGAGGGAAGAAGTCGCTGACCTAGCTGGGCCAGTCTCATTGTTCTCAGTAAACCCGCGTATACTATTCTCTCTTGAGCCCGTTATTCCCCTCACAATGGCTTCCGCTGGACCCCCACCACCCCCGAGAAACCTTGAACTACCTGGACCAAGCCATGGTTATGTGAAGGAAGTCATCGAGTTGGGGGAGAAAATCAAGCTCATCCAAGACAAAGACACAGTCAAGCATCGGTATGAAGTGGCTAATAACCTTCTGTCAAAAATTATGGAGCCGTATGTCCAGATGTATCACGACAACATCAATGCTAGTCGTCAACGTAGTATTACGGACTTCTTCGCGCGCAACCCACCACAACCACAGCCAGCCCAAGTCAGTGATAGTGACAGTGAGGATATGGACTTTGAGGGGTTTGTCAGGGAGGCCCTGCAAACCTCTGTGAATAGTGATAGTGATTCACCGGAGGGCCACTAATCTGCCCTCTGCCTCGGAACCAGCCGCCATCCACGTGTGCCGACCCATCTCTTCTACTAACGTAAGTGTTAAACACCTTTATATTTGTACAGTAGTGCATTTTATATTTAGATATTATGTGTGTGTCAATACCATCATAAAATTATGATGTTATTTTTACTACGAGGTATGTATTGTGTCGGAAAAAGTGGCGTTTGGGAGTCTGCCCAGTCTCTATTTCAATTAATCCCATATGTTCTGTTATTTCGTTTACGTGTTTCTCGTTTTACGCGGACCTCCACGGGTTCAATTGACCGCGTAAATGCAGACTATACTGTATTCCTTTTATGTTTTTGATCTTGTGATAGTTTTTTTTTTTGCCTTATGAATGTAGTATTATGTATGTACTGTAATTAATTAAAAAAAATTAAAGTTAAGTTTATCTACCTGAAATTATGAGTTGGAAAATAACCATAACATAGCTCACACCTCAGCTTGCTAACTCTCGCTGGTGTACAAAGAAATATTTTTCCCTTTTTATGTTTTTGACTTTATGATGATCATTATTTTATTTGCACATTCTGTATGTAGGATTGTATGTGCATCTAACTACTCAAAATTACAAGTTGAAAAATATCTATAACATAGCTTACACCTTAGCCTGGTAAGGAGAGTGGATGTGGCCGCCACAGCTGACTTTTTGCTGGTACAGTACTTAAATTCACATATATGGGGAAGCTTTCATAACACGAAAAAGAAGTGGCAATTTAGGAAATTCACTGTACAGGTATTGTATAAGTGAATTTTTGTATCTCAAATGTTTGTTTAGAGAGGGATACCTGTATACATTTTCTTGTGTGTCGAGACAGTGCAGATAAATAACAATGGTAAAAAGTAAGGTAAATTGACCAAGGATAGCCGACAAAGCTGTTAGGAAGCATTTGCTGTCTGAACTAGGCAGCTGGGAATTGAAGCTAGACTGCACTGAAATGTTTATTGACTAGGTTGACACAGCAGGCTTTATAGATCTACTACCTTGAGTAGGCAACCTTCACATCTAATCCAACTTTTCATGGGGGATAGTTGCAATGGGGAGGAATGGGTCAGTGAAAGATTCAGCCTCAGCTGCCAGTTAAGGGGTCAGTAGCATATACTGTATAGTGGTTACTGCCCTGGACTCATTCAACCCAACACAACTAGTTTGCATTTAAAAAAGTTTGAGTGATTGAATCATATGCCAATGCGTTGAAGTACTCATATTGGCCATAAAATATGTCGCTATGCTCGTCCCCTGCTTACACCACTGGATGAAAATAAAATAATGTCCCCCCTTTCCAGAAACTTATATTGTATATACTGTACCATTGTAAGGGGTTGTCTACTATCAGACACCTAGGCAGAATGGCATGCATTATAAGGCTGCTTGGAAGAGATAATCAAGATAAAATTATTTTACTTTTATCCTTTTCACCACTGATCTGGTCATTAACCATTTGGGCGGTGTGCACTGTTGGCAAGTACAGTACTGGGCATGTATTGACTCCAGATTGTATCTGTACAGGGATGGCCCGAAGTGGTGGTGATTAGAGGGGGGTTATTTTTTTTTACCAACTCGCCACTCAGCCTATCCAATTCGACCAACTACATACGTAATGAGAATTAAAAAAAAGAAATGACAAGCGAACTAAAAAATTTTCTTAATTGACTGTTTAATTATTTGACATTAGCATAGAAATTTGATGGATAAAGTAAAAAATTTATTCAAATACCCGTAGAAAGAAATTATGAATATAAATATATATACTGTATTTTAATTTACTGCTTGGATAAAATCAGCAGCATTAACATATTCATAGAAATTAAATTTAATTCTCCTAGTTTTCTTAAGCTTCCAATTATCGGCAATCTTTTGAAGATCTAACTGATCAGTTATGTCGTTTTCACATGCTATGAGTATAAGATAATCCAACCGTTTTTCTGAGGTTCTGTTTCGCAGGGATGTTTTCAAAAGCTTAAGCCTGCTAAAAGACCTCTGACCTTTACATACTGAAGGTGGTGCTGTCAAGAATAGCCTGAAAACTTTTGCCACATGAGGAAATAAATGATACTTTCTATGAGCATTTAGTGTTGCTCTGGCTCACTAGTCTATAAATATTCGTGAAATGGTAATCGCCCTGCTTGAAAATAGGACTCACAAAAGACATTTTGCAGTTACTGAGGATCTTTTGCTCCTCCAGGCATTTAAAGAACAGTATCTTAAGTAGCTCTACAAGCTCATTGCACAACTCTCTTAGCACTGTGGGATGCAAAATTTCAGGGCCAGGGAATTTATGAACGTTTAGTGACAATTTATTTCTTATACCCTCTTCTGAGAACACAATGTGGGTCAGTGCATTGATGTGAGTGTTGAGAAACAGTGGGTGGGATGTGCCCGATAATAATTAGGAGAACGAATGGTGGACAAGAAATGATGTGGCTTGGACAATAAACATACTGGTATATCTTGTTATCCTAATGATCCCCAGGGGTGGATCCAAGAATTGTGGGTGGGGAATACGGCAAGCATAGTGAGCCCACCCAGCTTTTTGGGAGGGGGGGGGGGCACTATAAGCCCCCCTAATTTTGTAGTTTTTTTAATTAGATCAATATCACAGGCATTTTGATGCCATGTGCACTTGTTATCAGGAGATATTCTGAGATCAATACTGTAGTAATTACTTTTTACTCTACAAAAATGCTTGAGTACATGGGAATTTTCTGATCAAAGGGGGGTCCAGACCCCCAGGACCCCAAGAGGGGTGTGGTTATCTATGCTAGGCAAGACCTTAGAGCCAGCCAGGCGAGGGTACAGGGAGAGGATGTTTTTGAAGAGTCCAAGTGGTGTAAAATTAAATTAAAGGGAGGGGACTTACTTATCGTTGGGTGTATCGACAGATCCCCAAACTGTGGCCCACTAAATCAAAGGAACTTAAGAGCCTTAATAGACAATGTGGTGATGCTCAACCCTAGCCACCTCCTTATCATGGGGGACTTTAACTATGGCGACATGTTAGAGACCCGACACATTACAGAGGGAAGCAAACACCCAAGCCACTTGACCTCATCATTACAAACAAGGAGGGTATGGTGGCCAAACTGGAACACCTTGCCCCAGTTGGCACCAGTCACCATATACAGAAGTGTTGTCATTCAGATTTAACTGTTACCTAGTTCGGGATAAGGCCAGGCCAAGGTGCAAATATTACAAGGGAAATTACAACGGGATGAGGGAAGAGATGAGAGGTATCAACTGGCCTGACTCATTAAGGCACAAGAACGCAGACACTACGCTGAATATCATAACTAGTAAAGTGACCCATTTGATCGATAAATATATACCCAAGACCAAACCCAGTACCTCTAGGAATACGAGGGGATCCCTACACATGAACCATGCGGTGGTCGACAGATTTAAGAAGAATACCCAGAAATTCAAGACGTGGGTTGGGTCAAACGATAAGCAGGACAGGAGGATGTATGCAAGAGCCAGAAACCAAGCAAAGATAGAGTGTAGGAGGGCTGAAAAGGAGTTCCAGAGGTTGTTGCAAGCTAGGTCAAGTCAAACCCAAAGGCGTTTTACCGCTATACAAAGTCGAAATTAAAAACGCGAGTAGGAGTATCAGACCTGAGGCTTGAAGATGGTAGTTATGCAGATTCTGACCAGGATAAAGCTGAGGTATTGAACAGCTTCTTTTCCTCGGTGTTCACAAAAGAGAATGCAATTAACCTTCCTGCATTTGAGGACAGACGGTTCGACACAGCACCGACCCACATTGTGTTCACAAAAGAGGGTATTAGAAATAAACTGTCCAGGCTAAAGGTCCATAAGAGTCCTGGCCCTGACATGGTGCATCCTAGAGTGCTAAGAGAGTTGTGCAACGAGCTTTCTGAGCCCCTGAAGATCCTGTTTTGTAACTGCCTGGATGAACAAAAGGTCCCCAGTGAATGGAAAGTGGCTTATGTGAGCCCCATCTTCAAGAAGGGCGATCGTCACTCCACGAACAACTATAGACCGGTGAACCTGAACATCATAATATGTAAAGTACTTGAGAATATTATCAGAGATGCCGCAATGGAACATCTACTACGAAACAGCATTGTAAAGGATTGCCAACACGGTTTTATGCGGAGGCGCTCCTGTTTAACACAATTGCTCAAGGTATTGGACACTTGGACCCTTATTCTGGAACGAGGGGGTAATATTTACAATATTTACCTAGATTTTGCCAAGGCTTTCGACAGTGTACCCCACGAAAGGCTGAAAATCAAACTGGAAGGGTATGGAATTCGGGGAAATGTCCTAGCGTGGATAGAAGACTTTCTACTTGACCGCAAACAGTGTGTGGTGATTAATGGCATGAAATCATCATCCGTACCTGTCACAAGTGGTTTACCACAGGGCAGTGTATTGGGCCCACTGTTGTTTGTTTGCTTCATAAATGACATGCCTGACGTTGTACATTCCTCCATACAAATGTCGCCGATAACGCCAAGTTATTTCGGGAAATCAAGAACCAAGCGGACTGTGAAGAGCTGCAGAAGGACCTCTGTGGGCTTCAAGAATTGTCGAAGAAATGGCTGCTGAGATTCAATGTCACGAAGTATAAGAGGATGCACCTGGGGCATACCAACGGTAAGGAGGCGTATCATATGTCCCAACGGGATGAAGAAACTGCACTATTTGAGACTGATTGTGAGAAGGACCTAGGTGTGTATGTTGACAATGAGCTGAAGTTCTCGGGCCATTGTGAGAAGGTAAATCAGGCAAATAAATTATTGGGTCTTATAAGAAGGTCGTTCAGATATCTACCGGTATACGGTTTGTCCCTCGTAACGATCTTCAAGAGTGAAGTCCTCCCCCATCTGGAGTACTGTCACCCCATCTGGTCCCCGAGATATGCTAGGGACTGTCAGTTGGTTGAAAATGTTCAAAGGAGGGCCACCAGACTGGTGCTTGCACTTTGGCACCTCAGCTACCCTGAGAGATTGGAGCACCTGAACTTGCCTAACTTATACTACAGACAGGCAAGGGGTGACCTAATTGAGGTGTATAAGCATCTCAAGGGGCACTGCTCAGTCGAGTGTCCTTACTTGGAGCTGGCGGACGCTCGCCCCACAAGGGGTCACGGCTCAAGATTGAAGAAACCGCAAGTCCAGAAAACTGTGAGGGCAAACTTTTCGGAGTGAGGGTTGTAAACTCTTGGAACAATCTACCCGAAAGTGTTGTGACGGCATCGAGTGTGAGCTCTTTCAAGACAAGACTTGACCAACACTGGAGCAGGTTCAGGTACATTCAGGAGCCGGTGCATGCCCAGCACTTGCCAACAGTGCGTAACAGAGATGTGACCGATCGCCCAAGCGGCTAACCAGCCGATCAGTGGTGAAGAGGAAAAAAGAAAAAAGAAAAAGAAAAATATTCACTCATAAAAAAGTGAAAATTAAAAGAAGAAAAACTCACCTTAAGTATATTCCACTCATCTTCAGAAATAGTCCTTTGGGTAAGATAGCCAGCTATTATGTGTCCCCCATATTCAATAGGGGGCATACATGTAACTTCAATCATTTGGTACATTATAGCTATAGCTAACTCAAACACATAACATCCATGCTGTACGTCTCCAAAATCAAGAAGACCATTAATGTGGAATGTTGTGGAGTCATGAGGCTCAGAATTAACAAGAATATTTTGCTCATTGAAGTCTCCATGGATCATACCTAGGTAATAGAAAAGTCTTTGTCAGTTTACTGATGATAGAAGATATCCATCATGAATGCTGGATACATTACAGTAAATGAAGAATAATACTATAATATTATGGAGACTACACATAAAACATTCAATCTACATTCATGATAAATTATATATTACAATCTAATGCACTCACAAGTATACAATCCTGCACATACGGATACGCAAACAAGAATTCTGGAAATTTTCTTAGAATCTCAAAAATGGATAAAATGCAGGTAGTGGAAGTTGTATCTGATCAGATTTTAACTTTTTGTCACACGATGTAAGTAATTTGATGAAAAAACCTTAATGTAATATTACTGATCAGATATACTGTATTGTAAAAAAAAAATTAAAAGTTTTTTAATAATTCACCAAAACAAATTTTTACAAATTAGCTGGTACTGTACTTTGAATCAGTGGAGGGCGAATTAGTGAGGTTTTAATGTACTGTATTGATAAGTTCACAGTGGCACCAGAATGAAATGCCATCCTATAACAATAAAACACATCACATTATGATAAGGACTGTGAGCTTCAGAGCATAATCCTTGAGGCACTGTTACCATCAAGAGATTATACGGTTAATAAATGGTAAGAATTTCACTTTCAAGATCTTCAGTGGCCCAACAAGCTTATTGCAAAACTCTCTGAGCACTCTGGGATGCACCAAGTTGGAGCCAGACTCTTATGAACCTTTAGCTTTGACAATTTGTTTCCTATGCCCCTTTCTGAGAACACAAAATGGGTCAGCCCTGGCCAATGTAAGCCTCAACATCACATCACTACACGTCATGATCTATATGGTAATCCTTTAAGACCACAAAGTTATGATCAGAATATAAATTTTTTAAATAGATATTGCAAGGAAAGGTAAATCAGTCCTACCTTTCTCTAGACTGGGAATTAGTGGCATAACATTCATCTTCCATGCCTCTAATATTTCTTGGATCAACTTGTTGTGCTTCTCATCTCTTACAGCAAACATAAATTTGGACAATTCAGGGGTGTTTTCCAGCATCCAGATAAACTGTCTTGATTTTAAGTCTTCATTTTGAAATTTCTGCAAAAAATATAATGATAATCTGTCTTAATTTATCAAGCACTAGCAGTGCACCAGCTGCATGGTCACTCATTTATGAACAATTGAGGGAAATGCTAAATTAATAAATTTCCTCTTTAACTCCAGCTGATACATATGGCATTTCTTGCTTTCAAAATTCATGCTTAAGATGTCTTATTGAAATATTTTGACTTTAGGATGTTACTATTTGTTGTCATATAGCAGTCATTACATTGTACTTCTTAAGTACGTATGGGGCAGTACTCTTCAAGATGACAGGGTGACCTGTATGACAACAAAACACTGAGTACAACTGTGGAGGATAATCCAGATTATGTTCTTTTTCTGAACAGTATTGATTCATATGCACTTGGTGATATTACTGGTGATGTATACTATTGTACTACTGGTGAAATGGAAGAAAGAAAACTCAATTAATATTGAAAAAACACTGAAGCAAACTCATACACCAGAAAATGCTGCATAGCATCAGTAGGGACAACTGTTTTGAGATAAATTATGTGTACTATATTGTAATCACAGATAAATAATCTATTCACTGTCAGTCAAAATATGAGAAAAATATATACAGTATATATATTTTTTTCAAATATCTTCAAAACCCTGCCACACAGGAAGTGGGTGCTGGGTCATAAACCAGCCACAGTGAAATAATTAAGAACTACTTTTTTTATAGTACAGGTATAAGTTTACTCTTACAGACTGCTGCTAAACTATATATCTATTATATTTCTCCCTCCTAAGCTTTTTTTTTTCACCTCTTATCATCTTACTAGCTGTTTGGTGGTTGGTCTCTCCAGTGTTAGCATAAAAGAAAACCAGAGTACCCAGAGTAAACTTGTGATGTTTGATAGGGTCACACTGGATAAAACCCTTCCCATGTGTGTCCAGGCCACGCAGGACTCTAACCCATGATATACTGTATTGGTGAGATATGCGTGTTACAGTTGTACCATCAACACACTCTTCATTTCTGACCTTTTCCATTACATACAGTATTTAGAAACTGTAAACTTTTTATCTGGGTCACCTAGATAATACAGGCAGGTATTTACACCTTGCGTTTGCACTGAGTGTGAGCTCTTTCAAGACTAGACTTGACCAACACTGGCACAGGTACAGATACATTCTCGAGGCAGTACTTGCCAACAGTGTGTAACAGAGATGTGACCAAACGCCCAAGCAGCTAATAAGCCGATCAGTGGCAAAGAGGATTAAAGTAAAAGTAAAAAAGTATGTGTTCCAGGGCTGTATAATGTCACCCTTTGTATGTTTGGTTGGGGCCATCCATGAGGTTAGGAATGAAAATTAGTGCCATTGTGTGAAACTCAAACATGGTGGCACAAAAAGTAATGATTAATAATTTGGTGATAACACTGATATGTGATATTGCTGATCATACATTCCTCGAAAGCAACTCGATTATATTTGATAACACTTTTATTCAGATGTATATACTGATATGACAGGTCTTGTCTCGCTTTCTTGCCCCATCCCCCTGGAAAAAATCCTGCAGATGCCCAAGCTTATACAGTTTTGTATTTCCCTTCTCTCTTTTACCATCCACATCAAACCACAATACTCTCTTTGCTTTCAATGAAAGCTTTTCATTCTCTCATCATGTCTATACGACCTTAGTTAACTCTGTTTATCTCGATCTAGCATTTGTCACATCCACGTCTTCAAAACAATACAAAAAGAAACAATTATAACCCAATTGCCTTACCATAAGTTCATTGTCTAATTTTGCAATGAACACACCACATTCATAAGCGAGATCAGTAGTGTATAGAACTTGATGTAGAATCTTCCCAGGAATGAATGTCAGCAACCTTACCAGGTACTGATTATTTTGCTTTTCAATTTCTGAAAGGAGCAAATTTTATTAAAAAAAATACAATATACAGTGGACCGAGCAGATATAAAAATATTACCATTCTAAATTTTTTTTATGTAATTTTGCAGTTAAAGTCTTCACTTGCTGATGACTGAAGAAATCCTAACCTGAAATCATCTTAGAAACAGACATTTGGTTTTACTGAACATGGTCTACTGCTTGCTACAACTAGTAATGTATGATAAAAACTTGGACAATGATTGAAAAGGTGAAGAGTAATGTAGTGTATCTCCAAATGATCATCCTCACTTTGAAATGATCCACCCCCCTCTCCTAGCCAAAACACTCTTGATTAAAAAAATTTTAAACCTTAATATGAAATGAAAGGTATTGGAAAGAAAACAAATTTAAAAGCAAACCAAATATCAAGTTGTTAATATATAACTACTGTACTTGGAAAGACTATAATAGAACTAATCTTAATTATATACAATTTGTAAATGCATATACCCCCTGTATAGGTACTGTGCAGTACAGAAGTGAAAACAAATCAATAGCATTATTTTAACAAATTCTAAGGGAAGTACAGTAAGTTCTCGCTTAACGTCGGGGTTATGTTCCTGAAAACGTGACGTTATACGAAACAACGTTAAGTAAATAAATTTTCACCATAAGAAATACAGTAAGTCCTCGCTTAACGTTGTTTTGGTACTACGTCGCTTAACTTTAGAGATAAAAAATTAGTTTAACGTCCCGGTGATCCGATACTACGGCGTTTTGCGTCGTCACGGACTACTTTCTACGGCGCATCACCCGCTCTTGTCTGGCTGCGCTACACTCTTTCGGCTTAGTGCGCTGCCCTCACTCGCGGAACGTCACAGCATCCCCAAGCAACACCAAGCCAGTTTCTGTTACAACTTCACATCATTCGTGTGTGCTTAAGTGCTTTTGCTCTAAAACTGTACTCTAACCATTCGAAATGGCTTCCAAGTGCCCATCAAGTGCTACTGATGCTAGTGTAGTGAAGAGGCAACGTAAGACCATTACCCTTGCTACGAAAATGGATGTATTAACCCGATTTGAAAAAGGGGAACGTGCTGTGGACATAGCCGCTGTGCTTGGTCTAACCTCCACAACGGTGCGTACTATCCAGACCAACGCTGACAAGATTAAGGTTAGTGCTGGGAGTGGTTCTTCTCTGAGTGCTACTAAAACGACTCGTACTAGAAGCACTGTGATAGAAAGGCTGGAAAAGATGCTGGCAATGTGGATGGAGGACCAGAATCAATGCAATGCCTGTGAGCCTTATGGTTATCTAGCATAAGGCCAGATCCTTGTTTGAAGACTTAAAGGAAGAAGAGGGTGAAGGATCGAAGGAAGAGACCTTTACGGTCAGTCGAGGCTGGTTTCAACGATTTAAGCGTTGGTATAACTTCCACAACATAAAGATCACTGGTGAAGCTGCCAGTTCAGGTGCGGTTGCTGCTGAGACATTCCCACCAACAACTGAGGAGGAGCAAGCAGCGGCGGACGAACCCCAGTCAGAGCAGGAGGAGGCAGCCGCAGAGTCTCAGTGACTCACCACCCTCCTCCTTTAATGAGACGGTCTTTCATTAGGTAGAGATGCATGATTTCTTGATTGGTAAATATGTTTCTCTGCTCCAGGCCTTCTATTAAATCTGTGGTCAGCTGTATGCATTTGTCAGTATCACCTGTTGGTCGCTTAGGATGCATAATAAGGGTAAATAACGAGAAATATTACAGAAACACTTGAAATACCTAGGAGTGCACCAAGCTCCACGAGAACCAGATGTAAACAAAGAGTATGCCGAACCATGGATACTAGCACTGGTGGGTACTAACGGCCATCTGGCAAACTAAAATTTTGCCGGGCGACGGGAGGTGCCGGACAATAGAGTACCGGATTCGGGAGGTTTAACCTGTATAAAGAAGACAACACTAAAGCAATGTTAAAATTAATAATGGAATCCAATACAACAGAATAGATCCATCATACTGTATAGCAATAATTATTTATTAACTATTGATATGATGGAACCATTTGAAAGCAGTAAAATTTTGGATGGAACTTTTCCTTTACTACTCTGTGAAGAAAAAAATCGATCATGGTTCTAACACAGACACAATAATTCCCACGAACATTTTCAATCACAAGGAATTAAATGCCTACTAACATTTAAGTCTTAAAACTGATCAAGAACATATTGGATCATAATATACAGTATACAAGTATGGCAATGTATGTTGAGAGCCCTTACCATTATTTTCAACAAACTCATCAACAGGAAAGTTGATCTCTTCAATGATCATGTGAGTTCCATGAATATTCTTCTGAGGCTTAGGGACATTGAAGCCACGGGAATGAAGAAATAGCATCATCTGATTCTGTGCTGAGACAATCTTCTCATTCTTACTGTCCATGGAGTTTAGAATTTTCAGCACATATCCATTTGGAGACAGTTCTTCAATATTCTGATTGTTTTTACTTGACTCTACCTGTGGATTAAAAGAATCACCCAGTTAAAATTTTAGTAAATTAGGTACAAGAGTAATACAGTAACTACAATTGATATCTAATGCAATATGGTACAGCATTACTGTCTTGCTAAAATTGTGAAACAATAAGGGAATGAAAAAGGAACAGTTCACTGAATACATAGTGAAATAAGATGACATGAGCAACAGTAAGTGGGAAAAGATTATGTAGGGAGAATGAGAAAGAGGATCTCACAAGTGGAAGTCAGACTGAACAATGAGTGAAGGTAAAAGGAATTATATTGTGAGACCACTGCAAGGCACTGCATGCTATGGGGTGATATAATTTTACTTTTCTTCCACTCTTTTAAGCATTCTCCTGATCTATTACAGGAAGGGCAGAATGGTATACTGTACTGTATACCTCCGGCAGATAGTGTGACATCGTCTTCCCACAAAGGCATCTTGTTGATATGTTGTCCCCTGCAAATGTGTCAAATTAAAGACAAATCCTGACATTCAAATTCTTTTTTAAGAACGGGGGGGGGGGGGAGGACTGTGATGTAGTGAGCACACCACTACAAATCTGTCTGTCTGGCAAGACAAGCACAAGTCAAATGATGATGTCACAGACAACATGGCCCTTTTGAGGTCCTCTCATGGATCAACGTCTACCCATCAGCCTATACAGGCCTATCAGAGAGCTTGCCTTGTGCCAGCGGGTAGGCCTATACAGACCAATCAGCGAGCGTGCAATGCTAGCCTACCTGAGCCTTGAACCGCGGCTCGTGTAAGCAGCTGGCCTGGCTGCCCCTGGCCCTTAGCTCTAAAAAAAAGGCAAGGGCTCTACTCCTGGACCTGACGGTATTCGATACGAAATGATTAAACACCTTGACCAAGGAAACCTGGACAAGCTGCTAGAAGTGTGCAATGAGATCTGGACGTCTAGAACGTTTCCAAACTCATGGCACTTTGCCCATGACATACCAATCCCCAAGAGGGATAGATGCCTTACGAACACCAACTCGTTCCGTTCGATTGCTCTCACAAATTGTCTGTGTAAGGTCAAGGAACGTATGACAAAACGTAGGCTAATGTATTTTTTGGAAATAACAACTTATTGAATGACCGACAGTGTGGTTTCCGCCAAGGTAGAAGCACGCTAGATCATTTAATAAGTCTTGAAACAGACATCTCAAAGTCCCTTTGCAGAAAAGAAACATTAATTGTAGTACTGTATTCTTAGACATCGAAAAAGCCTACGACATGACATAGCGAACTGGAACTTTTTCCATCAAATAAAAAAAATAACAATGTCGGACACATTTGTCCAAGAAAACGGAGTCCCACAGGGCAGCGTCTTGGGTCGTGCACTATTTCTGATAATGATTAATGATTTCCTATCACCGGTACCCGGCCTAAGTGACCTCAAATTCTCATTGTTTGCCAACGATTGCGCACTTTGGCGATCATGGTCTGCACAAAGGGTGCAGGTTGGCCTTTAAGTCACCGAGAAGTGGGCAAAACAATGGGGATTTAGGTTCTCAGTTGAGAAGACAGTAGAAGTGGTCTTCACCAAAAAATGTAACGTAAATAACCCAGTACAGTACTGTATTGAAATTAAATGATACAGTACTTGTAGGAATTCGTGGTATAATGTTGTCTAGCACTCAGGATGGATGGAAACTCTAAGGTGGTTTTCTTGTATAATATAAGTTATATGATAGACAGTCTGGTGCTGGAGGTGCCGTGTGGTGAGGAACTGCTCAGTAGAGACGTTCGGTGAGTAGCGTGTTGAAGGAGGTAGATGTGCAGGAGCTTCGTTAGAGAAGATGTTGCCTGTTGCTGGCCTCCTGGTTGAATGAAAGCTGGACAGCGTGGAGCTTGCTGGAGGAGGTGTTGCGTGTTCAGGAAGAATGGCCAGAATGAGAAAGCTGGTTGGTGAGGAAGCTCAGAGAAGGACAGCTGGTGGGTCGCCATGCTCGCTGGCGGGAGCGAGGACCGCCAGGCAGGCGAGGAGAAGCGAGGGCCGCCAGGCAGCGGCGGAGGAGGAGGTGTTGCTTGTTCAAGAAGAGAGACCAGAATGAATCTCAATGGAGAGACAGAGCTTATATACCCAGCAGCCGTGAGTCATCTATGAGTCATGTTGGGAAAACCCGAGAAGTAACCGTTCTTTGGCTCGGTTGCTAGGATACTGCGGCGCATCTGGTGACGCCGCTCGTTTGGTTGCTAGGGAAGGCGGTAGCAGCTGGTGGCTGTGGCTACGCAGTTGTAGGCAGTTGTAGGGGAGACGTCCACTACATACTCCTATTAAAATTCAGACTTAAATGAAATTTCTCGGTATTCATTTTGACTGGAAATTAACGTGGAAAAAACACATTAACAAGCTTGAAAGTAGATGCCTAAAAATCACAAACACCCTGAAAGTTTTATCAGGTACTACATGGGGAGCCGAAAGGAAATCTTTATTAATGGTGTATAAGACCCTGATCAGATCAAAACTCGACTATGGATGTCAGTTGTATGCATCGGCATGCAACACTACACTTGCAACGCTGACCAGAATACAGAACCGATGCCTTCATCTATGTCTGGGTGCCTACAGGTATACTGGAGGTAGAGGCTCTTGACCCCCACTCCACACCAGGAGGGATATGTTGACGTTAAGCTACGGGCTGACTGTGGCTAGGAGGCGCGACAAAGGGCACCCAGTTTAGTGTGCTGTCGCTACTTGCAACTGCGAGCCTGGCCGCACTGTTTGTAAACTTTGTGGCCCGGGTGGGCTAACGCCCGTTAAAAAAAAAAAAAAAAAAATACAGTGCATCCGGGCCAAGCAGGACTCCATCTAACCCTTGATATACTGGTGAGAGGTACATATGTTACTGCTGTACCACAAACACCCCTTTAAATGAAATGAGTTATTCATAATGTACAAATTAAATTATTATTGTAGGAGAAAAATCAGTCCGCTTTGGGGGAAAAAATTCCAAATTTCAATACCCGAGAGGACGCTTCCACTAAGGTAATCACCATGGTAGCTGTTAGATTTGTTTTACACACTTTCTAACTACAGTATAGTACAATAATTCTTCACAAAATTCCCTTTACCTTTATATGGAAGTTTTTGTCATCATAACTGTTGAGCTCCTTGACAGATACAGTGGTAAGACCAAAGAGCTTCAGAACTAATGCTGGGACATCACTTGGCTTTATCATTGGCCGAATTATCTGACCTGGTTGCAATAATCCTTTCTTTGATGAGTCAGGTGAAGCAGACATGTTGAACTGTAAAAATGAATCCGGCGCATCAATAAAATTGAAGATGAAATAAATCATGACATAAAAACAATGTTTCACACTAAAGTAAAATTTCATAAAAAGCCACTACTGTATAGTTCGGAACAACTTTACAGTGGGGATGTGATCTTTTTTCTTTTCTTTTTTTACTAATACAATATAAAACAAAGGGTTAAATGCTATCTTAAACTTATAATACAAAATCTTCATGAAAATCTCTGAAAAATTTTATTGTAAAAATGCTCAATTTCCTCTACAATTTCCATACATTTAGAAATCCCACATCCTTGAAGTGTATTGATTTATCAGACTAACATCGTTAATATACAGTATACAATCTATACATGTACTGTATATAAAAACTACAAAATTCAATCAAAAAACTTCAGGGAGACGTAATTACCTGCAATCTACACGACTGATTGGAGATATAGTTATGTGTAATTCCGAGACATTTTCTTAATCTTTGCTTTACTGTACTTTACCCTATTCACTACTTGTCGGCTTGTTAGCTGCTGGTCACGTACACACTGTTGGCAAGTATTGGGCATGTTTTGGCTTCAGAATGCATCTGTACCTGTGTCAGTCACAACACACTCTAGCAAGCTGTTCCAAAAGTTCACAACTCATTCCGAAAAGGTTTCCACCTGACCGTTTTCTGAACTTGTGGCCTCTTCAACCTTAATCTGTCTTCCCCAGTGAGTATTAACTTCGGAGGTACTGGTACACTGTAGTATAAGTTGGGCAACTGCAGACATTCCAATTTCTCCAGGCAACTGAGATGCTGTAATGAGGGCACCTGTCTGGTGGCCTTTCTTTGGACATTTTCAGTCAACTGACAGTCTCTAGCATATTTTGCGGGACCAGATTGGGTGACAGTAGTAAACCCCGAATATAGCGAACCTCGATATACCAAATTTCGGTTTTAACGAACCAAGTGGGCCTATCGAACATGTGTAAAGTGTGCTATGTTATGTGTAAAGTGTGCTATGTTATGTATAAAGTGTGCTATGTTATGTATAAAGTGTACATAGTAGTGTGTAGTGTTTCGGTAGTTTATGTTGTTCCCTAGAACTGGCCACTTCAACATCACCAGAAAACAACTGCAGATTCAACCTCAGAAAGGTAAATACAGCTACATTTAGTATTGTACTTGTATTTCTTCTTTATTTTCTGGGTTAAATATTTAATATATCCGATATAACGAACTTTCGTCTTTAACGAACCACCTTTTTCTCCAACTGATCCGTTATATCGAGGGTTTACTGTATTCCAAACAGGGAAGCACCTCACTTTTGAGGATTATTATAAAGGCCACACTGCCTAGGTATGTGAATGCCCTACGTAACTGTTTCATTCACCTACTCACAAGGTCAAAGGCATTCAGGTTGTTGTCGAAATATCCAACCAGTTCTTTTTCACATTTCTCTCAGTTAATGCTGTTTCGACTTCTCGTTGGGACATGTAATCTGTTATCATATCTGTACTGAGAGGCAGTGTTGGTAATCCCTTATACATTTCAATAAACTCGTCACTCATGCTCGCCATGGCTGCTAGTGGGAGATTGAGTTTGATTTAAATCATTCCCATACACCGTCAACTAAGACTGCGCAAGTTTCATGACCACTGGGGTCTGATTAACACGCTTTGTGACCTCTAGTCTGTAATATTTTTTGAGCTACCGCTTACAGGATGAGTATGGGGTGCACAGTAAAGTAGCTGCTGTCTGTGGCAAATTAAAAAAATCGTGATTGACGAAAAATATCTAAGTAGTTAATATCCTTCAATCATTTACACACGTTTTCAATCATACCCACACAGCAGAATGAATTGAGCATTTGTGAGTACACATCAGCCAGAATCATAATTTGACTCACCTGATGATTCACACGTTAATTCTTTTTCACTAACATCTGTAAATAACATGGTTGTGTCATCCAGTGCTACACATATTTCCTGTGGAACCTGATCACCTTCAAACCATTTTATTGTGTACCGCCCATGTTTGAGTTCCCAGCCGCTGTCTTCTGGAGTTGCACTGTCTGCCTTCTTCCATGCTGATGCTTCATAGTTTGTACGCTTATTTTTTTTCAGTCAAAACTGATCTCCATGGGGGAAGAAAGCTCGGATCACTATGCTTAATATTTTTAAGTGGATGCCGATGAGTAGCAGGTGCATTATTTTGCCTATACAAAGCAAATCTTGCATCATTCACACTTTTAAACTTTCCTTTCCCATAGAGAGTGCACACAAAAGGTACGGGTGTACCTTTCCTTTTCTAATGAATGATGATGTGTAGTCACATCCTGTAAAAGCATGTATTGCTTGTTAGGCAGAGCAGATGGTCTCCCCTAAATTAGCAGCAAGGGCAGTAGCATCTATACATCTACGAGAGTTGTTGCTGCTAAATTCAAGGTCCATCCAAACTTTGGTAGTACCAGTACCCTTGGCAACATGGTAAAGAAGGGTCACTAATATATGTGTCATTTGCTCTAACACTAACCTGGGCGTCTGTCATGGTTTCTTTGATATGGTTCACATGCAAAATAATTCTTGTGTCTGCTTCTTCATGCTGACAGCCAATTTCAGGTGCTAGATAAATTTCATGACCGTCTAACATTATTTTGTAGCTGCCCTTTTCCCATTCAGCTGCAAGGAATTTTAAGAGTGATGTCGTGAATAGGCTGGATGAGCAGTGCTTGACTGAGGTTTATTGGTCGTTTCTGTTCAGGGCCAGCAATAACAACGTTGACCTCAGTTGCACCACGCATGTGTTGTTCATTGTTTTTTATTGATGGACTTGTACAAGTATCACACACAAAGTCCACACGTCTAGCACGAGCACACAGCTTTGACAGCAGGACTTCAGCCAAAGGTAGCAGGGAGATCTGACAAAGATCTGTTGAGAAACATTACATCTATAACACAAGCATCGACTGTGGAAGGTGGCTGACTGTTTACTTTCGTTTTAAGTTTCTTTAAGAGTACTGTACAGACTTTCCTGTCTTATTGATTAATCCATTAAGATGGTCCAGAGAGGCAGGTACAGGGGTGATAAGGAAACTCAAAACTTTAGAAAGGTCAATATCAGTTTTTGTGGCTAGGTATAATAGGTCTCTTGTTACTGTATCTCTTGGATCTTCTTATCTTTCCCAGCTGACTTGACTTTTACTTCCTCTGTTGCAAAGTTATTCACTCAGTAGCATCATAATAGCAGCCTGCTACGAACTCTTCACACTTCTAGCCAATATCAGTACAATGTGTCAACTCTTCTTTCACTTTTTCTAAAACTGCACAGCCAGTTGAAATGCAAAACAGATTTTCATCACTAACAGCTCCATAGCGATATTTTATAGAAATAAAGTGCAGCATTTAACAACAAAACCTCATCACTCAGTTATAGTACTGACCACTAAATTACGGTATATTTCAATATTAATTATAAAATGAGAAAAATACACGGAAATAGTTAATCTTGACAAGCTATTCCTGTTAACAGAAAATATAGCTCTCAGACTGATATGTAAAATTTTTAGCCCTTTGCCACAGATTTTTGGCCAGGCCAGTGGCGGCTCGTGCATAGGGCTGCAGTCCCCCCCAGACACTCACTGCCAGGCGTATGATTCCTTTAGAGAGACAGCTGAATAATACACTACCAACAAATATATCATTTTATATGTTATTTAATTATTTTCAATACGTTGCTAAGTGAATTTTCATTAAAATCAGACCAAAATTTAAGTTACTTTCATAGTTGCTGTCAATGCTGTACGATTCATGTCTGTTATTAATTGGCGCCGCTCAGTCTGGTGTTTACATTGCGTGTGGACGGTGTGGTTAACTCGTGCTTTCTTTAATTACCCTTTGACGATGGAAAATCGAGTGAAGTATTTGCAAAACATCAACTTTTCCCAGCTGACATTAAATGAAAAGACTGAAATCAAAGCAAGAGGAAGACCTACACCAGTTTTATCCATTCAACAGAACAGTACAAGCAGGAACAAAGAATATACACGCCAGTTTAACATCAGTGTTTATCAGAATGACAGACTGTCTGCTTTAGCAGTGATATCCATTGAAAATAAAATGATAACAGAAATAAAGGATTTTAATGAAATAGTAATAAACAATTTTGCTACATCGAAGAGCAGACACGCCGACTTTATTTTCAATTAATACTGGTCCATCACCACCAACACTACTACCATGCCCTGGGAATTCGTGGACATCAACTACAACTCATACCTGAGGTAGGTCAAATTTGTGTATCCTACTGTTGTGTGAGGCTTGCAGTCACTCCATTTTATTTTTCACGAGCCGCCACTGGGCCAGGCTGTATCAAGTAAGAAATGGTATTTTGACTTACTCATATAATATGCATTTAAAAAATACCATCAAACCTTTTAGCCTCAGACGGGTGATTAAAATCCCCCATAGCTCTTGGACAATAAATACCAATTCCGAGGAGCCACTTACACCATATATGAAGCCTATAAACAATTGATATGACTGAACTAGAATGCTAAGATGCCTCAAAGATCAAAGACTACTACTCACAACTAACGCTGGCGTACTAACGAATCTGAAAATGAAATGTGACATTGGCCAGCGGCACCCGCGCAAGAGGTGGCTCCGAAGCTAAAGAATCTGATTTTGCTGCCAGACTCACGACGTTTTGTGGTATGTAAACGTTTTGTCACATCAGAGGTAATTACTGGTTTAATGTTTAATTATAAACGGACGCCTGTTAAATTCAGTATAAATATATTCCGTGGCCAGAGAAATATGAAATTGAATATCAAGGGCTAGTTTATTGGGCACCCCCTTGCATCCTGTGGAAGGTGAAGCTCACCTGTTTGCCAACTCTGCCAATAATCAGCAGGGGAGAGAGCCGTAGCGCGCAAGGTAGGTAGATAACAGGTAGCCTCACTCCCATAGAATGTACGCTAATGAAAATAAAAATGAAATTTTTATTTACGTATTTTTGAAGGCTTATGGTGATATTAAAAGTTGTACAATAAATGTATGGAATGGAGATTTTTTGTTTTATTTTAATTGGAGCCACTGATTAAATATATAAAATAAATATAAATATCTTACTTGCGACCGCTGGATCCAACGTCGCTGATTGGCTAGAGATGACATCACTTATTAAGCTCCGCTCACTTAGTTACATCAAACAGGAGAAGCGGGATATTTTTATTAGAGGAAGGATCTATACATATAATAATACCACAATATTACAAACCCATGAAGTGGCAAAAGGGGCGTGGCTTAGCGATCTCGAGAGTACAGTTGCCAATTAGTGAATTCCTATAGGCCTGCGTGAGGCTACCTGTTATCTACCTACCTTGGTAGCGCATATCTCTCACCAATATGTTAAGTGTTCGAGCCTCAGCACGGACACACGTGAGAAGGGTGTTATGTTATCGTACAAGAGGCCAAACGATAATCATGAGATAGCAGAACACTACCTCAGAATCGTACAGATTAAACATTCAGGGAAATAAATATAAAGCATTGATAATGCAAGTTTTTTTGGCATATACATAATATACACTTGTCTCAAGTAATTGTTATAAATGAAAAGGAAAAGTAATCAGAGACGTGACCGATCGCCCAAGCCGCTAACGAGCCGATCAGTGGCGAAGAGGATTAAAATACACACAAAAAAAGAAGTGAACTTATCGATCTTATCAGTATATCGTGGTAGAGAATATGCGCCCTGTGGCACAAATACGAAACCAGACGCTACTCCGTATTTATAACTGAAGCATAGTTAGGTATTTACCTGTAACTCGTCGATGTTGGTATAACAGTGTGGGGTACGGGTTGTTTGGTTCACACTCGGGATGGGGTGGAGAAAGGAAACTCACAATGTGCTCTCTGTATACATGTTGTATTGGATGTACAATGCAGCTTGGTGCTGGGAAGTGGCAGCGTGGTTACAAGCGTGATGTAGAGAGAGCTGGTTGGTGAGGATGCTCAGAGGAGGACCAGCTTGTGGGTCGCCATGCTCGCCGGCGGGAGCGAGGACCACCAGGCAGGAGTGGAGGATGAGGTGTTGCTTCCTGGTTGGTGTAGGTCGAAAGAGCGAGATAGGTCACCACGAGGTCAGGTCTTATATAGCAGAGGTAGGCGTGGCTTAATAGTTGACCTCCGTCATGTAAGGCGGCGCTGGTTGACCTAGACCACGAGGCATACACTGGGGAATTCGCGGGGTCGGCTACTCAGCGACAAGCGTTTGTAGGGGAGGGATCCACTACAACAGTACCACATGGGAAACGCGGCTTTTTGTCTGGTCAGCGAAGTTAAGCAACGTTGGGTTCGGTTAGTACTTGAATTTATACGACTTATAGCTAGTGATGCAACTTCTTACCTTAAAAGGTGAGTGAATAATAGAAAGCTAGGATGCCTCAAAGATGAAGCACCACCTCCCTCACAACTGACGCTGGCGTCTTGAATACTGGGTGAAAATAATGAAAGAATACAATGCCACAGTAGCCGAGCAGGCTGACTGGCCGCTCGCCCAAAATATGGCCCTGGCGCTTCGCTGCCAGACGTTTCCTGTAAACGTTTCGTACACCACTTATCTACAGTATACAGACCTCTACTCCGTGTTTATCTCTCAACCTTAGTTACGGCCTCCCTTGAAACTCCCAATGTCTCTATATCTAATATGTTATTTTTGTCGATTGCAGAGATTTCAACTAAGTTATCCTGCAAACTGAAGGTCTTAGGGCTAACAACTTTTCAGAGAAGACACGATAGGGCGGATGTCATAAGATACATTAAAAATCTTGAAAGGTATAGAACCCGTAAACCCAGGTCAATTTTTATATGATGTCACGCTCTATAAACACAGATATCTCAAATTCGCCGTCATTCAGGAGATATACGGAAATACTTCACAGAGGGTGGTTGACTTGTAGAACAATCTACTAGCACAAACCGTGGAAGAGAGAACAGTTCTAGGTTTCATTATAGCCCTTGGCAAAACAATCAAGAACAAGTGGAGAGGAAGGAGGCGAAGGATCGTATAAATAGGGAAGTTCCGCATTTGCTAGTGACCACCCAGTCAACCTCACCAGTCTGTCTCCTTCCTTGTTCTTGCTGCTGTGCTAGAGTTACTGTCTTTCCTGCTGCTGTACTAGTACTTTTGTGCTTCGGATTCTGTACTTGTGATGCTGTCCTCGTGCTGCTGTACTCAGAGCCGTAGATAGAGTTACGCCAACCAAATGTCATGTTGTTACTGAGCTGATGAAGTTTGCGCTCGTACTGTAAAGGATGACGATGATGATGATAAAGATGGTGTTGTTTAGTCATTAAAATTGCCATACATGTTTACAATTAGATAAGCACGTTTATCAACTATGCGTGAGAGAACACGAGAGGACTTCCCACTCCTGGCCACCCGCTGCAGCTTTCTTCTTGCTGCTGTACTTCTGTTGTTGTGCTCTTTCGGTTGTTAATACTAATGTAATGGTACTGCTGTGTTCGCCCTCTTTACACTCATGTTTATTGGACTTGTTACTTTTTTTTACGGGGAATAGCCCTCCTGGGCATAGGTCATCGACCCACGACGTGGCCTAGGGGGCGAAAAAATAAGAATACAAAGAAATTAAAAATATAAAAGAAATGGGTTATATTAATCTATACCACGAAGATGTCGGAAAACCATTTTTTTTAAGTGAGGCAGTTTGTATGAGTGTGGAAACACAGAAGAAGTCAGAGAATTCCACAGTTTGGCTGTTTGAGGAAAGAAGGATGTACTATAACGGGTTATTCTAGTGTGGCCGAAATCCAGAGAAACGGTGGGCACCGTGGGCACTACGTGTGTTACGAGCCCACGGCCTTGCCGGCGGTACACGGGATGCCAAATCCACCGAACATTGCCCGTTAAAGTAACTGTAAAAGAGAGAGAGTGAAGCAACATTGCGGCAAAGAGAAAGGGAAGAAAGATTATCAAATAAAGGAGGAGAGTTAATAAGACGAAATGCCTTTGATTCCACCCTATCTAACAGTTGGACAGAAGAAGAGCCACCCCATTTATGAGAGCAGTACGAATGAATTCCTTATATACTTGAAGCAACTGCTCAGGAGTGAAGTTGCTACGGCATCTGTACAGCATTCCCAGCTTTCGGGAGGCAGCTTTAGCAATGTTGAGGATGTGTGACTTCCATGACGTATGAGAGGAAATGGTGAGGCCTAGCATATCTATTTTAGAATTGGCAGAATGATAGCGTCCTGAAATGGGATTGGCGGGAGATCATCTAATTTGGAAAGTGTAATTGGTAAATTCTGAGTTTTATTACTAATGAATTTAACCAAGTTTCTACCTCCCCATTCAGAGATGCTGCACAGATCCGTTTTGATAGATGTAACGATATCAGCTCTAGAAACAGATCTAGTTTGAGAGTTAGGGGGAAGGGGAAAATGTGAAGAAGAGTGAAGAGTAGAATCATCAGCGTAAGAATGGATAGAATTAGTCGTAGTGTGAAGAAGTAAATCCTTGATTGGTAGAGAAAGAGCGAGAGACCGACCCCTCGACAACGACTGCATTGGATCGGTTCTCAAGGAAGCTAAAAATTAGAGAACAAAGTGGGGTAGAAAAACCATAAGAGGGAAGTTTGGAAAGCAAACGACGAAAGTTTCCCCATAATTCCTAAGAGAGGATGACCAAAGATGGGTGCAGTAGGAGAACAGACCACCAGCAGATCTCGCCTGGCGAAAGCCACACTGAATGGTGACCCGACAAAAGAGAATGACGTTCAAGGTGACGGAGAAAATGAGAGTTCAAGCTAGTTTCGAAAATCTTAGAGAGGGATGAAGTTAGGGCAATGGGGCTATAGTTAGAGGGTTTGGAATGGTCACCCTTCTTCGGGATAGGCTGAACCAAGGCATGCTTCCAAGAAGAAGGAAAAGTCTGGGTTTTGAGGCAAAGGCGAAAGAGGAGAAAGAACTTCAGCACACTCCCTCAGAACACACCAGCAACCCTACTAGTGGATATTATAGGACAGTGCATAGGTTTAGTAGGAGGAGCTGGAGTAGGAGGGACAGAGTTAGAATCGTCTGATGGAGTTAGAGGAGAATAAGGTGCCAAAAAGATTGGCTTTATCAGGCTGAGAGTTGGCTATAGAGTTATCAGGTTGGAAAAGAGGAGGGAAAGGGAGTGCAGAAGTTATTACAGATGTTTCGTTACCGAGGGAAAATTGGATCTCAGGCCGCGAATGTTGGAAAAATGAAGTGTGAAAAAAGCTAATCCTCCAGGAACTGCGGCGGCGTCAGTTGAGACCCCAGTAGCTTGATGATGATCAGGTCGGCCCTGGGGTCCACAACCTTCCCGACCAGTGGGACCCATCCGAGAAGGTCCCGCTTTAATATTATTGTCAACTGACATCACAGGAGAATAAAATAGAACGAATAGAACAGATCAAGAGTGAGTACGGTTATATATGTGTGTTGTCACTAATAAGAGAGACAATTGAGACCCTGCAGTTGTGTATAAATGAGGCAGGAAGACAAATCAGCAACCTGGGACTCGGTCACAATTTTCGTGATGCCTTATGGCAGCAGGGTCTACCATTAGACAACACATTATGCTTCCAATATCTTTCCAGGCGGTAGTACCTCCCTGTTTGATAGCTGCGTACTACTAATTCCTTAATAACACACATCATCACTTATTCTTAAAGAAGTAACAAGTTAAATGGGATCATCTGAATATCAATCTAAAGCTTATTTCGCTTAGTTAAACACCCTAACGAGTCCTCGGGGTAGATGATGTTTAAGGTTAGGTTAGCTTAGCTTCAAGTGGTTAACATTTACAGTAAGTGAAATAAGCTTTGGGGCTAATCATCATATGATCCCAAAAATGTACATTTAGAGCACTCATTGTCTGTTATGTATAATTATATTCCTGTTAAATTAACAAAAAAGGACGGATTTAATTTTTTTGTATTCTTTTTCAAGTTCGTCTTTTTTATTAACTAACAGTTATTATGTGAGTTGAAGGCCTTTACATTAATTTGCCGGTATTATCGTCACTGTAGTGCTGCTCTTTGTTGGATATTCCAATTAGTTTGAGTTCGTAAACGGTAAGTGTTTAGTTGGATATTTTACCTAATTTACGTAATGACCAACCACGAGAAGCGGCCATGATGAAGCTTCAAAATATTCTTATCTTATCTCTATAAAGTAAAAAATACAGAATTGTAATAGAAAAGCGTGTAACATCTGGAAGAATTATTATAATTTTTTCAATGCGGGAAAAAATGCGTAAAATATATTTCCTGCAAAAAAAAATATATATATGAAAAGCGCAAGGAACAACGCTGACCTGTGTTCGAATGCTTTTACTTGATACATATATTTTAAGAAATATTGCTTAAATCAATTAATTTATTTTAAATTTGTATCAATATGTATGACATAGATAATTTCTTATAAAAATTTCTTAAATCAGTAAATTACATGGCAGAATACCTTAGGATAGTGGGAGTGTAAGCTAAAGACTAAGTCAACGTTACACGTTTGTCAAAGTGACACAGTAGGTCCTGTACGAGACCAACACTGAGCACGGCGGCCAGTGAGGTGTGTTATTGTGTCGTGTGGCGATTAAGTGGTTTGGTGAAAATTAAATAATTTCGTTTAGTGAATTGTCACATCTTCAGATTGAAGAGGTAAGTGCATTGTGTCGGAGCAACGCTAATTCATAGTTGATTAGTAGTGTTATAGTTGGTTTGTTTCTTTTAAGGTCACAGACTCCGTACTCGGAGAGCCCCTTGTGTATAATGAGCATGCGCAAGTCTAGATTATTTTGTCAACACGATTAGTACCAAAAGAAGTAATGGAATTAAACCATAATTTGTGGAGATAATAAAATCATGATCCTGAACACGAAAATGGAAGCGAGAATGCACACGACCTAACAACCTGACCTATAATTTGGTAATTATGGAGGTGATGTCAAACACCAGAAGGCGTTGTTCAATATCGTTAATTTTTTCCACATATCCTTATCATTAGTATTCTAAGAGAGGCGACATTTACTAGAACATAACAAACCGTACCCAATCAATCAATCAAAGAAACCTACCTTCCTAGCCGAGGGGCTCGTTCCCCTGGACGCCCTGCCATATTAAATAGAATGTACGTACTTGTTTTGATATCTGGTACCAATGAAAGGAACTTTGTTGAGGCACCATGGTGTGATTTTACGTTTTTTTGTTTTATTTTCCTTTCGGACAGCGCGCCTCAAAGTTATAAACTACTGAAACTAATTAAATTTTCCTATTCTGAGCATTTTCAACCCCATTTTGACCATTTGGAAGTGTAAAATAGCGACACAATTTAATTTAATTTAATTTAATTAATATTACGTACTTTTCAGTCTTCGTTTGAAGAGATGTTGTCTGCAATGTTGACTCACGTCATCTAGTCGTGATCAGTAATATATCGATCTTATGACGCTTTTCTTTTTCTTTTCGACTAATCACATTTGAATTTTTTCAAAGGGAGCAGCCTGGGTACGGATTTGA